GAAGTGGAGTTATTAAAGTTATTAAAGGAAGAGGAAAAAGTAGAAGGAAAGAGGGGAGGAGGGGATAAGATTATATAGACATAAGAGGCAGAAAGGTTACTACCTAATTAACTAGTAAAGATCTCACCTCTTACTCGTTATAACTATACTTCACTTTACTAAAGTGAAGATATTCGCTAGTCTCCAGAATTCTCTAAGAGGGGTCAGAGACTTAGAAAAGAGTTAACTTCAGGAGGTATTAATTTCTAGATCGAAAGACGTATTCGCCCTCCGCTTAGTATAGCCTAGCAATATCTTAATTTACTTTAACGTACTTTAATGTAGCTCTATGATAAGTTAATTTACTTCAACTTACTTCTAGGAACTCTTAGATATCAGTCGCGGATATATCATAGGCTAGACAGAACTCTAGAATAAGTCTATATACTTTAATACTCATAGGTACAACTCGCTAATATCTTATTGCCTTATTATACTTATAACATAAGAATATCACTAGTTCTAATATATTACTATTATTTCTATATTATATAAGAGGATATAACAAAGTCGGTTTTATACAGTAGTAGTATATATAAAGTTACCTAAGTAGGTAGATACCAAGGTACTTTATACAGTAGTCTCACCTAGCACAGCTCTATAATAAGTTAATTTACTTCAACTTACTTAGAAATACTAATCGCCGATATCTTATCAGCTTATTATAACATGTAACCAGGGAACCTCGCTAGCCTTAATATTTCAATATCTTTGCCCTGACGTATATTCTTACTACTACAGTTTTATTATACTCCTTTCCTATAGTTAATTAGATAGTTATTCTGATACTTGGAAATAATAAGATTAAACAGATAAGCGCAGCTAATACCTTTAAAGCCTTCACGAAAGAACCGAGACTAGCGCAGTTGTAAAAGCCGTCTCTAGCGCACTAATCTAACCCTTACGGAAAGGATTAAGACTATATATAATATACCACTCTTAAAGCTGTATAGTATTATAGATACTACTTGTGACAAGCCTTCACTACATAATAAAGTCATATCTTTATGTTTAAAACGAATATTAAAGCACCTTTCCCTAGACTAAGACCGTACCCCTCGGGAAGAGTAAGTATCTACTCTAAGAAAGCTGATATTTAATAAAAGAGACACTATCTTAATTACCTGTACAAGCTTTAGTAAGAGTATTATATTTCAATTATATTATGTTCTTACTCAGCTTATCTGCCTCCAGATAACTCCACTGAATCGACTTAGTAAAGAACACCTTTTTAATATTAAACTACTCGGAGTAACTAAACTATATCTCTTAATAAACGAGACTAAGTATAACAACGATTTGCTATTACAGCATATTACAGATAGTATATATAATTATATTCTATTATCTCCTAAGCAAGCTATCTCTAAGGACTTCTATAAAATCCTGAAATTACCTAGCTTTAATAGCAGGGTTAGGCTTATAGCTATCGACGAGCTATATTTCATCGAGTAATAGAAGGACTTCCGAGTATAATTTACTATATTAGGAGAGCTCTGATTAATACTACCTAAAAATACTATATAGTTTAGATATATAGTAATACTGCCTTTAGATATATTATATTAAACACTTCATGTAATAGGCTTTAAGAAAGTCACTACGGAGCTATCGCTACACACGACTACTATTATTCGTACTTTAATCGATAGGCAGGATATATCCCTAGTAGTTGTACTTATCCCGCGAAAGAAACTTACTATTTTCAACTAACTGTACTACCTACTAGACTAAGCTATTAAAGTTGATATATAAGAAATTATACCTAAGAAGATTCCTAAGACGATTATCTTTATTAATAGTATTAAGTAATACGAGCAACTTATACGTTAGCTATAGCACTACCTTATATTAAAGATAGCTACTTAGTTAGGAAGACGTTATACGAATAATACCTTAGATAGTATTATTAAGATTATATAGACTTTCTACTCTCAGGTTTCTTAATCAGATAGAGATTTAAGATATAACGCTTTTTATATCTTAGGTTCTACCTATAGACTTATAATTACTATAACCTCGATAGGAACTAGGATAAATATTCCAGATATTAGATAAGTAGTAATATAGAAGTTACTAATCGATCTAATACTAAACGAGCTCTAGCAGCAAGCAGGATATAGCAGTCGAGGAGAAGGATAAACCTGCGAGGTATATATATTCGTACTATATTAGGTGATAGATAATAAAGGGAAATATCCAGAACTAAAAGCTATAAGTTCTAATGCAACTCTAAGTCCTAAGGTTTCGTTATAAAAGCCGGTATACTAAAACCTTCATTATCTGTTACCCGGGAATCGTATTATAATACAGACTCAGTCCAGACTCAGAGAGACTACTTCTATCAGCGAGGTACCAGATAATATATATCCGAGTAATATTAAATCAGTTGATAGTAATAAGAGTACTACAAGTAATACTAATAAAGCTGAACCGACTAATACTATAGACAACAGCAAGAGGCTTAAAGTATAGACTTAGTCTGAAATAAGATCTAGAGACAACCTACCTACTATATATAAAGAAGTATATAACGTAGCGTATTAGCGGAACATGTTACTAAAGCTCTTAGGTAAATATCTACTCCTAATCAAGAAGAGAAACCGTCCTTTAAAGCGTAACTATTATATAAGGTATAACCCCGACTTAACCCCCCCTTCGATAGAGTTACTACCTGGGTCCTATATAAGACTAAACATGCCGAGGAAGAGTAGCCGTAGAGCTTTCGCCCTCTAGATATTAAAAGAATAGTGTACTAAGTGTGCTCTTCTCTTCAACTCCTTATTCCTAAATAATCGTTTTTATCTAAGGCCTAAGATATTTATACCGAGCTTTACTATTCTTATATTAGCCGCGGTATATACTAATTAGAAGTCCAATTATAAGAAGCTCAGCTAATTAATATAGGATAAGTTAATTATAAAAGTTCCTTAGCTTGATAAGTAGGAATATAAAGAGAGCTAGAGAGTAAGCCTATTAAATAAGCTATTAACACTCCACGAAGTAGTTAAGGAGGAAGTATAAAAGGAAAGAATATTAAGAGCTACAAAGAAGAGAGCTAGTAAAGAGTACACTACTAAAAGTAATCGAACTAGTGATTCTCTCATACTTACTCCTAATATAACATAGTCTTCATAAGGTCCAGCGCTTACTACGTTAAATAATAAAGTACTACTGCCCTCTCCTTATACTCTACAAACTCTATCCCGTCACTAATTAATATTACTAATCCCTCTACGACTATCCCTATTAGTAAAGGATATAAATACAACGCTAATCCCAAGTCCGAGTAGGATTAATTAGTTACTAAGAGTATATCGATCGCGCTATTCGACTCCCTTACTAGAGCGCCCTTCAGTGTCGCTCATAGATAGCCTAATAATAAGATAAGCTATCGAATAGTAAATATAGGTATCCCCGAGTAAAAGGTATATATAAGAAATACCGGAAAATAAATATCCAGCTAATACTAAGGGGGGACTTAAGAGGACTAGCGAACAGCTTAGTCTATTACACCGATATAATAAGAGACGCTAAGGAGGAAGTACTAGTCAGCGAGTAGATATAGTACCTAGGGAGTAAGTTAAAGTAAGTAGGCTAATCAGAGACTTAGATACAAGGAAAAGAAGTAAGGTAAGCCAACTATAATACCAATACTTAATATAAGTACTAAATATCAATACCCGGATAGTAATCTAAAGTAAATTAAAGTAAGTAAGCTAATAGGAGATAAGATAACATATAATATAATTTAATTAATACTAAAAAACTAGAGTGCAGATAAGAAACCGAAGTAAATTAAAGTAAGTAAAATAGATATAAGGCGGTAGCTAATATCTACCTTAACACTTAAACTTATACAACTCTTATAAGTAACGACTTATCAAATAAAAAGTAATATAATATTACTTACTATAATTATCTTACCCTATTAAAGAGTCAGCAGTAATATCTAAGCGTGTAGTTAAGAAATAACAGAGGCGTTTCTAGCTGAAAAAGCGCGAACGTATAAGCGTAGGAACGCCTACTTAGCTATAACTTTATCAATTAACAAGCTATAATTAAAAGGATAACATAAGGCGACTCTATATACCTTTCTTATCCTCAGATATCAATTCGTATCATATAAGAATACATAATTAAGAAATCACAGAAGTATTTCCAGCTAAAAAAAAGTAAGCGCAAAAGCACAAGAACGCCTACCTAGCTATAACTTCATCAACTAATAAGCTATAATTAAAAGGATAATATAAGGCGACTCTATATACTTTTCTTATCCTCAGATATCAATTCGTATTATATAAGAATACGTAGTTAAGAAATCACAAAGGTGTTTCCGGCTAAAAAAAGGCAAGGGTCTATATCAAGTAACGCTTACTTAGATATAACTTTATTAATTAATAAGATATCATAAAAAGAATAACAGAAGGTAATCAGGTATATCTTTCTAATCCTTAGAAAATATTCAGGTCTATATATAAAAGTGTTATTAGAAAATACTAGGGAGGTTTCCGGTTAGACTATTCTACTAAGTATAAGCAAGAAATTAATACCTTAGTCTTAGCATATATACTTCACCTTTAAAGAAATCGATATAAGTAAAAATAAATATTTCATTAAATAGATAAATAGATTACCTACCGTCTATAATGTACCTAAAGTTATTTAAATAGTTATATATTAAGTTATAGTAAAGTAACTAAAGAATTAAGGTCGGCTTAAAATTAATCTCTATATAAATTAGCACTATTTTCCCTTAGACGCTTTATAGCGAGAAAACCTACCCGGACCCACGCGTTACCTAATTAAGCAGTAGCATAGCGCTAAAGAGTAAGTTAAAGTAAATAAACTAATAAATAGTCTATACGCAGTAAGTGGAGGTAAATAGACCAATAGCGATAATAGGTCTATACGCACCTAGGCGAGCGGTTTTCAAGCAAGAAGTAGCTATCTGAGATAATCGCCAATCAGCAATCAAAAATAAAATTCATGACCGTAAGCCCAACGTAGCCTAGTCATGTGAAATCCATGTAGAAGTTCGGCTGACAATCTGCGCTTTTTTGAAATTTGTTCGCAACCAACTTTCTCTGCTTCTCCTCTCTCACCCCTTCGTCTTTTGCCACGCGCGGCTGAGACTCCAAAAATCCTCACTTCCCTTCCTCTACAACCATCTGCTCGGCCAGATAAATCTCCACTCCAAAATCTCCGCTCTACCAGAAGTTGTGCCAGCTCTCGAATCGCAACGATCCCCTCGGCCACGTTCCCCTCCAAAAAACAACCCCGTTTCGAATATTTACCCAAACTTTCACCCACCAACTTCTCGCAATATACAAGATATCAGAACGAAACACCTCTTTGTCCGATCTCTGCGAATTCCTCGCTATATTCTAAAAGGGCGTTCCACGCTCAAGAATGCCCCACCACGTATCGACTCCCCGCACAATGCCCACCATGATTTCGAAGGCCGCTGGCCCAGCGCCAACACAAGAAGAGGTTGCCGGGTTGTTGGATTCTATCTTCACTGCTGCTACATCTGATGCTTCGGTGTCTGCCGCGTACGCTCTGTGTGATTTGTTCTTGAACTCCGTTGGATTCCGCGGATTGTCGCAATATGGTGTTCTGGCTGCTATCAAGAAGGCTGCTGCCGATAAGAAGAGTGTAGCAAGAAGAGAGTGTGCCCAGAACCTCCTGGGAGCACTCTTCGAGCGTCTGCCACCCCAGCAAAGAATCAGCGAGGTCATACTCATGGTTCAGGATGGTGGTATGGTTGCCTGCGCACTTGATGCTCTGGCAGATAAGAGTTCAGTTGTTCGCGAGTCTGCCCAGTACGGTCTGGATGAGTTATTCAAGAACCTCAGCTCAGAGGCTCTCATTGTTGGTCTTCTCCCAGCCCTCTCTACATACCTCGCAAAGGCCACCGGAAAGTGGCAAGGAACTGTCGGAGCATACAAGTTGCTCCAGAAGATGGCAGATAAAGCCAAGTTAGAAGTTGGCAGCAGCAAAGAGGAGGCAAACGACAAGGACATTCTGCGAGAGGCAATGGGCACAAAACTGGGTGGTTTGATCCCAATCGTGGAGGCTGGCATGCACGACTTGAAGGCCGAGGTTGAGAAGCAATCTGTTGCAACCATGAACTCCCTCACGACACTCCTTTCCAACGACGATGTTGCTCCACGAATTCCGCTCTTGATTGCTACTATGCAAAACCCGTCGACCGAGACCCAACAGAAGGCTATTCACGCCCTTTCCCAGACTACATTCGTTGCCATTGTTACGGCTCCAGTCCTCGCCCTTCTGACACCCCTCTTGGAGAGATCCTTGAACACTCCTTCGACCGCCCAAGAAGTACTCCGACAAACCGTCGTCGTCGTGGAGAACTTGACCAAGCTTGTTCACGACCCAGTCGAGGCCAGAACTTTCTTGCCAAAGTTGAGCCCTGGTGTAAAGGCTGTCAAGGATAGAGCATCCTTGCCAGAGGTCAGAGATTTGGCTACGAGAGCATTGGCTGTTATCCACAAGGCTATGGGTGATGATGATGGTAGTGCCGACAGCGGCGTTATTGAGCGTACCACCTCTGATGATGTTTCTAAGATTCTCGAGGCTGAGATCAAGAAGGCTGGTGGATTAGGTGGTGATCTTGATGTTTTCAAGATCGCCAGACCATATATCGGTACCATGGTTGCAGAGGATGTCAACCACCGCGAAGTCAACCGTATCTCCGCACGAGTTGCTCCCTATCTTGCAAACATTATGAAGGAAGACGGTGCAGCCGACAAAGTTGGGGCTGCTGTCCAACAGCACTACATCGATGAGGATGAAAAGAAGTACGGAAAGCCAGTCAAAGAGGATGATGGTGAAATTGAGATTGTCAATGCCGATTTCTCTTTGGCTTACGGAGGAATGCTTCTTCTCTCCCACACCAACTTACGCCTCCTGAAGGGCCACAGATATGGTCTTTGCGGTCGCAATGGAGCTGGAAAATCCACTCTTATGCGCAGTATCGCTACTGGAAAGCTCGAAGGCTTCCCTCCTCAGGATGTCCTCAGAACCTGCTTTGTCGAGCACAACCAGGGTGAGGATGCTGATATCAGCATTTTGCAATTCGTTGCCAAGGATCCCGCGATTGCAGATCAGGGTATGGACCGTATCTCCGACGTCTTGACCGAGGTCGGATTCACACCTGGTCCGCAGGGTCGCCAGTCCGAGAAGGTTGGATCCTTGTCCGGTGGATGGAAGATGAAGTTGGCTTTGGCTAGAGCAATGTTGATGAAAGCCGACGTTCTCCTGCTCGACGAACCTACCAATCACTTGGATGTTGCCAATGTCAAGTGGTTGCAAGAGTACTTGAAGAGCCATACCGAGATCACCAGTTTGATCGTTTCTCACGACTCTGGTTTCCTTGATGAGGTTTGCACAGATATTTACCACTACGAGCCAGGAAAGAAGCTTGCATGCTACAAGGGTAACCTTGCAGAGTTCGTCAAGCAAAAGCCCGAAGCTAAGAGTTACTACACCCTCTCGGCTTCGAATGCCCAATTCAAGTTCCCACCTCCTGGTATACTTACGGGTGTTAAGTCCAACACTCGATCCATTCTCCGAATGACCAACTGTTCTTACACCTACCCTGGGGCTTCTAAGCCATCCCTCCACGATGTTTCCTGCCAATTGTCATTATCTTCCCGAACTGCCATTATTGGAGGGAACGGTGCCGGAAAGTCGACTTTGATCAAGATGCTTACTGGCGAGACTATCCCAACCACTGGTCGTGTCGAGAAGCACCCCAACTTGCGTATTGGATACATCAAGCAGCACGCTCTTGAGCATGTTGAAATGCATTTGGAGAAGACACCCAACCAATATCTTCAGTGGCGTTATGCCAATGGCGATGATAGAGAGGTTCACATGAAGCAGACCCGTATCTTGTCCGAGGAAGACAAGGCCCAGATGGAGAAGCTGGTCGATTTGAAGGACGGCAAAGGTGGTCGTCAGATTGAGGCCATTATGGGACGTCAAAAATGGAAGAAGTCCTACCAATACGAGATTAAGTGGCTTCATATGCTACCAAAGCACAACTCTCAGATCTCCCGAGAGACTCTTATGGAGTTGGGATTCGATAAGTTGATCCAGGAATTCGATGATCACGAGGCATCTCGTGAAGGTCTGGGTTTCCGTGAGCTGTCACCAAAGGTCATCTCCAAGCATTTCCAGGACTTGGGTCTTGACCCCGAAATTGCCGATCACAACGAGATTGGTGGTCTTTCTGGTGGACAAAAGGTCAAGGTCGTCTTGGCTGGTGCTATGTGGAACAATCCCCATTTGCTCGTACTTGACGAACCCACCAATTTCTTGGATCGTGACTCTCTTGGAGGACTCGCTGTCGCTATTCGCGACTACAAGGGAGGTGTCATTATGATTTCTCACAACGAAGAGTTCGTTGGTGCTCTCTGCCCCGAGCAGTGGCATGTTGCGGATGGTCGTGTCACACACAAGGGAAACCTTGCTGTCGCAGCCGATCGTTTCGAGGACTCTAGCCGACCTGGAAGTGCTTTCAACAGCAGTGTTGCAAGCAGTGCGATGAGCAGTGTTGTCTCCAGCGCCAATGCCAGCGCCGCCAACAGTGGAGCAGAGGATAATGGTGGAGACATGAGCTTCAGAGCTAAGAAGAAGAAGAAGATGACCAAGAAGGAGTTGAAGGAGCGGGAAGTCCGAAAGAGGCTGAGACACATCGAATGGTATGATTTTACCACTCTATCATATATTGGTCATTTGCTAACCTGTATCCAGGCTCAACTCTCCCAAGGGAACTCCCCACCCAGTCGATACAGACGACGAGGCATAGACGTCCATGCGTCACTTTGTCGTACATAACGAACCAAAAGTTATTTACTCATTCATTCCGTGGTGGAGATGTAATCATGTGCGAACAAGATAGAGATTCCCTTAGAGCAAGCATTTGGATTGGGCGGTTTGACAGGCCTACGAAGTAGCCGTATAGAGATGTCTTTTGTCACTACATTTCGGCCCGTTTGGGCTTTTCGTTGCGGGATTCTGCATCACTTTTTGACATCAGAATGGCGTTCGCGTTTATAGACTGGGATTTGTTTGGGAAAGAAGGAGAGAAAGAAAGATGATTGAATGTGTTTGTTCATAGAGAGATACGAGTTGTATCAAATTGAATTGAGCCATAATCAGGGCAAATTCATCCTGCGATCTTGTCTCTTATTTAAATGCATGTGCTTGTATAATTTTATTTTTGTGACTACAAGGTTCATGGTCATTACTCTTTACAAGGGCGATATTCTCCTCTGCGGGTCTACAAATATCCTCAACTCCTCAAGCCCAATACTCAACATCATCCAACCTCCTCGCCACAAAACTCAAAAACTTAACCTCCGGCCCAATATACGACCCATCCTCCGGATCCATCCCCAACTCCTCCCACTCCTTCAGCTCCCCCTCAACCACCCACCTCGTCCCCGTCTGTCTCCTCCCCCGCCTTCCTCCACAACTCCCTGAACGTCTCCACCCCCTGCAAAAACATCCTATGCCTACTCTTCGCCGTCTCAACCACCTTCTCCCCACCCGTCTCCTGCCCCAACTGGAACCCAAAAACCATCGCGTTCGCCTTTGGCCTACTGAGTTTAACCAGCTGCTTCACGGCCGCGAGCTGCCCTTCCCAGCCCCACTGGTGCAGGACCTGAGCGATGTAGATGATGTCGAATGTCCCCTCTAGAGCGGCTAGTTCGGGGTTTGGAGCGAGGATGTCGCATTCGATGAATTGGGCGTGGAAAGTGGATGTGTCGCGGAACATCTCGAAGCCGACGTCCCAGTGGCTGGCGATGTCGACGCCGGTGAGGGACTCGGAGGGGGCGCCGTCGTAGACGAGACGCCGGAGGTCTTGGCCCAGCATGCAGCCTACGTCTAGGAAGGAGGAAGAGGAGGAGCTGTCTTTGTTTTTGTCTTTGTTTTTGAGGCGCGTGAGCGCTGTATCGTAGGCTGGGAGGCGGGTTATCATGGGCTCGACCCAGACGCCGACGCCGGTGCAGGGGTAGGTTCTTATGGCCCGGCTTTGTCACGCTGTGGGAGAAGGTTGAGCTTGGGTTTTTGAGAGTGCGAGTGCAGGAGATGAGGACTTACGATTCTGTAGATGTGCGGGAGGACTTCATCTGGTGGGATGCTGCTGTATTCCTCGAGCATTTTTCGAGCCTTGGCTGGGTGTCAGGATGTTGTGATAAACAGTGATAAGCGAGAGTGGAAAGGGAGGATTGAAGCGAACGAGCCTCGGGTGTTACTCTATGCTCGATGTTTTCCTTCCACCAGATGACATCCTTGTCATTTGTGAATTTCTTCGCATAATCCATCTCTGATTCTTTGCCATGGTCGATGGTCGTTGATCCTGCGGAGGCCATTTTGTGTTCTTGCACTGTACTTAAATACTGATTGAGTTCCTATGGAGATATCTGATTACTGCGGGAGAAGTTCATTGGTAAGTGGGAAGGAAGGTTTATATCGAATCTGGGATTGTCAGCTCTTGGATGGTCAATTACGTGATGTCTGAGCAGTAGTTTGCCCTCCTAGTTAAGCGTCAACTTTGGTCTCCGGCGAATTGAATGCCTGTTGAAGTAAGCTTCTGCTAATCTACCGTCTTTAGTCCCGGCAGATGTTTTAATCAGACGCTTTCTATTGCCAGGCACCATTTTCATTTGACTTGTGTTAATGCGGGGGGGGGGCGGATTAATGTTGTAGTCCTATCAACTAAGCTTTCCCCTAAATCTCAACTTGATGGATTCTCTACCCCACAAACTATCATCAATTGGGTCGATACCCAAACGGATCAAAACCGATTGCTGCGTCCATGATTTTCAACTAAATAACAGCTTACTCCCATTCTACTGATAGGAGGAGGATGGCTGCGGTCAGCACTAATGTATTCTTACGTGAATATAGCTAGAGACTTGACCTACGTCAGGCAAGCGTGAAGCCGGAAGCGAGGATCAAAACCACCAAGTTTAACCACGACATAAAGAGACCGACGAGATTCCCATTCCATCGTTCCCCGGCCCTTTTGATCTGGGTAACTTTTAGCAAGCAATATAAAAACACTCGTACGCCTGAGGATGCCCTTGTTTACGTGAAGAGAAGCTTGCATCAACGATTCAACTCGATCCCACCTGAAACGAAGGAGTAACAAGAAACTCTTCTTCCGCTGGCTCATATTCGTATCACAGACTCAACATAGTCCAATCGTCAATCCAATCTTCCAAGCTTGGACAACATGGATCATCAGCCTAAGAAAGAAGATGTAGACCGCATCGGAAACTACGCCCTCATGCTCCTCGAAGACCAAAACATCGACCGCCGAAACTGCCACCGCGTAGTCCCCTTAGAAGTCCTTTCCCTAGGCTACTCCCGCACCGGAACAATATGTAAGATTCTATACCCCAGCTCACCACTCCCATTCACACCTTCCTCACCCATAAGAAAACACCCGCACTCACACGCACATTCCCAGCAATGCAAAACGTACGCCCTCCGCATCCTAGCTTCGGCTACCCCAACCCCTACCCTACCACTTCTCCAGCGTCTACCTTACGCAACGTCCGCGACTGCGACATAACTTACATGTGGACCGACCGACGCCCTCCGCGCCAAATACAGTACGACGGAATTGGCAACCCGTTCAGCCGTCCTGGATTCGACCGACCAGCTTCTCGGCCACGTACGTAGGAGCCGTGACCGACGCATGCACCCTGTACGATTTTCGCCAAATTAAAGAGCTCATCGAAGCGTATCCGGAAGCTAAAATCGTGCTTGTAGAGAGCGATATTGAGAATTGATATAAGAGCTGAGATGGTCTTGTCACGGGGGCGTTCACGCCGGTTTTGACGGATCCGTGGTTTACGGGGAGCATTCAGAGGCTGGGTATGACGTGGATGCGGACGCAGCTTGGGGCGAGGACGCTGGAGGAGGCGAGGGCAAATGCGAGGGGTGTGTATAAGGTAGGGAGTATTATGAAGAGGTTACAGTAGGCGGGTGGCGCCGAAGAAGAGGTTGTTGGAGTATGAGTTGGGGAGTGGATGCATGGGGGCCGTTGTGTGACTTTTTGGGGAATGAGATTCCTGATGTGGAGTTTCCGCGTGTGAATGAGTCGGTTTCGATAGGGGTGATGTTTGAGGTGATGGGGAAGAAGGGGATGGTGAATTCGTTGGGGAACTTGGCGGCTGCTGGGGCCGTTGTGGTTTATTTCGCTGCTTGGTGGGTGTTGACTTGATGCTAGAATGAACACTTGAACATGAAAGCGTCACGGAATTTCGTGCCATTCATATCAATCAATCGAACTTCTCAGAGAATTGCGGGCTGTCGCCATATAATCAACGAGAAGAATAGGAAGATAAAAAGTGACACTTGAATGCCATAGCTACTGGCGCCTGACAATGTTAGACACCAATGTAAAACAGGAAGTAACATTCACAGCACAAGAACACAAGAAACCATCAAGGAAAGCACTAACTAAATTACATGAGCGTTGAGTGTTCGATTTCCGGATCTTGGGACTACGAGGCTGGGCTCAGGTCATGTAAAATGATTCTCACATCGATTGAGCCGGAATAGAAACTTCCTCTGTCCCTACAGCCTGGCTACCTCTCAACTTTAGTAACAACGATGGTCCTCGTCTCTATACTCTCACGCTCGATATCATGAGTCTTATCTTCCGATAATTTGAACGCCGCATGTGGACAATCTATTCTGTGTATCAGATGTGTGAATGAAAAGGAAAGTGAAGCACTTACAAGGAGGACTATTCTCAGGCTTGGAATCCCAACTAGTGAAGATACTTATCTCCTTCTGAGATTGATTACTACACCAATAATAGTCCTGGTGTGCCCCGTATTTCACATAATAGGCTTCGCTACTCTGGTCTTGAGCAGGTCTGTCGACTGCAACTAGATCCTGTTTCTGTATAGTCCACGGGTCGCAGAAACCCAATGGTGAATTCTTGACAGGCCGGTACAAAGGTCTCCAGGAACTGTTGTGTGAACATTGACTCGTTAGTCTTCATTCCAACAGGTGTCTGAAAGAACACCCCTGGGTTGGTGTGATTAGGGAGATGTAGCACCTACTTGATAATACGTATACGGTACTCACCACCGAGATAGAGTTGTGCTTCAGAATCTGTCAACATCTTCTTAACCCGCTGCATACCAGCTTCTTCGGTGAAGTCTATAACACTTAGATAGGACTTCGGGTTACGCAAGTAGTACTCTTACCAACGTGAACTGGCCAGATGGGGACATCTGGAGATTGCGCGGTTCCTCGAGTCTCTGATGAGTCGTTCACTGCAGTGGAATCTTTTCGGAACTTTTTTGCAACTGATCAGAGTCGATTTAGCATGGCTGTTTAACGCTTAGAGATTCATCCACCTTGAAGTTATAGCAGAAGGCAAATTCCGCAGACAATAGGGACTTGATCAGCTCGGTCGTTTCTTGCAGATAGCCCATGAGGCTCTCTTCTTCTGACAGAGAAGCTGCAAAGTGACTTTCATGCCTGACTATCTGGAATCCCTGGATATCAAGGGATGTCACGACATTCTTGAGATCGCGAACTAAGATTCCAGTTTGTGGGCGGGTGACGATATTTGTCCTTAGATGTTCTCGATCCGGCGGAAGCAAGCCGGTGAACAGATACGGCTTCTCTGTTTTGTAGAGTTCAAGATCGTCCTGAATGTAAAAGAACGAAGCCTCTACGACTGGCAGGTTCTGAGCTTTGGGGTCAAGCGATAGTCGCATCGTGACATTGGAAGATAGGGTAGGGTAGGGTATGTGATTGAAGTTCAAAGCCTCGATGTGGACAGAGAAGGATGTTCCTTTTGTGCCGTCGTCGTACAGTATCTGACTTGGTCCATGGAAGCTTTATGTAAGGTAAGGTTACAGTAAGGTTAATTTCGAGAATGCAGGTGCGCAACGGATTGGACGACCCTAGCCCAGCTTCTATTACAGTATATTGTAGGTACAAGAGCCAATCGCATAACGCGATACTGTACTGTAAGTTTCCGAACAGCGACGGACAGACATCTCATGTCATATCAGTCAGACCTCAGACCTCAGACCTGCATGCAAGTTCCCTCGCAAGCCGGGCGAGGTGAGGGCAGGGCGCCGTGGCTGAATGTGGACAAGTGCTGGCCAGGAGGTGGCCGCTTTAAGAGAGGAGAGGGGAGGTGAGGTGAGGTGAGGTGAGCGAGGTGTCTCAACAGCGGGATCAACAACAATAGGTATCCTACCTTCCTTAACTGACCTAAGGTACCTATTTATGGCCTGTAAGTGCTCCAACTACCGCTTGAGGGAGGCAAGGAGGCAGGGACGCAGGGACGCAGGGAGGTAGGGACGCAGCCGTCGAGCAGGAACGGGGGGGGATGCACGGCCTGTACTGTACCGTAAGGTACTGTAATTCAGGTCGCACCCGCCTGGAATTTGTCCAAATTGTCCTTTTCACCCGCTGTCGCTGTTGCTGTCGCTGTCGCTGTCTTCCATTCATCATTGCAGGGCAGGCCCGGGCCCAGGCCCAGCGCCTTGTCGGCTTTCACCTCATTCACCCACACGCACAATCACAATCACAATCACAATCACAATCACCTCTGCCATACTAAGCTACCTATGGAAGCAGAGTCCGTGGAATTTGAGCAGCAGGGTAGGAACTGGCCTGGTAGCCGGCTTTGGCCTTCACCCTCATATCGAGAACGAGAAGCTCCTCATCCCGCGTCTTGGGCAATACTCCCCCTCCCCCTCGTCATGGCCTTGCTCTCTGCTTTGATTATCACGGCACTGTTCGTCGCCATCAGCGATGCCTACCTTACACGCGTGCCACCATTTCCCTACCCAGGCAAGAGCGCAACCAAGGAGGTTGAGGACAGCTATGGTGCTGTCACTTGCGGAAATGAAATATGTAGCAACGTTGGACGGGACATTTTGAGAGGTGGAGGCAACGCAGCCGATGCTGTCCGTTCTATTCCCTACAAGAAAGTACCCAAGCTGATGGCTTCTTCAACCTAGGCAGTAGCAGCGCAGTTCTGTCTAGGGGTCATCAGTAAGTCTGTTGCTGGGAATAATAACACATTCTGCTAATCTTTCCCAGGCCCCGACCTGACGGGCCTTGGTGGTGGCGGGTTTGCACTGATCAGAGCAAGCGATGGCTCGAAAACTTTCGTGGATTTCCGAGAAACCGCTCCTGCAGCAGCTTCAGAAAGCATGTTTGCGAATCATGAGGAGCTTTCCCTCAGTGGTGGACTGGCAAGGTAAGGGCTATATGGCGGGATGTGGGAATTGAAGCTAAAAGGCCATAGCGGAGTTCCGGGAGAGCTGAGAGGTCTGGAGTATATCTACGACCATTGCTGTACTCTGCCGTGGAAGGAACTAATAGACCCAGCTATCAAGCTCGCTCGCGACGGATTCTCATTCTACGAAGATATTGCCGCGCAGGTTTTCTACCTCGATGACTCCTCTTTCCTGGTTGATGATCCTCAATGGTCTATTGATTTTGCACCAAACGGCACCCTTCTTGCAATCAATAGCACTATAACTCGAAAGAGATATGCGGATTTATTGGAGACAATCTCAAAAAAAGGACCAGAAATCTTCTACAGTGGCAGAATCGCGAAAGAAACAATCAGATCTGTCAAGGCAGCTGGTGGGATAATGGAACTGGAGGACTTGAAGCAATACAAAGTTGCCGTTCGCTCGACTCTGGATATTGAATACCAGGGTTTCCGCCTCACGAGCACCAGTGCGCCGACGAGCGGTCCGGTGACTCTGAGTGCACTCAAGATCTTTGAAGGATATCGTAACAGAGGTGATCCGAAGAATCTCAACCTCAGTACTCACCGCCTGGATGAAGCAATTCGCTTTGGGTACGGCCAGGTACATTGCGAATCCCCCACCTCTGTTTATTACCGCTAACAATGTGTTGGAAGCGCACAAAACTTGGGGATCCTAATTTTCATTCCAAGGTCGATGAGTATCAACATGCAATGTTAGAGTCGAAGACAGCAAGGCAGATACGCGAAAAGATATCAGATGAACACACGCTGCCTGTTCACGAGTACAACCCCGACGGCATTGAGAATCTTCCCACGTAAGATTGATCATCAGCGGCTACTTAACGCACTTGCTGACATTGATCACGATAGACCAGGAACTTCTCATTTGGCAACAGCAGATTGCCACGGCCTGGTTGTTGCTCTGACCAGCACCATCAATACAGCATTTGGTTCCCGTTTGATTATACCTGAATCTGGGCTGGTGATGAATAATCAAATGAACGACTTTTCGATCCCAGGAGAATCCAACACGTGGGGATTTATTCCATCTCCTAATAATTACATCAAGCCAGGGGCCAGACCACAATCATCCATCTCTCCAGTAATTGTGGAACATCTCAGAACAGGAGGCCTGTACTTTGTTGTCGGAGCAGCTGGCGGATCGAGAATCATTACTTCCGTGATTCAGACCCTTTGGCATGTTTTAGATCAAGGAATGAATGGAGCAGATGCAGTTGCTGCTCCTCGACTACATGATCAACTCGAACCGGACACGGTATTTCACAGGCTCGGCACTCCCATGATGATTAATGCTAATGTTTTTTGTAGATTCAATTCGAGCTTTCGTATGACAACGAGACTACTGCTTTCCTAGCATCGAAGGGGCATGATGTCACTTGGATAGACTATCGTGCTTCCAATGTCAATGTGCTACGACTACTCTCCAACGGTACATTTGAAGCAGACAGTGATCCAGGCTTGGTGAATGGCGGTTCATATACGTGTTGTTGAGAGCATGCATGATGGAGAGCTTCATTAATGGCCTAAATAAGATTGCAATCAAATACCAGTACAGCCAGACCCTCAGGGACACTACCACGATCAATCTGTCCCTTTTGTTGCAAACCCGTGTTCACCTCTCTCTTAGAACGCATTCCTGCGAAACAGTTTAGATCTGCTGTGCTGATTCCTCAGACTGGAGAGAAGCACCTTACTCATTAGTGTCCACCGTTGCCTCTGCCTTTGAATCCACCATGAGACAAGACATCAAGTCTGACCATTTTACCCTTGGTGGCTGGGTCTTCATTGCTTGCCAGGCTAGTCTGGGTTCCCTCCACTTCCTCATCTGACCGAATAAGTTCGAGCCATGGGCGCACTCTGCCATCTTTCTTATTGTCCAATGTCATGTTCGGCACGGAAGTAGGCATTTTGAAGATTCGATCGGTGTTCAGGCGCTGAAGAAGATATGTTTCTCGGCTTGTATCTGTATAGCTGCTTGGTATCGAGAGAATCAAGCAATGGGATGGACGCGTACCTTGATCTTGCTTGCTTGTTGCTGTACTTTCGATGTGGTTACTCCCAGCCGAAGAACGACTTGATCTTATATCCATCGTACGTGTACAATTTGCCTGCAGAGCCGCATTTCCAAACTGCGGAACGGCCTTCTCGCGGTATATGGGAGGAGATGCATCGAGCCGAGAAAGTCCAGTATGCTGCGGAACTCAAGGGGGTTGCTTTTCTGAACCCCAACCAATACTTCCTGCTGTTTTAACGCCCAAAGATAAGAATTCTGCTTCTCGTAAGTGAATCCAATAGCAAAGCAAGGCCTGTCTGGACTTTTGTTACACGGCATCACAGCACATCAGGAGATCGGCAGTCAGAAGACCACTGGGTTATACAAATTGCTTTGCCGATAGCTTCTCGTCCGCCTCACTTCAATAAGCAACTGGAGCCAATGGATTATGATTTGAAGTCTTAGTCCCTTCAAGATTGTATCACTCTTGTAGTACCAACATCCTCTTCGCCAGGAAGCTCATTCACGAAAGTTCAATGATGGCCGACACATTCTCCAACAGCAACCTGCTACCATCTGTACTCAACGAGTGATTTGTAAGTGGCCCTCACTATGGCCTGGTCCTTTAGCCCTGCAATTGCGACTCGATAAATACGTACACAGACCTCTCATAAGCACACCAAAAAGAAAAGAAGAAGAAAAAAAGTACGCTGCTCCGCTACTGATCTCCGCGAGGTTGGTCTGTGTCCAAAGGTCTGCTTAGAGTGCTGAATCTCGCCTGTTGGCATGGCTTCAATGTTATTGGATGTTTTTCTGACTACCAATCCGGACGTTGAGTTCATACACTGGAATTATGTCGACCTAGCAGGACTTGTTGGCTCCCGCTGCGTGCCCAAGTCCATCTGTCGGGAACTGGCTCAGCAAGGTACGCCTTCGACACTGGGCAGCCTTTCAACTATTGGTCTTTGCTCCCTCAACGATCTTCCATCTAATTTCAGGACACATGGGTGGGACTCATTATATCCTGACTGGACAAGTCTGCGAAAGCTTGACACTGGACATGCATCGGTCATGTGCAATGTCTCCGAAGAAGCCTCCGGCCATTCTGACCTGGTCATGGAAAGCCCATTTCTCCGTTGCTCGCGATCTGCGCTACAACGTGCGGTCCACTTTGCGCGCAACCGCCTCGGTGCTATGATTATAGCAGGTTTCGAAGTTGAGTTCTATCTTATTGACGCCGCCACCGCGAAAGACCCCTCACTCTTCCGCCGTCCCACCTATACGTTCTTAAATGGTGCCTGCAGTCTTCGAGGAATATATGCCGAGTGTGCTTTCGAATGTGTCAAGGCTTTACAGCAAACCGGAATCGTTGCGAATGTGTTACATGCAATCCGTGGTCCTCAGCAGTTTCAAATCCCGCTGGGAGCCCTGCCAGTCTTGAAATCTGTGGACACACTCATGCAGGCGAGAGAGATCATCAGGAGAGCTGCCATAAGGCGAAACATGAGAGCCATCTTCTTGCCCGAGCCCTTCAAAGAATTGGAGTCGTGCGGTCTCCACGCACATCTTTCTTTCAACCAAGAGCTGGGCGGGCACAAGGCTTGGAATCCCTACGAAGGCATCGAAGATTCCTTCATGGCAGGACTATTAGACCATCTACCCGCGATCACGGCGTTCGGTATGCCTTGCGAGTACAGTTATGCGCGCGTGAGGGCGGCCGCTGTTGGGAAATGGGTGGCATGGGGTACCGGCAATAGAGACACGCCCGTGAGAAGAATATCGCAGAATCGCTGGGAACTGAGAGCGATTGATGCCACATCCAATACGTATTTGACTATGGCTGCATATATAGCTTTTGGATCATTGGGAGCTATTGCTCGACAAAAGCTGAGGCTGCAAGACACCAGGGAATTCGTAGATTCTCTCGACACGGTCACATTGCGCGAGAGGAGGATTGATACACAAATGCCAGGAAGTTTCAGAGAGGCACTGACACAGTTGCATCGTGAAAAGGGTAACGAAAATCTTAGCTCGGTCCTTGGGCCGCAGATTCTCGACTTTTATCTAGCTGTCAAGGAGGGTGAGATAGCGACGCTGGCTTCAATGACAGAGCGGGACAGAGAAGACATGTATTTTGAAATCTATTGAGACGAGTTTCCAGATAGGCCACCAATAGAAAAGCACCTTGCAAGCTGAAGCCAGAAGCTGAGCAAACGAAGCAAAAGTCAAGAACCCAGATGTCAATCTTGAGAACATGAGCATGGCATAAAAATCATCCACCGTTCTCGGCCAGGTCTTCAACATTGAGCACGTCAATGCAATTCACCGCATCGATGAATTGATATCGCATCCGCCGGGAATACCACCACCCGACATATGCCATAGAAATTAACAGGCATGTGGCAGCAATTCCGCTGGGTATCCAATAATTACGAGCGTACCAAATCTGTTCAGTACTGAAACTTCCCAGATAGAATTCTGCCGAGGAGTTAGACCAACGCGAGAGCCAAACCCGTGCCTTTACGCCTCATGTTAGTATGTACAACAACAATCGCTAAACTGCAACAGAAACTTGCAGGACGTTACTTACAGGTGTTGAACAGAGGCAATTGGCGTACAGAGACATGAGCACAAAAACTGCAGAGGAGATGGATTAGCATCAAATTGAAATTAAACAGAATACGGACTGCTCATGCTTACCTGTTCCCATGATTCCTGTAACAAAAGAAGCAAAGCTTCCTATGAAGAACACAAAGTACCAAGACGCATTTGCCAAGCCGAGGAACAGCTCGCTCCTCTCGAATATCTTCTTGCTGCGACCCATAGTCCCCCACAACGTCCACTTCAGAAGCCAAAGTATGATGAGTATAGCCTGCGCACAGGCATATACGAGTAGCGTAAGTGACCGACAACCGAGGCCAACTATTGGAGTTGTATAACTGTTTATCATCAGACACATCTACGAAACACAAAATTGAGGGAGGATACCTTATCGAAGCTCCAAGGAAAGCCGGTACAAACAACAGTATGAAGGCTGGTACTAATGTAGAGGCGATGAGCGCCATTTTATTTTTTGTGTATAGCACCTCGTCTTGAATGGTTGATGTGGAGCTAAGATTGGAATATTCCTGGGACACTCTGGCAATCCATTCTGCTTTGCGCTGTCCTCTATTCCAAATCCATGCCACTTTGTATCTGGTTTGAGTGGCTGTTATGTATATCTTGGACCAAAATATTCAAGAGTATGACTTCTGAGACCGATCACCTGGACTCCCGTTGCTGACTTTGGCAGGTTCAATGCCAGCAGCCTCCTCCACGCTCAGTAGTCTGTCGCGCCCCATACTGATGGGATGAGCGAGCCCCTCACATATGCTAGGGTTATTGCAGGCAAGTAGAAGACTGCTCAGAATTGCGATGTGCGGGATTATCATCCAGATCATTCCAAAAGCGAGTTGATGCGAAAGGTCACTGTACATCAAATTCAAAGTTAAACCAGGGCTTCTGCATCAGTGACAGAGGAAACTCACGTTTCTCCATACGCTGCTCGAAGTTCGATGAGAGTATATGCAAAATTCCCAACATAAAAAACAATGGCGGCTCCCGTTGTAGATCCGAAACTCATCTGCGATTCCATGGCTGATCTAAGTTTGAGTTTGACAAGATCGATCTGTAGTCCAGTTGAGATCGCATATTCTGCCGCAATTCGTTGCCGTCTAGGAGATGCAACGGAAGAGAAGCTTGGACGCTTTGGCTCAGTTGAACCTGTGATGACGGTAGTTGCAGGTTGCGGCATGGCCAATGGCCCATTCGTGGTGATTGACGAAAATCTCCTTCTCAGGTTGTCGTCCGGGAGATCTTGCAGAATTCTCTTGCAGTCATTCCATGCTGGGTCTTGGTCGAGACTTCCGAAGAGAATGGCAACCAACAGATGTGCTCGTTGTTTGACCGAGAGAGCATTCGTGCCGATCCGTACCTTGAGGTACCGGAGAAGTCTTGCATCCAGGAGAGCTTCATAGGTCGCGGACAGAAGCATCGGGCCAGAAAGTGTGAGACAGGTAATTGTCCAGAGAACAAGGTCAAGGGTGACAATCAATGCTGCCAGCGGGAGCTTGTAGGCGAGAGATAATATCCCCAATGGACTCCCAATCTTGCGCGGAAATAGGTGTCTTGACACGTTGATTTTGCGTCTTCTTGGGACGTTTAGACAAAATATTGCTGAAGGGGTGATGAATGCCACAAGTGGCTTCAACCACAGTTTCAACGAGTAGTAGCCCGTCCAACTCATCGCCCAACCTGGGCAGGTTTGACTGCACCATGTGTAGGACACCCAGACCTGGGCAGGATATCCATTGCTACCGTCGTAGGTTCCTCCACACGGAAACGGGTTTGACTGAAAATCGTCGATGCTCCCTCGCAAAGCGGTTTGTCCGGGGAGGAAAGTAAGATTCCCGCTATCGATTGTTAGAGATTGATTGACGGCCACAAGGCAGCAGTGATAAAAGTCCTGGGCTCCTAGAAAGGGATTTCCCCATGGTGTTGGAAGGGAAAGATTTGCTAGTTCGCCGTCGAAGACATCCGCAAGAGATCTGAGTGGCTCAGAGGTGTAAGCTTGGAGAATAATACAGGAAATGGAAATAATCGCAATGGAGTTGAGTATATGCATGTTCGAGATGTGTTGGGTGTTGAATCGCAGAAACAAAGGGGACTTGGAAAGGCTACATGAGCAGGTTATATGCCCCGAAGCAATACCCCGTGAGTTAACCTGGTGGGCTATACACATAGGACAACTAGATCTTAGCTTTGGTCAGATTCTGCCTTACGGTATTAAGCATAAATCTGCGGCCCCAATCGTCACCGGATGGTCACTTTGGGCTGAAGATTCGTGTGGTTTCACATTCTGAAGACAGCCCTGCCTCATAACTGACAGCGCAGCTCATGGGTACAGGGTGACGAGACTGACTTTTCATCTAGAATAAAAGACGACCCAAGTTAAAGAGACTACTTGGGCGATCATCATGGCAGCTGCCTGTGAGGAACACCATTGGTGGAGCAGCCACTTGACACGAATTCGTATCACTGGGAAAAAGAGGTTCACAGCCTGGCAAGAGGCAAACACAGCATATGCGAGGCTCAGAGGCTGTGTACTAGATGATGTATGCACGAATCCGAGGAAGTGTGACTACTCTGGAATCTGGCAGGAAAAAGGGAATGCCTGCCAAGCTCCATCCAATTCGTATCAAAACGCTACAATAACCACCAAAAGGTCGCAGTTTTGGATTTCCGCGGTCTCACAGAAAAAAAAAAGCCTTTTGAACTTGGTCATGACACCAATGATCTTTCCAATGTCATTTACTATCCTGACATTTTCGTTTTGTTACACACTGAAGTCATCCTACCAGCACCTGTGGGAGTCTGTTGTGTCTACAAGTGCAACTCAATCTGGCCGAAACTGCCGACAAGACAAGAAGAACTTTGAACTTCCATCTTGTGGAAGACTTATTGCTTCAAAAATACATTTATCGACAGGAACATCAAGACCTACAATGATTAGTTTTGACCACGATGTTGTGCATGATAGGCATTCAAATTTTCTGTGCATTGGAGCTATTGGACAATACTGTATGGTCTTGTGGGTCAATTTAAGCTTATTGTTCCAAGGCCATCGCAGCACCAGCAACAAAAAGTGCTGATACCCTTTTCAATTCATATTTCATGGGAAGCACACTTGAGTCACCTGACTTCGTATGGTCAGTAGCTCTGACTTACCTTTCAGAGACGCTGATCTGCAGTCTTTCTAAAGCATCTACGTTAAAAGCTGATGCTATTTTATTAGTAATCCTTAACATGTCTGTACCTAGATAGCCTTGTCATTAAATTATATCTCCCCGGCTACCTAATTCAACAAACACTGAAAACATGTGATTTCGCTTGGTTTTCAAAAATTTTGTGTACCTACCTCTTGTATTGGGTGAGGCTGCGTCCAAAATGCGTTTGTTTCAATCGAATACAATTATATAATCAAGAACCGAATAGATCTGTCAAATGCGGTTCTCGAGGGATAAACATATTCGCAGGTCATCAAGGACCATCAAAAGTCCAACACGCGCTGCTTCAACTGATCCTATCCGAAGCCTGTATATGTCTCCACATTATAGACACTAATCCTCTCAATTGCTATCATTATTCCTTATACTCGGTCTCAAATTTTTGAGTTTTATGATACTCCATCATGGCTTCTTCTGCTTGTCCACTTGCACCCACCGCATTTAATTTTCAGTGGTAGCTGCAGCGTTTGATGCCTCGAAACCGTGGCTACATATATATGTGTCTCAGAAACTGGCGAGAGGGTTATGAGGAGCAACGGCGTGGCTTGGCATGGAAAAATGCTTACGAGAGTTTGGTTTAAGAAATGAAAGGAGAAGGATGCTGTGTCACGGAGGAGATCATTGTTGTGTGCCTGCGGAGGGGCATTAATCTCCACGCTTTTCTTACGTTGGAGGAAAACGGATACAGAGGACTGGTTTGAGATCTGAAGAGTAAACTGGGCTTTCTGACAAGTTCTGGCTATCTTGTTTTGACTGGAGTTGTTGTTGAAGTGTTGAGCATCTTTCTTGCTAGAATTGAGAAGAAGGGAAAATGAGGGGAAAGCGCTGAGGGCAAGGAGTTGAGCGATAGAGGGCTCATTATGAGAAGTTGTATGCCGGAACAGAAATATGGCACATGAAGATAGATGCGAGATTGTTTAGAAATGATGTTGAATAACGACCTTGAAGCGGTTTGATTGTCAACATTGACATTGGCACTTTGGAAGGTAGCGAACATGTGACTTTCGCTTGTTTACTTCCAGACAGTGTTGACCGTGTCTGGATATCAACAAGTCAGCATCATCGCCGAATCATCACGACATCACGACACCAAAGCACCACAAAATATCACGTTACATCAAGATGTCCACTAAACGCGGCGATTCGAATTTGATGACTGAAGAAAAGAGAGCGAGGTTAAGAGCGAAGAGAGGCAGAACCACCACTGCGGATCTCCTTCCTCCCTTCCCCCCCCCCCCTCCTCCACCTCCTCAGCCCCGTCACACTCACCATCTACTCTATCCCCATCCATCATCAGGCCTCGTCGGCTGTCGTCTGATGTTGTTTCTTCTGGTGTTGAATGGCCATGGGGTAATTTTCTCTTTCCATTTTCTGCCACTTCAAGCCCGTATCTGCTACAACATACGCAGGGTTGCTTCATTATCTCAGCTACATTGAAGACATCCAAGAGTTTTTTTGTTCTTGACTTGAATGCTCAATATCATGGGACTGGGACAATAACTAATATCACCCAGTGTCATCCAACCGCATGCCCCTCGTCCCCGGCTCTCCCTCGCCCAACTCAACATTCATTGTCGATCGAGTCCTCCCCGGTTTCGTTCGGGTCTCCTATCCCGTGCTAGCAAGCACACTCTGTCCCACCGCCACCGAAGGAGAGGAAGGAAAAGAAGGAAAAGAAGAAGAGAAAGCAGAAGGACAAGCAGAAGAGAAAGCAGAGGACAAGCAGAAGGAGCGAAGAGAAATAGGAAGAGGATGACTCGGAATCGGAAAGATGGTTGAGACGGGAGGCGGAGACTGAGGAGAAAGCTAGGGCGGAGAGGGCACTGAAGATGAGTATGGAGTTGTAGAGAATTTTAAGTTTCAAATAGAAAAGGGATGATTTTTGGTCGTGTACTTGATATAGTACGGGAAAAGGATGAGTTGAAAAAATAGTTGGGAAAACCAGCCTGGGTCTAGCATACCTAACTCGGGAAATGTTAGGTACTTCTATGCCACGATCATAGCATTCTCCTTGTGATCGAGGACATCAATTGGTATTTTGATAGAATGAACAGCGTCACTCCGACTCTTGACATCTCCTCACAGTTCTAAGCTACCACGCGTAGTCGGATGCCGTGAGTTCCCCTCTTATCAGCAACCTCTTTCTGCCAGGCTAGCTCTCATGGTCGGCAATTTATGACAGAAGCGGGGGTCATCTAGTGCTGCCATTGGGGCACTGTAAAAGGCACAAGTTTTAAAGAGAAGCTACTGACATATATACCATGAGGCTGGCATCGTCCGTGGTTCATCGCCAAGGTACGTGCCTTCATTGAGGCACAGTATTATCTTGGCATTTAACGAAAACTGTTCCCTGGTGAAGTATGCTTCGACGAAAAAGTGCTTCGACTTTATTGTAGGATATCACTACAATCTTTGAGTTACTTGGTGGCGGTGTGCTAGTTACCAACCTCTACATGCACAAGCACTTTCCAGTCCATGAACAATCGTTAACCCAAATGCAGGTCACGCTCAGCACAGCTTCAGTCATCTACTTCGCCCCACCTTTTTAATCACGTTTTGTATATATTACATGGCACGATTGTTATGTAAGCTGAGCGACAACACATTCATATTTCAGGCAACATTGGACTTCGTTTCCAGATTGCTCTTCAGCCAACACAAAACCATCACTCTCGGAACAGAATGCTCGATCCGTTGACTGCTATCAGTCTTGCAAGTGCAGTTGTACAATTTGTCGACTTTAGTGTGAAGTTGGTATCAGCAGGCCACGAGCTGTATGACAAGGGCAGCCTTGCGAACAATGACGAAATAGAGCAGATAACCCAGGATCTTGCCCATTTGACTGAAGAGCTCGGAGCCGATCGTCCAACTCCGGCAAAACAGCTATCTCAGGATGAAATCGCTATCAAGCAGCTAGCCTCGTCGTGTAAAGAATTGGCCGACGAGATGTTGGAAGTCTTGACGACCCTGAAACTTCAGAAGCCAGAAAGTGGACTGGAGACAGTAAGGAAATCTTTGCGAAGTATGAGGAACAAGGGAAAGATCCAAGACATTGAGAAACGCTTGGGGAAGATTCGTGATGAGTTGAATCTTCGACTCACAGCTATTCTGAGGTGAAACCATCTCCTTCACATATATCTTCGGCGCTGATTCTCGACAGTAAGAAGCAATCTGGGGTATTTGCTTTACTCCAAGATCTGAGTGACGAGAATAAACGTTATCAATCAACCTCTACGCTCAGACTGGAGTTGCTACAGTCTCAGCTTCTGACGGTCCTGGAAAGTCAGAAGAAATCTTATGCAAAAGCTCAAGATCTGGAGGCTATTTCAGCCAGTTGCCTGTCATTGGCGGAAGAGGGGACGCATGTAGCAACCGCCCAGAAAATTCTCAGAAGCTTGCATTTCAAGACCATCAAAACACGGCAGGTCAATGTCAAGACCGCACACCCCAAAACGTTTGAGTGGATTTTCAGAGATGCTGAGGATGCCCGAAAGTCTCAAACAAGATTCAGAGAGTGGATGGGTTCAGAGTCCAAGAATGGAATATATTGGATTTCTGGGAAAGCTGGATCAGGAAAGTCAACACTCATGAAATTCTTGATTAGCCATCCGAGCACGCTCTCACTTCTAGAGTCATGGTCTGGCAAGCAGAAGCTTGCTATTGCCAGCCACTTCTTCTGGAGCTCGGGCAATGCGATGCAGAAGTCGCAGGAAGGGTTGCTGCAGTCCCTTCTGTTCCAAATCCTACGCGAATATCCGCAGGTCATAGAGCCATGTTGCCTAGATAGATGGCATGCATCAGATCGTTATCAAGATGACCCGGATCCTTGGACGGTACAGGAGCTTTCCGACTGTTTCACTAGGCTTGTCGAAGAGCCAAGAGCACCGAAGATATTCCTTCTAATCGACGGCCTGGATGAGTATGACGGGGAGCATGTTGATCTCGTTAATGTGCTTCAAAAATTGAACGGATCACCCAAGATCAAGATATGCGTTTCCAGCCGGCCTTGGAACGTCTTTGAAGATGCATTCGGAGGTAATGCAGAGCAGACACTCCGCCTACACGATTTCACAAGGGACGATATCACGCGTTGTGTGAGTGAACAACTGGGCGCAGACGCTCGCTTTAAGAAACTGAAATCCGAAGATCCTCAGTACCTTCAATTGGAGAAAGATATTGTCGACAAGGCAGAAGGAGTTTTCCTCTGGGTCTTCCTAGTCATTCGGGCACTTCTGCGAGGTCTGACAGACGACAACGACATTGAATTTTTGAAGGAGAGACTTGATACCCTACCAGCTGGGCTAGAGGAATATTTCACAAAGATTCTAAGCACTATCGAACCTGTCTACCAGGAACAGACAGCGCGCATATTTCAAGTCATGGTACACTCCACACAGGATCTCTCTGCGGTGGGCCTTCAGTTCCTAGCAAATGAGAAGAAGGATCCCGATTACGCGCTTCATGAGAAGCCCCCGTTCGTGACCGCCGAAAAGGTCAATACCGTATCAGTAAGGATGCGAAAGTATGTCAATGCCAGATGCAAAGATCTTCTCGACGTCGCCATCATGCCACTCGACGACGAGGATCTTTTCTCTTATCGCGTGGCCTTCCTCCACCGCTCAGTTCGAGACTTCCTTGCGACAAATGAAATGTATAATTTGCTCAGAAGTCGAACGGGGATTGACTTTGACGCAAGGGCATCCCTGTGCAAAATGACTCTGGCAGAAATTAAGACAACTTGCTATATTCCACATACGGGTTCTGATAAATTATCCCTTGATACGCTCGGAAGTTTGATATACGGGTTCTTCAATTACGTACGAATAGCAGAGAGAAGCCGGGGAATTTGCGACGTAGCACTGATAGATGAGCTTCATGATATCTTGAGGAGATACCAGAGTTTCCATGGAGAGAAACTTGTTGAAATGATTCCAGCATACCGCTATCCGGACAACGAGCCAATCGTTGCTCTTGCGGTCGAGGAAAGCATTCTGTCCTATGTCCGAGACAAGCTGACTCTCTGTCCGCAATTGATTTCCAATAGCGTCAATTTTTCTCTGCTCGATCATGCTACTACTCTCCCAACATTAGGCTTTGTGCTTGGAAATGTACATTCCACCAGAAAATTGGACGTCGAGATAATTGCGTTTCTTCTGAGCCATGGAGCACGGCCTAACAGAAAAGACCCCCAAACCCACCGCTCGACCTGGGACCGTTACTTGAAGCAGTGGTATGAAGACAGTTCGGGTTTCACCCAAACTCCAAGTCGTACCTTGTTAGATATAGTAATACTGTTCATTCAAAACGGGGCCGATCCAAACATCGAGGTTGCGACTGAAGGCAATTACAAGAAACATGCTACCAAGGGGAAGTGGGGTCGACCACGGACAATCAAACTTCCCGTTCCATTAAAAGACATCTTGGAGGCAAGGTTGACGCCCTCAAATCTTGCGCTGGTTAACAGAGTTCTGGAGGAGAAGAGAAGGTTCTCTATGTGGAAATGGATTGGTTGGGAGTGAGTCAATGTCATCAAAAGTATCCAGGACTTGACATATTTCCGAATTATTCAAACGTCTATGTGGCCTTGCAACGAAAGGCACGCCATACTGTACCTTGGATTAGACACACCGAAATAACGACACGAAGCAAGGACACTGCCAAATGATAGTGCAGATCTCAAATAATAGTGGCATTGAGGAGGTTTAGCTTTGGGTGAGCTTGGACGACACGAGGACTCCTTCATCATAGGTGAAATACAGAGCATTCCTGATTTTCACCTCCCCGCGTCAGACGTCCGTCACTGCACTCGTAATCAGAGACCTGAAGTCGCTTAATTCAAAGGAAGACTTAAGAGGAAGATACACAAGGAAGAAGAGCGTTAGATATTCAGTAAATCCCTAAAATAATATACTTTTAAAAGACATTGATCAAATAAATTATTGACTACATTATTCAATAAACAATATACTCATGTTAAAGCCTAGAGTAGTTCATATCTTACGCTTTACTTAGCCAAAGATATACAATCCAAGTACACCCCACTCGTGGTCTTCAACTTTCGAAAAGGCAGCACGCTGCGATATGAAGAATATATCGATTCTTGTAGATCCAACCTTGATGCCTGTTTAAATGTATTTATTCCGTCGCCTACCCCAACTTCTACTCTTACTACGGTTTTTTTTTTTGGCAATCACGGACTGCACTTTTCGCAGACACTGTCTGTAATTTGTCTACGATTCTCTAAAGGTAAAACTGCAGACGTTTTGCAGACATTTTGCAGAGAGTGAGTTAGTGATTGCACAATAACTCCCTCAAGGCTACAGATGCCTTGCACGAGCTCCCCATCTCTATTAAGTCTATCCCATCATGCCCACTGTCCTAGGCTTTGAAGCTACCATAGCCAGGGGAAGTATTAAGTAGCTTGAAAATACAGCTTCAAAACACTATTTTCATTAAATATTACAAAAGTTTATTGTTTGGGTAAATCTTCTCCTTGGCAATTTTGTTATTTTGGTGACGGGTCGGGGAATTCTACCTAAGATCTTGAATAAACCAAAAAGATAATAGAAAGAAGAAGACGCCTCATTCTATCAAGTTCTGACTTGCTGTACGAGCCTCACATACCCGCGAATCAAAGCCTCTTCTTATCAGAAGGAGAAATGGGAACCAGTGTCTAGATGCAAATCCATATCAAAACTCCCATAGTCATCGTAACTCAGCTCAAAACTTACGGTCTGCTTCTCTAGCCTAGTGAGCCAAAAAGAGTGAGCATATTCTAGACAGTTCTCAACAGTACTGCATCGCACCATCGTTTCTTAATTCCCGTTTGCATAACCACGCCGAGTCCTCATTCTCGCCCAGGAATTGCTTATACAGAGGATTCTGACGGGCCCTTCTCGTAGCAAAGACTCCTAAACTTTTGAACGTTATGGATTCCGGACATTGAGATGAGTTTCTCTGTTGTGATTCCAAAAACAAATCTGAGAAATAATGTATGTCGAGGCGGTAGGCACACCGGAGACCGGGAGCGCATAGCTACCACGAAACCCGGACAAGTCACAATTATCTGGTCAAGGGCATGACTAGTCCACCTCGGCATAGAAACCATCGCATTCAGTCTATCTCGCATAAGTAGCATCTATCGCTACGCCATCAATCTATCTTCAAATCAAAATCATCGTATCATCTCACATAATCATCGTCATCTCCCTCCCGTACTCCATTCCCAACGTCACTGTATCCGCAAAAGCTCAAAGCTTCGCCAACACAGCCTCAGCGCTGCTCACAGAGACCTCGCGCCCGGGCTCCTTCTCGGCATACACGATCTTGCCATTATCGATGATGAGCGCATATCTCGCAGTTCGCTCGCCTAGAGTCCAGCCCAACTTCTTCGAGAACGCGGCGTCGACGTCGGAGAGGAAGAGCTGTTTGCACAAAACCATTAGCCAATGTTTCTCATGCTTTCATTGCGAACCCAATCTCCGCTCTTCCAACACCGGCAGCCTTCCACCCTCTTCTGACTGGGATAAAGAATTTGTGGGAGAAACGTACAATATCATCATTCTTAATCCCATTCGCCTTGCTCCACGCACTCATCACAAAAGCATCGTTATACGCAATCGTCGCCACAATATCAACGCCCTTTCCCTTGATTGCAGTGAGGTTCTGGATGTAGCCTGGGAGATGCTTTGCGGAGCAGCCCGGGGTGAAAGCGCCTGGCACGGAGAAGACGACGACTTTCTTGTTGGCCCATTCTAGTTGTGGTGGGTTTTGTCAGCTGTGAATTTTACGAGAAAGAAGGTGGGTGTTCTTCTTTGCATTTGCCTGGAAATGTGGGCATGTGGGCATGGCGGGGTGAGGTGAGGTGCGGGGTAATTTTTTCTGATGGAAAGTTTGTAGAAAAGAGGATTGCGAGATGAGGGAGTATGGAGAGGAGGCAGGAGAGGAACTATCTACCTTTGCTGGCATCGTAGTTGATGGGAATGCCACAAGCTGTGATTTCGCTGCTCTCCGGGGTGTACGGGACGTAACTGAAGGTTACGCCTGCAGGGAGGGAATCACCGAGCTTGAGTTCTGCTGCCATTTTGATCTTTTGATTGTAGATATGCGTAAAATTGATTTGCAGGAAGTGAGAGTCTTGGACCGGAAAGTGCGGAGAATTTGATTGTATTTTGGTGTTGAAGTTGATGAGGTGTCGTTGAAGCTTCGAGAAGAAGAGGACCCTAAAGCTTTAAGTACCGCCCGGTACCGCGCTAATAGTGGGGTCCGATATCCCCTTACTCCGATCTTGATCTCGTTCCTGACTACCAGAATCACTACAAAATAGGGACAATTCCGGAAATAAACTACAGTATTTTTCTTACTCCTTCTAACCACAAGTACATCCATCAAACATCATTCTCAATAATCAATATCTCACTCCCGAATCTAGATCCCTTGCCACCCCTGCATCCGGCACATCTGAAAACAAATCCTTGGCTCGGAATAGCGTCATCGCCGGAATTGCTGACTCAACCTCGAGATTCTAGACTGTCTAGAACGTGACCCGAAATGTCGACGTCCCCCAAGAGCATCCCGCGGGATCTGGTGCTGACGACGACCAATGCAAATACTCGGCGCTTGATTAATCCCGGGCCTTGGAGCATATCGAGCTCATGTCGAAGCCTGCGTCCGAAGGAAGGAAGTTTTACTGGTGTCGGCAGCAACGGCTTCTTCCCGTCTGCAGCTGGATGACACAGCGAGCACCTGCGAACCGTCTGCCTCTAGCAAGTCTTAAGAAAGAAGATTTGACGATTTATTTCTGAGGGTAGACCAAGCTGCCGAGATTGTTTACCGGTTCTAGGAAGCGCCTATCAAGACGTCAACAGGGAAAGTCCGTGGAAGTAACTCTGGAGAAGAAGGCAATACCGAGAATCCGCCGTCTGTTTACTGATCGGGATACCTCTGAAGTCCTAAAGGCTCTCTTGTCAAAGGGAAGGCGCGCGAGATGTTCAGATCATCAGGATATAAAGCCCACTCGACCTTTTCTTCACTTCTCTCGTCCTCTTCCTCAGCTGCCCGGCCATCACATATCTCACACAGACTTCAACCACTCTCACTCTCACTCACTATCCGAACCCCCCATCAAAACCGCACAATGTCATCCTCCCCCTCCTCTTCGTCCCCCGCAATTAAACCACCTCTTCCACCATTCACTCGCGCCACAGCCATTCAGAAAGTCAAAGCCGCGCAGGACCTATGGAACACGCGTAATCCTTCGCTGGTGAAGAATGGATATACGCCAGATTCGATATGGCGGAACCGAGATACGTTCTTGAAAGGAACGGATGAAATTGTGGAGTTTTTGACGAAGAAATGGAGTGTTGAGAATGGGTATAGGTTGAGGAAGGAGTTGTTTGCTTTTACAGATGATAAGGTGGGAGCTCCCACAACCAACTAGCCTAACCATTGAAGAAACATAAACTTTGCGAGAGAATCGTATAGGAATTAAATTTCTGACTTGATATTCCTTTAGATCGCCGTCCAGTTCTGGTACGAATGGCACGATACCACTGGGCAATGGTGGCGGACGTATGGTCTTGAAGACTGGACGTTTGCACCTGATGGACGCATGAGGAAGAGGCAGATGAGTGGGAATGATGTCAAGATTAAGGAGGGAGAGAGATGGTTCAAGGATGGTGTGGATGTGAATGAGGTTGTGATTGGAGAGGAACATTGGTAGTGTCTGGGGAAGAGATATAAGAGAGTGTGAGTTGGAGATGATGGCGGGGTTTGAGGAGGTCGAGATGAAGCCAGAATAGAGGAATTGAAGAGACTGGAAAGAAAGGACGATAGCTTCAGTTGATAGGACCTGTTGGTCTGCGATGCATTACATGAATAAAAGCATTTCTTTCGTCTTGTTGCTAGTACCTAATGAGTGTTAATTGACGTGCCAAAGAAGCCATCGAACATGTTTCACATGACTCCAGATACCTGCACGTTCAAGCGCCACCGTCATGCTCTTAGCTACTTGTGATCGTCGAGTAGCTTTCTTTTGGGCAGAGCCCAGCTGCAGGGACCCCGTATCGGGTGTCTCCTCCACCAAGGCAAGAAGGGATCGTCGGGCCGTGTAACCAACCTCAACAGACGGTGTAGACAACTCGATTGGGTGTCCGTTCCTGTTTGCTCGTCGATAGGACGTTACTCGTCCCATAAATGCGACGTGGTTCGTTGAGAGAGCTCTGTTGGGTTCCAGCATTCTGTACACTGCGCTGCTTGGTCGACGCACGATCAGTGGCATCGAGCTTGCATGAACCCTCGGCACAGGCATCGATCTGAAGCTTCTTAACTAGTCGTTAGCTTAAACTCGAAAGTACTACAAACGAAGCGACGGCCCGAATGCACGAGCTGGGATGTTGGCTCCGGGGAGAAATTCTTCATGAACACGAGCAGTACTGACTTTGTCCTCCAACGTTGTGTTGAAAAGTCCGTGAGGCTGCAGGAACACCATTTAACCTCCTCATTCTGAGACATTGGTCATGGAAACTTTGATCTTTTATATGGAGGCAACATCCGAACGGAACTGGTCATGCTGTCCAAGGTATCGCTCGTGTGGTGCAGATGCCGTGTGGGACGAACTATAAGTAAATCGAGGTTGGCTCCCGTTGTTGACCTCGCAGAACTACGAGGGGGAGGGGGCGTAAGGAAGTGTATCTCATATTGTCCATTCGGTTCGATGCATTAGAGTACGATGGGGTTGAAACATGACCTCCACTTCGCTCTCGAGAACTAGTCAAGTAAGTGACGAGAGGTATTTTCAGGGTCAACTCCTCAAGGTTGATTCGTAATGCTACTCTATTTCAACAATACTCGCCGTCGAATTGTCGCTGATGACAGCAGTGTTAAAATATCGAGTCTGTGAGAGGACTTGAGCCTGGCGACTATCTTCCATTGAAAAGATCAGATCAGGGATCGTCCGTGGCAAGCCCTATCCAGGTAATGCTGTGGCCCGTTAGGAGTCTGGAAGAGTCATACAAGATCTCTCATGGAAACAAGTATTCCATGCCTGAACCCTAGACGATCGTGGTTGTCATCCCAGGCGCGTGTTGTACTAAACGCCGTCGAGTAGACAAGTTTGGTTCGCACCCGGCTTTGGTGTTTCGCAGATGTGCAAAAGGGTGATGGGGACGATTGATGACTGCGCATGTTTGTGAGTCGTGGAAATCATGCGACACTATGGATTGAGAACATTCCGATACTAAGTGCCGTCATATCTTTACTGGATGTCTCAATTGCTCCTAGGAGAAAGATCAGGCTCTTCGTCGAGGTAAAGGAAAGGTGAACTCTGGAGGAAGCTAAGCGAGAACGCTAGCCTAATCATATCTGATCACGGCCGCCCCCTCGATCCTATCCCACGTCCTTTTCTCGCAAATACAACCTCAAGATCGACTTCACAAAAATACAGAGCTCCAACTTACATCCACAATGTTTCCATTGAGGATAAAGAACACCAACACCTCTGCAGCAGAGTCTTATGGCACTGTTGACATTGAGCTGGGAGACAGGCGTGAGAGCACTGCACGCCGTTCACTCACTCCCACTTGTGATCTCGCTGAGATGACCTCCAGCAAGCCACATGACAAGATTACTCTGCTGAACACACTCAAGAACATTCTCTTGTTTCGCAAGCCTGGCTATAGCCCCTCTCCTGCCGCCCTGAAGGACTTCCAAGATGAGATGGAGCGTCGACTGAAGCTGAAGAGCGCGTCAGCTGGAGGCAATGGCGTTGGAAGAAGCGCAAACTGCTACAAGGTGATCTCGATCCATCCAAGCTCAATCCCTGAAGACATCTCCTTCGATAGAATGATGATTGGCGCGACCTTCCCAGTAAGTTCTAGCCTCCCTCTCGTCAGTCAAGCCAGATCGGAGACTGTGTTCTCTTCGGACTCTTACTGACGTCAAAAGCCAATCAATATGACTGGTTTCAAAGCCTTCCTGACCAATATTGATTACAATGTGGAAAACTTGGATTTCCTGCTCTACATTCAACACTACACCAAGCTGTTCGAGGCTGTTGCCGACGAAGAAAGGGCGGCATTGAGCCCACCATGGACTAAGAAGGATGAAGAAACTGCAAAGAAAGCTATAATCAACATCAACAGAACTAATCACAAGTCATCTCCAAGTATTTCCATGCCTCAGTCGAATTTGCCCACTCCACCAGGCTCATCTGGCGACGAATGCTCAGTCGAAGACCTGAAGTATGAGGAACGTCACTCAACCCCTCCCAGAACAGCAGATGGAGGTAGACTTGCATTAATGGGTAGAAGTATGTCCGATGCTGATATGGACTCTATTGCGCCATTTGCCAAACATGCTAGTCAACACCTTCATCGCGAAGAGTCTAACACAGAGCATGCTGAAGTCGGACCAGAGCTTCCTAGTATGTATCCCTCTACAACTTTTCCTGCTATATCTAACTTGTCAAGTCTCCGTAATGAACCTCTGGAAAGAAAGCCAACGAATTGCAAATGCCTTCATCCTCCCCAACGGACCCAAACAACTCAATCTCTCGAGCCGTGAGCGTGAACTTGTCCTCTATGCAATCGCACGCAACAACCACCCCACCTCCTTCTCCGTTGCCCTTCGAGCCGCAGACCACGTCCTCCGCAACGACAGCTACCCCAAGTTCCTTCAGCTCGCTACACCCAACATGAACCGCATCCGTCAACTCTTCGCATATTCCATGGGCTACCTCTGCATCTTCCTCGGAGTCGCCTACGCAGGCGTAATGTCCATGAGCAAAGCCGAACGAGAATGGCGCCTGTTCGCAATCCCTCTGATCGTCCTTGGAGTTGCAACTCTCTATGCAGCCCGTCGCGGTATGTGTCTCGTCCTGCACAGTCTCGGCCACTATCAAGTCAAGCCATGGGAGGTCTACGATCCAGAACATGCCGAGCGCGCACACGCCAACCCTGAGGTCTTCCTAGGAGGCAAATATAAGAGCGAGAGTCGGGATTGGGTTCAGCGGTATAATCGTCGATATGCTATGCGCAAGATCTTTGACAAGGAGGCACCTGTTGAGGAACCTCGTATTAGAGATGCTCAGAACGTTATTTTCGGACAGGGTTTGTTTACGGGTTTCTTGGCGAGTCTTGTTGTAATGGCTGTCTTCATGTCGTTGCCACCTGCGAATGACTTCTAGTCCGCCAATATTATGGCCTTAGAAGCTATGCTGAAATGATGCTTTGGGAGATGCATATAAATTGCTGTTGGGATGGCATTCAAAATCATACACGAGACCTTTACGATTCGATGGTCGAGCTGACAGATGTATTTTTTGGTCTTGCACCTGGCTGCTCGAAAGGCTAATCTGGATTTCATTGGACGTACGTGGGGAGGATATTTGATGCATACCCAATGATGGATGTCTGAAAATGCTTATACCCCTGTATTTAACTTTGCGATTGTCTGGAATATCTACCTTTTTCTGTTTGCTTTGGCTTCCTCCATTTTGAATTACCTTGGCTGGCGCCGGCACATCCCCGTGGCCTTATTATAGGATGTCCCGGATGAAGAAGCAAATAGCCAGTTTTCACGTAAGAGTAAAGCACAATGTGAGCGTCATTCCAACTCAAATTATTTTGTATCTACGTGTCCAGGTTCAACTGCGACAATAGCAAATCCACCTGGAGCGAAAGAAAAACAGCATAGCATGTTAATCCTCAATCCATATCCCACCCCCATCCTCTCACTTGGCATGTACCAAAGTCCACCATATCGGATTTATGTCTCCCTAACCACAGCAACGATACTTTCTGGCACCTTCCATGACGACTTCTCCTCCTTCCATCGCACCATTCTCTTCTTCAGCATTGTGTCAAAACGCTCCATCTCAACGTCCGAGAGTTTCAACGCTCTAGCCTTGCTTGCCAAGTCCTCAAACTCATATTGTAGCGTCAAATCTCTGCCAGACAGGATAGGATGAGAGCTTCGGCGGGCAGTCTCGTCAACAGACTTGTCGACGGGATGGGTCGGAATGACATACAGTCGTTCGACCGAGTCAATCTGACTTATAAACCAAGGGAAATCCATGAAGCGTGGCCACCCGAGGAACGTGGTAGCCGGGAGACAAAAAGCAATATTCTTCACCCCGACAAAACTTGTAGCTACCGCATGAGGTTGATCATAATCGCGATCGGGGTTCGGGTTCACCAGCAACGGAGACAGCCATTTCCCCGACGAGTTCACATCGCTCCAGAACAAAATGACATCTCTATCAGGATTGAGTTGTATTGTCGGCCTTCCAGTATTATGCGTCCATTTAATATCTAGTCCGTTTGTCGAGTGGTCTTCGAGCTTGATGGAGATATGTGGTATCTTCAGCATGGCGGCTCGAGAATCGCGGCAGGCGGTTAACAACCCCGAGGGTGTGTAGTTGCTTTTGAACGCTAATATGTATTGGACTGTGAAGCGAATGTCTGGTGTTGTGGCTTCCACTTTGATGATTCGAGGGCTCTCGCTTGCGTGCTTCCAAATCAGGTCTTGGAGCTCCTTGGCTAGGTTCACGAACAGGGGAAATTCTTTGATAGGAAAGGTATTCGTGCCTGGAGCTTGAGGCTCTGCATTTCCAGAGTTGATAGAGGTTGCACCTGGGGTTGCATTTGGGGCTGCATTTAGGGTTGCATCTTGAGGCGTAGTATTGGAATTGTCCTCATTGTTAGGCGTGTTGCTCAACTGAAGTCTGCTGAACTCCTCCCCTAGGTTATTGCATTTGAGGTTTGTTTGTTGTTCCATTGTAACAGCTGCTTTCAGCATGGTTAGCAATTGTCTGAGACCCACGTAATCAGATGGCTGTACCTTGTGCTTCTTCGCCTTTGGGTTGTGCGCAAGTCTTGGTGGTCGATTTATTAAAAAATGTTGCCGAGACTACTAGTTCGGAATCCGCTATTCGAGAGAGCGAGGTGTGGTCGAAATATCAACGGTTCGGAGTCTTGAATGACAGCAAGGTGGGTTATATAGAAGTCTGGATGAAGTGGCTAGAAGTTAACTCATGATATTCCTATACAATGACTCAAATGCGACATTATAGTCTTGAAATTAGATTGTGAATCGTAATTTAGGACTGATAAGATTCCATTTCGAATTAAGGTCAACATCGTTCTGAATGGTCCAGGCTGCCGAAGCTGACTCATTCACTTGAATATTCTCACTGAGGCAAGCCAAGTATCTAAGCCCTAGCTCGCCTTATACATTACCAGACCCTACTAAAGCAAATAATTCGTGTTCCTATCACGCGCTGCCTTGATATCTGACATTGTTTCCAGGTGCAAGTGACCTGTGTTGTTTCTCCACTTTTTAGCCGATAAACAACGCTAGCAAACTTTAGTGCCTCTAAGGACCCTGACGCGCTGTTACCTCAAGGACATGGAGAAACGGGAAACTATACACAAACACAAAGCCTGGACAGTAAGTAAGCTGAGATTTGAATTGTTGTTATCCAAGCTGTTAGGATCGTAGCTGCTATGATGGACGACGCGAAATGTGGTAGTGACTCGAGAGGACAAGAGACTGATGTCCCAAAATCCGAAATGAACTTCAGTCATGCTCTCGAGGCTGGTATGTTTGGCCCTTTATTGATCTTATCCTATGGAATCTTTCACTAATGAATATACATTGAGTAGGTTGCGATACTGTTCCAGGATATGCCACAACTCAGCATCCCATATCTACTGCAGCTGGTGAACATGGCAAAAGATAGACGCACGTTCGCGCAAGGCGTGCTCTAACATTTTTTTTTTTTTTTTTTTGAAGCGGGAGCCTCCACTCAACCAGCTCTGAGTCCAAACACGGATTCGGTCACCAAGACAAGTTCAGAAGAAACGCAACCACATAACCACAGATCTCAACATCATCCTCCTCCTTCGATACACTCGGCCTCAAACTACGGACCGAGATTTGGAAGAAGAGCTTCTCTGAACCTGAATTCGTCACCTTGTACCTCGTGTAGAACCAGCGACTGGGAGTGCGCTTTCGGAGTTCCTGGAGAGGATGTAAAATGAAATTTGGTATCTCCATGAATCAGCTGACCTGACGAACACTAGATTCAGTTTCTGGCTACGCAGCCAGACACCTTCATCTTCCTTCTGCCACACCGTCAACAGCTCAGCCTTCTTGTGAAAAAAAAGACCTGCAGCAGATTTCCTTGTGCCCTTATGACACTTTGCTCCATACTTCGGGAACTTCCGATCCCCCATGTACCAGCTAGCTGACGCCGCATGGAGTTTGGATATGCGGCTGAGGCAGGGTCGGCGCTGACATCGAGAAGAGATCCAGGTGTCCAGTTTGCGGTGCAGCAATCGATGATTAGGAGAGTGGAATGCGAGCTCCATCCCATCTTATTGGCGAAGCTGGGAAAGATGTAGCTTGAGGTTGCGGGGTACGTGCTACGGCCGCTTCGGCCTGGTACGATATGGACATGACTCAGTGGTTGGAAGGTTTGTTCTTTCCCAACAAATGTTGCTGCAGGAGCTGAGGACAAATTGAGTAGTAGCTGATCACTTGATACCATTCGCATTCATCGAGTTTAAATGCAAGACCTTTATATCATCGTGTAGCTGCCAGGTAGGGTGAGCTTTATTCTCGGTCTCGGGTACCGGCCGGCCGGAAAGGCAGCCGGGCCGGCAATGCAAACAAACCTCCTTTCTAGACGAGGGTGCGCCTTGACTCTCCAGAGACTTAATCTGGAACTCTCTTTATGGTTCAAACTCTCTCGGGTGTCAAGCTCAACCAAACATAAACAAGACGCGACGACTTCTTGATATACCTGTTGGTCGGAGCGGGAGAATGGAGATGCATATTTGCCAGCATCTGGAATGCATAAATCTCGAGAGTACGATATGCGGAATCTGGCCGCGCATAGATTGCCTTGCTTATTGCTTATTGCTTATTGCTTACTTGCCAGCAAAAATAAAATAAAACAGTCAGGTTCAGCCTGTTTGAGGATATTGGAGATTGCTTAACCAAAGCGAGCGAGGAAATCCGAGGCAGCAGATGGATCGAAGATGGAACTGGCAAGTTTCCTGACCTTATCCACTCAGTAAGCTAAGGTACACATAAATAAATGCCTCAGACCAAGGGACGCTGAAGGAAGGTTTGCTCCGATCACCAGCAACCCCCGCGATGATCGGAAAGTCAAAGTGGGCATCTCCCGAGACGCACAGTCCGTATCCGCGGGTCCAGGCTGCTGTAAGGCCTGGGCGGGCGACGCTGTGGCCTATCAGTCCAGTGGACGCTGTCACTAGCCGCTACCATCCTTGTTTTTCGAAATTCCCACTGTGACAGAACATGGCATTCAAGGTTTCTCGATCGCAAAACTTGGCCCGCTTCTGGACAGCTCTGGGATTTAGCTGCTTCGTGTCAGTGGTGTTCATTGGACACGCCGCTGATTTTGTTGCACATGCCTGCGCCACAAGCTATGGGTTATGGGTGGGTATGGGTAAATGGACAAAGACCGGTAAGGTAGGTAGGTAGCAGCCACCTATGGCTGTGACACAAAGGGATCGTGGGGTGCCTTGATGGTCCTTCATTACCTTTCCTTCCTTTCTTTTCGTTGCTACTGAGTGTTCCTGTTCTCCCATGCTGACGACACCGACCTTCCACTTCTCACATTCAACCATTATTCTCTGTTCTCTATCATATTTCTGGGCACCAGATTGATGCCGAAGTGAAGAGAGAAGTATGGGACCATTAATGACACCCACGACAGAGCTTTTCTATGCTTTCATCAATCTGGATGATACTCCTGTGCCGTACGATTTGCCAGAGGAGGATGTGTTCTCTCGCGCTTTCAAACAAGCTACGATAGCACAACCGCAATTCAGAAAGAACGACCTCAACACTTTTACAGAACAGGATTCCCCTCAAGATTCCCCACAGGACCTTGTGTTCGACGACTTTCCTTCTCTCAAAGCTTCGAACCAGTCAGGAGACACTTCTCCTTCTTCAGCCGGAAGCTCTTCAGTGAAACCGTTCTCCAACACAACAAAATATACAACTACTTCCTCATACCAACAATCCGCCAGAAATAGTTCAACCAACTCGCTCCCAGTCGCATTCCCCGATGCAAGCAGCACAACAATATCACAAAATACCTCGCAAGCTCCTGTACCAAATATTTCTACTTCACAACTCGAGGCAGTCGAAACCCCGCAGAGCTACACACAGCCCATTCCCAACACCACACCCATCGTCCCACCTTCTCATCCCCACGAACCCTCCAAACCACCACCCCGACGGCGCAACACCAAACGAAAACAGCGCACCGTAGAAGAAGAAGCCGAGAAGCGCAGGATATTCCTAGAGCGGAACCGGATGGCCGCACAGAAATGTCGATCTAGGAAAAAGCGACAGACGAACACGCTGGAGGACGACCTGGCTGTACAAGAGGAAATAAATGCGAGATTGAAAGGCGAGGTTGCGGATCTGACGGCTGAGCTGCGGAAGTTGAAGGAGGTGTATTTGCAGTGCGAGCAGGAATGTCGACATGCGAAGATGCAGGAAAGTGCTCCCGAGGAAGTTCCGAGCTCAGTAATGAAAGAGGAGGTACTTGAGGATATGGATGTATCATGATTTTCTGGTGGGATAATGGTTGTTTTGGTGTTTTTGGCGTTTGGAATAATTGGATGGGATGGGATTTTGGGTGGATCATTGGATCTTGTCATGTCATGCCACCGGGAACGGGGAACAGGAGAGTTTTCCGGAATGGACAGAAATTATACCCACGAATTGCTGGACTGGTGTCTTTTATGAGACGTACTGTATTTCATAGGAAGGTTTTGAGAAGGGGTGTTGGGGATGCCATTTCAGCGGTGATCGCCGAACCGGCAGTACAGGCGGGAGGGGAGGGGTATTTCCACTCTTTCTCAATATGAGAACCAGAAATTATGAGAGATTTCTTCGATGTTTTCTTCTCATTTTCTTCTGTTTTTTAAATGATTTGCTGTTAAATGTTTCTTCAATCACCTAAAAGGCTCAAGTCTGTGCTTACTCAGCACGCTACTGCATTCCCAAACCAGTGGACGTGGACTTCATCTCAAAATTCATTTTAATTTCACATCTTGGACTTCCAAATGCTTGTCAAGTCAGTTAAATCATATCTCAGAATCAGAAAATCAACGCTGAGTTTCCCCAGCCTACCAAACTTCTCACCCAACATGTCAACAACCCCTCCCACCCGCAGCATCTTCACCAACCCAGCAGCCACCTCATACACCTCCAGTCCTTCCCCAGCAATAACATCCAACGCCATTTACTCATTCCACAAATCCCTCCCAACATACACCCACCCAACCTCGCTCATCCCCCTCCCCAACCTCAACCTCAACCTCAAACTCGCCTCATCTACCAGTACCCATCTCAAAAACCTCTACATCAAAGATGAATCCCACCGCCTCGACCACCTCCCCTCCTTCAAACCCCTCGGTCTCTCCTGGGGGATCCGCAACGGTCTAATCGCCGAGCTCTCAGAAGAAAGCCAAACACCTATCTCACCCTCCATCTCCCTCTCCGATCTCGCTACCCAGGCCAAAGCAGCACAAATGAAACTCATCGCCGCCAGTGACGGGAACCTAGGACAGGCTGTTGCGAGAATAGGTAAGGTTTTGGGCGTAGAGGGGATTAACATCAGGATTTTCATCCCAAGCGAGGCGGATGAGAGGGTGAGGGTGGTTGAGAGTGTGAGGAGGGAGGGCGCAGAGGCGATTGTTGTACCAGGGGAGGGACAGGGAGGGATGGATGAGGCGGTTAGGGAGGCGTGGTTGCATTCTGTGGCTGTGGATGGGGTGATGGTGGGTGTTGAGGAGGATGAGAATTATGAGGATATTCCGAGGGTAAAGTTGCTTACCTTGCCTTACCTTGCCTTACCTTGCCATACTCTCCTTTCTCCTCATCTCATCTCATTGCAAAGATCAGGACGGGGAAATTTGGAAGAAGAAGAAATGAGCTAACGTGTGTGTTTGTGTGTGTTTAATAGTGGATCGTAGAAGGCTACTCGACGATTTTCAAAGAGCTGGATGAGCAGCTGGGGGGAGGTAAACCCCCAGATTGGATTATCGTCCCTATGGGGATCGGAGGCCTCGCTCAAGCTGCTGTGACGCATTATAAAGCCCCGCGCTTATGGGGCCATGTCACTCGTATTTTGGCAGTAGAAGCCCAGACAGCAGCTTCTTTACACACTAGTCTCAAAGCAGGCGAACTCTCCACTGTGGAAGTCGGAGACACGATCATGAAGGGTATGAAATATGGGACAGTTGCCAGAGCCGCGTGGCCGGTCTTGAAGGAGGGCGTGGATGCGAGTGTGGTTGTGGATGATGCGGAGGTGGAGGCCGCGATGGAGAAGCTGGAGAGGGAGGGAGTGGATGTTGGGCCTTGTGGTGGGGCAGTGCTGGCTGCTTTGGAGGAGGTTTTGAAGGATGAGGTGTTGAGGAGGGAATTGGGGATGGGTGAGGATGTGACGATTGTCTTGGTTAGTACAGATGGTTCGGGAGATAGGTAATCAGATCTATTTGCTGTGTTATTGTCTGTGTTTTGTCGTGTGCGGGTTAAGTTCTCCATGTGATATCTATACAGCTTTCTGATGGTCAAATCCATACCATCTTAAAGGTTGAGCGATGATACAGTCTTGAGATTATCAATATAGCAAGCCAGCCGAGGTATGTCGGTCTTCTTCGCAAGGCTGGCCGCCAGCCCATTGATGCCATTCAATCTGTAAGTCAGCATGCAATACCCGATAAATACACACGTTTATGCATTAATCAGAAGAAAAACACATAAGTCATGGAGTAACGGCAGTAACATCGAACGGTTCCATTGTTTGACGGAATATTTAGATAAGAGCTAGAAAAGCCAGGAAACATGCCAAGGACTAGAAGATTGAGCAGGTAGATAGGTAGAGGTTCGAGGTTCGAGGTGGAAGGTCGGTTGGGTCATGTGATATGGCCAATCACTTGAAATTGGAAGTCCAGCAACCACGTATATTATTATAACAAGCCACTTCCCTTTCTAGTTTTTGGTACTATACGGTGATTCTAGTATATCCGATATCTGATGTTTGGGCTGCGGTGCTGATTTGTTGATTTTTTCCCCTGGTATGTCCCTGTATTTTGAACTGTCGCTTGATACCACCACTTCGCTCCCAGTATTGAGGTTCGTCTGTTCTGAATTCTGAAGCCATAGTCTCAAGACTGACCTGATGGACTCTCATTACATTCTTCTTGTTGAATTCTAAGAAGCTTAACAGTAATTTGGTAGATGTCCTGGCCACTAACGGAGCGATAGTAGTCACGTGACACGACACTATGAAGGGTTTTTCTCTCCTCCATCTTGAGCTTCCCATCTTGCACAGTACAGAGAGATCCCGCTACAACAAAAATACCAGCAAGCTCATCATCCCCGGCATGATGCGAAACAGATAGGGTAATCAATATAAACAGCGTCCTCAGAGCAGACAGAATTGTCCGAGGCACACAAACCCATTTCTAACCGAAGGGCGCCACTCCATCCCATTCTTGCTCCACCCCACAAGAGCCACCGAACCAGAACGTCCAATTGGCATCGAATCCAGCCCCTTGGCACCCGGCATGCTTATCTCTAGGATCCCACAAAACGAGTTTTCGGTACCGGCATCTGACATTTAAAAGTCTTTGTTTGGCTAGACTTGGACCCTGCGACTTCGGGGAAGTAGTTGAAGAGTTCTTGATGCCACTGGAGTCATAAATCACGAACTTCACTCCAACATCTTGGAATCTGTATCGCATCTCTTGGAGAACTACTCTGGTCCAAGGCACAGGCGTTACCAGTCGACGATTATGTTGAACGTTCAGTCACATCCGCCCGAAGTGGGGGCTGACTCACTCGATGTCGAGAAGCACGCAAGCTCTGATGTGGTCGATGCCGTCGACTCAAAGCCACTGTCTATCCAAAGGGAACCAGCATGGCGGACGAAGTTGATTGCACTTGGTATCGAGGAGCGTGGAGTCTTACCTGTTCCTGTCAAGGAAAGGACCAGTGATCGCTTCGTGAATATTTTCTCGATATGGTTCACCATGAGCGTGACGCCACTAGCGTACGTCTCCAACAACATGAGAATATTTACTGTACTGACAAATTACCTCGCAGTATTGTTACTGGAATCCTCGGGACACTCATTTTTGGTCTCAGTCTTAGAGATGCATCCCTCATCACGACATTCTTCGGCATTCTCTGTTCGCTTCCCGTTGCGTACCTGTCAACTCTTGGTCCCAAGACTGGTCTTCGACAACTGATTCAAGCACGGTATAGTTTCGGGTAAGTTGTACATAAACTACCCAATCCAGAATATTTGACTGATCATCTCACAGACTTTATGGTGCCTCACTACTAGTTGTCCTCAACCTCGCGACAATTTCCGGATTCGTAATCATCTCCTCGGTTATTGGTGGTACGACACTTGCAGCTGTCAATCCAGGAACCATCAGTATTGGAGCAAGCATTGGGGTTCTCTCAATCGTCGCACTGGTTATATCTTTTTGTGGGATGAAAGTTCTTCACCAGTATGAAAGATATGCGTGGATTCCTGCGCTCATTGCGATCGTTATTGCGACTGGATGTGGTGGGAAGACATTGACTCAGCAAGCGGTCGTGGAGCCAGGTAAGCATGTTTTGACTTCGGTTTTTTATGGAAGCCGGAATCTTGAAGTCTCAAATCATGATAGAGACAGGGCTGATGTTCCAAATAGCTTCTGCTGGTACAATCGTCTCATTTGGAGGTGTCATTGCAGGCTACCTTATTCCATGGGCAGCACTCGCGTCCGATTTCTCCATCTACATTAGCCCCGACGCGCCATCGTAAGCATCCCTCTCCAAATTTCCCCGATGAAACACTCACAGCCTATAGCAAGCGCATCTTCGCATATACCTATCTCGGCCTCCTCATCCCCACCGTCCTCCTCATCATCCTTGGCGCAGCAATCGGCGGAGCCGTCCCAAGTAACCCAGAATGGGTCCAAGCCTACGAAGACTACTCCGTCGGTGGCGTTCTCGCCGCTATGCTCACCAGCGCCGGCGGATTCGGCAAGTTCGTCGCCGTCATCATCGCTTTCTCCTTAATCGGCAACATGGCTGCATCGCTCTACAGTCTCTCCTTGAACTACCAGATCCTACACCCTATACTCACAAAAGTCCCACGACCTCTCTTCGCAATCTTGACAGTGGCTGTAACAATCCCTGTTTCTATCAGCGCAGCGTCCTCCTTCTTCGCTGCTTTGGAGAACTTCATCTATTTGATTGCGTACTGGAGTGCAGCATTCACGTCTATTGTAATTATAGAGCACGTTGTATTCCGGAAACAGAACTGCGATACTTACGATCATGCGATCTGGAATTCGCCTCAAGATCTGCCGACTGGGTTTGCTGCTCTTGGGGCTGCGATCTTGTCGTTTGGTCTTGTCATCCCGTGTATGTCGCAAGTTTGGTATACGGGGCCACTTGCGGAGACTACTGGTGATATTGGATTTGAAGTTGCGTTGGTTCTTAGTGCTATTTTGTATGTGCCGATGAGGATGTTGGAAATTAGGATTAGAGGCAGGCTTTGAAGCCCTGGTGGTAGTAGATTTTGTGTATAGATTGGTGCGTATATTTGGATCAAACATAATAACTAGCATAAATAGAGTAATAGTCTATATAATAAAGTTTTGGAGACTGCAAAATGAAATGATGGTCGTTGCATGTCTTTAGCTTGATAGTTGGCACATCATGGAGGGATTCTTGATAAAGAATAAAAAGTACCTGATGACCAAGGAGGAACCTGAAAATAATTAAACTTCACAATATTTGCATTACAATAGTGATATGAGAAGTCTGTATATCAATCCGATTTACTGAGCGGGGTCGCAAAGAAACCCACACTTGCTAATCCTTCAAAAGATTCTGTATCTTGCCACTCCACCACCTCCACTACAATCTCCGCCTAAACAGTCTCCGAATTCTCATCAATATAAATCCCAAACCCAGCCTTCGCCAAATTATAACTCGTATCCACAGCCCTACTCCCATAAATCCTCATCTCCCTCTCATACATCTCCGTAACCCCCTCCTTCCACCCACCCGCCTCCACCAGCAGCCTACCCAGCAGCACAGAGTCCTGCACAGCCGTATTCGCACCAAGACCACCCGCTGGCGTCATTGAATGCGCCGCATCTCCAATGACAGTCACTCTTGGCTCGTTGTCCCATTCCGGCACACCGGTAGGAGTTGAGCAGGTTATCTTCCAGAAGGCGGCTTCGGATGTGTTCATTTGGTCGAAAAGGGGCTTGAAGCGAGGGTGCCAGTTGGAGGTTAGGTCTTTGGCGATGTTGGCTGCGGTTTCGCCGATGATGGAGTAGTTGTCGTTTGGGGCTGTTATGACGCCGGGTTCGCCGCCGAGGGTCCAGCCGAATTCTAAGTCGGGGTTGTCCCTAGTTGTGCGAGAGTTAGCAACTGACCAAATATATTAAAGAAAGTGTTGAGATGTGTGTATAAACAGTCTGAAGAGAGGATTTGAGATGTATGCAATGCTCACATATCACCAGACCGAACATTCGTCATAATAAAGATCTTTCCCTTCGGATTGGACTCATCCGTAATCCTAAAAACACCCTCCCCAAGCCCCTTAAAAGCCGCCGTCGGAGCCTGCCCATGAATCGCCCTCGCTCCAGTATCATAAACTTTCAAGGCCCCTTTCGACACCTGCTTAGCGACCTTCGAATAGATCCCTTCACCACCAACAAGCATATCTCCCTCCTCCGACCTCGACCCATCCGCAAAGACAGCACGTACCCCAGAAACCGTCAACTCATAACCCGTAACATGATGAGACCAAAATATCGAATCCTCACATCCCGCCATGAAAAGCCTCCGCATATCCCCCCTCGAAATACCAACTATCCTTCCATCACGTGATGTCAGAATCTCCCCAAGATTATTCAAATTCCCGGCTCCATTGTCATCTTTCTCATCTTTCTTTGGCGGGTCTGGAGTGATGATTTCCCCAGTATGGCTATCGATGTGTGCAAACCCTCCGCCTCCCGTCCTGCCGCACGTGTCCCAGAACTCTTGCCATTTCTCCGGTCCGAGGACTGATTCAATGGCACTTAGTCCTTCTGAGGAGAGGCGGAGTCGGTAGCCTTGGGCGCGGAACGCTACGGATGCGTCGCGTTCGAATATGCGGAAGGGGATTGAGGCTCGGTTGAGGGCTTGGGCTAGGAGGAGGGAGGATGGCCCGGCTCCAGCTATGAGGATGGGTTTTCTGGTTGTAGACATGGTGGAGAGGAATTGAGGGACAGAGGGAGCGGTTCAGATATTACAGTTGGATTAACCTGTTTGTGTATTATGATTAGATCTATGTTATATTGGGAATCGAATTACAAATGCGGCCTAATTTGAAGTCCGAAGCATGTTGTCGGAGAGTCAATTAATCATAAATTACTAAGCGCGCCCATGTTAAACAGATTCGAGAATGGTCACGATGTTTGTAACACTGAAGCTGTTGATGTAACACCGAAGCTGTTGATGAGAATGGAAGTGAGATCACTTCACATATCGAAAATTGTTCTGGTTCCAAAAATTAAGCACTTCTTTCTTCTCCTTTTATTTTTCCAGGACTGCTAATGTATATGATTCATTCAGCCAGGGCAGTTTCTCATGTTTTCGAGCCACTCTCCCGGCGGGGCAAAGAACTAGTGGACGATTCTTTCTGAAATGATTTGTTTTGAAGCAAAGCATGGTCAAGGTCAAGATGGAATCTCTCTATTCTATTCTATCCGCATACAAACGAAACTTCCCAACGCTAAAACAAAGAAGAAGCCCCAATTCGAAAAGGTATCTAGCAAACTCGCCCGTCATGTGCCTCACACTCTATCGACCCATCCCCAGAGTTCTCAACCACAAATATGAAAAGCGTCTCCAAGTCCATCCAAAGCTGATTATACAGGAGAGTAGTTCGTTGGCTTCAAGTTGCTCAACTCCTCGCTAGTGGCTCTGCCATCCTCGATTGTAATCTCGCTGCTCTGGCTCCCCTTCTTTGCCTTGTTCTTCATAGCAGGGAAGTATGCGCCTGGGAATGCGACGGTCATGAGAATAGAGGCAATGGCGATCATACTAAAGTGGCGGTCATGTCAGTACGATTCACAAACTGGGAGATTGGATCAACTTGCGCTCCATCGAGAATCATGAATCCAACTTCATCTCTCATCAAGTGGTTCTTCCAGCCACCAGCCATCTCGGGAATACTGTTAATCTGTTAGTAAAATATATAAAGTGTGTTTGAAACAAGGACCTCCAACATACCGATAGATGCAACGAGTCAAAATAGCAAGGAAAGCAGTTACAAAACAGGCCAAGTAGAACTGGAACGCCTTGGCACCTCTGGGTGAAGTACCCTGAGCTGCTGTCTTTCTCTCTCCTCGATGTCTGTAGAGGCTATACGCAAAGTCTGCAGCCAACAAACCACACACAACCATCGTCGCAGCCTGGAACGAAACACCAGCCACCATGATATTGTTGCCCATATTGAGAGTCTTCTGATCCGTATTATCAGCCGACGCTTGGATACCGCCTCCAATACACTGTGTAAGGAATCCAATAGCATCGCACGCAACAAAAAGCCATGTGTACCACTTCGGCGACAGACGCGAGTACTCCGGACCGAAGTGAAGAACGAGATGCTTCAAGGTGAGGTAGAGACCAGCTGCCAGGAGGGAGGGAGACACGATGAGGAGCAGGATCTGGATGATGAATGGACCGCTGTCCCAGGGGTTGGAGTGCATGAGGACTCGACCGACGTAGCCGACACACTCGCCTAGACAGCCGAGGAAGACGACGGCGGGGTAGGCGCGCAGCTTGTATCTGAAGCCGAGATAGAGTTGAGCAATGGCGCAGATGGCGAAGATGGCTACCATGACGACGTTGGCGCCGAGGTTTGGGTAGTAGCCATAGATCGTGTCTTCGATGGGGCACTCCGGAGAGATGCTCTTGCAGTCGGCGGTGCTGGACATGGTGAAGTTGAAGTGCAAACACTCAAGAGATTAGTTGGTGTGTGTGATGGAAAACCAGTTGATGTTCTGGACACGGATCGAGGAAGCTGGGGATTTGGAATTGATGGATTGATTTGTATACAGGAGTAAGAACAGGAGAGTCAGCGAGACGTCTTATAAGAATCGATGGAAGCGCTGATCAGGTTCGGTACTCGTATTTCGTACTTTATGTTTGCGGCCCCGCGATACGGGAGATTGCATGATATTCTGAGCCTCAAACGGCACGCGGCATCACCTTAAGCTTAGCGACCTTTGTCCATCGGTCAGGAACAACAGTGTTGGAAATCTTCTTTTCAGTCCCAGCTTAATTGGTTACCAGTCATTAAAAGGAGAACACAACATTGAAGTTAACGCGTCCCGGAAACGTAATCAGCCCAGTCCGTTGATACAACCTCGCAATGGTTCACCCGTATCATTTCCAGTATCAAAGACCAAGATCTTCCAATGGTAATGCGCCGACCGTGTTCAGCCCCTTGATGCCTTGTGCATCATCCAATTACATTGTTTACTCACGCTCTCGCCTATCGTACACTAGAGGTATACGATAGGCGAGAGCGAGACCGCATCGGTGACTGCAGCAACTGGCCGATCTTGGCAAGGCTGCCAAGCTTTGAGAGTACGTATGTTCAGCTACGACATCTCAAAGAAATGTACCTCAAAACCAACAGGAGGCTGAGTAGCTCCTTCTAAACTGTCTGCCAAGACCGATAATTCTTTATATCTTTGTGCGTTGGGCGGAGGTCCTCTTAATACATCGACTTCGGTGATTAGCACGTGACTTAACCGGTCATGTTATTCCCGACACCGATATCACGGGCCAAGCCCTGCGCCCTCTCCGACACGACAACCACTCTCCAAGCTGGATTATATGTCATCCCAGGCACTCAAGTCTCGGAAAGTAATTCGAGCTTCATGAAGATCTTCTAACCGACCGTTGTACGCAAACCTCGTCCGACTCTCCACCAGCTGCTCTGCAGCTCCAACTTCACAATGCCAACTCGTCGTACTCACAAGAAATCACGACTCGGATGCCAGGAGTGCAAGAAACGGAAAGTCAAGGTACCCACCTACCTACCTACTTACTTATCCACCCAGATAAAGTTTATATTGGGAGAAGCTTGCTTTACTCATTCCCCTGACTGTCACTAACTGACTGACACTCCGCTTGGTTGATTAGTGTAGCGAAGCCCGGCCTTCCTGCTCGTATTGTATACGCGCCAGCTGTCCCTGCGTCTACCCCCTCTCAACAAGCACCCGCGTCTCGGCACTCAAAACGCCACCAGACTCAACCGGCAGCCCGATCGCATCTCCAGAGACATCAACACCAACAGAGGCTGGGGCAGCCTCAGGCCCCACATTCGATATGCTCGACTTGACGCTCATGAACCACTTCACGGCCGTCACGGCACTCACCTTGTTCTCGGGCGAGCAGCAGCGGCTGGTCTGGCAGAGAGATATTCACTACCAGGCACGCTCGCATCCGGTCCTGATTCATGGGATCCTCTCCGTAGCAGCTATACACCTTGCGCTTCTTGAGCCAGATAACTCAGCTCAGTACCGACTCCGTGCTCTCCATCATCACGATCTGGGAGTCCAGCTCTTCAATCAACAACTAAGCAACATCACCTCCGAAACATCTCAGACTCTCTTCCCCTTCGCCGTCATGCTTGTCGTATGGGCTCACTCCTCTCCTATCATCGTCAAAGAGGATTTACAGCTAGATCATATCTTCCATCTACTGGAGCTAGTAAGAGGATGCAAGACCATCTTCATGATGCACTGGGACTCAATAAGTGGGACACCTATCGCCTCACTCAGGGAATTCGTCCCACGGCTGAAATCCCACCAGCTAATCCTTTCCTACGTCGCATTACGCGCCTTTGAGAATCTAAGACTGCAATGCTCAGATCCCATATACGACCACGCTATCGGACGGCTAGAAAACGTATTCATGAAATCAGCCGGCGAAGCAGACGATGTGCGGACAGTCGTTGCCTGGCCATGTATGATCAATGAAGAGGTGTGGGATCGCCTGAGGAACAAGGATGCAATGTCGTTGTTTATTCTTGCGCATTATGCGATGCTGTTGGAGAAGTATGAGGCGCAGTGGTGGTGGATTAATGGGTGGTCGAGGAGGATTTTGGTTGTTGTCGGGGAGGTGTTGAGTGATGCTGATAAGGCGGCGTTGGGTTGGCATACTTTTCTTGCGCATGTTGAGGAGCATCGGCAGGAATTAGTTGATAGAGCTGTGGATGTGGAATGAACTTGCGTTTGTAACTCATGCTATTCTCTGCTCGTTTGGTGGTGACTGTCCAACTCTTGACTGATTCTGTTCCTGCCCGGCCAGCAACTGAGAGATACTTCCGCTACCTTTCCATTCTTGTAGGACATGCCCAGCAAGGGTTCGGGTCTTTTCCAAATCCAACACTCCTCCGAACAACTAACTCTATAGCTTTTTCTACCTCGACTCTCTAGCCACCACCAACCGCCATCAAACTTCTCACCACCCAACCCCTTGCACAGCCCAAATCTCTCTTGCAAATGGATTTTTTTCAACAGTACTGATCAACCGACCCTCTTCCCAATATAAAAAGCTCAACCCAAGCCTCCAAGAAAGTCTTACGCAACATCTTTATCACCCAGCATCCAATCGACGCATTCGTATACGTTGAGGAAGTGGGGAAGATGAGGGGAAGAGGTACGTAAATCAAAAGGGAGGTGGTAGGGAAAGAAGATAGAGGGGGCAGCGAGGGTGAGGAGAGAAGTGGAGCCTATGAATAAGCGAAACAAGTCTAAAAGTAAACAACATCCACTCCACCCAGTGTCCAAATCCTGGATCGAGATTCCATTTAGTTGATTTCAATTCCATTCATTTCAATTCCATTTCCAAACGCCACTCCCCAAGCCAATCCAGTCCAGCCCAGCCCTGCCCTGACCTGCCGTATTCTGAACAGACTGTTTAAAGCATTAAGAAACTTAGCATTGCAATGCCTCGCATTGGTAATATATAGCTTTTACTTTTATACTATCGTACTAACTTTACAAATCCATTCCATTCAGTGATTCAACGCCCGCCCGCCCATCATACCGACTCAAACGCATGGACATTTATAGATCTTCCAGATCGATATCCACATCCAGGTCCACGTCAAAATCCCCATCCAAATAGCAATCATCCCACCCATTACATTGGCTGCCATATCAAATCGAATCTCCTCCTCGAGCGATCCATGGCATATTCGAACCATCTGCTCGCTCGATTGGGATTTCATCAATCAATCATCCGTATGGGTCCCGGGCCCAGCCCATCCAACCCTGAACTCGTTCCATCTGCACTCGATTGCATCTCTCGTTCCCAATCCCATATCCATAAACCCATCAATCATCCCACACGGCTCCAGTCGACTTCCCATTTCTTTGGTTTTCATCGTGTTGTTGTGTCCAGCCTTACATAACAGCACACTCGCCCTCATTCTGCTTGCCGACCTTCGATCTAGAGATCCGTTCTCTAGCTTTCAAGCCCGCTTTCGATCCACCACGTTTGAGATCCTCGAGTCTTTCTCTCGCTTTCGGGAAATTTTGTGCTGTTTATTCGTTAGTACAAGGGAACTGGAATCAACGATGGGGTAAATGTCAACACATACCAGCAGCTCTCCAATACCACCGCTTGGCATCCTCTAAGTTCGCAGGACTGCCAATCCCAACCTCAGTAAAGTAGCCCATCGCATACTCAGCCTTCGCAAGACCAGCCATAGCAGCCTTCCTAGCCCAGAGATAAGCTTCCGTGTCACTCTGTTGCAAAACACCTTCCGAGCCCGTAAGATACCATCCCGATAGTGCAAGTTCAGATTGATGTTCCTCCTGAGCCGCAGCACGAGAATACCACATAATCGACAGCCTAGGGTCGATCGGACAGTTGAACAGCCCGTATTCGTATGCGGCACCAAGACGGAATTGCGAGAACTTGTACCCGAGATCAGCGGATTGCTGGAACAGGCTGAAAGAGTACGCTTCATCACGGACGACGGAGTTGTCTGTTCCTTGTGGCGCTTCGTATAGGAGGCCCAGTTCATGGAGGGCATGGGGATTCTCAGCATCTGCACGCTCGGCGGCACGTTTGAGCCAGCCAACTGCTTCGCGGGGGTTCTTAGGCTGCCCAAGCAGGCCCTTGAGTTGGATCATGCCCATCTTGTACATGGCTGGAGTATCGCCGAGCATAGCTGCGCGTTTGTACCATTGGATGGCCTTGAGAGGGTCTTTGCGAGTACCGCCACCTTCCTCATTCCCAAGCTCGCAACAGACCGCTGTTCGATATGCTGCTGCTGCATGACCAGCTTTGGCGGCTGATTGATACAGAGTAAACGCTTCTTTGTTGTCTGTTTCCAAACCCAAGGCACCGCGTCCATAACAATCGGCCAAGTAGAACATAGCCTCTGGATTTTGTTGCGCGACGAGTTTCTTCAAGAGCTTGTGTGCATCCATAATATATTTCTCACGAGCCTTGTTCCGTGCTCGCTGGTCAGGAATTTGGGGAGCCAGAGTGTCTGAGGCTTCAACCAATCTGCGGGCAAGAAGCATTGCAGAAGCTTGGTCGCCAGGGTTGATTTTAATCGTGATTCTCAGCTGCTCTAACTCAGCAGCCGTAACTGGAGGTGAATCGACTGCAGTGGCCGCTGGTGGTGCCCCGTTTGCTTGAGGAGGTGGAGCTTGTTGGGCGGGTGAGATATTATTGTAATTTCGGACAGGAGGCGGCTTGTTATTGGCTTGGTTAGCGATAGAGTTTGGAATAAGGCCAGCACGGACGGGTGGTGGATGAGAAGGTAGGGTATCGCCCATTGCATTAGGCATCGTGTTTGTTCGTGCCATGCCGCCAGGAGCAGGCCCATTGGGAAGACCATTGAAGCCAGGTTTTGGTCCGCTTGGAAGCCCAGCCATAGGACGAGGAGGACCTCCACGACCTCCGCCGGGCGCAGCAGACTGACTTCTAGGCGGAGGAGCAAACCCATTCTGCTGCGCTGGATCATCGAATCCTCCATAACCATTTTGAGGCGGGCCTCGAGGCGCCTGGTTATATCCATTGCCATAACCGTCGTCATACTGTCCTTGACCATAGTCATTTGGCATGGGTGGAGCATCTCCAACCATGTCAAAAACCGCAGCTTGAGGCTGAGCTCGGTGCCGAGCATCAGGATGTGGCTGCATAGGTTTGACTTGCTGGTAGGCCTGGTTCTGCATGGGAGGCTGGATATGTCCGTCGATGGAAGCTCCTCTCCTGGTGTTTCCAGAATTGTTGGGAGCTATGTCGAAATTTGGCATCTCTGAACCTGTTGATCCAGGCCTTCCAGCATGAGGATCATCGTAGTATGAATCATAGAAGTCGCTAACACTCTCGTTTGCTCCATGCCCGTAACCTTGGCCACCACCATTTGCGTACGGATCCGCTGCCGGAGGCTGGTTTGGATACGTTCGTTGAGGAGGCGGTCGGCTCCCACCAGCTGTGGATGGTCTTGGAGCTCCTCTGCCCACAGGACCATTGTACGGTGCACTTGGACCAGGACCATTCATAACCATCGGCGGTTGACGTCCCATCGGCGGTTGACGTCCCATTGGTGGTTGAATTTCATTGGGCATCGTCATGCTTCTCGACGGGCCACCACGCTCTCTCTCAGAAGATGATGGTCCATATCCATCCTGAAATCCAGGTTCTCCATATCCATTCTGTCGAGGCGGTCCATATCCGGGATTTGGGCCTGGGGGACCTCTCCGAGGTTCAGGATATCCTTGTTGTGGTCCTGGAGGAGGATAACCCCTGCCAGGTCCACTTCTCGAGCTCTCCGCCGAAGTTCGCCCGTAATCATTTGGTTTAGGTCGTCGTTGACTATCCAGAGAAGAACGTCCTCCATAATCATCTGTCGAGGCGCCCCTGGCTGGTCCACTACTTTGACTTCCATTACCTCTAGGTCTTCCTTGGGGTGGCGGGTTCGCAAGATCCATTGCTTGCATCTTGTTCAAAATCTCTTGCTCCTCCGAGACCGATGTCTTTTTCTTTGCGCCAGGGAAAGCAGGGAACGGATTGTCCCAGGAGGTCTGATCGGGAGACATCGGTGGCGTCTTCAATGGTTTCCGGGGCATACCTTGGGCCGGTGGTTTTTTCGCTGGTCAGAGTCAGCTGTGGCCTCATTGCAACTGGAACACTACTCACATCCGGGATCAGAGTTCCCATGTCTGTCCAAAGGTGGTCTGCCTCTTCCGGCTGGGCCACCGTTTGGATATCCTCTGCCTTGGCCTCCTCGTGGATCATAACCACCTCGATTTCCATCGGCAATTGGTGGTCTTTGCATCGGTCCTCGGTTTGAGTCTCCTGTTGGCGGTCTCTGCATAGGTCCTCCTCTCGCACCTCCTCTCGGTGGCGGCATTCCCCCTCCTCTTCGATCATTTCCATAATACTCCTGCTGCGGGGGATATCCTCCGTTCTGTGGCGGGTATCCATTTCCTCTCCCGCCTCCATTCATATCATCGTATCCTCTATCATAATCCTGCGAGTACCCATTATTATAATCATCATACCCGTATCCATCCTGCTGGTACTGGTCATATTGCTGAGGGTACTGCTGCGCAGGCGCCGGTGGTTGAGAATAGCCCTGTGGTGGTCCAGGCCTCTGCGCGGCTCTACCATTATATGGTCGTTGTGGAGGCTGGTACTGATTCTGATCGTATGCCATTTTGTTGTTCGATTTGGCAGGTTTTTGAATCCTTTGTTTCAGGAACCTCGAACCTCGAGCCTCGTGCTGTCCCTTTCTTCACCTAGATCACAAACTTTTTCGCTGATATTGCTACAAGAGGCAAGCCATCCAGAACCGCCCTGCGGCGAGAATATGCTTGTCCTGATTTATGGTGCGAGTCCTGAAGGTCTGGGGCGAGTTGGCCACGGTTTGTTGATGCTGTCGTAAATACGTTTCGAGGAAAGGATTGGCGACGTGGGCCAAGTGCAAGAAGGGGCGTGTATGGACTGTTTGTTTGCCTTGGATGTTCCGCAGATGAATGTGAAAGATGGAGGCTCTGAAGAGAGGACGAGATGCGATGCAACTCCAGGAGACTTGATGGAGGCGCTCAATCAATCACGGAGAGTAGTGCCGTTCGTTGTGTTGCAGGGCGTCTTGTCTTTGCGTCCGTGTGGTGGTGGGGGAATGGATGGCAGGGGCGCTTGTTGTGCAAGCCAGCTGAGCTGAGCTAGAAGGTGAAGTTCGAGACCCGCGCCCGAGATCTGACCAGACTACTCGGAGGTGCGTACGGAAAGCCACAGACAGCTGGAGCTGGACAGCAGAATCACAAGCGAATACCTACAGTACTTTCGTAAATACCTTACCCTTACCCACCCATACAAGAGACCAGATGATCAAATCAGTCTCAGTAAAGTTCACCTGATAGTATTCACTCTCCAGGAATGACTTTCATTCCATATTCCATGGAAAATAGCAGCTTGAGAAGCATAAACTCCACTATGCTCGCATTTGCCTACATTTATGGCTTAGACACTGTATTTCATTTTATTTCATTCCCTTCCGTTGCAACCCTCATCCCTCATCCTCATCCCTCGTCGGCATGGCCGGGCATGAAAATTATCGGCGATTGGCCTCGTTTCCCTCGCTCTCCCTCGTTCGCCCACGTCTCAAAATCAACAGGGGCTAAACTAATGTAAGGGACCGCAGCGCTATCATTGGACGCATGAAATAGAGTGGTTCTCACCAATCCTGGGCCGGCAACATCCATATTCAAGGATTGGTGTTGAAGTGGAAAAGAGTAGTAAAGCCGTGGCCGTGGCTGTGCTCTTCGGCTGGTTCAAGCCTTCAAGTTCTGGGCGCAGTCGTTCGTTGAATCTGCATCTCCATCTCATGATCACTTCTGTACCTCCCTCATGACGTCCTTTCTCCTGGCTCCACTTTTTATTTCCCCGTTATTTCTGACTTTGCTCCACGATACGGTAAGTTCAAGATCGAGGCATATACAGCAGTCAAAGCACGGAGATCAGCTCCCACCGCGATCCTGTAACAACAGAACTGACGGGACCGCTTAAAGCTGCAACTTCAAAACGGGTCCAGCAAACTTGATTCCCACCCGAATAGGGAGGACTTGACGATGATCTAACAATACAGTTCAGCGTTATCTTCGGCCGTATCAGATGATGGGGTGGATTTGCGACTTTTGTCAGAGCCTCACGAAGGCAATCTGTTCTACGAGTAATTGTCATAGCGAGGTCCGGGCGGACATCAAATCTACCAAGTAACTTTAAGATCCGAAGAGTGACATATAATTCAATCGTATGTATATACTATCCCAGTCAATAAGTTTCATATCATCTTTGCCCTCTCCAATCCTGAAAGTCCTGAATCATTTCAGCGGAACAACCTGAGTAGGTAGAACAAAACAACGAACCCCCTTCCCCTTCCCCTTCCCTCCCGCCCCACTTTCCGGACCGAGCCACACGCCACGCACCCACCAGCCACACAGCCACACTTCCAAGCAGCACTCCAGGTCTCTCCCGCCCACCGTAAAAATATCGACATCATGATCATCAACCGCAGCAGCTCAGCGCCGCGATCAACTCCAAACCGAATCCCAACCCAGCTGAACCTCATTCGACTTCCCACTTTCCCACTTCTAAAATCCTGATTGTAATCCCACCATCCCGTTGCAATGCCCCCAAAACCTCGCACAAACTGGGCTCTCTGGGGCAAAATGCTCGCCGCGTATGTCATTCCCCCTCTCCCCTCCCTCCCACCACCCATTCTCCCCTCTCTTCGCATCCCCCAACCACAATCTCCAGCCCCCAAAGACTAACACCCCTCCTCCCCTCCAGCGCCTCAATCTGCTGCATCGGCGGCCCGGCCCTCGTAATCTGGGTCTCACCCACGGAAGAAGAGCTCTTCGCAAAGTACAACCCGGAACTACAGAAGCGGAGTTTGGAGAACCGGCTGCAGAAGCAGGAGGACTTTGACCATTTTGCGATGAAGCTGAGGGAGTACTCGAAGAGTGATAGGCCGAGTAGGTCTTTTTTTTTCACCTCTTGGCCCGTTTTTGAGGGGAGGGTTTGATTTGAGGATCTGGGAGGATGGCATCATTACGGCCACAGCGAAAACATCTTGAGGATCAAAACCATAACTAACTAACCTCCTCCACCAACAGTATGGGTAGCAGCCGAACAAGACGAGCGCAAACAACGCGACGGCAAGATCGCGGAACAGGCGAAACTCCTCGAGGAGATGCGCAAGCGGAAAGAGGAGATGCGGAATGACGGACTGAAGCCTGTTCCTGGAGGGAGTTTGTGAGAGGATATGGTGTAGGATTCTGGATGAGAAGGGGAATCGAAGGATTGAAGAAGTTGACATGATATGATATCCGTGTGTATCAGTGTGGAAAGGCTCAAATGGGTGTACATTACTGCATGCCGGAAAGGAATGCGCGGCGGCAAGGCGTTAAAGGACTATCGATTACCTAGGGTTGTATGCTGGGGGAGATTTGTACGATCAATGTGGTTATGATCCGGACGGAACATTCAAAGTCTCAAATCCCGGTGTTGAGTCGCATATGAATTGGTATTCGCCTCTCTATGGTGGTATCTGGGATGAGTATATATGTATTTACTGCAGAAATGCTTCCCGTCCTAGATTGGATAGCAGCAGAGTCTCTGTCTAACGAGCACTTGCAAAACTAAGTGAGCATGTCGAATAGTCCAAATTGCTCAGAAACATGTATAACACTTTCATGGCACGCGAAGGATCTTGAAATAAAGCAGAAAGGCGTGGCACGATCGATTGGCAGGTCCGAGAAGCACTTCAGGAAGAAAACGTCGTTGAAAGGCGCGAGAACTCATTATGCGGAAATGTGATTGAAATAGGTACACTACCCGTGTCCACGTGCGTATAGAAAGCTCTATCTCTCTCTGCAAAGAAAGCCTCCTCGTCCATTTTGTAAAATCCATCGCGTCGCATTGCTGAACTTTCGTACAATCCAGGGTTACTACCCCGCCATTCATCCTATGTGTCCCATCGACTCCGTGCATTCTTCTGCCTCGCCTACTCTAAGCACCCGCTACATCTATGCCTTCACAGCCTTAACAGCGTCCTCCTTCAATCCCACTGCAGTCTCCTTCACGCTCTCCTTTGCCTCGACGAGCTGATCACCGGGTGTCTTGCCTTTGTTGTAGTTGTGGAGTCCGATGCGGGTTACTTGGATGATACCGACCATTCCTAGGAAGAAGTTGACGGTTGCGAGGCTGAAAAGCGTTAGCTATAGATTCCAAAACTTTTCCTCACTATCTGCCGTTTTGTATCTTGCAGTGGGTGGAAGGATGGTTTCGGAAGACATACAGAATGTTTCTTGGCTTAATGATCAAGCACCAGCGGGTCCAGATCAATCCGGTAGCTGTGAGGGCGGCGTTTTGAGTGAGGGAGAGCTTCTCGACTGGGCGGTACATGTCCGATATTCCTGCTAGGACAATCGACCACTTGTACTCATTAGCTTTACGTCCATCTTATATGTATATTGATGTGCAAGAAATGCGATTATGCATAGCTCCATTCCACAGAACGAAGCTCTTCTTCTCCCAAATTGCAGTTCTTGACGGAAGTAAATGTCATAACTCGAAGTAAGCATGGGATGGGAGGTTGTACCTTCATGACAGGAGCCCTACAACATCAATTAGCCAACGTCCCAGCCAACACTTCACCTCTCTTCCTCCACTCCCCAACGCACACGTCCAACTCATCCTTCTCATACAAACAGGAACCACTCACCAGAAATGCACAGTCTTCAATCCAATCGGACTATTCCACATCCTGCTAAACCAGCTCTGCGCAGCCGCCTCAGGCGCAGCCGTACTCTGCCATCTCTTCCCCGCACCACCATAACCACCAAACCTGAACCCGGTGTTCTTGCTCGACCGGAAAGCACCAGCAGTTTGTGACTTGAAGAATTGCGAGCGGAAAGCCGGGCGCGCGGTGCGCATGAGGGTGCTTGGTGCAGGCATTATTGTGTATGAAGTTGAGAGATAGCTATGACTCTATTGCAGGCGAATAAAGACTCCGAACTCGGGTTGCGTAATTATCTAGAATGAAACGCGGAGTTGACGTTAGACTCGAAGGTAGAAGAAGAGGATCCAATTGAATGGATGTGCGCGTATGAGGTAAGGCGGTGGAGTGGAGATGGAGATCCAGAAGTGAGGATGTTCTCTTCTCTTCAAAGTGAAGCAAGGACCGAAATGTTGAGGTCCAGTTCGGCGGATAATTGCGGGAGGCCCTATCGGCGTTTGTGCATGGCTTGGCGCTGGCATGCATTTGCACAAAGTCAAGTTTAGCGCCACTTGTGTGCATGGACGGACCTTGACGACGAGCCTCACGGAATGTTTGGTTGCGACTGACTGCGTCTTGCGTTACCAATTGAACTCACCACAACGAAGAGGAAGGTCAGGGAAGATGTCAGCCAAATACGCTTTCTCGCAGACGTTGAAGGAGGTGCGGTTTTTGTTCTGCCAGACGGGCGAGCACAGTGTTGCTACGAGGTTAGTTGAACTGGACATAGACGGGGCGCGGGGGACAGGATTGGGACCAGAGATATTCGCAGAAGGAGAGCGTCTAGCCAGGGGAGATGGCTATGATCAGTTACAGTTGTTTTTGGGGAGGATCGGGACTGGTGCGGAGTGCAATGCTGATTATGGACTGCCAGATCATTCCTTGCCCGCACATACCCAACCATGAAGAAACACAACCCAAATACACCAATCATGCTCCGTGAAGCAGCTGGTACACAACCGAGGGTATATGCAAGATATGGTCAGTCTACAAGTCATCGTTCCCGCGCTGCGGGTTGCAGGAGATGATTAGGATCATGGCTGATTTATAGCAGAGTTCGGACAAGAGAAGAGCGAGCCATTAGCTGGTGAGTTGGTGCCGGATCGTCGATAACGAGGACATATAGAGATAATTAAGCAATTGGCTAACGGAAATAGGTTTGTCGGATAAGGAGATCGAGGAGAAGGTTACGGGGCTGGTGAAGGCAGGGATATGATTCTGCATGGAGTAGAGGGACGGCTGTACATATAGGATGGATCCGAGGCATAGGAAATCCATCATTTCGACCCCGTTTCTTGCACCATTCGAAGGCTTCGCTTTGCTTGGAAGTTCAGTTGGTCTGAATGTCGGAAGGTTGAGCAGTGAGAAGCCCGTTGTGGAAAGCTATGTGTTCATTCTATCATCACAGCTGAGACTACTGAGCCGAGATGGTTTCCAGCAGATGCAAGTCCAAGTCTTTTTTCTTGTATCTCTTTTGTTGCCCTTTGTTTCCATGCGTAATTCTCATTGTAAGGTCTGAACTCTAGCTCCGTGCCGACACGCACTTGTCTTGACGAGGATGGCACAATTTCCGTGCCACAATGCATAGACAACAGTATTGGTATCCAAAAGGAATCCATTCATCTCATTTACAAATCTACCTTAGGAGAAAGCTTGATACGGAAAGCAGACAATGACACTCGTTCCCTTTCCTACTCTCGAATTGATACATCAAAAACGTGCTACTCTCGTTTTGCCGAAGTCTCTGTATCCTCTGTGGCCAATTGGATACTATTTCTCGGAAGTTCGTCTTGTCTTTAGCATCCACCGCCATTTCTGATTCAGGCTGCGGACAATCAGCGCAGTCAAATCCAGTCATAGGGTCCAGAGCCGCGGCACGGTTAGGGATATAACAGGCCAGCTTCTACCATGTAGAGAACCACATCAAGTTCCCTCTACTCAAGTTGCGCTTCAACTTTGCATCGTCCAATTAACCCATGGTCGTCCCAAAGAGGCCCTCCCAGGAGTCCAACTCCTCGTCAGGCAGCCTGCCAGCCAGATCGGTGAAAGAATACTCATTGAAAACTCCTAGTATGAAAGCCTCCACTCCTTGTCGTCATGAAAGCGAGCATAGGGTCTCACGGAGGCGTTCACCAAACGTTTCCTAATGCCTGTGACGACCGGAAAGTGCTGGTTCGAGAGCCATTTGACCTGCAATTTCTTGGTCCTATGTTGGAAAAAGTTGAAATCCCAAGCAGCTTTAGAGCTTCTCTGCTGGGATCAGCTTCTGCCCATTGCATTCCCGACTGGAACAACACAAGTGAGTCCCCTCTTCCTATCCAACCTGATCAACATGCCACTAGCTAATTTGATTCCATGGTCACAGCATACCCGTGTGTCTTCCCACCGTAATACCCTGATGTCCTACACAGTTGCAGTATGACAGGCAGGGGTGCCTTGCTTCTTTATTTTGTGAGTGCGTTCCATCCAACTTTCTCCCATGAAACGTCCCCCAGCACAGTATGGGAAGCTGGGTATCGAAGATTGGAACTGACGACAGTAGTTGGGAATGAAGCCGACCATGAATTCTTCGGTGTAGGATCCACCGAACATCATTTTTCCGAACTGACCCAAAAGTTCATGAACTTCGCAACTAACACGCCAAAGAGGCGCCCAAGCATTATCAAGAACCCATTTAGCACAGCTGTTCCTCCGGTGCTGCATTCAGTGATGCAAAAATGGTCTTGCACTCGGGTACAAATTGCTTCGTAAACGCCAGTCTCGACGCATCAATGCCAGTGATAAACAGGAAACACACCACTTACTTTCGCGGCAGCAAGAGCAATGAAGCTGATAGGTTCAGCACCCTACTTCGAAGCAGCTTTGCCGAGTCTAATCATAGTGAACGCTAATACGCTGAGGTGACTACAATCACAACGGGATCGCTGAAGTGTAATTGAACATTCGCTGGTGATGGGGATAGGGACTGCTGAGCGATTCCAATGCTGCAAGTCAACTTGTCTAGTTACTCAAAATTTACATAGCTCAGAGCATGCTTATATCACAAATTGTTTTGCCTCTTCACGATTATCCAAGGCCCCAGCTCAAAGGATCCATTAAAGATAGGTGGGAGAATGATCGGAGCGAAGCACAGTTTGGCAAGAATAAACACACCACTATCAATTACTTGGAGGGCTAGAACTTCCAAACATGCAATGATCAGATTAGCCTGGACGTTCTAACAACAAGCCATTATCAAAGTACTGGCTTCAGCCAAGATCATGTGACGGACTTATGCCACTCAGGTCGTTAGTGCCGGGGTTGTTTATCTCGCTAAACCATACGCGAGAATTAGCAAAGTTTAAAGTCGTCCAGTACCAGAAGCCAAATGACAGTGATTTATAGCTGCGGGAAAGAATACCTGAAGGTCAATGATATACAACGCATGCAACATTTAAAATTGAGTGTGTTTACCTCAATATGGACCAAAAGGTTACAAGCAAAATCACATCCGAATGCCGTAGACAAGCCCAGGCCAAAATAAAGCGCTCACCCACATATATGTATCCATGTATAACCAGAGGACCAGCCATCAATGGAGAAGACATTGTAAAGACACGAAGTTCTTCAAAGGTTAGCGAGCTACCCCAACTGTAATACACTTGTGTTCCAACTACTCAAGGACGGGTGCAACTTCTCCTCCAACTTGGATACTTGAGGAGGCCGTGACTTTGCTAGAATAACATAGGTCACGATTCAACAGTATCTTGATAAGGCCACAACTTATCCGCAAGAAGCCTCTCTTCTTCGTCGGCTGCACCGGACAGAAAACCAGCCTTTAATCGCATCATCTCTATCTGCATCTCATCATATCTAGCCGATACGACATTTCCTTCGGGATGCAAGTTGTATTTTTCCTGGAGAAGGCTCAAGACAGAGCCTACAGCCTCCCTATTCTCGGCCTCAAAATCAAAGACGGCCTGATCTATCTGATTGAAGTTAACGGGACATGGGCCAGCGTCAGGGCAGAACTGCTCCCATCTGTTGACAATCTTCATGAGTGCTAATTTCAAAAAGAACATGATATTTTGTTCCCATACATGCTGCACAAGCCTGGCGGGTTGGACTCTGATCTCATTATGTGATGTTAACGCGGCCCAGTGCCTTGGGTTGTCGCGTTTCGTGATCTCGAGGTAGTATTTCAATAAATGCTTGTTTCCCCGCCGATGATCAGCTTCTTCCCTTTCCTCTTGTGTGAGGTCCATGTAATTGTCAGGCCGCTTTAGTGCTGAAAAATCAAACGACAGAGGTTCTGAATGCAGCAACAGCTTTGGCACTCCACACTGAAGGAAGAATGGTGCTGCTATAGTAGACTGCCAATCAATCACGCTCGTCACTTGCATTGTTCTGGTGTCGATAAGCATATTGTCAAGATGCAAGTCCGGGTGCCATAGAGTGGAGCCGTGGAGATCATCTGTTGTAGAAGGCGGTATCATAGCTGGAATAAGCTGGAGGTATTGGTTCAACAGCTCTAACATCTCCTCGGGTTGCTCAGGCTCTGTCAAAGAGCGAGCGATATTCAACCGCGGGCGACCGTGTTTCTGAATGAATTTCATTTCGCCCACGGCTTTACCTTTAAGAAATTCCAGGGGACCGTTGACTAGATAGCTAAATATCAATAAAGGCCAGGCAGAAGTCAGCATAAGTACTCACAGGGTCCACGGTCCAGGTCCATGCCAGCTTTCGCCTCTTGCCAAAAATCTATACCGACCATGGGCCCCAAAGTATATCTCCCAAGCGTCGAAGGTGATACTGTACAAGTATCTGCTAGCTTGATGTCCTCACCACGGGGAAAGTCATCCTTGAAATATATCGAGCCACAGTGCTGAAATATGGTTTCTGCAAGCTTACGCTCCATTTTGACAATTTCCCTTATAATACCAAAGCGATTCAACAGTGGCAGTTTGTTCCAATCCTGCCACAATGCCCCCAGGGGTTGACCTGAAGCTCTTTCTTCCAGTATATATTCTGCTCCGACCGGATTAGCCTTTCGAGCAGACCAAGCCAGTATGCGAGGGGTTGGGATATCCAAGACCTCGGCCAGCTTCGGGGGCATTAGCAAATAAACACGAGATTGATGGAGTTGCGTAGACACTAACAAAGGTCCGTGTGGCGACTTCTGATGCTGTGGTGTGAAACGGCGGTCCCGCAATCGAGTTTGGTAATTTGGCGAATACCACCGAATCATTGTCCATCTTAAGCAAATATGCTCTATTGTTCATTCCCTCTTTGCATTTGAGGACTTCCGTACCTAGAAGCCTAGTTAAACCAGGACAATGATATAACAAAACACAGCTCTGGTGGCTTACAGTGTTGGGCACCCTCTTTGGACGCTGCTTCAACAGCGACTTGTACAAGACCTTGCAGGTTGAATTTGAGATATCGCTGTGACAGGTTGCGCGCCTCATTGTACCTGACTGATCAATACACATAATTTAGAGACTCGTACACGTACAGCCAGCGATGCCTAGTATGTCTATAGAGATCTTCCTCTGGGACACCTTCCACTGCTGGAGTTAGCGGGCACGATAGCTTACCAGTACTCTACATACCAGAGCCATCTTCTAGCACGGCGCGTATGGCAATGGTTGACATCGCACATCGAACCAGGCGAGGTGTCAGAGAAGCGCCGGGTTGCCAAGTCTTGAGGTTGAACGGTCGGTGACGATAGCAGCTGTGGGAACGAGAAATTCCAGCGACTGCATACTTATCGAGGAATAGGTTGTTATAGAACATAATTGTGGGACAGTGTTCAGATGCCTGTCTATGAGGGTCTCTGAGCCTGGCTATTTTCAGCCTCAAACGCATCATTGCGGCGGATGTGTCACGTGACATGCCACCTCAACACCTCAGCTGCTCGCCACTGCTTGATTGTTAAACTAGATCGATACATTAAAAGAGTGCTAGGCTACATTGCGCCGCGGTCTTGGTTTGGCCCCTCACGATCGCCTGCCCTTACTCCCTTCGCTCTACACTGTGACCTGTGTCCGCTACCTAAGGCTCTGGGTACGGCCATGCGGCTCCTATATCGAGAAGACGATGGAAGCTTCGGGTTGACCGAGTTCTTTGGGAGCAATGTCCCTCCATACGCAATACTCTCACATACGTGGGGGCCAGATGGCGAAGAAGTAATAATCAAAGATATCGAGAATGACCAAACGAGTCGTAAATCAGGCTGGAAGAAGATCGAGTTCTGTGAAAAGCAAGCCGCCCACAACGATCTGAAGTATTTCTGGGTGGATACATGCTGCATTGACAAATCTAGTAGTGCAGAATTGACGGAGGCTATCAATACGATGTTTCGCTGGTATCAGGAAGCTGCTAAATGTTACGTCTACCTCACTGACGTCTCCACGATCAATTGCGATAACGCAAATCTCAAGTCGGAAAAGTCATGGAAGGTCGAACTCCGCAACAGTCGGTGGTTCACTCGCGGCTGGACGCTTCAAGAACTTATCGCTCCGACTTCTGTCGAATTTTTTTCGGTTGAGGGAACCCGGCTGGGCGACAAACAATCACTGGAGATCGAGATACATACAATCACCGGAATTGATATCCAGGCTCTACGAGGAGATGCATTGTCCGGCTTTGGAGTTGCACAGAAAATGACATGGGCTTCAAAGCGAAACACAACACGGGAAGAAGATCAAGCTTATTGCTTGCTGGGCATTTTTGATGTCCATATGCCGCTGATATACGGCGAAGGGAAAAAGGCGTTTCGGAGACTTGAAAAAGAGATAAGAGAGTCAGAAAACCTTGAGGAGGCTCCACTTCGACAGTAAGTATAACTGATATTTATGCGGGGTTTGATTCTTCATATAACGATTTATTCTAGATCGGACTCGGCCCATCGCGGATCATCAAGCTTGAACCCGCATTGCACAACAGAGGAGTTGCTGTCTAGCATATTCTATCCAGAGCATGGATCTAGACGAGAGACCGTTAAACCACCTTGGGAAAACACCTTTCATTGGATTTTTCACGAAAACATTCAGGAGCATAGAAAATGGCCCAGCTTCATCGAGTGGCTACGAAGTAATAATTCAACGTATTGGATCAGTGGAAAAGCGGGTTCCGGCAAATCTACCCTGATGGCATACATCTTGCACGAGCACCATCTGGAAGACAATCTGAAGATCTGGAGTCTCGGCCATGATATCATTGTGCTGTCGTTTTTCTTCTGGCGTGCGGGTTCTACACTACAGAAGAGCGTCAGTGGAATGCTTCGTTCGTTGTTATATCAGCTACTCGAGGAGAAGCCTCATTTAGCAGACAATTTGGCGTCAGGTTTTAGATTAACTCGTGGAAGGATTCCAGCTTGGACTGAGCGAAGTCTTGCTAAATTTCTGCAAGCAGCTCTCGAAGCAGCAGCAGATCAAAGTATCTGTTTGTTTATCGACGGGCTTGACGAGTTCGAGGGTGACACTGACGAGCTTCTGTATCTCATTTTCGAGCTTCAAAAGCTCGATAATGTAAAATGCTGCTTGTCCAGCCGACCCGAGCTTCCACTAGTATCGCGCTTGTCCACTTTTAAGCAATTACGCCTACAAGATCTCAATTTCAGCGACATTTGCTACTTCGTCCAGGAGAGAATGGAACCCTATATCGATGACTATGATTCGTCTGGCAGCCAATCGATTGCCGCTATGATTGCGGACAAGGCTGAAGGTGTCTTTTTATGGGCAGCGCTTGTCACGAAATCCGTGATTCAAGGTTTACAAGCTGGAGACGAAGACGACACGATATATAAACGCATTGAATCAACACCGTCGGAAATGGGAGCCTTATTCAAGCAGATGCTCCTTAGTATCGATGACGTCCACAGAGACTCCTTGTCCTTCTATATTGAAGTAATGAGAAGCCAGAATCTGCTCAGACCATCCAACGGACAAACAACGTCTGTAGCTCTCATCACAGCCTGCAGAAGTCTAGAAGATCCGACAGACTACCAGGATTTTGTAAATCAATGTCAGAGGACTGAGAAGCAGATATCTGCCCAGAGTAAGGGACTGCTGGAAGTCCTTGAGAACTCATGGCTGGATCCCGAAGATTTTAGAGGATCTGTAGTGTGGGCGATTCCTCAAGATCTGGAGGGGGCCGTTGGAATGTCTACAAAGCAAAGCAGGAAAGCTATGATTGAGTCCAGGCTCATGATTCCACAATACTCGATCCACCAAGAATATCGAGACTTTGAGTTGAAAGCCGTATCCTTTGTCCATCGCTCAGCCTACGACTTTGTATTCAGTCGCGAGTGCGAGAAAGCTCTTGGTACTTCGACCTCCATCTCTTCAGCTTCGGTACAAGCAAGTCTGGTCCAAGCTCAATTAGTGCTATTAGCTTGCGCTCCTTCGCTCGTAGGGGAGGACTCTGCAAAGGATATCAAACAACGCACGATAAAAGTTATTCAGAACATCGCAGATTATGTCGACCTTCCCGATAACGGTTACGAATATCTCGACGAGCTGCAAGAAATGCTGCCAGCATTTTCCATGGAAGAGTTTACTGGCGTGATAGAGAGAGATATAGATGAGGCCAGAGCGTCATGGAACAAGCAAAGCTCACTTGTCAAGGAGACACTTGGACGGCTTGATTTTTGGCTGGCTTGTGTTGAAGCATACCAGATCGGCTATGTGCAAGAACATCTGTCAGATATCACCAGACTGGACTGTCGCGGATTTATACTATCTACTTTGTGCGAAGAGTGCATCCCTATTCTCCACATAGACTTCGAGAGTTCGTGGGAATTCCTCCAAGAGAACCAAGACATACCGTTGCTTCTGATAAGCATGCTCAAGGAAATAGACCTGCAATCTCAGAATTCGATACTCAGACTTGCATCCTTCAAAAAACGCTTACATTTCGGAGAAGCTCTCCAAGAACATAGAAGATACTTATTTCACGATGTCTCTTGGGTGGATGTGGAAACAGCTCCTCACCTCCACGATGATCGTATTATTTGCAAGATGGCCGAAGTCTACGTGCTATGGATGTCCCGAGCACTGAGACACGCAGATACAAGTTCCACGGACCTCAGAATTGCCAAGTTCATTGCGGAACAAGATGGAGAAGTTACCAGCTTGATCAGTAAGATTATTGAGCCATGGGACATTCATATTGGAACTCGGCCTGCTGAACACTATCCATTATATGAAAGATACACATTATTCGAAGTGTCAGCAACCGGGTTTGTGCAAAATGCTGCTGTATTTGCTCAGAGGCACAGCGACATTGCAGCACCTGTCTACGATCCTATCCCAAACCTTCGATTTATTTGCGCCTCTCGGAGCGTTTCTAGGAAATCGGTTGAGTATTACAAGAATTACAAAAATAGAGTTATTGCGGCTCATGATTTCGGGCCTCGCGTCACTCTTCGACTTCTAGACTTTCTACGCGTGGTAAAATCACACTGGCAGACAAGAATTTCCTTCGAAGCCTTTCGTGGAAGCTGGGAGGAATATCTAGAGTGTCAGAAACTGATGATAGATGACGTCTGGGAGAATGCTGGCCAGAAACTTGACGCGTGGCAGCAATTGTACACGATTGCTTGCTTGAAGACGAGAATAAGTAAAGAGTGGCATGTTATAGGTGATGATAAGCTCTGGTATCGCATGAGGGAAGGTCGCTCGACCCGGCCTTTGATTGGCTTAAGCGAGACCCCCCGGATTTCTGGAAGATCTCATTAACATCACTTCACAATGCATCATCCCTATGGAATAAGTGGAGAACAAAATTAAAGCTCGATGGAAAAGCCTTCAGGGGTGATATTTGAGACATGTACCCTGATTTCTCAGCCCCCTAAATCCCATTACACGTTCATGTGCTTCGGTGAAAACCGAGATGTGATACTTGCGACAACTCGAAAGAATTTTATTACTTATTGCTAGTCTCCAGTGTATACAAAACTGGCCACTAACTCCGAATATGTGATCCCAAGAATATATTCCACCAGAAGCAATCAACAAATCACTTCAAAGCTTCTTCGCGGTTCTTACGCTTGATCTCATCAATCGTCCTCACCAGCTGACCTTTAGCGTAATGGTTGAGCAGCAACAGAAATTGCCAAAGAGGCAGATCACTAATTAATGTTGTAATCAATTATTCCGGAATAGCTTGTACCCCAAAATCAAGAGGCACTCCCGCCGCTGTATTTCCTCCCAGCGATGAGCTACCATAATAAATTCCGTCAGGTCAGGTCAGGTCGGCAGGAACCTTCAAGAACAAGTCTCATTCTCCATCCTTCCCATCTGAAAGCCTTTGATTTTCCAGCCACCAACCAAAGAGTCCTCGAAGCCCCTCACCCAGCTCACACCATCACAGCCTTCGCACTGAATCCCTCAACTCACAACAACAACAAACCCTCCCTCAAAATAACAATTACCGCAATCGAAACCGTCCAAGCTTAAGATGGCATCTTCACTACCCTCCTTATCTACAACCACAACCACAAAAAGCAACTCAGCTACCCCACACACGCATCAGAATACATACATACATATATAAACACATATTCTTCCTCACCCACCAGCCACCAACCACCAAACACGCGCCGACCCACCATCAGTCGACATCAAAACAGCAATCAGCAATCAACAATCGGCAATCAGCAACCAGGACCTCACTCAATCCACTCAATCCATTCAAGCCATGCGTGTCGTGCTCGCGAGAGCTGAGAACGAAATCCGAGAATTTAGTATCAACGACTTACTAAATTAAGTGAGAAGTAGACTCTGAGTTGAGGTGAGATGGGTTGAGCAATTTTACTTTTATACAAATTCGAGAAGCAATATATATATGAAAAGCATATCAATATTGAAGGATACACCAGGTTTTGGATTTGTTTGGGAAGAAGGTCAGATCTGGGATGGAGATGGAGATGGAGATTGAGATGGAGATGATGAAGGTAACGAACAAAAGAGAAAAAGAAAATAGAGAGGAGAAACATATTTGGAGGTCGATCAATTAATCCATCGCCCATTTCAATAACACCTTGGTCTCATCAATCACCACACACTACTACAACCGACCTCTCCTCTTGCCACACCATGACCTGCCAAAAGCCTCCACCCTCCCTTTTCACAAGCCCATCATATCTATCCATCATCTTTATTTACAACCCTCCCTCCTAGAACCAGCTGTCAAGAATAAGCGAATCCTGCTCCAAAAAAAACATCCAAGGAGCGGAAAGGAGGAAGTGCCATTACAAAACACTACCCATACTCCCAAAGAAAGAAAGAAATAGAGGGGCAGAGGCTAGAATAGTATGGTATGGTGAGGTGAGGTGAGATGGAGAAAGGTAAATTAAAAGAACGTTCAGGTGGAGGTCAGGTCTACTGTATTTGATTTATTTCATTGTTATTATTCTAGGAGTCTGTATTTTCAAGTGTGACAGACAAGGGAAGGGGAGTTAGATAGACTCTTATTTTGGGATTCTGAGGGTTTGTGAGTCCTAAGTAGGTATTGTACTATACTGTACATTCTCTGCTATAAATATTTTGGTATCTTACAATGCATTGCATTGCGTGCGGGTTCTATATGGCGTTCTTACAATCTCCCCTCTTGTTCTTCCCGTTCGCATACATCCCCCATTTTGTTCGCTTTATTGGAAATGAGAATCCAATCCCAAACATACAATGAGACTCCTCATCTCATAACATCCAAGATCGGCTCAGGAAGCCCATCTGTGCTCCTCTTCATATCCGTCTCTTCCTACTGCTTTCCATTGCCCTTTCCAGACCCCGAAACGAGCAACACCACACTCCCCAGCTGCCTCCTAACATCCTCATGCTCAACATCATGCGTATCCTCCACCTGACCCCACATCCTAGTCTGCCAATCAACCTCCAAACTCGCCGCCCTCGCCGCCTCCTCCACTCCAAACTTTTCCTGTCCCTCCCCACTTCCCACCCCTTCAACCCCCTCCCTCAAATATCCCAACCCCTCACTCCACTCCACCACCAACCTCGCCGCGCCCAACATCCCCTTCCCAGCAAGAACAGCCCTTTCAAGACCCGCCAACTCCCAAGCCGGCAACCCCACCACCCACCCCATGATCACATCCCTCGTCGCACCCGGCTGCGGCCTCGGCAAAATACTCCCCTCATCAAGAACCTCCACGATCTCCACGCCCGGCCATACCCGTTCCGTCAAATACGAAATAATCGGCATAGCAGTCCTCTTCTGAATACTCCGGAGATCCTCCGCCTTCCTACTAGCATGGTCTTCATACCCGGGCGGATCAGGCGACGCAGGAGGCGCCCAGCAGAGGAGGGAGTCAGTGTCGAGGTATCGGATGAGTGTATTTGCTATTCCCGAGCGGATTGGGCCTGGAGTGTTGGAGGAAGGGGAGGCGTCCTCGTCGGCGATGTCGAGGGCGCGGGAGACGAGGGAGGTGAGTGGGATGAGGTGGTGTTGGAGGGCTTGGTGGGCGGAGGTGAGGAGGTCCCATTCTAGGGCGATGGCTGTTGCGAGGGCGGGTTTGGAGCGGGGGATTGTGAGGATGGCTTTGGAGGGGCGGCGGAGGGGGCGCGTGTCGAGGTGGATTTGGAGTCCGTCTGGTTCGGATATATATTAGCATCAGTCTTTCCGTTCCCAGTACCTCTGCTCGCCCAATTGATAAAGACCTCCACCCAGAAAATAATCGGCATAAGAAAAAATCAACTCACCATCCACCTCCACAACCCTAACCTCCTTCCAAAACCTCTTCGTCTTCGCACTCCCACCCCCCGTCCCCCCCGCAATAGCCTTCAAATCCAACCCCCTCTTCATTAACTCCGCCTGTTTCCTCCGTCTCGCAACCCTCGAATCGACATGTTCGGCGCTGGGGACGGGTACCTTGGGCGGTGGACCCGACGCTGTGAGAGGTTGCACTGTGGCCGGTTGGGCTGTCGTGGTGGAGATATATTGCGTGCGGGTTCTTTGCGTGGTTTGCTGGATGGGGAAGACTGAGAGGCGGAGAGATGGAGAGTAAGAGGAGAGCCGGAGGGAGGCTAGATGGGATTGAGTTATACGTTTCATTGTTGCGGTTGTTGTGGTGTGGTTGTTGAATATATGTGTGTTTGTTGAGATGGAAATTCGAGTGAAGTTGAAGCTGCAGAGAGCTTCATGTTTGCGAGGTTTGATTGGTCTTGGCATACACACCTCGGCTTACCTACCCTGTCCATCCTCCAGACTACACACTTCAAGGAGGTCACGATTTGAAGATAGATAATGAAGAAGTATAGGTTTCTTAGACGATTGATTTCAAGATGCTTGTATTCTTAATCCGTGCTTTTGAAGTTTATGAACACGGTCTTATTGATCATAACGAGAATTCATCAATTTCAAACTGCCACTCCGCTACGCTTTACAGCATAGACACATAAAACATCCACCCATCATCCACCACCATCACCATATATACGCATTCCCTCAACCTCTTTCCCATCTCGTAGTCGTACCTATCTAGAAAATCTCCTCCACCATCCTCCAAGCCTCCCCACTCCCAGCCTTCTCCCTCTCCTTCCAATACTTACCATTAAACTCCCAGTACGCCTCACCCGTGATAGGACACTTCGCCTTATGGAACCAATGCGGCTCGAACTCCTCACCCTTCTGCTCTCGCTCCCTCCTCTTAGCACGCTGCTTCTCCTCAACACGGTTCTTCTCCGTCGCTGCGAAGTCGTACTCTCCGTCTTCCATGGCACGTTGATCTGGGCGGAGACGAGTATCTGTAGGTGGAAGCCATGGCTCGAGTTGCTCGTTGATATCGTTGAGTGTTACAACGAAGGGTGTGAGGTTGAATGGGATTCCGGTCGGTCGGGCATTGGCCTCCCAGACGATGAAGGCTTGGTTGGGATCGCTGACGCTACCGCGGTGGTGCATTCCTCCGTGCTTGGGTTCCTCAACAGTGGCTTCGTATCCCGGGGTGAATCGAGCATAGATCTTGTTATTCCATCGGCCACCAAGACTGAATCGAGTTTGGCCCTTGGCATCATTGACACGACCAGTGATTTGGTATGCGCTAGAGGCTTTCCATCCACGAGCCTTGAAATCAATCAGACAAGTCTCGCTTGTCGTCCAGTTCTTGACTTCCATAGGTCCATAATTGTCGACTGTCGGCGATCCAGTGATGATGCCAATGACAGATGAGGTGACCTTCTTCCAGGTGTAAAAGTCCTCCGTACCATCCGCTGCACGTAACTTAAGGAACCAAGTACCAAGTGGGTTGATGTCGAAAGATTTGCCGTAAAACTTGGACTTGACGGCAGACTCTCCATAGTATGTCCATTTAGGTGACTCTGCCCAAGCAGCTCCGATGGGTGGATGATGGCTGACTTGTTCGATGAAGAATCGATAATTCTTGTCTGGTCGAACATACTCGAAGGTCTCTCCCAAAAGCGGGTTGAATGGTTTGGCGACACGACCAATCGTTGAAGCGTACTCACTAGCAGCAAAAGCAGCCACATATACCATACGCTCAGTGGAGTCAGTTCTGTCAGCGGCGATATCAAGGAGATCGGCATACTCCATATCCTCAGCACATCGCTGTAAGAGAGAAGTTGGTTCGTTGAAAGAAACAGGAAGCGTCATCTTAGTCATATCCTTCCCAATCATAGACTTGAGAATACCCTGCAAATCATTAGCAATTTAATCAAACCAAATACAAATGAACTTACCCAGAGCGAGATCTTCGGCCTATCATCAGCATCCATCTTCAGCTTCTTCCGGATACCATTCTCATATCCTCTGAATGAGGGACTCAGATCAACAGTATCGACCGCAGCCACATCCGTCTTCTCATCTCCCTTCTCGGCGTCCTGTTTCGGAGGTGGGCTATGCGCTGGTAGTGGCAGCATCGGGGCAACCTGAACTTCTCCAGCGTCGACGGCATCAAAGAACTCATCGTCTTCCTCCTCATCAGTATCAGACAATGGGCCAACTTCCTCGAGGATCGATTTGCGCCGCATGGAGCTCTTAGAAGTCGACTTGCGTCTTAAAGCCTTGCCTTCCTTGTCGAGAGGTACCTCATCAAGCGCATCAGCGAATTCGTCTCCCTTCAAAGGCTCTCCTCTACTCTCTGGTCTGCTCGTTACAGCAACACTGCCGGACTCAATGACTTCACGCAGAGCTCGTTTAGTCAGCTTCCGCTTCTCTTCTGATTCACCAACTCTCGCCTCCAGAACCTCCTGCTCGCGAGCCACCTGCGCCATGCTATCTTCCCACATACGTCTCATATCGGCTTCACGATCAAGACGATATTGCCAGTACGCATCTCTGTCCTTTGAGATCTTCAAGAGATCCCCAACGAGACCCTTTAAGTTTCGAATCGATGAATCGTAGGTCTGAGATGCTTGCATCGCAACAGGGTCAGAGATCAAAAGGTTCGGGTTCCGCACTTGCTCGGCTTGAAGCGCTGCGTTGACCTGTCCCATCATATCCAGCTGTAATTTTGCAGACTGAGCTGTAATCTCGAATGCATCTTTGCTTGCTGGAGTTTCGCGGTCGCTGGAACCTTCACCGTACTCATCCTCGTCGTCACCATCGTCCCCACTAGGCCCAAAGTTACTTGGAACTTTTCCAATATCGCCCATGTAGCTGGGTTCGTACGAGCCGTAATTGGTGGCTTCATCGTCGTCTGCCACGCTTGTACCACTTGTGAAAGCAACCTTGTGACCTCCGAGCTTTCCCGCACTGGTTTGTGGAATCAAGCGATTGGTTTGCGTGCTGTTCCTCCGAGTATCTGCAACACTCAAAGTATCGCTGTTAAGTTCTGTAGTGGAAGCTTCCTTCGCGAAACTATATCCAGAATGTTCGGCCTTTGCTTGTCTGAGCAGCTCTGCGCTTCTTTGCTTCTGCCTCTCTTCCTCCTTGGCCTGATCCTTGGTCCACTGGATGGAATTGTTGAGTGCCCAGAACCATCTCTTAGCTTCAACTTCATGGTTGGCTTTCAAATGGTACTTGACCGATGACTTTCCAATGATGTCAAACTTGGTCTTTTCAGTCGGGTCCATGTTCAGCCTAGCAATCTTCATATTGATCGCCCCACGGCAAGCAGATCCGGAGTCGTCCTGATGCTTATAGTAGCTCATGACACCATCTTCTAGCACGAACCACCGCAACTGGTATCCTTTACGATAATTTGTCCACTTCTTCAGGTATCCCTTCATCTCGCGACCGTCCTTCCCGGCAAGTGTATCTCCAGGCGCAGATCCAGAACCTCCCTGTTGAGATGCATTTCCTAGGACAGCCTTCTCCTGGATACCCCGTTGAGCAGCGACTGCTGCTGGAGAACGCTTCAACATAGCTCTTGTAGTATCGTCCTTGGTGACGTCTTGTGGGAGTTTGCCCTTTCGATCGCGACGGAATGGGTCGGCTCCGTGGAGCAGCAAAACTTGAATTAGTTCCTTATCCTTCTTCTTCGCAGCCTCATGCAATAGTGTACCACCAGCCTGGACGATACCAATATCAGATGCAAACTCTCCACCATTGATATCCAGAACCATCTTCACTCTTGGCTCCTCCAAAACTTCTCCCAGCCTCTTGTAGTTTCCCTGTGCAACTAAAGCCTGTACATGTCTAATCTTGCCATCAACGAAAATCGAACGTGAAAGTTGTAGCTGCTGGAAAATATCTGGTGTCCGAGCCATATCGAGTGGTAGCTTGCCTTGGTAGTTTGCAATAGAATCATTGATACCATTCTGATCAAGCAGAAGCCGCACAACCTGTCCTCTTCCCTGCGACGCAGCTAGATGCAACGCAGTGTTTCCTTCTTTATCTCTAGCATTAATATCGATTGTTCCAGCACCATCAGACAACACGTATTCCACAACGGGAAGCTCTGCGCATTGTATTGCAAGGTGTAGTATAGTTGTGTCTTCCAAACCAGACGACCCTGAGCCAGTTGCACTGGAAGTGCTCATACGCGTGCCATCTGATTCACGAATTGCCTTTGCAATTGCGGCCGTATCACCACTTCGGAGCGCCTCAAATATACGGAACTTCCTAACGGACGACTCAATCGACGCCGTCTTCTCTTGTGGTGGGGGTGGTGCCGTCATGGTTCTAGGGGTCTGGACGTTGGAGGTCGATCGCATCAACCCCGCAGTTCCTGTCGACGGTTTCTGGACGTGGTGTCGCTGCGAATTGTGGTGTGAGAGGGAAGTCGACGAAGGACTCTTGCTTGGTAGTTGTGAACCAGATCCGTCCTCGGCGTTCTCTTCTTCTTTCCCCTCCTTACGTCGTAGCAGGGAAAGTGCAGACGACTTATTGCGCTTGTGACTAAGTATCGACATTGTCAGCGAGGCCAAAGCAGAGTTACACTTTCGAGCACCGGGTAAAACAAAGAAGCTGCGATAGACTCGAGAAGCTTTCTTTCTGGCTGGGGAGGTTCGAGCACATATACTAACCCTTCACCTGCTTCTGACATCTTGCTATCCTTTTATCGCCGAGTCTTTAAGCAAATCGGAGGGCTTTGATGCTTGTAAACCGGAGAAATCTGAGACTCGATTAGGGATTACGTCCAATCCATGCGGGAATGCTCACTGGAGTGAGCAAGGATTCATAAGTAATAGACACACACCTTTGAGCTTTCTTGATCTCACAGTGGCCAGAATCTGGCCAGAAACGGGCGGGAAGTGCTAGGTATCGGTCGTACTGTATGCAGTGTAGTGCAGGGCAAGATTCGTGTTCTTCTGCTGCGGTGCAAGAATGGCGCAGGCACCGTACGTTTTTGTATCTCTATCGTGTCCTTCTCGCCTCTCCGTTGTACGTGGTAGGGAGTTTGATCAGCAGAAAGAGAAGAGAAACAGAAATGTGCCCGCACGTTGCACCCTCTGGCCTGTGAAAAGAGGGGGAGTGATGAGGGGGAGCAGTTGAGTAGTGAGGTAGTGAAGTGTGAACGAGTGCTGTCTGCTGTCTGCTGTCTTGTCTGGAGTGGGAGTTCAGTTCCAGGTGCAGGTTGGCTTGGCTGCTCGATTCAGGGATTCAGGGATTCAGCAGCGCGAGAGGCAGCATGACGTCTTGGGAAGCGAGCAAGAGCAGACCAACTCACACGTGATTGGTGCGGTGAACGGCCCGAACATGGAGACGGATCGCCGAGCGAACGGGCGGGAGTCTCGTCTGGCAATTATCAATTATCAATCATTTATCCGGGAGAAGTGATGCAGCGCAGCGAAGATCAACAGCTTCATCTGGTGCTATTTTGCTACTGGTGTCTTACGTGCAACCACCATGAACACCAAGATACGCGAATGTAATCGCATCATAAAGTACGAATAGGATAAAAGTAAGACCTAGCAGTTGACTTTGTCTTCCAGTGGCCGAATAAGAAGAGACAAGAAAGCACAGCAAGGTACGCGTCAATCTCACTCAGATGCCACCCGCTTCTCTTTTGCCACTATGATATCTCCAAAAGGCAAAGCGAGAAGGAACAGCTCTACGAATAATCAGTCAGCTTGAGCTCTCGGCACTAGAAAGAGCAAGCACGTCGCCAAATCCACCCGTTGGAGCCTGTCAGAATGAACGAGGAGATATTCCCGTCCTTACATTTAGAGTACGAAGCTCTAAGCCACCTTATTCCACGCACTTCTCAAACGGCCTCAGAAGTACGAGTTTACGAATGCAAAAGTTTTCTGACAAACTTTCTGAATTTATTCGGCAGCTGTTCTAACGAAGGGTAACCGTCGCTGACGACAAAGTCCCGAGTTTCTTAAGCACTCGCTTCACTGTTGAAGCTTTCTGCTGGCCGAGCTGGCTTAATATAACACAGCCGATCCAATAGCACAGCATCTTCATACGGAACTCTAATATGCGCCTTGACTACTCTCTCAGAAGCTTTTGTCAGAAAGCATTTGTCTTTCCCCTTTTACTTTAAATGGGATCATTACTCTGGCTCGCGCCGGTTACACCGCAGGATACCATAGACTCGTGCAATTGCAGATCGACACGGACTGTCCGGACTTCCAAATATGCACTAGCCTCTTCACTGATGTTTTTTAAACACCACTGCATTGACTTACTGTGTATTTGTAGCACTGTGAATTAGTTCTTCTGCTTCTCAATGTTGTGTTTTACCTTCCATTTATTTGTTTGCTTGTTTCTACATAACTCTTCCTCGCTCCGCCAGTTTCCTCCCTTCTCAGCAAGATTATCACCAGCTCAATTAATGAAGATCTTAGTCCCAGCATCTCAATACGAGATACATGATGCTCACCACGATCAACATTATCTACAAGCAGGTCGCCTAGCAAACATTGATAGCATGCCTAAGCCAAGGAGAAACCAACATCCTCTCTTCCGCAGACCAACCATAATACTGAAATCATGATTTTTGAGAGGTCAAACCTTCATCCAGGAGTGTCAACTCAGTTACCCGTATTTGCTGGACTGTCGAAGCCGCAGCCGTGTACTTGTCAGGGTTACGCCACCTTGACCTCGTTCCTAGAACCTAAATCAGAACCAAAACCAGAACAGACGCCTTTCCGATCTTGGATTTCCTCCGGAAAGCTAAGACCGATGCCGACTTTTGTATTGCTGGATTGCTGGATTGCTGGACACCTTGAAGACTTTCCGAATTGAATAGTGTGAGGGCTGCATAATCAGCATCCTGGTGCTCGTCATACCATTTCATACCCGCACCGTAAGTATTGGACTGGAGGTATTGAGGAGGGACGTAGTCGTCAACAATTCCCGCGCTCCAGGTGCCATACTATGCCTGCCCTGGCTGGATATCAGTATAAATTCTTTCTCCTGATTCAAAACACAACATACAATCTTCTTGTGGGAAAGCACTAGTACCATTTCATACTCGCCCTGGCTGATACGTCAAGAGAGTATTGAAGTGGAGGTATTGAGGGGTCCGTATCCGCCTTGTGGGATACCCAAGCCCACGAGCAAGGTGTTCCATGTCAGAACGTACTGGGCCGCCTTCGGAATGGTAACCCGCGTACTCGTATGTGATGCTGCTCTTTGGACTGGGAGAGCGAATCGCTTCCCGAATCCAGTTATACACCCATGGCATGGCTTGCTACTTTTGTTCAACTCCAAACTTCAATTTTCGCCGTTGCTGTCGACACTGCTGAATCTTCCCTCAATGGCTGCTGCGATTGAGGGCTGCCACCGTCGATCCTTCATACTCTCCCAAGTTTGGCGGCATCAGTGCTTGCTCATTAGGATGTGTGTAATTGGTTTCGAGGGTCTTGGAGTATCTTGCGCATTGAGCGCTTGGTACAAGGGCGTAACGAAGTTGCTTCCCTCGTCCAGCTCTTGGGCACAGAGAACATTACCCCTCTGGGCTGTTCGTCGGCGGTCTCAAAGCAGGCAATCAGCCGACTGCTTATTCATGGTACCAGGCCCGAGCCGCTAGGTTCATGTTGAGATTGGGGTGTGTCCTATTGCAACTAAGAGTCAACTGTGTTGCTCTCTCAAATGGCATCTCCTGGCTGTACTTACACCCCATCTGAGTGAAAGTACAAACATGCCCTCATGAATCCACTTGTCGCAGTAGATCTTTTCGCGACGGCGGAGCGTCGCTGTGAAGACTAGGATCGGTGAGGGCGGTGCCTATGTCAAGTGACTCGAAGCTGTTGCTTGAACTGATACATACCAACAAGTTGATGCGATGACCACGGCGCGTCGAGAGGCCAGACCTAGAAAAGACACATCCAGTATACTCTATGAAGGCTTGCGGACGGTCACATTGTCGGTCGGCAAAGAGAGAGCACAGACGCCGTGACACATCATGCCAGAAAACTCAACAAGTATTGTAGACGAGATCTTAGACAGAAATTAGTCATCTTGTGTCTCATGATAGAGATGATAGTTTCTTACCTTGAATTATCGCAGGCCATCTGGATGGTATCTACGGGGCACCGGTTGAAATCTCAACATGCGGAGTGTTTACTTGCTAAGCGAAGCCAGGCCCCAGGCTAGAAGAAATGCCAGCATTGACGAATGTGACTCGGGCTTACTTTAGGGCAACGATAACCATAGAGGCTCTTGTATAATGGAACCTGTATTGTCCGGCATATTTGAACTGGTGTGAGGGGCGCACGCGAGTAGTGTGCAGATGATACTCTGTGTTCGTTCGGCGTAGAAGCTATTCGGCTCCAGGTCGAGGAAGTTGGCAGATGAGTAGCAGTTTGATCTTGAGGTGACAGATGATGTGTTCTAGTATAGTTGCTGTGCGAGGGCTTGTTGTCTTCTTGAGGCACCCTTTTTGGAGAGGGACACATCCCCTTTGCCACTATCAGTAGCGCGCAGTCAAGAGGCGGTGCTCTGCACTCCCGACCTGCAAGGCTTTGGTTGATGCTAAAGGGCAAGTAGCTTCATGTGACCATGTTGCGATCTCAAGAAACTCTTCTGTGCTTCGAAACTTGCCGGTTGTATTCTAAGGTATTGTTTGGTGTAGAGTAAGACGAGCTAGGCAATGCAGTTATGGGAGGGCAGCAGCCACAGCCAATAACTCTGGTGGCCCTGGTACCACCCTTGAAATCTTGGTATGACCCAAGCATTGTCACACTATAGGAAGTGCATCCAAGGAATTGGACTTGGTGCTTCTCAGCAAAGAGTGGAGTGGACCGTTCAACTACATCGCCTGTCAGATCATGCGTCTCCTTCAAAGAAGACATTCAACTTTCAACTTACTGATAAGTAGCTGCGAGAGAATTGTAATGACATTGTTCTAGCGTCGACCGTATCTCAGACCAATGATTCTCAAGAGAGACGTCAGCCGAGTGCCCTCCGGTACATCAGAGAATATGCTGCACAGAGAAAAGGGAGAAGCAAAGTGTATCGTCGAGAGGGATAATTTCAACCAACATGGTAGGATCGTGGAATCTGCACGAAAGGTGGAGGGAGGCGTTGCAGCGTGAACAATGAATAGGCAGCGGCCAATACTGGTCCCCCAAGCCATCATTGTGATTGATGGCGTGATATGTTGAGATCGAAGAGGTTGTGACTTGCAATTCCGAGCTTTGTAGCAGAGTGAGAGACGAAGCTGAGATTGGAGGTAACTTCTGTGGCTTCTACACTAGTTTTCCAATATTCAGAGTAGGAAAACAGGGTATAGAGATGATCGAGATTGTTTGAGTAATGTCGTGGTTCTTGGTGTCCGACCTGTGTGGGGGTTCTAGCTGGGGGTAGGCATCTTCGCTCTGCGACCAGGTACAAGTCAGCTTACATTCTCACACGATACGCTTCTTCGTCAGACGGACGTGCAAGTAAATTGATGACCTCGTTGTAGTGAGAAGTTATCGTTGATATCTAGAGGACAATTACGTGATGGGTTTTCTTACTTAAGGGTCTGATCGATTCTTCAGCCTCTACAAACGCTGCCGCCGTGGATCGTCGTCCTCAAGTTCGGCATTGTTGCAGAAGTTTGACAGCCAGCTGTGACACTACATTAGAAGCTCTTGGATCTTGCTGCTGTACTCCAAGCTGTTCTCTGGTCTTTCGAGGCGCTCGAGTGATGATCGAGGCCGACGCGTCTTGAGGCAAGAATCCGAAGAAGCCGAGGAGCAGTCAGTAGAGCAAGTGAAGAGGCAGGGCAGCGAGGTAAATCTTGACTATACTGCTATTGAGAGAGATGGAGGAGGGTTGGGGGAGGTTGACTTACTGGGAAGAGTAGATCTGGAGAGAAGCCGCCATCGCTCTGATGAAGAGGGAAACTCGCAGGCACTAGCTGCAAGCTCTTTGTTGGAATCTGTAAAGAGAGTATGCGCGTCACCAAGAGTGTTTCATGCCGAGGAGTTGATGGAAATGGTGAGTTGCGTTGATGGATTTGCTGTGTTTTTGGTGATGGTGCTGTGGAAAGAAAGGAAACTTCGTGGGGGGCGAGATGGACGAGAAGGTGACTGCACGTCCGGGGACACTTTCGAATTATGACTAGGGCTACAACCCCTCTCCAATTCGAAGAGATGAAAAGGTCGGGAAAGTCATAATCAGTGGGAAGATTAGGCATACATGTCTCAAAGTAGCGTTTCAGTGTCTAATAATCTCCATAAATTCTGTAGCTTTTGATGAATTGCATTCCAAGCAGCCCCAAGCTTGTTATGGGTATTCGTGGAGCACGTATACACAACAACATATTCAACAGCGTTTCAGTCGTTTCATTAGCGACAAGAAATCACATCACAACTGTGAAGATGATATTGGGTAGACAAAGATGCGAAATCTTGTATGTTATCAAAAGACCGACACTCAGACTTCCATTTCTTACGTCCCAACATGAATTGCAAAGAGGTCGATGCAGTTCTTGAACTAATTATCTTCCCCATTGTCTAATCTCTCACAACTGGCAAACATTCAGCATGTTTTATCCTGCTTCATTGTCCCGCTGAACATCGTGGAAGCCAGGAACAACCCAAGGAGGAAGGTAACACTCCGAAGATACAGTACCAGAAAATCTATTTCTCGAGATCAATTTGGCTCACATTCCCACATATCAGCTACTAAACAGATACCCATCAGTGCCTATAGTCTCATGTACTCCAATAGGTCTTTAGCTCAAAGCCCAAGGGAGCTACCTGCCTTTAGTAATTATGGATTTGGAACCTGCTTTTGGCTCCCTCACGAGATATGGTACCTAAAAGCACAAAGAATGAATGTTTCTGACAAATTGTATGGAGTCTGGGTCTCCTTTGGTTAGCCTTAACTCCAGTTTCTTGGTCTCACTTGCACAAGTAGTGACAACATTCTTTTCCTTTCTCTGTTGACATTACGTTGTCCTCAGTCTTGTCATCTTGCCCATACACGGCAAGAACACGAGCAACAACAAGGCAAACCAATTAGAATAGAGCCTAATACTGACAGTAGAAAGTGCGTTCCAACGTTATTGGGACACTTGAAGTGCCTCCGGGGTCCTAGATACTGTACCCCGCAATTTTCAACCCCAAATTACCCCGCCACTCGTGAGACGGGTCAACTACTCTCAATTGCACAGGTGACGGGAAAGCCCAAGATAGCCAGATATGCCAAATGATAAGCTACTCTTCTTACCCTCTTCTACGTTTGAATTCCGTATCATCTTCCTCGCTTACGTGCTCTTTGGTTGCTAGGGCGGAAATGCTAGCAATCCTTTCACCTTTCCTTTGGGAAGAATGCACAGATCTCGGTCTTGTGTCGAGGCTATACCCCGAAAGCGTACAAATGAATATGTCGGAACTTCCACCTGTAAAATCTGGTCACAATTTGTCATTTCGGATCAGAAGGCTGAATGCCAAGTAGAGTTGCTGTGGTGGCGCTTCGTATTCTATTATCCAGATTTACCCTCGGCCCGGATTTGTGACACCCAAAACTATTTGTGGATACACGTATGTGAATAATCCATTCAAAACATAAATAGAGCCGTCTGGTCATAGTTTCTGTAATAGATCGTATTCTGGAACTGATCCGCCTTGACAGTGTTCAGTACTTCTATTCAACAGGATGTTGTTCAATATCTTCACATTGGGAGCTTCCATACTCGTGGCCTCAGCTACAGCAAGCGAGTTCTTCTGCGGAGTGAACACTAAAGGAGGATGCTGTGCTCAGTTTTTCACAAACACCTTTGATCAATACGCTTCTGGGGTCGGATGTCAGTACCCATACTCTTCATTCCACTTCTCAAGAAATTTACATCTACTTGAACAACATTTTAGAAGCATAGTTGACATAAACACCTTAGGTGAGTTTGCAATTTCAATAATACCATCAACATCGACAGTTGGTGACACTGAATGGAGCTGCAATGATGGACTCAACCCAGGATGCTGTAGTCTGGACGTAAGACATGAACCTCTTCCCGCCTGATATATCAGATCTAAAGAAACAGGAGCTGACATATAGCCATATAAAGGGAGTGGATAGACCACCAAGTCCTTGGTGGTGCGACTTGAGACTTCACGCAAAAGACGGCTCCATCCCAATGTCACCCACAGCTTCTAGCTCTACAACTCGGTCCAGCTCAACTACTTCATCAAAAATTTCAACCTCGACGACCATCTCAACAACGAAGAAATGTACCTCGACAAGAAGATGGTAGGAACCAGTTGCATGGGCAAAGGGGAGTCAAAGTCAACCTCAGAAGCAAATATTTAATCTCTTGAAGTGTTATCATGAATAAATTACTATTTGGGCATGAATTCAAGCATTGCACGAGCTTGGCCAGTTGAATGACCGAGATCACAATATCTGAGATGCGTTCACAAAAGCTTACCCGAACCCCAAAAGTGAATCAAACTCATCCCACGCAACACACCACATCGTATCTCACCTTCAAGCCCTCGTCAAAAGATCGAGTAACCCTTACACATAACAAATTACGCAAATATCTCCCTCCGAAAGGCACACGACAACGCCAAAACACACCAACTAGCAAGTTAACGGGAAAAGAGACACTTGCTTCCGGCCGATGTAAACCCCAATCTTCAAAATTCTTCCCGGAAGAGTTTCTACGAAGGCATTCCTGAAAAGGGTGTCTTCCGAGTTTTGCTTCTCCAGGCTACGAATTTTGGATTTTCTTTTGGTGGCTTGTTTTGTTTTTTGTTGCTTGGGATTAAGCGAGGCTAGATTTTGTGGGTCTTCGCACTGCTAAGTAGAATGTAGAATGGAAATTTGACTCACTTTTAAGGATGGCGGCAGAGGAAATTAAAAGGGTAAGAGTGTATTAGATATCTCGTTTGTTGTCTGTGCCCCCTTGCGAGCTGTGAGATCACCCTGGTCTGCTTGTGTTCAAGAATTGGCGATCTGAGGACGACAGCTCGAATGATGCCTCCCTTTCTTGTTCATACACTTGAAGGCTAGGCCGAGCAATCTTTGTTTTGGTTGTCTAGATGATGCTTGAACTTTTCTCCTCGGAAAAGTGACGCATTGCTGTAGTTCCACTTCCATTTCGTTCCAATGCTTCGCTCATGATTACCACTATCCCGCTTTCTTGTAGCCCGTCACTACAGCATCAACCAGATGCAACACAAAACGCTTACGCTCATATAAGTCATCCACTTTTAGCTTGACCTCTCCTTCCTGATGCTCCGCATGTCCAACCTCCCAAAAGCCCTCGCAACATCCCTCATACTAGCAGGTAACCTGCGACCATCGATCTCGTGCCCGAAAATTCGAAACGCATGCTTCAATATCCTATACCCCGCTCTCAACCAAAGATACGCACCACTTGCATTTTTCAGTACAATTTGCAGAACCGTGAAGAGATATGATGTGATAAATGATGTTTCCCATGCCAGACCATCTGTTTTCCCTGTGATACCATCCAAGCGAATGGCTAAGCCTCGGATGGACTTTATGTAATGGCGGATAATGTGATATTGGTTCCGACTGCCTAACGATTCCCACGAACTCGAGCCATGGCGGAAATCCCGATGCAATGCCGCTATTGCCAGAATCGCATGTCGTACACAAGGCTCGGTGTGGAAGACTTGCAGAAGTATGTCCCATACGGGATCCATGAACTCGTGTAGCCCGTGTTTATCTGCGGACGCCAGTACGAGCCACTGGAAAGACTGGCCGTCTCCTGGAGAAAGTGAGAAGTGGGGCAAAGGTGCCGATGGATTGGCAGTAAGACCCAGGCTTCGAAGCTGTCTGAAGTATGGTAGGGAAGTGGTACGAAGAGGAGGACTTGGAGGTTGGGTCCTCGTTATGGGTAGATATCTAACTGCTGATGACTCGCAGCTCAATGGTTCGATACTGCATGGCGGCAATTGAGGTTCGATGACTTTGACCTTTTCATCCTTAAGTCTGGAAATTGTTAGCTCGAGTGCAGAAACTGGCAGCAGAAGACTCACTTGCACAGATAGCATGAACTTTTACCCCCTCGGGAAGATGGCCTCTTGATCTTCCCTGGTGGTGTCACGGAAAAGTAATCCTTCTCAGAACACTCTCCCCTTTTCCAATACCCCTCCTTTTCATTTTCCACATCAGTTGCCTCCTGATTAGAGACCTTTCTCCTCATACTATGACTGCTTTTCAACACCGAGGCTACCATTCTCGTCTGGCCAGTAACTCTCCATGTTAATCTCGCAGAATAGAACGCACAACTAATTGAGGAATGATCCTTCCCCATCCTAAGCAAAGACGATGCGGCATCGACCAAAACAATCAAGCCAAAGTATTAAGAAAATCGTCATCCAAATCCAAACTCGCTGGGAAGTCATCAAAATACATTCAACAAAACACAGAACTGCTCCATAACGAACTCAAAAGCTTCACAGAAACAATGCAAACAAACAAGACAGGAAACCACAACGAGAAAAAGAAGACAAACAGAAAAAGAAGACTCTTGGTACCGGCTGAGTCCTTTCCACCAACGCAGCATCAAATTTCAACTCCCCTGCTACCATCGGCAAAAAGCATGGAGGGGTGACAGGCCCGTATTGGATACCATAAGCTGAGGCTGTAGCGCTCCAGACTAGATCGGGATGATCTGCGTCAGGGGCTCGAAGTGCATGCGTTTGAACACGCGCCCGATGGGGATCTGGGTTCCGAAATTAGGGGCAAAGACATGGTTTATGCAGCGAGAGTGCGGGGTGTGTTTCTGGACGTGCTGATGCCGGATAGATTGATTTGATTGATAGCTGAAATTGGATACAAGAGCGGCCGAGATGGTACGTTTCGACGAGGGAGGGGGCTGTTGAAGATTTGGACGAGTGGTCGATTGGCGAAGGAGAGATATGAGAATTGATAATCACCCATTTGCAAGGGTTCTGTAGATCATATTATGCCTTGGGAATTACCATCGGATTTCCAGAAACGTATTCCGGTACGAAGGAGCTTAATGGAAGCGTTTTGCCATGACCGGTAAAGAATTAAAATCCAGCTCTAATAGTCGGTTCCCCTTTCAACCTTCGGGGACTCAGCGAGTGCCCGCAGCTTCACAGAGGGGAACCGACTATTAGGGCCAATCGCTTTTCTGAACAGCTTTGCTTTGATTCATCCCTGGAGCAAAGGCTTCCCAGACGACACCAACACAATCGACCGTCAGCATCCAACCGAGGTAAAAAACAGGTACTAAAACAAATGCGAGAAACACCCATGTTCAATATATAATTCTTACCAAAGTTGACTGCTTTTTGGATAGAGGGGGCTCATGCACGAATTTCTTCCAATCTCTGATTCCTGACCACCAATCATCATGTTTGTTGATATCTGAAGATGGGGTTTATTTACATATGCTCTGATATTGTATGTTCAAAGAAAGCCGTTGATTGAGAAATATCAGTAGTTATTGATATTGACGGAATTCGGATGTTGACTCTGTGATGCCAACTTCCCGTACCAGAAAGAAGAAAGAAACTGCCCTCTCAACCCTATGTGAAGATAGTCCACACATTCTCATTCTAGTAACGGCCCATTCAAGTGATATGACTTATTCACATCAAACTCTTGAATACTCAATTATTTCCCCTCCACTTCAGTTTCCTTCCTCGAACTCCCCAAACACCTCACTCAACAACCAACGCAACAGCAAACCCATCCCACCCCTTCGGCCCAACCGTCTGCAGCGCCGTCGCCTCCACCCTCCTCTCCCCCCCAATCCTCTCAAAAACCTCCCAAACCCCCCTCCTCGACCTCTCCTGCCCCTCCTCCACACTCTCCCCCTCAACCCTCAACACCCTCCCCTGCCTCACCACATTATCCACCACAATCACAGTCCCCACCCTCGAGAACTTAAGCGCATATTCAAAGTACCCCGGATTGTTCTCCTTATCCGCATCAATAAACACCAGATCAAACGGCTCCGTGCCCTCCTCTTCCATTTTAGCGAGAGTATTCAGCGCTGGCCCGACTTTAACTTCCACGATATCGGAGAAGCCAGCGCGGGAGATGTTGCCACGTGCTATGTCTGCATGGCGCTGGTCGACTTCCAGAGAGATGACTTTCCCTTCTGGGCCAACAGCTTTAGCGAACCAGAGGGCGGAGTAGCCGCCTAGAGTTCCGATCTCGAGGATGTGTTTGGATTTGTTGATGCGGGCAAGGAGATGGAGGAATTTGCCTTCATTGGGGTTTACGTCTATGGCGGCGAGGTTGGATGAGGCGTTTGTTTGGAGGGTGGAGGTTAGTGCTGGGTCGGGCTTGATGAGTGATGAGGAAATCCAGGCGTCCACGGCGTTGAATTTGGCGTAGGTTTCGGAGGGGAAGATGTGTGCTGACATTGTTATTGGCAGGGGAGAGTTTGGATGAGCTGAAGTTGGTGATATGTGTGATATTATATAGAAATACAATTTCTGTCTCTTGAACTAAGTTCTGTACTTGGTCAAAAAAAAAAAAAAAAGGATGAGATTAGGAAGAGGACTAACTCATAGCTCTTTATACGCATTCCCCCAATGGTATGAGATGATGCACTATCTCCAGAACTGTCAAATTCGTCCGTAAGCTCTAAACCTATTCCTCCGATTAAGTCATTTCCAGACTGACTGACTCCTGACGCGCATACACATATCTACGGCTACGGAGTTCAGTGCAATGTTCGTTTCCGAAGCTCTACTCCGTAAGTGACCATCGAGCCAATCGTGAACAATACTGTAAGGACTGGCATCTGTCAACCCCACTTGAAGATCAATCTGATAAGATAGGGGTTGTTGGTCTTGCTGGAGCCGCATGTGGCATGTGAGATGACGCAGCACTACTGTAGCTGTCAGTTGTAGCGTTTATGTTGGTGTTACGTTCGCATCAAGGATTTGTAAGTAAAGAAAAGGTATGTTAAAGATAGGCGCGTTGTTCATGGGATATACTACAAAATACTAGCAGAAAACATAGTGTTCTGGAGATCTATCTCTACGGTCATCCTTTCTGGATGGGAATCTCTGTACATACATATTCTTCATATCCAAACATATGCAAGTCTTAACTAGACATCTTTCCCCTTCTATACCATCAATCAATCAATTCCGCAATACAAGGTCAAGCTGTTACCCTTCCACGGCTTAAGCGCTGCCGACTTGATATTCGACTCTCAGCCCAACATCATCTTGAAACCAGCCAACTCTCAAAACTCCTTCAGAGCCCTCGTAGTATACTTCTTCGGCACCACAAAAAGCGCCCTACTCTCCACACAAACCCTCCCCTCCAACGTCTCCAGCCTCCCCTGAACCCAACACTTCCTCTCCGTAACCCCCTGCTCCGGCACCGCCCTAATTACATAAAAGCTATTCGTCACCACCGGCTTCAAATAGTTCAACTCCAGATTCGCAGTCACGCCCGATTTGCTAGGAAACTGCCTTATAGCGCACCGTCCCAGCGATTCATCCATCACAGTCGCAATCACACCTCCGTGCGTGACACCAGGCCAGCCTGCAATCGCGCCGCCGAACCAGACCACGGTAACAGTCTCGCCTGTTTCGGCATTCTGGAATACGCGTTGATAGCCTCCTAGGGCGCGAGCGCCTGCTAGTGGGCCGGTTGTGAGACGTGCTGAGCGTTCGGGTATGGGGAGACTGGTGTAGGCGTCGTGGGAGGTCCAGGTTGGGTCTGTGGAGAGGGATTGTACGATTGGGAGTTTGGAGGCTTGTGAGGTGAGGTATTCGATCATTAAATCGTCTTCTTTTGTGCCTGCTGGTGGGAGGGGAGGAGGGGCGAGGATCAGTCGTGTGTATTGGCCGGCTGTGAGGCCGATGAGGAGAAATACGGTTGCATATATGTAGGGTCGTAGAGAGCGTTTAGGGGTAGGTTGGATGGAGGGAGAGATTTGTGTGGGCGCTTCAGTAGAAGATGCGAATTGGGACCGTAAGTCGCGGGGTCGACTCTCTGGAGGAGGTGTTGAATAATGTCGGAGTTGCAGCAAGGAGGGTTGTATGAGGCTGGGGATCTTGCGGTTGTGTAGACATCGCTGAATAGGGCGGGATATAGTTGCTCGTATCGCAGAGTACGCAGAGGCACGTATAGGTAATTGAGTGATCATGGCGCAGTTGTGTGAGGTTGGTGGAAGAAGCTGATGTAGAGGCTACGTCGAGGTCCAGCTGCAACTTGACCCTATCATGCCCCTCCCAGGTCTGCAAAACTTCCGCCGAGCAAGATATCGCAACAGGATTCTAAGGGGTTTCGGACGTCCAAACACTGTGGTTCGAGTGTGGAGGGAATGTTGCCGGATTTGTTGTTCTTGATCGAGATGGAGCTCTCGAGCTCACGGAGAAATGTAGCCTCGGCGCAAATCATCTCGGATTCGTATTCGCTTATCTCAACTTCCTTCCCTGAAATCAAACAAATTCTTAGAAATAAATAAAGCTTGAGATTTCATTTTGAAGGGAAAAGAGCCATTTTGCAAAGCGGATGGGAACAAGATCTCATCGAACCAATCACGTATTTTCGAAAGTGGAAAAATCGGGAATGTGACGGGACCTGGTACACAAGTCCCACCCTCTGCGAGACCATAGCTTAACTTGCGTCTGCAGATTTATTTTTCAGTATTCAACGATCTCACAATTTGAGTGAGACAATGTACTCCTATTAGTTACTTCGTTACGAAGACGGAAAAGAGAAATGTGATCATTGATTGAGTGAACAAACACCAAAAGACAGAACACAGTATATGAGTACTCCATTCCGCACAAATTTGCAATCCTCAGTGGATGTTTTTAGCATGTCAAAGATATTCAGACACCTGATTTGATTATATTGTCCAAGAAGGCTTTTATTACCTGCCAGCTCGCCCTCTTGCCTATTAACTTGTCTCTTAGACTGTCATTCTCTAAGATTACTCCCACGAAGTGTAATATCTAAGCAATTACTGGAAATATGAACCCGATCCGTAGCACCACTTTAACCCTTCTAAGCCCTCTTCGCCATTTTCAACCCTCAGATACCTTATCAAAGCAATATTTCCCTTATTCCTCACCCTCCTTTCCATTCTTCTCTTTCTTCCCCTCCAACCCTCTCAAAACCCCCTCCCTCCTCCTCCTCTCAACCTCCAACTCCTCCCTCTCCCCACCCGGCCTATCCAAATAAAAACAAACCAAATCACTCTTCTTCCCCTTCCCCCCATCCTCCCTATCAACCCACAACTCCAAAACATCCTTCAGCGTCTCCCCCCTCCTCGCACCACACCTCATCAAAATATTCTGACTCGCCAGATTCCCTGGGCTGGTTTTACCGACGAGGCGGTTGATGTATTTCCTTTCTATTAGTACATTAATAGGTCAGGCTTTTCCTTTTATTTCTGAGACGTGTTCAGATTGATTGAGAACGGAAGAACAATGGGGAAAAAACATACCCTCCAAACCCCAATACATCTCCAAAAACAGTTTCAACCCCTCCGTCGCAAACCCTCTTCCCCAATACCGTCGATGAATCACATACCCCACTTCCATACCTTGTTCTTTGTACCTATTCGTCCCTACGAAACCGACCATTTCTCCTGCTTTCTCCTTCCTATCTCCCCTCTCGTTCCTTTCCCTATTCCCCTTCTCTTTCCCTTCCCCATCTTCCCCCTTTCCCGTGTTTCCTTCTTCGAGTTGACTCTCTCCATCTCCTCTCGATCCATCCTCTGCGTTTTGACACTTCTCAGTCTCTATGAATACTGTAGTCTGAGCCTGGCTCTGTTCCGTTTCAGAGCCAGAAGCAGGAAGCAACATCAAAGCAAACTTCTCAATATCAGGATTCTCCTCATTCGGCAAGATCCTCTCTAAAAACTCCCTCGACTCTGAAACATTCTTCTTCACTGGGAAGGGACTATTTTTTCGTCAACATCCTCCCTCAGAAGTAATTCAACATCCGCCTTTCCTTCCGAATAAAAGTCTCCAAGAAAGGGAAGGAAGGGAAGGGGAAAGAGCCAGGAGGGAGGAGATAAGGAAAGGATTGAGAGAAAGTGGGAAAGTGGGAAAAACATACAACCACCTCAACGCCTCCTCAAACGTCCATATTTCATGGAAAGCTTCCAGATGTTTTGCAGGGTCTAGGGGCTCGAGATAGAGTCGTGGTTTTGGGTTTGGATTTGACTTTGGTTTTGGTACTGGTGTTGGTGTTGGTATTTGTTGTTGTCCTGTGCTATCCATATTCGAAATATCTGCGATTTCGAGAACACCTGGTTGGGTTTCTTGGGGTTGGAATTGGGATTGGGATATGGGTGGCATGTTGAAGTTCTTTTCCCTCTTTCTTTCTTCCTCGTCTTGCTCAGTTGGGCTGGGTCCGGTTGGATCCTCGCTTCAGCGAACCCTGCGACCAAAGCTTACAAATCCCAAAATCTAGTCCAGAAAAAACAGAATTCAGAAATCAGGAATCGGCGTCGTTGGAATGGAGATGTATCCAATCCAGAAAAGGTCGTACGCAAGTTTATCCAGCGTGTTTCCAAACATGGAGATTCTCTACTTCCATCTCATCCTTCTTCACCAAATAATGAGATCGAATCAAAACTAGGAGATTTAACTTATGTATGTATGTAGAGAAAGTGGGGTGGATATGTACGAAGATGAGTCAACGTTCTAGCCGTTTCCTCAGCTGAGTTGAGCAGAGACTGTGGAAAGTCCATCCGTGCTTACGATCTATCGTACAGCAAGCAGAGTTCATAAGGTACTAGGCACACAAGCAACACATACTGTAAGTTACTGTACTGTGAGGACCGCAGGGCTGGTGAGAGATTGGCAGTAGGGGATCCAGGAGATAGCATAGGTAACGATCGTTCTGTGGATCCATCCACATAAGGTAGGTAGCTAGGTACGTAGGTACACCGGATTTCAATGAGGTGGGGAGGGGTAGTCACGTGGTGAGGGGTAATCCACTCTGAGGTGGACCTGGAATGGAATGCAATGGAGGAGCTCGGAGATGTTGGTAGAGAGTGAGGAAATAGTTGGTATGATTGAAAGGAGTGCATCGTTCAGTTCGTGATCTGTAATTGTATCTGTATAACTCAATCCTAAGGAGTGCTAGACAAGCCCGTCTATTCTCTTCTCAATCCCATATCCCCTCACTCTATCCCCCATCCACAACGCTTCCAACTCATACACAGACTCACCACCTACAACTCCTGCACAAAGTTCTCCAACCTCTCCTTCAACTCCTCAACGTCCATATCCTCCTCCACCTCCTGCACCCCACCAGGCGTCTTAGGCGGAATCAGCACCGAGCTAACCACATGAATGACCCCATCCTTCGCAATCCCATCCTGCACCGCCACGCTCGAGAACCCATTAATCTTAATCGTAATAAACCCACCATACCTCGCAACATCCACACTCAAGCTCTTATCCTCCAACAGCGTCGGCAAATCCACATGGAAATACCCCTTCGGAATCCCCTCCTCTCCAACCTTCCTTCCCTCACTATCCCTCCCCCCCGCCTCCCCAACCAAAGCCTTCTCCTTATAAAACGCATCCGAGTACAGCGTCTGGTTCGCAACAATATGGTATTTCAGCAACGCCTTCAAATACTTCTCGCCGTACTTGGAGAACAGGAAGCCGTTGATTCGAGGCCCGAGTTTCTTGAAGGCCCAGTTCGATGGCGCGAAGAGGGTGCCGCCCTCGTGGGGTGCGTCGGCGAGGGATTTTCCCAGCCCGGTCTTGACGAGTGCGAGCTCGAGGGTGCTGAATTCGCTCGGGACGAGCTCGATGATTTTGAAGGCTGGGGGTGGGGGGAGGATGAGGGAGTCGACACCGTGGATTACGCCGTTGGTGCCGAACTGGAGGAGTGTGTGTTAGTGAGGGAGGTGGGGTGGATTGGCATTAGAGGAGATGTGATGGGATGCGGGGAAGTAGGGAAGGGACGTACGATGTTGACGGCTACGATGCGGCTGTAGAAGTTGACACTGAGGCCATGGAAGAGGTTAATTCCCACGCGGAGTCTCTGCGGGTTGCCTCCGAGGGAATCTTCACCAAGTGCAGTAGGGATGGTATGTGTGACCAGGACTCTGCCAGCAGGGTAGAAGTCTGGAGAGACGTGATATGCTAGGACTTTCTTGATGAGCTCCTTGGAGGGCTTCTTGTGTCCCTTGGGCAACTTCTCGAACGCCTTGTCGGTTGGTGCAAAGACCGTGTAGTTTGCTGCTGTGCCGTTCAACGTCTTGACCAGGTCTGGATACTCGTTGATGAGCTTGGCGAGTTTGGTGGTGTACTTGCTGCTTGCAATGAGCTCGTAGACGGTCTTGTTTGGGGGGTGGTGGCCATGTCTGTGGTGCGGTGGCTTGTGGTGTGGTGGGCCATGATGAGGAGGAGGTCTGTGATGAGGATGGTCGAAGATATCTATGTCCTCAACAGAGGATACGGCAGAGTCAATCCATGCTTGAGCATCGAACTTCGTCATCGAGTGATGACACTCGAAAGTCGTCTTTGCATTCTCAGTGATCTCCGACGCAACGTTAATGGCATTGTCGATGGCATTCTCGGAGAATGCAACGGCGTCTTTGAATGTCTCTTCGACGCCGGACCAGACGGAATCGATGTTTCCAGAGACTCTGTCAAGGAAAGTCTGAGGTTTCTTGGAAGACTCGATGAGAATCTGGTTGGTGAGCTCTTCGTCTGGGATGACGAAGGCTGTAGAGATAACCGCAAGCGGTAGGAGAGTAGTAGCAAACTTCATGTTGATGAATTGATGAGGAAGATAGGAAGGTTGGAGGGAAGAGAAGTGAGAAGGTAGGTGAGATGTGTGAGGTTCGGAATCAAATGAGCTAAGGTTGATGACGCCGAAACTCTCACTCACGCAACGAATGAGACGGCACGATTGTCTCGCAAGAAAGTAAAGCAATCGGAGACGGGATAATCGGATGGTGCAATGCCCAGCAGTAAGCTTTTGTTTGGAACAACGTGAGGGATTAAGAGGATATCCTTTGTATGTGAAGGAGAGCGATACGAAATGCGATGGACTGAATACCGATCGTCGTCCAGTCGGACTCCTATCCAGTATCACCTCATGAGGCTGCGAGCTTGCGCGTCTTTCGGTACAAGTCCATGAATGGTGGCATCAGCATTGGAATCTCATCATCACCAATAATGCGAGCCGTGTGGGGAGAGCTTGGTGCAGGAGAATCCCTGCTGCGACCCCTCGTCGGGACAATCAAGATGCCGATGGGGAATTCCATGGGATGCGAGTAGAGGACGCGGCCATAGGAGCGGTCGTGCATAAGTACGGACAGTACAGTACAATACAGCACAGTACAGTACAGTGCCAGCCTAGATTTTATCCTTCGATTTCATAGCAATGAGTAGACAACCAAGAGCAGAGGACACGCATGATAGCATGATCAATTAATTGACAGACGAATCAATTGAGGATATATCCTGTTCCTTTCTGTGCCTTACGGGGGTGCTGCACACTGCCAAGAATCGAACCCGAAACCCGCATAGGGAGCGTCGCGTCACGTCATCAACAGCGGGCGATAACGATAAGATAAGAGCTTCGTCCCTCGAAATGCGGGGGATAAGCTCCTCGAGCATTTTTCATGCACAATTTCGTGTCTTTACTCCCTCGGGCCGCCGAAGACTCTTCTTTCTCTTTCCTCCTTCCCTTTCCTCAGCTTGCTCCAGCCGACACTACACACCAGAAGTGGCGAGTCGTGTGTATTTTCAGGAATGCCCAACCCGGCTTGTGTTGTTTCTCCTCCTTGCCCCTCTTTCAGCCTTGTGCAACGGCGCCATTCAGGTCGTCGATGCTCGCATGGTTTAGCAGCATGGCTTCAGCGACGGCATGCATAGTGGATATCGTTGAGCGCGTTGAGCGGGCCTAATTAGGGCGTGTAGTATGATACTACCTTGAGACGGGGTTATGCAATTTGAAGTGTGGTAGAATTGTCCTCGAAGCCGGTAACAACGTTTTCGTGTCGGAAGTCGAGGCTACCTAAATTGTGAGTCGAGGTCGAGGTCGAGGTCGAGGAGCTCAAGATGTGGGAAAAGATACTGTATGGTCAATGTTTATATTGTCATTGTACCATACGCGTGCTTGGCTTTGTGGTTGATCGCCTAGGTGCCTGAGCCATTTCCAGACAACATCTGCCTCTACTTGAGGTAAGGAGGTAAGGTATTCACGGCGATGCTCACGGGTGAATGATGTGAACATATCAACATCAATAGACCAAGCTCGCCAAGCAGAAAACAGGTACAGTTTCTGTCATGGGCGGGACGACACACGAGCCGGCGCAGAGCACGGTAGCCAAGCAATGTGGGGAGCAGCATGGAATGGGAGGTAGCCTTGCAGGAAAGCAACTACAGATACAAATATCTTTGTTTCCTTTCATCAACTATTATAGAAGACGAAGAAGGGTCTCGTTCGAGATATACTCGTTTCTCCAAGTACAAATGTGAGTCCGCTTCGGGACCGTTCTTCCATAAATCGACGACCTTCTTGATCCCGGCAATGATCCAAATCAAGCTTTTCAAGTGGGGCTCATCCGCGCCCTGAAGCCATTACGTCGTCTCTTTTTCTATCCCTTCCCTTTGCTTCCGATTTGACGACAACAGGAATCCGTCCTCGAATTGGCCAATGAAGCTCGGGAGGATTTAAGGTGAACAGTTTTATTTGCATTGTTGCATTCTAGCCCATAGCTCCAAGTGGGGTGCGTCGTCATGGCGTTGAAGCTCAAGAATGTGAAAGACTAAACTAACTGTACATGTCACTCAATTATTTACACTCTGTATATTTTCCCTCTTCCTTCGACCTGTTGTCTTGCATCTTGACATCTACATTCCAGTCCTCTATAGACCTCCAACACTCACCACAAACTGACCGAAAATGTCTCTTGCACGCTATGTCAGTCAAACATCCTCTGGTTCCTCACCAATTCTCCTTCACATCAGCTAACAGCCCACAGGTCGACCCCGACTCTATAATCCAAAACCTCCACTCCCTCCACATCAAAGAAGCCTCCAAAAAACACCTCCACAGCAAGGGCGGCACCTCCCACATAACACCCTACAGCACCCGCTATGCCAGCAAGCAAGAGATCTCGAAGTTCGAGATCCCCAAACACGGCGCTCCCGCCGATGCCGTGCATCAAATGCTCAAAGATGAGCTGGATCTTGACGGCCGACCAAACTTGAACCTAGCCAGGTAATCCCACCATTCCTACACAGCGATGTCAAAAATTCAATGCATCAATGAAGCGCGAAATCCATGGCAAGCCAACTAACAAACTTCCCAGCTTCGTAGGGACATACATGGAAACCCACGCCGAGCAGCTAATGTTCGAAAACATCTCCAAGAACATGTCCGACGCAGACGAGTACCCCGCCATGATGGCCATGCACACCCGCTGCATCAGCATCATCGCCAACCTCTGGGGCGCATCATCCAAGTCCGACGAGAAAGCCATCGGGTCCGCCACCACCGGCTCCAGCGAAGCCATCCACCTCGGCGGCCTAGCCATGAAACGCCGCTGGCAGGAAAAGCGGAAAGCCGAAGGAAAATCTACCGAGAACCCAAATATCATCATGGGTGCCAACGCACAGGTTGCGCTTGAGAAGTTCGCGCGGTACTTTGAGGTTGAGGCGAGGATTCTGCCGGTTTCGGAAAAGTCGAATTATCGTCTTGATCCCGAATTGGTGAAGGAGAATATTGACGAGAATACTATTGGCGTATTTGTTATTCTGGGGAGCACGTATACAGGACACTACGAGCCCGTCGAAGAAATCTCCAACATCCTCGACGCCTACCAAGAGAAGACCGGAATCGATATCCCCATCCACGTCGATGCCGCATCTGGTGGATTCGTAGCTCCATTCAGGCACGCAGGTGCCGGTAAGCATGGGAAAACGAAATGGAATTTCGAATTGCCCAGAGTGAAGAGTATCAATACCTCCGGCCATAAATTCGGCCTTGTTTATGCTGGCGTCGGATGGATCATCTGGCGGGACGAAAGCTACCTTCCCAAACACCTGATTTTCGAACTCCATTACCTCGGCGGCACCGAGGAATCCTACACATTAAACTTCTCCCGCCCAGGTGCCCAAGTCATCGCGCAGTACTACAACCTGATCCATCTCGGCTTTTCGGGATATCGCTCTATCATGGAGAACTGCATGTCAAACGCACGATTGCTGAGTAAGAGTCTGGAGGCTACGGGGTGGTATACTTGTGTTTCTGATATTCATCGCAAGGAGGGTGTGCATGCTCTTGTGGAGGGAGAGGTTAGTGTGGGTGGTGAGGAGGGAGAGACGAGTGCGGATTATAATGCTGGATTACCGGTTGTGGCATTTCGGTTTAGTGATGAGTTTAAGAGGGAGTTTCCGCATATTAAGCAGGAGAATATCTCGAATCTGCTGAGGGCGAAACAGTATATCATTCCGAGTATGTATCATTTCTCCCTCCTTTCCCTTGCTAGTATTCCTTCCTGTTTTCATCCTTGGAAGAGAATCTGTATTTTGGTATTTTGACCATTCTCTAAGCGAGAATGCTCTCCTCCCCATGGAACCCTTCTTTTCTCTCTTTTCTCCCATCTCCAACACACAACTAACTCTAACGGCCCCTCAAACAGACTATCCCCTCCCACCATTCACAGACAAAACCGAAATCCTCCGCGTCGTAGTCCGGGAAAGCATGTCTTTCGATCTACTCGACCGTCTGATAAGCGATATCTGCGTCACTACTCAGAATTTGATTGTACGTGCTTTCTCGTCCTCCCCCTCCTCACATCACCCCCCTTAGCCTCCTCTATTCCTATTTCCCCTCCCCCTGCCCACTTTCCCCCCTCTCTCCTCCCCCTCCCCCGTCCCCTTCCCCTTACCCACTCTACAAATGCCCCCTAACACCCCCTCCTCTACACAGGACTCCGACACCCAAGACCTCAGTATCCTAGCCCAAGCACACAATAAAGGCAGCAATACAGTAGAAAAAGAACACGGTACGCTGGGAACGCAGCATAAGAACGAACAGGGACAACGGTTAGGTAAAGGTGGGAGGAGACCGATGAGTGAGGGGGTGCATAGGAGTGTTTGTTAGAGGGTGGAGGGTTTGGAGGTGGAGGGAGATGAGGGGGAGAGGGGAAGGTATGTTTTATGAGGTAGAAGAACAAGAAAGATAAAGGATAGATAAAAAGTCACAGATATAAAATCACAGGAACAGAAACAGACACAAATCCAAACACAAAACCCTTCTCAGAGAAAACAAACAAGAACACAACGAATCGATAAGCAGAATATACGCACCACTACCCCATCCACCCACTCGTCTTTTCACACCAGTTCCTTTTCATCAATCGAGAAACGCAGTACTTAGGGCCCTAGTGTATCTCCTGCATCCAGATCCACAGTCCAGAATGCAAAATCCAGAATCCACTTGATATCCATCTATATCCATCCCCCCTCAACCTCGCCATCGAGATCAACTTATTCACCTATAGAGATCATTTACAAAGACCAAAAGACGAAAAAGTTACGTATGTGACCTCACAATCGCAGGTGATAGGCTGGAATGATCATCAAACTGGCAGTCCTCCTTTTAGGTATGCCCAGGAGGGGGGGAGGAAGGGGCGGTGAGGTGAGTAAGGCGGTGCGAGGTATGGTGGCTTGAGGGGTATGGTGACTTGAGGGGTATGATGACTTGAGGTGGAGTGGGATGAAGTGGGATGGGATGAGGTGGAATGGATGGGATGGAATGGGATTAGAATGTGAAGAGAGAGAGAAGAAGGGATGAGAGGAGATGAGAGGAGACCAGGAGAGCAGGACGGGGAGGTCAGGTGAGTTGAGGTGAGGAGAGGTGAGGTGAGGAGGGAGGAGAGCGAGTGCGAGGGAAAGGAAGTGAGTCGCGTTAAGTCAAGTCAGTCATCTTATAAAAATACAGCAGCTAGCTAGCTACAGTCTCAGGATAGAAACAGAAATAGAGAATACTGTTTTCTACACATCGAAAACAGAAACGCGACTTGAATTTTAACATGAAGCTGTGAGTAGTAAGCTTGATAGAGGGGCGAGTTCATGAGTTGGCTACTCCCAGCTAGCTAGCCAGCAAACCAGTTTGTTTAAACACTACAAAAGTTCCTGATGCCGTATCATGAGATTTTCCCAATGCGGAATATCCACGTATGGCACGTATGTATGTATGTATCTTCTATCCCGGGGAATAGAGACTCAATGGATGGACGTGTGAGGTGAATGGATCTCGCTGCAGTGGAGAGTTAGATAGTTGAGAGTCAGAGAGTCAGACAGATACAGAACCTCCTATCTATCCTATACAGCGGCCTACAGATCTAGATATCTCTCCTTAACCCCAGGCGAGAAGAGGATGCAGCTGGACGGTACTGTACTAAAGCGAAGTGAAGCGACCGGACTAAATTGAATTACATATTTAACCTAAAGATTGAAATACAAGACACAGATTAGAGGAAATATATATTCTGATATTGCTCTCCTCGTCACACAGTCTTCTTATATCTGCATGTAGTACGAGAAGAAAGTAGGTAGCCAGCCACAGTTCCCACTCCCCACCACTCCACACCCCTTTTTACAAAACCGAAGCTAAGCCTCTGTTTATTTCTCTCATCTAATCCAGTGTAGATATATATATTTTATACCTCTCTATACAGACAAGACAGTAGTAACACCACAATTCTATAGATAGATCCGCGCGCGGCGCGCGGAGACCTCTCACCAGAGGCAATTTAGCTGAGCTCAGTGTGGTTTAGGCTGAGCAGAGCAGAGCACCGAACTGACCATGTAGATAGATATATTCTTCTGGACATATATATATATATGTATATTTAAGAATTCTCTTCAGCTCTCTCATCGGATTGAGGAACTAAGCAAGTAAGGATAATGTAATTTTACTTACTATCCCGCGAATATCTGCCCTGTCCAGTACAGGCAGCTAATTTAGCTAGCTTAATGTGTATCTCGTTATTTTAAAGCGGCTGGTTTGATTGCTAGCTGATACGGACGGACACACAATGACACATTGCTCGCTGAACTACCTATGCAGGTACGTATATAGGTGGGAATAGAGAGAGTATTGGGATTCTGGTATTCCTTTACCAAAGTTAAGAGAAAGTATGAAGTAGTTATTATTATTAAAGAATGGAATATTGTGATGCAGCGGTACAGCGATATGCAGATATCTAGAAACTTACACTGCTACTCCCTACTTGCTGCACATGCTGCATTTTGTAGAGCGACTCTTTGAATGAATGGTTGACTTACTAAACCGCTTAGATCTTGATAATCGGCTATGCAAGGAAGCAAGCTCTCAATAACCATGGAAGTCAAAACCCGACAGCATTTCTTCTCAGCGAAATGATTTTACCTTTTTTGAATTGCCTCCAGAACAGTAGTAGGCCAGACCAAAATTTGCCAAATTTCAAGTGAGTTACCAGAAACTCTATTGTAGAGGTCCAGATTCCTCGTGAGTTACCGAAAACCTTGATATGTATCCCAGTCCCCAGAGCTGTCTGGAACCCAGGGCCTTCCTGCGTACTGGAAATTGTAGTAATTTGCTTGGGTTTGCTTTGCTTTGGGTTTCCTACAGTAGCATGGCTTTGCTGTGCTGTGCTGTTGATCGACATGGAGTACCATACTGTAACATACCAGTAATGATAAGTAAATTAGCAGCACTTGAAATCTCAGATCATCGGAAGAAGCCCCCAAGGACCTACCCGAAGCAAGGGACTCTCCCTGACCTGGCTCGCCTGGTTCTGGAAGTCCCCTTGCCCTTGATCTCCAATCTCCAAGCCCCCAGACTAAACTAAACAAGCGCACCCCGTCGCTAAACAAGTGCCGAAAAATTAATGCCAAGCTTAGCCAAATAGCTCGGAACCTGTCCGTAGCTACGTTCAAAGCAATGCAGAAGTACTGTAAAGTAAACTAGACGAAGCAGACTCAGGAACTTCCCGTCTGCCTGTCTGTCTATTCGTTTGGTATGATTTGTGTGGCATTATTGATTGTATCGTATTGCGCCACATGAGACTGGAATAAGGGCACGCCAAGATGTGACAGAAGGGGAGAAAACCATTGGCGCAGTAGTGATAGAAAAGAATTCGAAGGAGACGGGACGGGGAAAAACCAGGGAATAATTCTAATGTGATGTATGCGAGCAGGAGGTGAGGAAAGCAAGTTCTTGGATGCAGATGTAAGCTACTGAGGAGACAAAACATACCGAGGTGCATGCACCTACTGTAGAGTTTAACACTGACACCGCGGATTACGGAGAGAAGTCCGATGGATGCGGGGAGCAAATTGGAGGTAGGTTAAGTTACTGTTTAGATGAGGCCGATGATCATTCCATTTTTGGGATACAGAAGTCGATTTGGGTCAATGATCGGTGAGCGCAAGCTTTCCGCAGCGTTATTTGTGCCAGTACCTCGAGTCGAGAGTCGAGACAAGACGAAACAAAGTTTTCACAACTACCATCGCCGATCCAAATGTAGCAATTTTCCAGAGTTCGAGAAGATTGAGGTCTGATCCCCGCAAATGGTCGCATGGAGAGTATATTTTGCCTCAAAGAAGGAAGGTTAGAGTTCAAGCCACCTACATGGCAAAGTGGAGACCAGGAACGTTGAAACTTGGAAGAATGGGCGGGCGTTGACGGAATAGAGTTTCGACGGGTGCGCTGGGCGCTAGGACGCTCGTAATGTGGGTATTTCCCGTCGATAGCACGGAGCTATTGGCGCAGCGGCTGATAACATCATACGATTTCGTCGTCTAGAAGCCATGTTCTGTAGATCGAGGTGAAGCCATGATGCTCGAAAATACGTATACAGAAACGGAAGATTCAAACGAGGCTTGACGCCCATATATGACAGGTAAAATTGGTTCGTGAGCACGTGAGTGTGCCGTTTTCTTGTACAGTCCTTGATAAGGTTTTGGCAGCTCAGCTAAACAATCTGCCAAGTTATGTCGTACGTTGAAATTCGTGTTCGGGTGCCATATTGCATTTTCGTTCTAATCCCTAGGTGACAGAGCTCTGTTTGACGTTGTACGACAGAGCAAGTCATCCTGAGTCCATGGTGTCGGGACCATCGTTACAGCTCCTGGGAGTGGATTGAAGTTTTGGTGACTAGCTGAGAGGATTGACAATTGGGTATGAATGCGTCAAGCCACAGAGAATTCCATTGTTTTCTGTTTTCGGGGTCCTGTTCACGACATTTGTGCTCTGGATATGGATTTCCAATCAGGTTGATTGCTGTGTTGTATTTGGTGATACATGGTGTTTCGAGGAATGTTGAAGCTCTGGACTTGTAACATTTGGGCAGAAATGTGATAGAATCTCGGAAATATGTATCCGTACAATGGAAAAATTGAAACATGTAATACATGACAGAACACGCGGTCAAAAAAAGAACTGTCAACGCCACGTGGGAATTTATGTCCAGAATATTCAGGTCAAACACGGGGTTAAACGGTGCAAGGCTCGCCCTTGTGAATGTGAGAAGGAATTTGCCAACCATAAATGGAAAAAATGTTTATTTTGGGTGTAGATATACACGGCCAGACAGCTCAGCTGACTTGACTGTTCTTCGAATAAGAAAGACATAAGTGAGCGGTTACAGTTCGTACTCAGTAACAGAAGAGTACTGGTTGGAGTTTGGTAGCGAAAGAAAATATATGCATGTGTAATGCCTGTGTGTGCGGCACAACAGATATGAATAGATTGCTGTGAGCGCAGAAGTCCCCGCGCCAAGAGCATGGTTCCTTATTTTTCTCGTTTTGGAAGGTCTGTGAAAAGTTGGCCTTGCCATGCTCATTCGTCCCCAGAGTATCTGAAGTCTGGTCAAGACACAATGATAGATACATGCATGAATACTCAGCCTTGCTGTGCAGATGGTGACAGTGCCGATCGATGCATGTCAGAGATTCTTGGGAGATGTGGTGTTCTCCTTCTCCGATTGTGTAGCAGGTGGACGGGTATGCGAGGAATCAGACTGGACTGGGGCATCGCAGCTGAATCAGGATGGTGGGAATGACAATGAGGGGAACGCAAGAGGACTGGTTAGTCTCAGAAGTGACACGAGAGTTTGTGGTGGTGGTGGCTGTGAACAAAGTCAATAAACGTGGATGTGGATGTGGATGTGGATGTCTTGAAGCCACGAGGTGGTGGTGGTGGAGGTGGTGGTGAGGTGTGGTGGAAGAAGAAGAAGAATGGAAGTGATAGATAGAACGGAATGAAACTCGAATATGACAAGGACACGGACAACCCTCCGCCGCCACGTGCAGACGGCTCAATTGGGCCCTAGCGCTGACTAGACCCTATCGGGTAAATTTACATTAGGGGGTACCTTAGCTCCCCGATCCCAAGATGGCGCTAGAACGCCCCCATCAAAAGTCCAGATCGTACTGTAGCGTCGGCTATGGAGCGCCGACGTCCTCTCGATATCGACGGTCTTGATATGGCCTGGAGATCATGGAAACATTGCCAGCATCATCAGACGACGGTGCAGGTGCGATGCGGTGCCGTGCGGTGCAGTGCGATGTGATATGATGACAGTTTCAGCTCACTTTGCCCACGATACCTTATGACAGACTTTCATCGGCCATCTTCATCGCCGGGCTCTGACCTGGCCTGGCCTGGCCGAGGTAAGGTAAATTGCCACTCGAGACGAGGCATGACTTTCCCAGTTACAGTAACATAGAAGTACCTAGGCTTTGGTTGGCCCCCTGCCCCCTGAGCTTTGGGTGAAACATGATTGGGTGCTCGAAGCGACTGCCGCCAATCTCTTCCATGCAGAGACGAGATGGATCATGCATGCGCCTAGAGTAGAGTTCGTGCCCATGAGTAAGGATAAGGATAGACTCCAGCCAGACGGGGTTAGGCAAGGAAGAGGTAAGTTCCTTGTCATGCCTTGCTGGGATAGGGGCAGTATTTGAGATAATTAAGGTAAGTCTGCATGCCTAATTGACACTTACTTACTTACTCTGGAACCTGCGGCACACAACGTAGGTACCTCCGTGCTGTACCCGTTGGCCAATGCGGCAAGGTAAGGAAGGACTTGTAGAAGATCCAAGGTGTCTTGGATGATGCGATACGATACGATACGAGGGAGAGAGCAAGTCTAAGCGGCAAGGGTCTGCAGTTACAAGTACGGTTTGAAGACCCTTCTTGGAGATGAGATGGACGAGCTGAGCATGGGTAAGTACTTAGATGAGTTCACAAAGTAAGGTAAGGTAAGGTAGAGTAGGGCAGGTAGGCCAGGTCGGCCAGGTCGGCCAGGTGCGGTACGGTGCGGGTAAGGTACTTTCCCTGATCCAAGGGGTCCATTCCCGATTCTGGGGTTGAGCTGGACCTGGACAGTGGACAGACATGGACATGGGCATCGCCTGCGACTGTAAAGTACTACTGTACTGTACTAAGTTACTGCGTCGCCTATCCTACTTACGTTCCTCGACCTCGACCTCGACCTCGACCTCATCTCTGCCCGCGCTCAATCTGTTCGACCTAGACATTTTCTTTTCCACTGTGTTTCCTTTCCTTCTATATTTACTTACTCCTTCTATATGTACTGTATCTCTCAATACGTGGATCTTCAACTCACAAGTTTCCACTCCACTCCCTCTTCCGACTCTCAAGTCCCATCCTCAGATCTTTGGTAGCGAGAATCCACCGCCCCATTGAATCTAAATCGGATCTAGCTATATATCTCTCCCGCAGTGGGGGCCCCCAACCCAATTCAGCTTCAATGAGCGCATGATTCTGTTCCACCGCGAATATCCACCACCTCGGGTCGTGCCTCTTGCCCGTTATACAAAGGATTCTTCCTGGTGTTCAGCGTCCTTGGTTCAATCTGCACTTGGCTTAATCGACATTAACCGCTGCATTCTCGCCAACCTGGACCAGGAGGTTTCTTCTTCTCATCTACCCTACTTCCTTGTCAATCACAGCTCAAGGACACCCGCACGCCTCAGTGTCTCACAATCAACATCGGATCCGCACTACACCTCATTGACGCCTAATTGTACTACAAGGAGAATTTCAATTCACATCTCCCATCCCGTGCGGGTGTAGCGAGGAGTACAAGCTCCAACCCCCCAAGCACGAGTTCGAGTACGAGTCCCAAGTTCAGCTGTGGATTTCCGGCGGTAGCTTTGTCTTGCGGTGCAGATAGACTCCACCTCTGACTCGCGCATATGTACCGCTCCCTCCCTCGAATTGGAATGCGCCAAGTACTATCTTCACCTGTGTCCGTCTCCATCTCGTCCAAGCTCCACATCTCCACAAACACCAAGATGCCAGACTCCAACGTCTTGATCTACCTGCTCCGGAGGGATCTCCGCGTGTCTGACAATCCCGTTCTCCACTCACTCGCTTCGTCAAAGAATCATGGGTTCACGCATGTCTTACCGCTTTATGTCTTCAGTGCTCAGCAGCTGGAGGTCAAAGGCTTCATTCCGGATAGCAATACCAAGAGTCCGTACCGTGAAGCGAGAAGTAAGGTTGGCGGCTTCTGGCGAACTGGTCCGCATCGTGTTTCTTTCTTGGCCGAATGTATCTGGGATCTGAAAGAGGGATTGGAGAAGGTGGGAAGTGGATTATGTGTTCGTGTTGGAATGTTGGGTGATGTCGTGGAGGACATGTTAAGGAAGATTGATGCCAAGGGTGACCTGAAGGTTGGAGGTGTTTGGATGGTAGAAGAGGAGGGAGTAGAGGAAAAGCAGGAGGAGCATCGGGTAAAGAACGCCTGCAGAGATTCGGATGTGGAGTTCAAGCTATGGACTGACGAGAAATATTTAATTGATGAGTAAGTACTTGTTCGACTCCACTTGGCACTTACTAACTTCACCAGTCGCGATCTACCACTCACCAACATTGTCGAGTTGTCAGACATCTTTACTAGCTACAGGAAGACTGTTGAACCTCTTCGTGATCATCCTCGAGATGTATTGTCAACACCAGCCAAAGGCTCTCTACCACCCTTCCCACCAAAAGAGTCAATACCGGACCAACGATCTCCATTCATCATCCCAGACACCCTCGACAACCTTCAGTCATCACTTCTCAAACCCCTATCCGCCCACGATCTAGTCACCAACCCCCCATCCTACCCCGAATCAACCAAATCCGCCCACCCCTTCCTCGGCGGCGAAACCCAAGCCCAAGACCGGCTCAACTACCTCATCACCAGCGGCAACATCAACACCTACAACGACACCCGCAACGGCCTCCTCGGGCACGACTTCTCCACCAAACTCTCCGCCTACCTCAGCCTAGGCTGCATCACCGCCCGGCAAATCCACTCGCACCTCCTCTCCTTCGAAGACGGCACCAACCCCTCCTACAGCAGCGTATCCGGCTTCGGCGCAGGCGAAAACCCCGGCACGAAAAGCATCCGCTTCGAGCTCCTCTGGCGCGACTACATGCGCCTCTGCACGCGCAAATTCGGGCCCAAACTCTTCCGCCTCAGCGGCTTCAAAGCCGAAGATTCAGAGCGGTGGTCCTCCCCATCTCGACCATCCCCAGGATCTACACCCGAGGAGGTCAGATCCCAGATCGAGCGCTTCCTCAACGGCACCACGGGAATGGGCCTCATTGACGCGAGCCTGAGAGAGATGTACCACACGGGGTACACGTCCAACCGCGCGCGGCAGAACGTCGCTTCCTTCCTGGCCAAACACCTCAAGATCGACTGGCGCATCGGAGCAGAGTGGTATGAATGCATGCTCGTCGACTACGACCTTTCCTCCAACTGGGGGAACTGGCAGTACCTCGCCGGCGTGGGCAACGATCCTCGTGGCGAGGCGAGGATCTTCAATCCTGTTAAGCAGGCCTTTGATTATGATCCGAGCGGCGAGTATGTCAAGGCTTGGGTGCCGGAACTTAGGCCGCTGACGGAACCGGCGGAGATCTTTCAGGCTTGGACGGTGGCCGGGGAGGAGAGGAGGGGGGAGTTGGGGATTAAGGGGTTGGAGTGGGTGGAGAGGCCGCTTTTGAGGATTAATTTTACGATTAATAGGAGGGGGAGACATACGGGAAGGTCGCGGGGGGAGAGGGGGAGTGGGAATGGACATGGACGGGGTGGAGGCGGAGGAGGTGGTGGCGGAGGAGGCGGAGGAGGAGGAGCGGGTGATGGGGGACGATATTTTCAGAACTCGGGACGTGGCGGTGGTGGGTATGGTGGGAGAGGCTATGGTAGTTCAAGGGGTCATCTTAGAGGATATGGACATCATGCAAGAGGTGGTGGTGGTGGAGGAGGAGGGAGAGAGTATAGGACAGGACTGATGGATAAGGCTGCTGAGTACGAGGCTGCGCACAGTACTGCGCAGTAACGCCCGGTGCCTGCTGCACACTATTCTCAACTCATACTATCTTAATCCTCGACAGGAATCTGATGGAATGAGACTGACTGGAGGAAGACTTGGAAGAGTTCATGTGGGAGATTGCTTTTGCATCCATCTGTATGACCGAATCTATCCGAAATATCCGAATCCATCAACATAGTCGCATCGTATCACCGGCGTTTTTTGGGGGGGCACTTGGATTTGGTCTTGGAACGCGGGAACAAAGAGAAACAGATCGGTGGCGATTTTCATCATCCGCACAAGTACTGCTTCAGAATATCTATGAGATGCGTTGTGTCTCTGGCCAGCTCATGGGGATGGAAATTTTTGAGATAGAAGAGAGAAGAGGTGGGATTGTATAGATGAGCGCTGGTATGGCATGTCATGTTATGTCATGGTAAGGAAGAAGGGAAGTTGGGAATGAGCGTTGGGATAGGGGACTAGGAATAGGAAAGCGAGAAAACATTGTATTATACACTCCATACGCGTCGCAGCATATCACAGCATAGCTATTCTATTCTATTCTATCTTTCACACTACTTACTTACTGTACATAGATCTTTGAAATTCCAATTTACACCTTACACCTTATCCATCAATCCATTCATCCATCCATCCAAACCCTTTCCAAGTGAGAGGAGAGAGGAGAGAGAGGATATCAAAATCCGTAACGGAACGGAAGAATCGAGATGAGGATAATTTAGATCCTGGAGTCGGTGATCCATCTCCAATAAGAACATCGCAGCCATGCAGGAAGCAAGCCTAGCTAGTTTAGCTCCTGCACGCGCGAGTATCAATATCAATGTCAATACCGATATCTGGTCATTCATCAAAAGCACGGTCTGGCACAAATCAGATCATAGAAGCTTTCTGCATCTCCGCCCCTGGAAAATAGGTACTCTTGTCTTGCTTTTTTGCTTAGATCAACCCACCAGGCAGCCCAATCCTTCGTAACCGCCTATGCCTGTAAAAGGTGATAGCAGAGAACAAAACTATAAACACAGAGCAGAGCAGTAGGTTGAGTTGTGAACTTGAACCAACCAAACAAATCCAAACCAATCAAATTCAATCCGATTTTGTTTGTTGCTATGCGCATGATGAGGTATCCACGTCTTCAATCAATCAATCAATCTATCCCGATATCCTTCCCCATGTGCCTCTCCATATCGTGGATGGGTTGACAGAGGTTCCTCGATAAGCTGTCCATAGGAGGTATAGATTTGTTTTGATGCAAGAGCTCAGAGCTGTATTTTATACCTCCATCTCTCAGTCCAGGTGCAGGAGGAGCCTCGAACCTGACACTCGTACTCGTACCGCGAAATGATGGATGTATATGAATCTTGTCTTTTGTATTTTGAGGTGGTGGAGAATTTGGGCCTGGAGGAGGATGTATGCTCGTGGAAGTGGAAGTGCTGCACGAGAACGATTTGGCAGCGTGGACAGTGGAGAGGGCTGGAGTGTGTTGTTTGTTGCTGAACGTTAAAATACCTATTACGTGCAAGATCGATTTTCATTCTGTGGAGGATCAATGTGCTCCTGCTTCGCTGTTTCGCTGAGAATGTGTATGTAGCTCAAGCAAGTGTTAGTCGAATTTGGCGGGAACTTGGTGCAGACACGCTCTTGTGGACCGGGCCAACAGCTAGGGTTTCTGGAGCTTATTATGGCAGCTAGGGAGTAGATAGCAATACTGGTGAGAGCTGCGACTTCATTGCCGTTGAAGCATAGACTGCGTGTTAACATCCTGGTGCCTCTGCATTATTGATTTTGGACTTCTGTATCAACAACATCGCCTTGACTGTTATGGATGAGTTCGGCTTGACGAAGTCCAATCAAGCGGTGCGCGGTGAGTATCCAGCGACATGTTTTTGAAATGTTGGAGGTGTTTTGGCGTCTACATGTCGTTACATGAGGACAATGCGAGTGTGTGGCCGAGAATTGGTAACTTTCAATGAATTCTTCGGAGCGATCGAGTAGCAGACGCCTCTCTCTATGTGACGAGCACAGCGATGAGGCTGAACATCTATTCCATAGTATGTTTCAGATGAAAGAGATATGAACACCTTAAAGCTTCGTCCGAAACAGGTCGTGGAATCGACATCGTGCTTCGTTTGAAAGCCGAACGTTGTGCCTTCCTATTCACCTGGCATCCAGGAAGGAACAAGCATGCAACCTCAACAAGCAGCCGATCTTGTACTTGTAGCTGACAGATATATGGTCATTACGGTCATACAGTTCGGGAAGCTGTTCAGATGTGGTTTCTCGAAGAAACGATGCTCCTTCTTGGAGTGTGCGTGCTCGATTTCGACTGCTCGAGGGTGGAGGAGAGGATGAAACACTTGGGGAAAACGTTCTGATTAGCTTCCATTCGACAATGGGGAAGGTATTTTGGCTAGGAGTAAATGATTAAGTAAACTTCTATAAATGAATGTAGCATCGACCTTCGATTTCCGTGCTGGTCAGTAAAAGTGTCAAGGAACTGTGGTCGGAGCAACTTGACATGGTGAGTTCGTGCAATCCAGTAAATCCTGTTGTATCGAAAATTATGGGTGATATCCAGTAAAAGTTCAGTGCATTGGCAACCGGCTTTCGTTGATTCTCGAGAAAGTAGAGAGCTGATCCTAGTCGGATTCGATGGATGCGAGATCTTTGCAGCAGAACTGATCCATGACATGTCTGAGAGATCAAGGAAAGACTGCACAAGATCAGAAAGCTTACCAGCTGCGTCTGCATAATGCCTTTCTTCAATTTATGGTGAAGGGTAGGAGCTTGCTGAAAGGATTCTTTGCTGAATCTCCAGGAAGAAACTCAAAACTCACAACCATCTGGCTCTAGCCAAGATGTCACAACACTATATCGACAAGGGCGGGAACGTACAGATTGTCGTATTCAGTGGCGATAAAATCAACTTTGACGTTACCTGCCTGCAAATGCGCTTACCGTGGTCTGCATCCATGGCTGTGGCCAGTGGAGGTAGCACGAATCATCGCAAGACAGCAATATTACCCGTCTCAAGCTCCAACCAATGTTACCTCCAGCTTAACGCTCAGTTTTCTTGCTTCCCGATCATCATACGCCACGTTCGATATTACATCTTTAAGATGCATGTTCTAGGACAACCTTGCTGACCTTGAATTGGTGTGATTGGACAACATACTGCTCAACGCGCGGAATTGGCCGCCGCAAGTGACTGTAGATGGCCACGAAACCACTGGACCTGCGGATCTGATTTGATGCAGACAGGTCTAGCATAAGCCCAGAAGCCCTCCAGCTATGGGTGGTGTCATCCCAGCAACCACACAGATGATGAAATAGGAAACCCGAAGCAAAATGACGCTAGGATCAGCCTGAACCCCCCCCTCCCTTCACTCTGGCTGGAAAATCTGGACGTACGACATATGCCTGTAATATGGACAGGATTTAGAGTAGTCTGCACGGCTCCAATCTTAGGCTGTCACACAATAAGGTTCGACGGAGAAACCGGGCGAGCGTTTGCGAGGGAGAATGCAGTATAAGAAGCGCAGCCTCTATTCTCTTCTCCCATCTCCTTTTGCACATTTCATCTCTCGTTCTTAGCTTCTTCATGGCCGGACTCACAACTCAGAAATGCAATTGATCAACAAAGATGAAAGCGCCAGACTTCTGGGTCACGAAACCGACGAGATTTCTCCCTTTGTTTTCGCCCGCTTATTTTTAGCTTGTGTTCCGACACACGAGTCTCAGACTCTGCGCACCTCAATTTGATGACGATATATGTTGCTTTTCCTCGGCAAGTTTTCTTTCTCCTCTGTTCAAACCAAGGTACACTTGCCGAGTTCTGGCAAGACTGGCACGCTTCCCTTACAAACATCGAGTTTGGTAACGGAGCAACTGTCTCTATCGAGGTTTGCCAATGCGCGAATTCTTGTCAGGGTGGTGTCATGAGGGACGGCACGGCCAAGGATGTTCTGCAGAATATCCCACTGATGCAGATAGCTGCATCGGGTGTCGCTGCCCACTCTGGACCCCTCGCAAGTCGCATGTTGGATATTCATCCGCGGATGAGATTCGCTGCGACGTTGTCAAGACCCAGATATGTCCAGCACTGTTGTCTTCAGGGATGTCTGGAAGTTCGCTTCACCAAGCCATCCGTCCCCGGGTCCTTGTGCCTTGTTCGCCCTACTGCTGTTCGCCATATCTGAGCTGGTTCGCATTGTCTCCGACGTTCTGAGACGGCGCAATGGAAATATGCGACTGAGCTCACTTGATTCAATTGCTATTTCTCCTTCTTCTTTTCTTGCCGCATCTCAATACTTCTTCAGCACTGTTCCAGTAGTTTCGTTTCAATGCTACTCATCGTCAACGATTTTCCAGCTTTGGGTTCGTATGAGGATTTCTCTGCTTCGAGCAGAACAAACTGAGGACAAGTGCTCAAAGAATTGACATTGTGGATTGTTCCTGTCAGCCTTTCGGGTGGCTGCTGATGCGAATTTCATACCCAATTGGCTCGGCCTAAAACTGGCTGGGGCTTCCACTAGAGAACCCATCGTGCTTCATGGGAAGATTACTCTTCAAAATTTGGGCTAGTTGATACGACGGAAGTATACACTGGGTAGTGCCCATATACTTTACATTGGTAAAAGGGGAGAGTTGATTCTGTCGTTTTCTTGTGCATTTTAAGAAAGAATAATGTGGGATTGAAGAGGATGTCGGGGATGATTATCAGCAGGGATGGATGTTCGGTTGCTACCGCTACAGAATAGCATGCACACAGACAACATCTGGACTTGAATATCCCCTCATCAATCGGGCGTACAGTCCTCAGACTCGACGCAGAGCTCAGCGATACAGCTTCTCTACTGGCCGCCACAGAGGGTCTGCGGATGCGGGGAGAGCTTTTTACTCCATATCAGCCATGGCTGACCGACCAGCCACCCGGCAGGATGTGCTCCAGTATGTTTCGACCTCACAATGGAGATTCTACCTCATTCCACACCGCAAGACGAGGGCGAGTGCAGCAGACCAGGTTATCTGATACGACGCAGACCACATACGGAGGCTGCTCGAGTCAGAGGCTCTGCAGGAGGAGCACCCTGTCAGTTCGGGGCAAAATAAGGTGGCGCGTTGTATCTTCACGGTAGTCTGTGTGACGAAAATTCCCACCAGCTGCATCGAAGCCTCTCCTATCATGTTTCCTATGATATCCATTCGAGATTTCTAGAACAGGTATCGCATTGTCTTCTGCAACCGTCAGGCGACGCCTCGAGAAACGTAACGGTCATTCGTTGGAGGACACAGACGAGGGGACACAAAATTTCTGTGCATTGGAACGGTGACTCCAGGCTTCCACAAATTGAGTCTGGAGGAAACAGGACAGGCTCTATCTGGATGTATATGGGATTGGATTTCAGGTGATGCAAGCGAGTTCTGATAATTAAACGCACTGTTTACTGACTCTTTTCAAGAGCTTGGATTTCCGAATAGCACACCAATTCCCCTTATTCGGACCTCGAAGTTCAGTGCTATCTAGAGCCCCCTATACCAGAGGTAGCCCGCGATTCCTTTGAAGACAAGTGCGTGCAGCGGAAGTCTGGCAAGGACATCATACATATTTGCGTGGCTCCTAGCTTGGGAGGGAGCGGTAGCCCATTTGGGCAAGGTGCAAAATGCCTATTGATGTCAAGCCAGGTCCGGAAGGAGAAGTGAGTTTCAACACCCTAGATCAAAGCCATTTCCTCCTAACTGCTTTCAGGATCCAGTGATCAACCTACCACCAGACACTACAAGCACCACGGAAACGTCGTCAGAAACCACAGGTACTTCTGAAGGCGGCTCAGGAGGAGGTCAAGTCAGCTTCTCCGCTGGAGGAGCGAACTGAGACCAAAATAATTTTGTATCAGAAAGGCTGGGTAAGCGAGACTGTGGCGGATCTGGCTGGAGTCCCGAGAGAATAAACAAAGCATGTAAACCTTTCAGGGCCAGGAAATGGAATGTGAATGGGAATCAATCTGGACAAAAGAGAATTGGCATGGGGCAGGAAAATACTTCGGAGTAATTTTTTTCTCAAAAAGCGTTATATAGATAGAAGAAGGGATATATAGATGAAGGGACTAGGGCTTCGTACATAGAAGTAAAAGGTAATCAATTGTCAAAAAACACCTATTCTGAGCCTCGTCCGAATGAACCCGTTGGGCAACCGCGCCTTGTCACGCGTCTGATGAACCGCTCCAATGGCATTCCAAGCAACATTGAACACAAAGCCCAGGGGCTGTTCTCTCTATAAGAAGTCCTACGCCCACTGAGCCAGGTCCCTGAATTTCGTCCTCCATAGTACCCCAAAAATACTCGAATCTGTATCTGTCCATTGCCCAAATCATTTGCCAACCTATAAACACATGATCCCGCCACTTAAATAATCGAAAGAAGAAGCTTCTAATAGGTAGAGCGTGCTAGACGAGTGTATTTATGTGCGTTGATCTCATTTGTCCGCGAGTTTGGGGGTGGTGTGCGGTCATCTTTTACCGGCCCTCCATCCTCTGCAGCACCACGTTAGGCATACAACAGCCTCCTGGCTACCAACTGGGCAACCAGAGAGCCCAGTGGTGAGTTAGAAGGACAGCGCTTGTCGAAGGCTCGAGATGGAGGTTATATGGAGTGTTGCGAGGCTTGCACTTGCACTTACTCCTCTTCACTGCCCTTCCGACTGTTGCTCCTGATACGATGACGGGTCTCATGCTTCCTGTCAATAGGCTCTTAGGTCTGGTACCGAGAGGTGATGACGCTACTAACAAACATAGAGAAGAGCAAGGCTTACCTTTGGACCAAATGGACGCCGAAGGGGTGAGGTTTCGGCAGACTACTAGCCAACAGTCTCCTGCTGCGGAAGATCTTTCTGAAATCCGGACCTCAAGCGGTACACTGCCTTCTGTAACAGTAGAAGAAACTTCACAAGTACAAGAGGACCCTGAGCTTGAAGGTAAAAGGACTGCAGTGTTTAGAGCGGGAGTTTTGCTGACGATGACCTTGCCTTGTGAGCAGACTCCTTCGTTAAGATCAATCTGCGTCGGATCTCAACGACCTTTTCCCCACGAATAAGAGCAGAAAAGAGAAAGACAGAGGAGAAGCGTTTGAACAAACTGCATGGCTACCATAGACTGGAGAAAGAGAGTTGTAAGTTATGTCTCACGACTTTCATCTTGGGCCAAGAACTCACATAGTACATCAGACGAGAAAGTACCTCAAGGCTTCCCAAGACTTGCCGCATTCGTTTCCAGCGACGACGACTTACAGATCTCCCGAGGCTACAAGACCTTACATAACCACCTCATTCTGATCTGCGAGGTGGAGCTCAACGAGTTGGAGAAGCGACTGGCAGAGCTCGACAAGCACGACGATACCGATCCGATAACGAACCATCGCTTGAAGCATACAGAACACAAGAATTGCTGGGATGATAAGCGAAAGATATTGATGATCGATATCAAGGCGAAGCTCAAGGAGTACGGTATGTTGAAAGATCACGTCGGGAGGATTCCGAGATCTGATATTGAAGTAGACGACCTTGTTTTGCGCCACGCGAAGATGCAAGCTCTGGGTCGAACCCCCAAGCGTGTCCATAAAGTCTTATACAACTGGATCTGGCAGAACAAGCCACTTGCTCCAGGGTACTGGGATTTCATCATGCACCAAGACGATTTCCTCAGCATCAATGGGCATGGTAGTAATTACTTCGAAACATTTCTCCAGGACCGACTCAACAGTTGGCCGTGGAGCTTCTTGAAGGTACGTTAACATGAATGCGGACAAAGAGTAGAGCTGTACTTTCGGAAGAATGAGAATGCTGATACTGCTATCAAGCCATACCTTGTAACTGCCACGGAGCGCGAGAAGACCACGGATACGCAAGTGACGTACTATTCTGCAACGCTTCTTAAGATCTGGGGCGGCCTCTTCTTAGTACTAACCACCGTCGGTATCCTACTGACTCCAGTGTTTCTCTTGTTCTTGGTACCCATGAGTCGTTCCTGGATGGCCGTTACCGCATCCATATTCATCGTCCTATTCTCTATCGTGGTGTCGGTGGTTACTGGCGCACATGTGTACAATGTCTTCGTCAGCACTGCCACGTAAGCCTCATTCTAAAGCCCAATGTTTTCTTACTGATAATCTTGTAGATATAGCGCAATCGTGGTGACCTTCCTCGGAAATATTAGCGCCGGGAATGGAAAAGTCACTCCCCCAATGTGAAGCCTTGAAGGCGCAGACAGACTAGCGATGGTCTTAGAAGATATGAGGAGTAGTTATCCAGGTAATTCATTGTAAAGGAGTCCGAGAGGTCCAAAATTTCTTTCCTTTGGGTTCGTGTATGAGGGATGCAAGCAGGATGAAAGCAATTTCCTAGCAAGTGAGGTTATCCAGACCGCTCTTTGACGAATTCCATTCTTGTCTTCCGTTCAAGCACTGAGTCGATCGTCGAGTCTGATCTGTGATTGCTGGTAAGCTCCAAAGCATACGAAGTAGACTTGAGACCTTGTGCTATTGCTAGGAACTCCCAAATATAGATTGCGGTGAGTTCAAGTGATGTCCAAGCCTTGCCGCCGAGCTCGCGACACACAAGCCACAGCCGAAACACCACCAACTAGACCCAATGTGTATTTCGACGACATACTGTTCCTGATGGAAATATATCAATATGACTAATTAAATATTGGCTCCATAGGTAAGTAATACTGGATGTAACAAACTACCATATTTCTCCAAATTTCGCGTCTTGTGGCCGACCATCGTCACGTGAGCCTCTGAATATTTCTTTGCACAATCTTGGTTAAAAAATAACCTATTGGTAGAGTCCGATGGAAGCGATGGATATGTTGTACCTGGATATTTATAACTTTTGTTTGGGACGATGGGTCTTGTTGTATATGATTCGTGATACGGCAAAGAAATCGCACTCGTGAACTTTTGACTTGCAAGGGTGGTTGTTATTTATCCTTCCAGCACGTGGACAAGCACGTATAAAATACTAGCTAAATAACTTCATTTTTGAGTTATTGTATTATCGTACAGTGATATTAATAACTCTACATCTAGACGTTCTCGAGAAGCTTTGCGAGCAGTGCGCTCTTAGCCCAGTTCATCTCAGTAGCTGTGGTCGCAGAAGGAGGCTTTTATGATGTTTAATTCTCACAATCCAGATCTATTTTTGAGCAAGAAAATGTTGTTGGCTCGCGTCCCAAATTCATCCACAACTTTGTGTCTATGATACTGGTGTGTGTATTCACGTTTCTTCTCGATAGGCATTTTCCGTCTCCCTCCAGCGTTGGAGTGTGCGGTGCGGGGGGTGTGGTGTGCTGAGAGCCTCCCTCTCGAACTTGCATAGCATGGCATGGGGACGTGGGGTGTCTGTCTGTCTATCTGGGCGCTCTGATATCTGATCATATATACTTATATGCATGCCTAACATACACAGATACATAAGTAAAAAAATCAATTTGAGCCGCAACTAGGTCCAATACAGTAACCCGGTGACGATACCTACGTAGCTGTATAAACAAGTTCGCTGATTGATCGATCCATCAATCTCATGGAGCAGTAGAAGGGATACAGGTGATGAGGCTAGGGCAGGGCTGGGACTTGTACAGAAAATGAAAAAAGGTAAGGAGTGGTGCAGTAAAAGGAGACCGAAAGGAGAAGCGCAATTTTGCAGATTGATCTAGGTGTGATAAGTACTGGAGTATTGGAAGGGCATGCGTTATACGGAGGTTAAAAAAAATTAAGTGTTGGAAATTGTTTATCTTTGCCTTGAGCTTTTATTTGGATTCTGATTTGGATTTGTTGACTTTCTATCTTCTTTTGGAGAAGTGTAGCGAGTATATGCACACGCCCTGGGTGAAGCGAGCGGTGAAGGAGCCAGGGCGGATCTTTCCCAGGAGATCATGTCGATCTGGAAAATAACTAAAAAGGTAAAAAGTAACCCCCGTGTAATTTGTGCAGTGAATACATGACTACCCCAGTATTTCCTAAATGAAGCTAGCGAATATGGTTGTGAAGCTTGCAGGGAACACAATATCTTTCCATCCTCGTAATTTACTTGGCTTGTGCTCATTACAGGATTGTGTATTTGAATGGTAGAAGGGGGACTTGAATAGAATGTGTAGGAAAGGGCAGGGAAGATGAAGATGTTTCGTTTTGGGACTCGGTGACTTCTTCAAGAGAAGCGAATGCAACTGCCAGCCTTGATTCCCTTCTAGGAAGTAGTGAGGGTAAGATCCTCAACTTTGTTGCTTTGAATTTGACTTCTCTTGATGTGCATTCGGGGAGATGAGAATCATGTAGATTTCGATCTGAACGGGGAGAGAGAATACCGTCTTCAGCGAGCGAAATGTCCTGCTTGGCGAAGGCGCGAACGGCGAAATAAATCCCGCTTTCTGTCAATAGCAAGGCAAATGATCATTATTTTGTGATTATCTATATAGATATTATGTGCTTTGGAGCAGCTTTCGATATTGCTGGAGAACTAATTTTCGTGGACGCACTTGTGGGAAGATTGAGGGCCTCTGGTAGCCTCCTGGCTGGTCGAAGTCAGGGATGTGGGTTTGAGAACACTGACCAGCAAGGAAGACTTCGACTATTGATACTGCCATCTTGAGTCTGTGTGGCAGATTCGAGGTTTGGTGGCAAGGTTCCAGTATATTCTTCTGTAGGGACGTCTTGGTGGCCTTTCAAGGTTGTCAAGATTCAAGAGATGGTCCCTCGAACTTGAAAAGCAGAGCATTGCCAACCACGTCAGAACATGAACTGCCAGAGCCTTCCAATTTCTCAATCCATTCCCATATATGATTTTCAAAGGAGTAGTATGGTGCTGTATGCTGCCCTGGGACAGCAGGCAGCGGTTCGCCTCAAGTCCGAAGTTCGGTACTCGAAGTGGGTTCGAAGCCGAAGCGGTCGTTCGGAGATGTAGATTATTTGCAAGAAGGACTCGGACAACCTTTTGAGCAGTGATGATTGGTTATTAGGAGATGTTCGAAATGCAAGTGACTCGCCCTGCTGTAAATTTGCCTCGTGATTGTAGAAATCTATTGAAGTGCATCAGAGAAGATCGAGCCACGAGAGATGTTGGAACCAATGACAACAAATACACCCAGCTCGCCAAATAGTGGCATATGATACTTTGTGCGAATAATCAGAGTCGATAGTTTGGATCGTTTATCTCCTGGAAAGTGTACAATTTGTAAGTTAGCTCGATCTTGGAAGACGTGTCGTTCATGCCAGGTCGTTTCCTTTCCAGGCTGGCGCCGAGCTGGACCTCAACCCTCATCGTAGATTACTGCAACTAACCACTGGTAAGTCTTGAAAAACAAAGATATGGCAACGACAGCGCTCAAAGATGCTCGTAGCGGTGCAGCGGATATTGTCAGAACGATTCGAGATAGCTTCTTGCTGGTGGTTTGCCCGGAACTTTGTCATTATCAGCACGACAGGAACTTCGTGATATTGCTTTGTTCGTCCTGCTAAACGTTGGATTCCTTTATCTCTCGCTATTTGAAGGAGTTAAAATGCTCGGGATGCTGTGCTGGGTGTCCAGGGAATTGTTGTTCGATAGGTGTTCACTGCTCGCGTACAGCGTCAAAACCTGCTCCTAGTGAAGCCAACAACAACCTCCAGCTTCTCTGCTCTCAATCCCGAACAAAGATAGTGAATCTTTCTCAACAGCCAGTAGTTCAGAAGGCTATTTCAACTCTTGAATTACGACAACAAGAAGTTTGGAGCTCTGTAGCGAGACCAAATGGTGAACGATCGAAACTAGGTCGGCTGTTCCAGGACGCCGGACCGCTGAGGGTTCAGCTGTCTCGCCACCCTACACAAACGATAATACCTGCATGCAAGCCTCGGAACTCTTTCACAAATGTCTTTTAGGCTCGAGCAGTAACTTCCACGCCTCTCCTCAAGCCAAAGACATGACGGGGGGGTCGTGCCTGAAACAGCTTCGTGCGATCAGACTAAGTGTTGGTTTGGGAGAACTAACAATAAGATGCTTCAAATTTGAAAGTGCAAGACGCTTTCCACGCTTCACATACTCGTATCTTTCCACTGAATCCAGCGATCAAAACTGCTGGCTTACCATGGCCCACTTCAAAGCACTTTAACGGACGACGGGCTCCTCATGGCTTCATGTTAGTATCCACCAATCCACTTGTCATTTTGTACCAATAAGAAAGTCTATCAGAAGGCAGCTGAAAGCCTAAGAGACATGAGCCAGGCAATCTATGGATCAATGTCCCGCCTCAACCATGGAGAGTACTATTGCTGCTTTAAGACTGCCTCTCCCTCGTGCTGCACGACGCCCGACATCATCCACCTGGGTATATAAAGATGCCATACCCAGCCTTTTCTCCTTAGTCCTTCTTCTCCTTTCTCTCTTGGATCTCGTTCCCATCCAGCGAAGGCTGCTTGCAACTCCATCCCCAACATCACATCTGACATGGACTAGGGGAAGACGGCCCGACTCCCACAAATGCTCATCCCTGGACTCGATCGGATGGGGACTTAGACGGACTTCGACTACGTATCAAGACAATACTGCGGGCACTGCATCGAGCAATACCCGTATTGAATTCGCACGCACAAGCAGCAGAGTGCTGTCAAGTCTACTCCTATTGGGCCGCCAATATCACCCCCACGAGCATTACACAAGGATATCTGTACACGGAAAATATGATGTTCCAGCCAAACAGCAGAAGGTGTACCCAAAGAACGCTAGAACCGCGCGCAGCCATGCGAGTGGTTGCTTGCAGGACGGGACACCGCTGTAGCCGCTGACCAAGACATGTAAGCAAATCCAGAACTTATTGGATGTTGGTATTATTATTGTTATCAATTCACCCCCATGTATGCAAGGCATTTCCTCGGCCCTTCCCGTTGTTCCCCAGGTTGCCTTGATTTTTCTGCAGGGAAGGGTTTGCACCTGCGGTTCGCAAACTTATGACCACACCTCATTCCCGTAATGCTGAAGAGACAGGTACCTCCATTGATGTCCCCCGTTTCCTGCGGTCTCCTTGACTACTTTCTTCTGCATTGCTTTGACCTTTTGCCATTCTATGTTTCAAAATCCCAACTTTGGGTCTGTTCTTCTGGCAAGAGCCGCGACTCGAAAATATTTCGCAAAAAATAAAAACAATCATGGCGATTTCAAGTGGAAACGTTTTGATTTTTCAGCTGAAGATATGCCAAGGGAATAAATGACCTTGACTGGCTGTCCCACTGAGGAGCCTGAGGCGTGTCAAGAAGAAAGTGGTCTTGCTTTTCGGGCATCAATGGACATTGCGAGCTCCTTGGAACGTTCCAATTCATCAAAGCTTCTTCAATGGTCGTGCTCAAGCGAGGCTCCCATTGTGTCGCGAAGAAAATATTGTTCCTGAAATTAAGGCGTGGAAAAGGAGAGATGGAGAGAAAGAAAGTGCCCAAAGGCACGAAATGTGGACCGTGTTATGAACCAGGGGGTCGGGCCGTCGCGTCCCGTAAGAGTAAAAAAATGGGGACTTCAGCAAGTAAGAAACATGCAGATGTCGACTCTCCAAAGAAACCGGGCGTACCATATCGAATTCGACGCAGCACTGGACAGAGCACTTCGTCTCATTGGCTCATGGAGACGGTGAGGAGGTCTAGGGAAGATTTCCGCCTTATCAAATCCTTGTGCGGCGTTCTTTGGACTTCTAGAGTCCCACTATGCCAGCCTCACGATGGACGACTTCACAGCCAGCCAGATCATCGCAGATGGCGAGCACAGCCGAGAGGATTGGGTAGGCAGATTGGCCGGGAAGCTCGACGCGGTTTGTCTGCGAGGGAGTCCTCTGGCTGATTGGGTGCGCTTCCGTGGCATTGACAAGGCCACACTGGAATCATCCACGAGATATCTGGAAGACACGATCAAGAACGCACCTGGCTGTACCTGACAGTCATTGACACTTGTTATCTCGTACGAGAGATAGCTTGCGCTGTCATAGAGCCTATTCTATCGACTCTGCAGCCACAGTTTGTGTTGAGCGGTACTCACGGCTTCTCGTTGCCCTCTCCACAATTGCATCCACGTCAGAGCAGAACGGAGAACATAGGATAATACGTCCACATACAAGGTTAGATCTGGTTCCCGTGAGAAACAAGCTTGTGCTAAATTAATGTCTTGAGAATAAACCTGGATCCCTAGTCTTGCTTGGTAGAGTTGACGAAGAAGCGAGGTCCGAAAAGGGCTTATTGCAACGAGCCGGCAATGGGAAAAGCACGCCTCTCGAAAGCTGATGGAGTGCACAAACAATACGAGAAAGGCTCAAATAAAGATCCAGTAGATTCTGCGGCGGTTGATGAAGCAGCTGATCCCGAACCTGTACGTAGTCATGTCGAAATGCAAGGCAGACAATATTGACGATGGATTCAGGAGCCGAAGAACCCAGCGCCAAAGACTGGCACACGTCACACGAGCAATGGCAAAAAGTACAAGGGACAAAGTTTGAAAACGGGGCGGACTTCATAAAAGGATAAACAATGGCAATGATAACTGTTCATGGTCGAGACGAGGGGAGGAGCGTTCGGTTGTGACTTGCTGAGGTAGAGGATAGTTGATACATAAAAGCATGATATATGAGTCCGAGAACAAGCTCGAAACAATCAGATATGCAATAATCTGTGATCCAGGTAGCCACAAAAATGCCCTGCAGTCAACCACGCAGATCGGTTTGAAGTGGCTAGAGTGTCAAAAACCTGGAACAAAAAAAGGGCAGCAAATCACCAAATGCGCGTGCAATAACTAGTAACATGTGACTGTCGCCCTCGGGGTACGTATACTAGAGTACAGACAGTCCGTACATAAGTACTGAAGCCCCCGCCCATCGCTTTCTGCCCTTTTCAAATCCCAATTCCCGCGTGGGCCTGATAGGTGCGAAGCCGAATTGTCCTCATTCTACCTCTTTTCGTACAACACGAGGAGACATAAACAATCCATAAACTCAGAGCCTATTTAGGGACGTAGCAGTAGCTTAACAGGTATTGATTCTCGCGTTTTTAACTCGCTAGTCGTTGCCAGGGTCACGGAGGGTGTGTGGGTGAAATCCATCGCCCCTTTTAGAATGTTGGTAGTCAGCCATACTCCAGGCCGCATACTGCTGCCCGAAGAGTTCAACTGTCGCAGAGATGATAGCCTTCTTCTCAAGTGTGAAGTTGCTTGCAATGTTTCCATATAGTTACCACCATGGCCAGTCGAGACCTAGAAGCATCAGCCGGGACAGAAAGCCCAGGACCGCAAAGCCTCCAGAATGCTTACCTTCGTTTCTCTTGCAGTACGGAGCGAGTCAGATCTATCCCGCTTGCAGATCTGCCTCAAATGGAGTCCGGCTTACGAAATCGTACCCAAGCATCGTCGTCTCCGAGCACCGTGGCAGTCAACGGCGATGTACACGAGGCGAGTGAACTTCCACCAAGTGACGAGCCACAGACTCCCGGTATGCTTCGAAACAGTATGTGTAGGTCTATTTAGCAGAATGGTTAACTCATGCAGAAACTACACGCTTTGCATCTGTAGTCCGAACTGGTTCGAAAGGCCTGCAATCACTGGTCACCACTGGCTCTTGGTCGACCCAGAGTCCACAGGAGCGGGAGTCATTCAATAAGCTGCATGGGTATGACAACTTTAAATATGACAAAGGTATGTGATACATCATATCCCCAAGAGCCTCAGGTCGTTGGTACATGCTGACAACATTTGACAGTGGACGAGTTCGACAAAGGCTACCCACAACTCGCAGCGTTCGTAAACAGCGACGATACTTTCGCCAACTTCCGCCGTTTCGGTCGCTTATCCACTCGATTGCTCCTCATCATGCAGAATGAATTGAATGATCTTGAGCGGGAACTCGATGCGCTCGACAAGCAAGATGGGCGAGACGAAATATTGCAGGCGAGGCTTCGCGGCTTCGATGGTTCGGAGCTTGAAGGTTGGACCAACGAGCAGCAGACGCTGTGCATGAAAATACAGGAAAAGTACGTGATATACGGTATGTCTTCAACATTGACGATATGAAATGGAGAATGAGGAGACACTGAATAAACATTAGCCGAGGTCCTCTTGAAGGATGCAAGCCTTCGTGCTCTGGGCAAGCCGCCTCCCAGGAACCACATGGCCAATTTCAGATGGATGCATAATACCAAAGCTCTGAAGGAGGATAAACGCGACTTCTTGAACCACCCAGATGACTTTGTGTCCATAAGCCGACATTCTGACCGTCGTTTTGAAGATTTCATAGAATCATGGCTTGATAAAAGAGGGCCGAATTTCTTCATCAAGGTGAGTGAACGATCGACTTCTTGACGGCAACTCTGTCGAATACTTCCAGGCATCTCACACTAATGTGTTTAAAGCGCTTTCTGAAAGGTGGTGACAAGCGAAATGATACCATTACCAAACATGTCCACTTCTACTCTAAGCAGCGGCTTGCACTGCTTTCCATTCTTCTCCAGGTCCTAGTGGTAGCAGTCCTCTTCCTCGTGCCGGTCTTCATCTTGTTCTTGGTCCCAACTAGCCGAGGTGTCATGGCCGTGACCGCAGCGGTCTTCGTCCTTGCCTTCACCGTGGCTATCTCCTTCATGACCGGAGCAAAAGTTCAGGAGGTATTTTTTGGTACTGCCGCGTGTGTCCCTCCCATATTCCTTTTCCAGTCCGCGAAACTGACGCCCAGTAGATATTCGGCAGTGATTATCATGTTCTTGGGCAATATAAACCAGTCTGGGTCTCCCCAAGCGTCTTGATGGAGGTCGGATGTCATCTTTAGAGGGTTCACAGGCATTTGGCGGTTGGAACACATGGAGCTCGGTTTCTCTTTCTATGCTCATTCTCGAGACACTATGTGGCCATCAACTGTTAACAGCGGAGCTTTCTCGAGTATGGATTAGGTTGGGTTCAGTCGTTACCTCCTAAGATTTGTTGTATTCTCTTTCTGCGTAAGGATCTCGTTAACATGAAAAACAAAGCTTGGCTATCTGATCCTACACAGCCTGCACAACTTTGATGCATCGGATATTCTTTAGCATTCATATTTAATGTTGACAGTGTGAAGCTGTAAATCTACGCGCTGGGTTGGTTGGAATGCGGCTCTGATGTTGCGGTCTGGATTCTGGGGAATGCTACCTCAAGCTCGGGACAAAGTGGGGGCGAAGCACGAGCCACATTTCCTTGGCACGTGATGTTTACTTTCTCTACCGAATGCTTGTCCTTGTCTTGCCGCGGCGAAAATCTAGTTGGAATCATGGCTAGTGTCCGTCAAAAATCGCATATAGAGAAAGGGCGAAGACTGATTAATATCAAAATCAAGATCATATTTTCAAGTCCTACAATGACGAAAATGTAGGGCAATTTGAAAGGATGGATCGTATATTGGAGCCGAAGAGATACGCCGTTCGCTATTTGTTTTGGTACCTTTGAAGGATGAGGCTAGCTGAACTCCAAAAGCATATGAAATTCTCTCCAGCAAGATTCACTCCATTGGAGAGCTCTTGAAAACAACTATTCTGCATCCCTCGTCGCCTACACCTCTTTCACCACCGCCTCCGCCTCGTCCCAGAGCTGCTGCTGATCATGAGAGCTGGCAAGGCTCAGGAGATTGGTTTTCGTGATATTCATTGACTGGGATTGCAGCTGATTCAAATGATGTCGTAACCGTAACATCATCTCAATGTCCAGTTCCAAGGTTCTTTTTTTAAGGGGCAAGATGCATCCTTCGGAGATCAGCTCATTCGGGATAATGAAGCAAATGGGAAATAAAAGCCCGTCTAAAAAACCTCGACTCTACTGTGTCCAGTTTGTGATTAGAAGAGCTTACCCAGAGCATATGGCGCACCTTCGTATGTATTTCGAAGTAATTCTCCTGCCGTATTAGAAGCGCTCAGATTCACCACACCATTGCCACTGACGGTTGCTGGTAGATACTGGGCACCAGTTGCCCGAAATTATCGGGTCAAAAGCTCGTTATATCCCTGTGACGTGTGAAGACGTCAGAAGGGTTTGCTGCGAGTGCTGTGAGATAGCCAGTTCTCGGTCATGGTTACTATGGTCGTCGAGCAGACAGGGACAGCTCCTGTTCTTGAGCAACTACCCTTTTCGATCTCGCTTAGTACTCACGCTGTGAACCTTAATATCACTGAGCGAGTTGATCCGTCGCCACCGATGGAACCATCATCTGGAGACAGAAATAGAGAGGTGGCTGAGCGGTCCGGAAGAACCGATCAAACCACGAGCGAGATCATTATCGCAGATTACCATGCCCCAGTTGCTGAGGCCATCAAAGCACCAGAACATGGAGAAGATAAAGACAAAGAAAGAAAAGACGTCTTTCTGCCCTTGTTTTAACTGACCAACTGGCCCTACAGAAGACGAGGTCTCAATCTCGCTTGTCAAAGGTCTGAGTCAAGCCTTTTGTAATTCAATTCTCCTCAGGAAATCGTCACGCCGAACTCGAGAAGAAATGCGCCAGTATAATGTTCTTTATTGCTATAGTAAGCGTCGAAAAATGGTATAGATAGACGGTTCTTCGTCGAAATCTCTGTTGCCAGTGCTGACTATGTGCTTTCTGCTGTTGGCGTGTTGCTTGGGTTCCAACGACAGCATTGCATTCTTCCGACGAGTCGGCACACTCTCTGCTTGAGCTCTGATCCAACTTCAATGACTTTGATGACAACTGTCCCTTCAATATCACACCCAACTGTTGGAGAGCTGACGCCAGGAGTAGTTTGAGTCATTGTCGTATCAGTTAGTTGGTTGGGCCGCAGGCAAGAGACCTCACCGAGTAGACTGGGCTAACCAACATCAATCCTTGTAGCGAAAACCCCAATCTGAAAGTGTGCGCTGTCCTTGGCAGCCGCGTTTTTGTTGCTATCAATTTTGCCTCACGGTTGCTCTGTAAAACTAGTACTACATTCAGGGAAGAGTCACATATCAGTCTACAGATCTGGTGCCTCCTTTATCAGGGCTTCGCTCTATATTTCATCCCGATCTTCTCCCAAGGCAGCATTGGTTTCTTGCTATTGCAGGTAAAGGAAGCGTCTTCAGGGCAGTTCATGTTGCAGCCAGGAATATATTTACTTCACCGAGTACGCCATCTGGGCTTAAGATACTGCTGCTCATCATGCCAGTAATTCGTCGAATGTGGAGATGGTTGGACACTGTGCTCTGAGGAGAGAATTGAATGAGTCAGAGCTTTGCACTGCACACCACATGTGCTCGAATAAGTTCTTGTTAGGCGGCAGACCGGACGCTCGCGACCAGATGTTGGTCGCGAGCACCCAACTATGTCCCTTAGGGGACTTGGGAACCACCCTCCCTATGAAGCTCCGGCGGCAAAGCTGGTGATTTCAGTTCAATTTACATAAGTAACGCTACTCCTCTTCGCAATCATTGATCACACTCGCCCAATTATCATTGCAACAAGCCTTGGCAGACTTATCGAAGGCACTCCCTCATTGCCTACCGGACTTCAGAAACTCGAAATACAAAAGTATCTCTTCCACGGTGGCAACCCTGACAAGTGGCACGTTTCTTCTCCAGAGGGAGAGACTACTGCTAACTGCAAAACCATGACATCGAACTCTGGTCGTGGTGGACACTGCGAACGGTGTGGCTGCGCCAGTAATAACCACACCTTCGGAAATTGCCGAGGAGGAGCTGGGAAGGGATCAAAATACGTGGCTTGCACGTTCGAATGGTCTCGCTGCACAACCGGAGGCCATGGCGACGTCACTGAAGTGCAGTACGTCGACTGCAAACGCTGCCCAAACCATCCTGGAGCGCCACCGTCCAATGGCGAATTTTGGGGAAGTCAACCCGATGATGAATACCAGGTTTAATACAGCGGATCAGCTAGGCATTCAATGGCCGGAACCCGAGCAGAAACCTCGTGGGAGCAAGGGTAAGGGAAAGAGCAAGGATAAGGGAGAGGCTAGCAAGAGGGAGACGAGGGAGGAGGGTGGAGCGGAAGCAGACACTTACTGGACCTGGAGTGATGAGTACAACAAGTATTACCATATGCATGAGGATGGGTCTTGCGAATGGTATAACGAGGAAGCAAGTTCAAATGCAGCTACAGTTTGAGGAACTCCCAAGGAGATAGGAGGAATATTTGTTGATGCTGCCTCAATAGCTTTGGGATAACAGTGGAATAGATTGAAGATGCTCTATATCTACTCTCAAGTGCATATCGATTGTTGAAGGTGTAGCTGTTTAAGGTACAAGGAATTCCATCCTCAGTGCTTCGCTTCATCTCCTCTATGAGTTCTAACTGCCTCTCTCGACTCAGTTCCGTGCCAGCACGCTGCGATGTCAGCAAGGTGATCTAAAGCTGGATTTTTAGAAATATTCGATCCAGAAGTATGGGCGCATTACACATAGCTACTCCTGCAGCGAATACCTGAAAATGGAGCTGTTTTCTATCAACCAGCTTAAGCCATCTTTGCACGCAAATCCGAGTCGGCTCTAGGCCCCCTGCTTTCCGTGATTTCAGTGTTCACACTCAATGTTCGCGCCCCCCAAACGATAAGCCCTTCGGTTCATTCCAGATTTTCTCTCCATTGATGAATAGCATCACGATCTACGGAGGAACCGGAATCACTTTCGGCACTATCTAGTTCCCCATCGACGGGACAGTATGGCACAAGACTTCCGCCAAACCCTTTCTCAACCTGACTGCAACACCACCGAAAAGCTTTTTCTGTGGCTATCCGTGAAGTATCATAGTTGATCTTGCTCTCTCCATCTTTGGGCTCATGAAGTCCAATTCGAGGAGGTAGATTCTGGGGCAATTGGGAATCCTTCAAACCCTCCGAATATCCAAAGTCTCTCACACCATTGGGTAACCAAGTCCAGTAATTATACCTCCATTGATGGGAACAGTTGAGGTGATCATGTAATTCAAGCTCGATGTCCTCAACTTCCATTGTTCCAAAGGGCGGCCATCCATGTAGTGGAGTGGCCGAGAATGAGTCGTCGTCGTAGTTCATATGACAGTCATGACGCAAACGCCAGACATTAGCTCTGGATATTCTCCCGAGCTGAAGGTATGGACCGGTAGGGTGGCTATCCATGAAAGATTGAGGGGTGCCAGTCCATGCAGCAGCGTCGACAAAGGGCTGTGCATATGGATAAGGCCGTAGCTGATCAAGAAAGGGCATGATGCTTTTAATGATTGCTCCTGGACCACAAAGCACTACCCCAAGCCACAACGGCGCAACATTCGTAAAAGATAGGATTTTGGCAAGAAGTTCGAGACTGTTGTCCAGGAGAATAGGGCGTAGAATATCACTGATGGGGCTAAGCCAAGCTCCAGTAAAATTACACGGGACATCAGGTTCCCAGAAGATACCGAACAATGCAGATCCAAAGTAACTTGGAGCAAGACTTAATGTCATATAATAGCCAATGAGCCTAAAATCCGTCGGATACTGATCCTGATCCTGACTGGGAGATGCGACACAGACCTGCAATGATGGACGCGGAAGCTCAATCGTGACTGACTTCAGAGGGGATGTACTGCGGTGGAGAGGGAGGCTGAGGGCTGCAGCCAGCGCTGCGGAGCATTGGTTGCCAAGGTCAAAGGCAGCACAAAGTCTCGCAAGGTAATTTGCAGCCTGTCTTGCAGTTGGTGGTGGGTGCGTAACATCGATCTCGCCGGCCATCTCGAGATCGAGGTTGTCGACTAGAACCGCCCAGGGCGTAGGGCGATCGCCAGCGACATTCCACCCAACACCTGGAGCGACGATTGCTTTCCACCATCTAAGTTCTTGCGCTGAAGCGTAATCGAGATTGATCTCCGATGTTCCGGAATAATCGTCCAGTGGCGCATATTTTAAGAGAAGCTGCTGTTTTTCCGCGAGGCTTGCACTCAAAATGTATGCCCAACCCAACACGAGCAGAGCAATGCCATTGTTAGGGTTTCTCTCCCAGACCTTGAAGTTGTTTGAAGTAGATAACCTACACGTCGTAGGATGCTGACTTCTAAGGCTGAATCTGCGTGTTTTCTCGATCTTGTCCTTGAGGGCACATAAGGCATCAGAATTTGCCCAGGTAGAATATCCCTCGATCCAAGTTGAGCTACTTGGGATGTTATCTGGCAACGAGGGCACCCGGGAAAGGAGTGCTTCAAGTTTGAAGCTGCTCTCTGGGAACTCTCGAGTCGATTTTGCAAGGTGGAATGCAGTCTGCCATCGGGTTAGGCTCCTGGATAGAATCGCATTCGCTTGGGGACCATCGTAATCGATCCTTGGGGTGTCAGATGACATGCCAAGTAATGACCGGTGGTCTGTCTGAATTGTAGAAAGCTCGTGTTCGGAAAGCTTTTCAACTTGTTCACGGCTGTGTAAGTGTGTACTCGATTCTCAAAATAGTGTGGACATGCGTGATTTGGACGGAATTCGACCTCCAAGATAGTAAATCGCGACCACAGAGGTTGAAAGCAACATTGGAGCCTTTCATTGCAGCCTCATGTTTAGTAGCCTGCCTACCTAACGAACAAATCAAATGGTCGCCAGAGTGGTTGCCTCGCTAACTAGGCATCTTAATCAGTTTTCAGGCAGCAGTAGGAACTGCTGGCAACCGCCGTCCGGTGGCTGCTACCAACTAATCTTCAGGCTTTATTGACAATCATGATGTACTCGCTGGTGTAACAGCCATGCTGACGTGAGAAGGCGAGCTTGTATACCATAGATAATCAGCATAGAGCACTTACCCAGAATTTAGCGAAACCGGGCATCCAAGCCAGAAGGATTCTTATCCTCTCACTACACCACTATCTATCAGGACGACAACGGCAACCGCATTACCAACAAGCATGTCAGCCTGGAGATGTGGACCACATGCAAGTGAACATGCGGCGAATTGTGGAGTAGGGATCGGAAAGAAGCAGAAGGTGCAACCCTGATAGATTGGACAGCAGTGTGACTTTGTCGCACCACTCCCAGCAGGGACGAAAACATTTTTATAGCAGAAGAGTCTCATTAAAGTATAGACTTGTCTCCTTTCGGCTGTGTATATAGACGTCCCTGTTTCCCAAGTATTCGTCGACTAACGCGGTCGTGTGTCCTTTCAGTTTCCTCTCTAAGAAGCCGAGCTGGATCAAAGCGGCGTATTCAAGACGTCTTTTTCTCTCGTGGCAATGAATCAATCCAGACACCCAAAGTTCCACCAAATGAAGCCTTGTAGTTGCTAGACCACCCAACACAACCATTCATTCCTTCTCTACCTTTGCTCGAAATTCCTTATTCGGCGTGTCGTTGGCCTTTCAACACAATGAAACAGTCTTCTGGGTAGTCACGATATCCCCTGCAGCCTAGTCTTGTCGCCAGTATTTCCTTGAAGACGTGTTGGCATGAACTCTGCTCGTATGCAGAATGGCACAGACCTGGGAAGTCGTCTTTGTGGCTTTGAAAGCCATCACTTGCGTGTACATACTACCTTCCTAGCCTAAGCTCCTTGGCTTGCCAAGCACCTTCCATCCACCCTCAACGATCACATGTTTGAAGCGGTCTGCATTGATTAAGCACGACTTTGGACTGAGAACTGAAGTAAACTTGATTGAGAATATCTGGAATGAGACTGAATTTAGTGGGATTTCATGTCGGAAGGGTTCTTTATCTTTAGCTAGAATGAATAAACGTTACTACAAAAACTTTTGAATCCCACCCAAAATATGCACCAGCATCAAAGAGTAGCTTCCAAATGCTTGATCATTCCAAAGACTTGGAGGGTGCGCAGGGCACAATCGTGATAATGGGGTATAGATAATTGATAAAGCTTAACAGGGTATCATGATGAAATTGATGGGAGCTATAAAAAAAACCTGCAGAGCAGGGAACGTGAACGGGAACGCTGGCGCTGGAATGTGGGACCACGCCCTCAACAAATTTCTGCGACTGCAAATCGAAAGTAAAGTGTTGTATGGACTCTGTTAAGAGACGTAATACGTCGTGCGAGTCCTTCGCGGCTTAGTCTTATTAACCTCCCTTGGCTCTTCGAGGACAACAGCATGATGAGTCCGGGCCCGAGTCTTCCTATGGCTACGCGAATTCAAGTCAACAATGTCCCCAGGCTCTGTAACCGTGGGTAACGACAGTTGCTGTGACTCAAATGGAACCGAAACATCCTTCGACGATGGCGGTGGGGTTATGGGATTGTATGTTTGAGCATCAGGCGAAACGTCTCCATTGACCGTCCAGGATTCTCTAAGTAATTGGTCAGTTGGGTCTTCGTCGTCAGAGGCGTTACAGTTGTAGCCGGCCGGTGGCGCTGAAGACACGGGAGGCAAGGAGTCCGTCAGTTGCTGCGCAGATGTCGAAATTCCGTGGTCATAGGCGTCGCAGTTGCAGTCACCTGGTATAACTGAAGAGATGGAAATCAAGGGATCGCTCGACAGTTGCGGCGTAGATGTTGGGACATCGGGCGAAGTTTGTGTTTTGTCTCTATTCGTGTATGCCCACAGTGCATCTTTCCTTTCAGTTGCCCACTTGTAACCAATGTCTTGAGCATTCCTCGTGTGCTTGTATGCTTTTTGGAAATTTTCGAATGAATCGCGAGGATTATCACTACTCAAGACATATTGATGATATGCAAGAGCGTTGCTGTTGGTATCTGCACTGTTGTCGACACCACCACTAGGAGGTTGTGACGATGGAGGAATCTGTATAGCGTGATGGCCATAGAATTTCACAGTGTCACCATTGTATGCAACTGTAAGCGCCTGTGTTTTGCTGTAAAAACCGGCCTCGGATTTGTCCATATGTGTGTGCACAGCACGTGCTCCCTCCGTCATGAGTGCCCCATCGTAGGCACATTGCAGTTGTGCTTCAGCCATACTCCCGTCGCAACCTTTGAATTCAACAGCATAAGCCGGCATCGCTATATTATATACCGTAGGAGCAATTGCACTTGACAGCGCATCGACTGCTTCCGGAGGGTAGTCAGTCTTACGGTAAGACTCAAAAATGTCCGGTTTGGCATCACTCAGACCAGTAGTAAGGTGATTGTCAACTTCCGACCAGGCATAATTGACACTCTGCATATAGCCTGAAATTTCTTGCTCGGCCGACGTCCGTTTCGCAATTAGAGGGTAAGCGGAAATCTGCAAAGTAAGTTCGTTGTTGAGCCCTTCTGTATTCACTAGGTACTGTTTGTAGGCCAAGTGGTCAGGAGGTTCTGATTCTCGTGTTCGGTCTAAGGATTCTCTAACATCTGCGATGTCATCTGGAGCTCGTGCGTCGAGGGCAGTATAAATGACGTTGTTTCGTTGCAATTGTGGGCCGAAGTCTTTGTCAGTGGTTGTGGTTGTAGAAGAAGATTGTCCACTAGATCTCCTCCCGACAGATTTCCTTTGTCGTCCTCCCATTTTTTCAAACGCTTTCAGGTTTTTCTCCGTCAAACGGGTGCGTTTTGGAGGTCTTTCGGCAGAGGTCTCGACAGATCTGTCAGATCTCCGTTTCCGAGTCTTGTCGTTACGGGTCTGAGATGGACAGGGATTTTCTAGCATATCAGTATGGATTAGCACGCTGCTTGCTGAATACAACATTAACAACAGCAATAACCACCACTAACCTTGGAACTGTGTTATGGAAAGAACAGGTGCCGACACTTCAAGAGGGGTCGACGCTGGTACACGTATACATGAGGTCGCTCTGACAAGCTGTGAAGGTGGAGGATCTATTGTTCCTTGTTCGAGACGGCTTTGGGACCCTAAGAGGTGAGGTATTGTTACAGAGGACTGCCTTGATTGTAGGCGGGAGCTTCGTCTTCGCGGTCCTGGACTTGATGTCAGTACCTTCTGTCATGGTCGAGTAAACCATCCACTGTAACGGACCTGAGGTTGTTTGATCTGAATTCGACTGCAGTCGCAGAGGAGCGCGAGGTTTACAGACCCGTGTAGGTCGCAGCTTCATGACGAACCAAAGCAATCGAGAGAATGTGGTGGTGATAAGTGTTTTGGTGAGGGGTGACGTGTGAGGTGTGGACGCGCGAATGCCGAGTTTGAGACTATGTCGCGTCTTCGGCAAAGGCGGGTTATCTTAGCGATTGGATTTGTTCGCATTCAACTTGGAGCATGATATGGGATTATGCATCAATTGATTCGCTGTTATGCAAACAAATCCGATAACCAACAGAAGCTGTTCTGTTGGTTTTGAAAAATGCCAGCAGTCGGAGTCCTGGCTCCCTTAGTGGCTCTGGTCGTTCGTCACAGATATGATTCGCGAGCAACGATAAGGTAAGGTTACCAACCCCACCTGCCCACTTAACCAACAGGCGCCTCCACCGAAATATAATACGGAGCTTGGTTCCGCCGATACGCACCAAGAACAAGAAAGGACTGAGGCCAGAACAATTATTATGAAAGATAACAAGGAGATGCGCCAAGCAGTTCTCTGTGTCTTGTAACTGAGGAGTAAATTGGCATCCCGAATAAGGGAATCAGTAAGAGAGCATATGGCGTGTTTTCCCCTTCCTTTTCATAGCTAATCTAAGCTCCAAGATTAGAAGCAGGCTCGAAATAAGCAGTATCTAATATAATTATGTATCTTTTTAATCTATTCTATAACTTAACATACTCTATACATCCCTTTTAGGACCAACTTCCTCTTTCTTTGCGAACACATCAAGTCTCTTCTCAGGCTTCAGGAATAGTCCATACCAGCATTACTCTAAAAGAACCCTACCCTCGTCCTTTACTGCTGTTCTATGCGTCCCTCAAAGCCCAAAAAATATTCCAATAGGCAGGAAAGTCATATCATGCCATCTCCCGCAATCTTATTGTTGATAATCGAAACTTTTTCCCATTCGGAAGTAATGGAATTTGATGTATATCTCTAGGGAGGCTATGGAGGCTATGGGATCACTCGACAATTGTCCAGATGTGAACGCACAAATTTGGATGCCTCGAATTTCCAGCTAGCGAGCGCATGATACTTTGTTTACTTTCGCCAAACACCTGGTCCAGAGAAGCTAGAACTGGAGATCGCAGCCCAACTCACTCCGTTACTAACACTTCACAAGACTGTATGCTGCTTGAAGTTGCATTGCAGCAATCAATTCAGATTCGTAGCAAAGCTTCAAGCTCTGAAGAACTTTCAGTCATGCGCTCAGCCAGCATTTCAAGCCATAAAGTTGACAGTCCCAGTAAAAACTAAAATGACTTTCAAGCTTATGCATTATATATTTATAACCTATTCAAAATAAACTTATTGCGTCAAAAGAACAACAAACCTTAACAAACCTTGGACCGAAACAAATGAGAGCCATCCATGTATTCATATCACCCTGAACGGCGAGACACCGAAGGACTGCTCACCATTTAGATATGAAATAATACAGCAACAAAAACCATGGTGTTAACATGATACTGAGAGAACAGAATATCTTTGTACAAGATTGACCTGGTCAGCATGAGTCTGGATGCTCCCACACACTCTGAATTCCTGCGCTCAAGTCAACTACTCCATGTTCTGAGGCGAAGAAGATCCCAAATAAGAAGGCCTACAAAGGATCAAATTGAGTACGTTTGCATGTGTATTCAAGCACTTTGCGCCTCAGTCGCATAAACGAAAGGTGTAAGAGGACCTGCGTGGGTGGAGGACTGGGAGAGGGTCATGATAGATATTTGAGCGGGAACGTGGGATTTACATCTGGTGTTTGCAAACCGGATAATCCAGAAAGAATATCTATTACATTGAAATGAAATTGAGTTTGTCACACGAGAAAAAATCTAATACGGAGCTCCGTGATCATTTCTGTGTCAAAGCCGGGCTCCAGCTCACCCATGCTGTCTTTGCCGACTCTCAAAATGGATTGATTATCCTGGTCTTTGCATGCATTCCAATTGCACCGTGCTAGACATAGTCTACTCATTGCGTTAATCGGTTCTCTTGGTTGAGATGCTAGCAATTTAACTAAAGAATGTCTTCCAAGGATATGAATGCAGAATCCAGGCTTCTAGCCTATGATTGTAGCCCGTTCAGGTGTTTGACGGTCGCTGCGGGAATCTACCAGCCTTGGTTCCGTTCAGGTGAGTTAGTGCAAGCTCCCAAACTCTGCCATTGTTGGCTTATTTCTGGTGTCTCTTTGCTCTCGAGATTCGATAAGAACTGGCTCTGATGAAGCTCGCTCTGTGATTGGGCAGGACGAGGCGAGTGCTTCCAGTTTACTCGTGGACTGATTAATTAAATCGTTCCTCTGGTGTTAGCGGCATTGAGAAGAAATTGATGATCTCAAGAACATGTTTTACGGAATGGAAATCGAGGAAGTTCAGAAAAGTGGCCCAGTAATAGAGGACCGTGAACCTTTGAAACCCCAACGATTCAAAGTCTGCAGAAAGCATTGGCGAAGATACCTTGCATGGAGATTCCGAAAAGACAGCCATGTTTGGCTATTCGCACGGGGTGCTGCATTGATTGCTCAGAAATCATAGGTCGATGGCTGCATCTACTCCCGAACCTAGACAGGGCGTGAAGCCATCTCGACGCTTTTCCCGCCTTTCCGCTTACACACCCCAGTGTTTTCTACAAGGAATGATCTTACGTTCTTGGAAAACTCATTCGAAAAAAGCTCAAAACATGCTCTTGGGACAATGGTTAATTAATTATGAACCATGCCAATGTAAGCAAGGAGTTGATTCTGTTCTAGATGTTGGTACACGAATCATGTACCCTTCTTGACAATTGTAAAGGCTTTGTGATAGCTTTCATCACCTCATTTTCCTGCCAATCGACCTTCCCAAGCTGGCCTGGTGTTTGACACAGGGGATTGACAACTGGTGGAGTGTTGCGATAGGCTCACAACAGTGACCACGAAAATCCGCATTTGGCGCTGTCACTCCACAGGCTGGAAGGCTACGCTCCACCGGCGCATGCAGAACATATGCAAGAACGGGAGCACCCTTATAATTTGAAGTCTGGGTGTTTCTGGGTTTATTCTGGTAACTCTGCTAATTTCTCCTGTCTGCAAATACTTTCGGCAATTCCTCGCGCCCTCGGCAAGATAGGTCGGCCGAGGCTATATAGAGGAAGTGTTTCACCTGCGCACCTGCGTATGTTACAGCAGCGCATGCGCAAGCAATTTTTGGTAGGGGAGCCTAGCGTATGCGTCTAGACTAAGAATCTTGGCAGCGCATAGCACGGATAATCATTTAATCCGTGTTTTCTACTTGCCTTATTAGTAGAAACAGCCCCGCTGCGCTAAAGGACCTTGACTCCTTTAGAACTCTGTATAAACAAATACAGCTCTTACTATATTAAAGGGCCTAAGGAGTTCTACATAATAGAAACAAATATAACTTTCAAAAATCTAGGTAAAATAATAATATAAAAGAAATATAAAAGTATCTTAGTTAAGTTGTTCTCTTCTTGTATTACTATATTTATTTATATAGAGCTCTTAAAGTCTTTAACACAGCAGGGGCTATGTTTACTTAAGAGCTCTTAAGGTCCTTCAGGCTACCTCTCGTGGATATTCAGTGCTCTTTAGTGTAGTAGACATAGCATACGCTGCCAAGACTTTAGTCCAGGCGTATGCGCTAGGCTCCCCCACCAAAAATCGCTTGCGCATGCGCTGCTGTAACATACGCAGGTGCGCAGGTGAAACACCACCTGCTATATAGACACATCCTCCCCCCAGGCTCAACTAGAACCGGAGATGTCAATTTCTTTGTTCGTTGTCTTTTGCGGTTTTTTGTCTTGTCCAAATGTTTATCGTTGTTGATGTGCCGCTTCAATTGCAGCGGATGATGGTAAACTTAGCGACCTCCCTTCATGGTAGCTCACAAGATTGGGATGCGAGGATACTGTGTCTGGAATATTTCTGAAGCAAGCCAGCACAGAATATGCAAGTTTGCATAATTCTATACATAGAAATGTTAGCTTACTTCCGTTTTCTTAGTGCGTTCTGCATATTTTATGCCAAGATTCTGCACAGTTTTATGCTTGGTCCGAAAAGACCTTGACGAACCATTGGACCACACGACCCGGAAAAACAATCTTCGTTTCGCTCTTACATTGTTGTCCTTTAATGAAATTGCGATGTGCCACGAGGACAATTCGAATCGTCATATTCTTCTCATTATTCTCAGGCAGTGTTCAGTTGATGGTGCAATTAGTTGAGCAGCGCAGAGGCATTGAGCTACGCTTTTCGTTGAGAACCTTCTGAACGTCAATGGCCACTGATGAGCTGGCAAGAGGACCAAGCGCATTCATATGCCAAATAGAGGGCGGGATGTGTTTCCTCGAGGTCCGGGAGTTGCGAGGTCGGCAGTCGAAATCAGACACGGGACTGGTCATACAGAAGCCGAATCGTTCTGTCTGGTAGAGCTCCAGCGCTGTGTAGACTAAGAGGCCTTCCTCTCCAGTCTCAATGGAATGGAATTTCCTATTAGTCAAGACTTCCAAAGACTTGCTTGTCATGTGCGGACGTTGGGACGCTTTTCGGCATCTGAAGAATTTCCAAACGGCGTTACGCACGGGCATGCCAGCTGAAGATAATCAGCTCAAACAGGGCGTTGTGGGAACGCCACATGCTTTTCAAGCCGCGCTAATTTTACTTTCTGGATCCGTTGAGACGTGGTAGAGAGCGGGCAGGCAGTTGAGCCAGATGCCTCCTGATGTGAAATCTTCACAGCACGAACCCTCAACCAAAAAGAACCACGCAGGAATTTCTTCCACTACGGTCAAAGGCGAGTCTCTCAACTGCCTCCTAGCAACAATGCCCTTCGTTCAGGTTTCCAATCTGGATAGTGAGTGTTCCTATAGATCGGATGACTGTGAGCGGGCACCTGCAAACAAGGAAATCCTGACGACTTACACTCCACTTATTCCCTCGAGCCTTAATCCGGCGTAATCTACATGTCGGTTTCTTTCGCTCGGGTGGGAATGCGAAATAAGCTTTTATGCTCTCCGGCAGACGTGCCGCGCGATGGTTGTCTGAACTATAATTTTTAGCCTTTTGCTTGTGCAGTAGTCAATCAACATCTCTCCACCTCGAGTTTCTGTCACCCACTCTCACCCTCACCCTCGCCCTACACCAGAAAGGAGATGCTTTGCACTACCGCAACAATTTACATCTAAGTTTCCACATATTGGGTACAGAGGGACAAGTGTGATTGAAACAGCTCGTAGCAAAATTATTACTTCAAAAAAGCGGTAAGCTGTCCAACTGCACGAAACATTCCATCTTCTCCAGTGATTCAGAGGTCAATTCCAACTCATTGCTAACATCTCCCGGATCTTATCATGTAGGATCTTATATTCAGAAACCTATTTGATCTCTCGCTATTCAATTCCGTCCTGATGATTGAGGGTATCTCCGGTCCAACTTGGAAAGGGGGCAGACCCCAAAATTACGGATCTTGCAAGGAAATTGAATGCTCGATTGCCGGTAATGATTGCATCGTGAAGAGTGGTCTCATGGTCTGCTTTACGGGCGACGTTCCGCCAGGAACAAAAGATCCACCAGAAGTAAGCATCCACACTGTATTGTACTCGTTTGTGCTCTCGCTGATATGAAGTTAAGCATGAGGATGATCAAGTGCCGGCAAACCCAGCTGCAAGCAAATAGGCACCAGGAGAAATCATGTTGGTGAAGGAGAAGGAGCGATGAAGCTCTGATCCGAACATATTGTTGCTGAAGTACTATGTTGCATCTTTTCGGTACAAGGGTCAGGACTTCTTCTGGCGCACGACAAATTTAAAAAGCGGAAAAATTGGATTTGGAGACTTTAGACGAATTTATATATATTTTAATATATCAGCACCTCCAGCTTCAACGATATTTTCCTGCTCGTGAAAAGCTCTTTGAGCAAACCAGTATTCGCAACAACAGTAGCTTTCCTCAGTGTAGGAGTTGTATGAATAGCCGAGACCTGTCCAGTGGACCGCTTCATTGGATGTTTGACACCAACATTGCCAAGGCAAGTGCATGTCCTGCCGTACTTCTCGCCAACTGCAGGTATATAAAGCCCTGCCCCAGAGGCCTGGCTCGGCGTGCTCTGTCGTTTCAGCCCCATCCAAAACTAGCGACAAGGCGGTTGACAGGCTGTTTGAGAACCGCTGTAAACAAAATCGCGTTCGTCTGGTAGACAGCACAACACAATCTACAGCCTTGCATAAAGTCGGTGATCGTATAGTTGATAGTTGAGAGTTTGATCTCCTCATTCGCTCGGTAGCAAGGAATGATCTCAGGTGGGTGTGCTGCAAATCTGGCCCCGTCAACCTCCCATCCTACCACATCGCATCTCGTGCAACGTTGGGCAAATACTTCGACCAAGTCGCGGCCACGTCAGGCTTCAAGATGTTGGATGTCTTGAGCCTCTTCTTGTATACAAAGTAGTTGCGCTCACGATGGACTCGAATGCGAGTGCGACGAGGAGAACATCCATCAAGGAAACATGACTACACTCCTTCTTGCAAGAGCGGCGACCGCTCCTGTAACCTATCAAGTATCTTTAACACCACCACCGGATGCTTACACCCCCGAAAATAATTTTGCTGAAGCAGACTTAGAGATGCAGCGGACTTCCAGATTTAGAAATCGCCATCGCCAAGGCCCATCCGACTTGAACCTCGAAGACAACGCAAGTGCAACACAATCAGAAGAACCACATACGCCTAGTTCAAATGATGAGCTTGAAGATACTCAAGGTATAATAAATCTCTGCGCATACTTCTGATTCTGTCTCTAACCCCCCGAGAAGATCGTGTTGCACAGCCGTCCGCTTGGGACTTGTTTTGTCAACTTCTCGGTAGATTTGCCACGCATAACCTGCTCTTTCTACCCGCACAGGCTCCACCATCCATCCGGTGGCAAGAAGAGTACGACAAAGTGAAGACTACTAAGCGTAAGTTCTTCGCATGTCTCTCTAAAGCATTGACGATGCTGACAAGTCTCTCACAAGTTGAGGATCGAGTCCCAGGAATACCGAGACTCGCTTTCTTCCAAGACAGCAACGACAGCTTCTGCATCCACCGCAGATTCGGAGACGTCGTTTCTCGAATACTTATTAACAAAGAGATTGCAATTGATCAAGTCATAACAAGATTACACGAACTCGACGAGAAGGACAAGAAGGACCCGTCGCTCAGATACAGGCTCAAGAGTATCCTACACCACGACGGTTGTGACCCCGAGCAGCAAGTATTGCTTGCAGACTTAGAAGAGAAGATCAACAATTACTGTGAGATAGTACCTGGCTTACAACTTCGTAAAATAGATGCTGACTGTTGAAGACGACCTCCTGCTGAAATACAGTCAGGTCAAAACACTAGGCGAAGTCAATCCTCGTCACCATCGCAGCATACATAACTATGTTACCAGGAATGGATCTTTAAGGAGAGGTGAAGAGCAATATCTCTACAGGATCGATGACTTCATCGCCGTGAAGGGTCAATCTGAGAGTCGGACAAAACGTGGCCGAGGAGCACAAGACGTAGTGAAAGACTTTGTGGCTAGACGCCCAGGGACATGGCTTCATGTATGTGCGACGCCTATCACCACCACAGAACTAACTGGAGACAACTGACCCTTTCGTTTCCAGGCATGGCTCAAGGGCGACGAAGGTCGCAGCAAAAACGACGATCCACTTGTCCATTACTTCTCTGACACTCGTCTGGCGGTACTGACAAATGTCGGTATTGCTTTCATGGTGGTAGGAGTACTTCTCGTCCCTGTCTTCGTCTTATTCCTGGCGGACAATATGACCCGAGGAGGCAAGGCTTGTATTGTAGGTGTCTTCGTGTCACTTTGTATGGTGACTGTTTCGGTTGCGATCGATCTTACGCCGGAGAACCTCTTCATAGGAATGGCCACGTAAGTACACCACAGAGATGGAAGACATGGCAATGCTGACCTGGATATACAGTTACTCAGCTGTTCTTGTCGCTCTTCTGTCCAATTTGACTGCTGAATGAAACATTAAGACTGAGGACAGAGCAGAGTCAGGACTGGGAAGGAGAGAGATTGAAAGTACATGGGCGGGTCTCTCACAAGGACACTTACATGAACCTTGAATATTACCAAAACTATAGTTAGAGAGAATTTTACCCATAGCCAAATTTCGTCTTTTCACACCGCTAGGTTGAAGAGCATGTGATTGCTGATAACAGAACCCACAATTGAAGAAGCTTTTCCAAATCATGAATACCTGTCAAAGAAACCAAGGTAGACAAGTTCCTGAGATACCGAGAAACTAAGGAAGGTCGCTAAGCAATTGACAATGTTGCCGGACTCGACATGTGGAAAAGGAAGTGATATGAGGCTTCGGATAATAAAGTTCAGCTAAGTCGGCGATATGGTCCGAGCGTTTGTTGACATTTCAACACCCCGCTTCGCCCGCTTCGTGCTTCTTTCAACCACATCCCTCACAACGTCAACCCCGCGATCAACTCTCTACAAATGCCCGAAGGTCAAAAAGCCTGATATCTAGACTATCACGATACTATAATCCCCGCCAGACAAACGAACGCAATGGAATCACGTCTCCCGACCTCGAACGCGCCGCGTCTTTCCACTGCTCCGAGCAGCATCAAACCGCGACAACTGGTACATAGCGCTAATTCCTACACCCGCAGATCGTCAAACACTCCACTTCAAACTTGTGAATAGGTGTACAAGTAGAGTATAGCTGACGATGATCACACAGTCACATCTCCATGCTCAGCTCGCACAATTATCCGCCAACCTTGCGGATCTGGAGAACCTCCTGCGGATGACGAGTGTTCAGGCGGAAAGTATCCGAGGTCTAGGAGCTTGGCATGGTGGACTGTATGTCTTCTTTCTCTATAATTCACAATTCTGGCGCCACCGGGGTGGAGTCTGTATACTCGCGGGCGGGATGGGACTCTGGCCCGACGGCGGACGGGTTTGGTGATAGGCTTGAGCCGGGAAGACTGACAGTATCTCGCAGATTCATGGCAGCGAGTAAAGTGCTTGGAGAGGAAACGATTGCTGGATCTGCGGCTGGCCAGGGACAAGGAGAGTCACAGCAGCAGAGAGGACAAAGCGGGAGTGAGACTTGATCACAGCCTGCTGAGGACGAAGACAATGAAATGGACGACTTACGACTCGGGATACCAAGCAACACAAGGGCCGTCACGATGAGAGGATGTCTGGGTGCTGCGATTCGCGGTTAAATGGCCAAGGGCTGAAGGTACGCCTTGGGCCTTCACAAGAGGGGTAAACTGCTGTGCTCTGAGGAGGGAGGGCGCCTTGAGACGAGAATTTCACGCAGTCTATCGCAACACTTCGTAATGCGCATATCTCTGGTTACATCTTGCTAGTGCAGGAAGTTCCTGTTTTGCTGCCGAGGATGAAATTCATTGCTAGTAGTGTATAACACGATCTGTTGTCACTTTATGACTACTGCAAATTGTTTGTCAGTTGAGAGGGGTGGACCTCCTGGTATGCCACAGCTGTTCATAGTGTATTAGTTTATCTATCAGCATGCTTTTGCACCTTTTGCACTCTTGTATCCAGCGCTGCGAGCTATTCTCCGCTTTGGTTTCCGGGTCTGGCTTAATGTGCTCTAGTCTCAAACCCTGACATTTCAGAGACAGGACTCAAGCCCCCTAACTCTTTCAATCTTCTTTCCAACTCCCTTTCATCCAGCCTAGTTCTTGTATCCTTAACAGTATCGCTGTCAATACTTCCTCTCTCTTTACTCTCAAGTGAAACAGGTATTCTGGAATCCGCCAGTTCAGCAATCGGCGTACGTTGGCCCCCTTTGAGATCTCCACCAGTGACGGCTCCAGTGTCCGAATGTCCTCCAGGACTAGTGATCGAATCCAGCTCCACAGAAACTTTGATAGCCGACGGACTACTTGGTACACGAGGAGGAGCCGGTGCAATCACATGTGTCGGAAGGGGTGATGCGATTCCAGTCTTCCATTCTTCAAACATGGGTCGGTTTCTTACGCCAGAGTATGGACTTCCTTCCAAGGGGCTCACATACGATCCCGAATCTGCAGCAGTTTCATCCACCACGACACCAAAGCGCCGTCCATCTTCAGTATAGACGGCGTTTATCGGGGGCCGCTGGCGTTTTTGGGAGGGATGCATGAGGGCAAAGCCCCCGAGGAATGAAGTGTCGGTACTGAGTCCTGCGGTAGAGAGTGCTCGAGCCCGACGGGCGGCTCGACGTCGTATCATGTAGAAGATGAGAGCGAGGACGAGGATGAAAAGCACTATGCCGATGGAGATGCCTACCCAGAAACCTTTTGAGTGTCTCGACCTGGCCTTTGAGGGGGATATGTCGATGACGGGGACGGGGGTAAGTGAGGGTGTGGAAGTTGAAGTGGATGAGGTAGTTGAAGTGGTGGGTGCGGAAGTGGAAGTGGCGTTAATACCGCTTAGAGAGGAGCGTCTTTGATAGAGGGTCAGGTAGCCGTATCCGCCACAGATGGTAGTGGTATCCGATGAGCATGGAGAGGAACAGTACCCGTCGGCCACTTTCTTCGCGAGTGGTGAGAGTGTCAAGCCGCAAAAGCATTCTCTGGAGAGCCATGTAAGCAAAGCTTTGACTTCGGGAAGCTAGGATGTGCGTACCGGCTGTTCTCCACGGCAGCGTATATATACGGTCCACTGGAATTAGGACCTAATGCATCACCGCAAGTTTTCAGGCACATAGGAACGGTGAGGGTATCGATGGGGTCGAACAAGTAAGTACCGGTGACACCTAGTGCTCGACTTGAGGAACTGGCTGGTGGCTCATTAAAGCAACCCACCAGGACGTAGTTGTCATCTCCTAAGACGGGAGTCGGAGAGGTTTGGGCGGCAATTGTTGTGCTTGGAGGATTAATGGCCATGCTGGAGGTGTCGGACACAGCGGGTATCGCGGCGACAAGTGTATTAAGTGAGGGCATGGTAGTGATTGAGGGGACGGGTATTATCATGTCGGTTTGTGCTGCAGTGATGAGGGTCAATACCAGACATGCCATGACAGAGGGGATCAAAAGAAGTTGAGGTGCCATGCTGGTATTTAGCATTGCAGCTTGAGGCCAGAGACTCAAGAGTGTCGTACGAGATATATGACTCGTAATTAACTTCGGGAACGGATGTGGTGGTCATTGTCTGATGCTTGCGGAGAATTAGGACAACAACAAAGAGCTCTTAAGCGAGTTCCTAAAATGAGCTTCAAGACAAGGAAATTCCGAGGCTATATGTTGGAAGATCCCGCATGATGGAGAATAAAATTGATACGGGGACGAGATCAAGATAGACACGGCGGGGTAGTTGCCATTGAAAGGAAAGGGGCGATGATCGAAGGGAAATACTGCGCCAATACCATGGTGAGCAGAGCCAGGTATCTCGCCAGCCGTATTCAATATTGGAAGTTATTACATGTTGAAAGATACCAGACTGTGGCTCAATATTGTTTGAGCGGGGTTGTCCAAGAATAGATATTACGCTGCTAAATTTGCCATGTCTCGAGGTGATGGTAACTCCAGGCCGAATTCCTCCGCCTGTAAGGACACCAGCAAATTTCCGCCTGCCAGTCCTCAGGCTTTTTGGATGCTCGTCCGGTGGTAATGTGCCACCATGCGTGCGTGCAGACTTACCATGAGGGTCAAGTTGGCTACCGCGGGTTTGGTTTTGGTGCTGAATGTTGTTCTTTATTGGAGTACTGTGAACCTCGTTTGGGATTGTTCACCGAAGCGAGGCGACGACATGTTTCCCTGCCGGACAGCCACACTTTCAGGTTCCAGCACCAACTTTTCGGAATGGTTGCTGGAACAGCACCTGGCGATCTTACGTCTCTTTCAATCTCTGTTCTTCGCGGGACATGTTCGTCTTGGTACTCAGCCGTGGTAATCGGGGCTGTATTCCGGTATTACCTTGTCGTGGCTGAGTGAGTTCAGGTTGGAAGTTGCCGATCAATGGATTATGACTTGATCCCTCAGATATCCCAGATCAAGTGCCAGGGGTTATGCACTTGCACAGATGCTACCAAGTATCTTCGAGTCTGTGGGGAGTTGTGATGCATTGCCAATTCTGCCGACCTTCACATTGTTGTTGATTATGGCTGTTGGCTGATATCTTCTGCCGTCCGACAGCTTGGTCTCTCGCAGAAAATGCCGCTTCTCCTTCTCTCCCGTATCATTCTGAAGTACAAATTCTTGGTCCGGTCCCAGAAAAACAAGGCAGGTCGGTCAGAAATCCGACCACTCGCTCTTTGGGTTAAAAAAGCATTTTGTTGTTGTGGGCGAATGTTGGAGAACCCTAGAAACCCCTCCCACATTCCGAAGGCACTTCAAGAAAAGACCGAAGGAACCGGATGAGGGAAGAGCGATGTTTAAAAACAATTTTCAAGATGGCTAGGCCACAGATAAGGATTAAGATTATTTTTATCCATATCCCCTATCATACTACCACGTGCGGTTATCTCTTTGCCGGCGGCGTCGCCTGTACTTATCTTTTATCTGGGCCATGGCTGCCATGGCGTACCAGCTCTTACAAGAAGGTGGCTCATCCAATCTCGGTCTCAAAAAGCGGTGCCAAGGCCTCATCCAGAAAGTAATTCCCAATTTGTATTGCTCATGTAAGACGTGCCATTATCGCAATCTGAGGCTACACAGGATACTGGAGATAGGGACAATCAAAGACTAGGAACTTACTGGGTTATCATTTCTCGGATAGCTTGCATTTTCCTATTGCAGTCGATTGATATCTAAATCCCAGGTTCTGTCTTGCAGGCGGGAGAGTGCCGGCATATAACGGCTCCGCGTTGGTCCTCTTTCAGTTGGCTGAGGTGAGAATTTTGACTATCAGGTGAGGTTCACTTATCTCTCAGGTATCGTGAGATCCGGGGTGAATCAAGGGGTCGGGCACGGCGAAGTCGAATAAGAATGCGCACAGCAATCAAATTGGTATCGGAGACCAGCAACTCGCGAGTCAGATTTAAGGGTTAGTGGCCTTGTCGTGATGGGACTTTAGGATGGTATCATTGTCAAAACAAAACAAATGTTGCCCGCTCTGATAAGACGCAATTTCACAGCGTCTATAAGATGTCGCGTGCCCACCTCTGCGATTCACAAACCCATCTCGAAGTTTTGGCATCAGCACATATTCTGGACCATCCCGTCGACGCTCTCCTGAGGATCTAACCATACCCATCACCTGACTCGAGCCATATGGAGACAACCGCACTTCGATTCAGACATCTGGATGCTCATCTTCTTTGGTCCAGGGAACCTCATCACCGCCTCTACAGCGTGCTCACTACATCCCACCAGGTCACCCCGCGTCGAGCTGTGTCACTTTGTGTCTGTGTACCCCGTTGACAACTCCCGTCTTGTCCCTCTGGTCACCGCCTCTTGCCCCCAAATCTCCGTTCAATTAGGCTCAACTTCTCGCGATCCCCAACCACCACCTTGTGCTTTGGATATCATCGGCAGCCGCGCTCATCTCTCTTGCAGCCATACACATCACGGAGGAGGCCGTCTCCGGAAAGCAGCTTGCATCACCAGTTGATGCACAGCTCCGGGATGGCAACCTCAAGCTTCCAAATTGCTTTCCTTCGCTAACCCCCACGCGATTCTATGGTGTTGAATGGTTTGTCTCAGTGTGGTGTCACGTCTTTTCGTCATGCCCATGAGCTTTTACCAGTGACAAGGTGACTCTAACCCGCGTCTGCAGGGCCACACATGCAGCACATGGACCAGCTACGAATTGAGGATGCGACATAACTGAAATCCCGGGGCTTTCACCCAATTCTCTCATTGGAAGGTAACCCCCACACAGCATTACATCCAGCCACCCAGCTTCTGTCACAAAACACGCATCTTGAAAACACAAGGCTTGGGCAAAGGGGGCAGGCAAGCAGTTCCAATATTTACAAAGAATGGATGGCTGAGCGGGAGGGTGGACGGATGATTACTATTTCCAGCGCTGGACAGATGTTTTCAAGTTCTCAAACCGTTCACTTCGCCGAACTCAAAGCAGCACCCATTAACTCAACTACTTGCCGGAGCGCCATCAACCGTAGTTATCCCGAGACGAGAGCAGTAAGCTTCCAGTGGAGCACCACCGATCAAGGCATAATCCCAGCCTTATGTCTAGCACCGCAAGCCTCAGCGTCGCGAAAAGACGCCTCCAAGCTCGAAATCACATGCAAGCAGTGTTAGGCACACGCTGACTGGCTGCTTTCGACGACAAAGCAAGAACCGCCGCTAACAACATTTGAATTATTGAGGCACCGTTCTGAGATGTGCATGAAAAGGCTGATGCCATCATGGTCCAGAGCAGCTCTAAATTTTCATAGGGGCATCAAATCTCCTTGGAGATGAACGGAGATTCGTTTCTCCAGGGCAAGGGGGGGGGGGGGGGGGGGGGGGGGGGGCTAGAGCATTATTGCACGTGAATATTGAAACCACTCTTTTTCTGTACTCCAGGATCCGAGATCTCAGGAATCTGAAGAAGCCAGAAAAGGTTAAAATGCTCAGATCTGAGGGCCTGGTAGGTGCGGTCGGCGCTTTACATGACTCGCCATGGCACTATTTCTCGCAGATCCAACTTGGTCCGTTCAGCAATCTAGTTGTGGTGGGACCTTGTCACCTTGCTGACGACTGCCAATTGATGAGAGGGGACTTACCGACTCCCGAGGACAACATCCGGAATATATCTAGTCTTCAGAATGAAGATCTTTTAACTAATTGACGGCATCTGCGGGTATGAATGGAGCTCACCAGCTCGCTATCCGTGATTTCTTGCGACTCGGTACCCTCTGCAGCAGGTTACTAGGTTTTCCTTGCAAGGACCTAGATCTAGAGTTTTTGCAGACTTTCTAGGCTTTAGGCACAGGGATCAAAGCTAGCTGTCATGCTTGACAGCCTTCCAGCATGGAGCGGCCTCATGATGGGACTCCACTATAAAGTGACTTGCTCCACTCCCACGAGGGGCCGCATCCTGAACGTTGAAGATGTGGCTCCGTGCCCAGCCTCGCCAGCCTCGAAAGTCGTCAACTGTGCAGCTTGCGACCAGTCGGTGGACCCGTTCATTGATTGTCTGCCTGTCCTCATCTTCTCCTCCTCAACCAGATGGTGTGGATCAAGAACATCTAAATGAATCCGCAGTTAACAGCAATTATCGTTGATCGAGTTATTGCGGTCAACATCCGGTAGGTAGTGGAGGTATCCCGTCGGAATACTTCGGGATGTTCATGTGCCCTCGAATCGGAGCCTCGGAGGAGAGTGCTGCTACCAGCTAGACCGATTTCTGAAAACTCCGCTGGGCTGGTAGAACTTATTTCTCAGTTGACATAGCTCCCGTGGGTCGAGGGGATCGCCATACAGATGACATCGAAGAGCATGCTGCTTCGTCGATATCATGGAAGTGATCGATGTCAAGCAGCAGAAAAACAAAGTACCTTTCTTGGCTGCTTGAATATCAGAAAATTGAGCGCAAGACCGGAGTCCTTGTCCCTACCAGTAAAAAGTCCTCTGATGCCGATACCAGCTGTGATATTACAACTACCGCCTGTCATGCCACCGGTAAGTATTGAACGTCAGGATACGTCGCAGGCTTTAATTTATCCTGGAGATCTCCGTTCAGGCTATTTCAGAAATAGACTCTGGGCCGACGACGAGGTTATGGATGGAGGGGTCGTCTCTTGAAGTCCCCACCCAAGCCCACAGACTTTCAAAGCAGCGGGGCAGTACGTCCCCTGGAGTGGAACAGGCAGGACCCTTGTCTCTTGTCTCCTTTCTCACCTTTGGCTTTGTCGGCTCTGCGCCGACTTAGCGAAATCTGGGCTGGATCCTCGCGAATCGCGATACTCGTGGTTGTAAGCAATAAATCAATCAATTTGAGGAAGATTGATGTCGCTGTTTCTGTAGATCTAAATCTACTCGGCAGGTTCTCGCGCATGTAGCCGATGGATATTTATTCAGTCTTTAGCACATGCTCCTCCTCATGTGCTATCCGAGAGACTCGGAGTCTCGGACAAGGAGCGAAAATAGCTCAGGGAAACATCGAGCTAGAGCAGCTGTTTACCAGTAATATGGGCTTCACATGTCGGTAATGAAAGCCTAATCGTGATAGACTTTCAACCGTTTACAACAGAGTTTCATGGCTTTCTATCAGAGCTTACGCCAAAGCCAGGTTCATACGGAGTGTCAATTCGCTGCTTTGGTCGCTTGGTTGTCAAAATGCTGTTTCGACCCAGGTCGCTTCTCTGTGCGTCGTGCACGGCGCGCTGTTCTCTCAAGACCTGGTGGAGTGGACCCTGAATCTGAGCCCAATTGAAGTGGATGGGATGGTCAGGATCGATGGAGTAAATATGGAATTTCGTCAAGATGGATATCTAGCTTTTTCGCAACCTGCTTAATTCCTGATTTTGTTACTCTAGGCGAGGACTTGTTCGTCTGATACTACCCATCACCAAGGCTTGGACTCCGTAAGGGTCAATAATCAGGTCAGGCCAGGTCAGGTCCGCAACAACACTTTCTCCGCTGAGATACTTCTGCCCCTCTTAACGCCGACGATGTTGACGACATCTACATGGCAAGCCCGGATAAAGAGAGCTGGAAACGTGCTGACTATCGACCCACTCGCGAAGACTAATGCTCCTGTAAGCCAACGAAACGGTATTTTGTGCCCGAGTTCTAGGCGCATGGCCGAGTTCGCAGCGGGTGTCGCCGTCGATACGCATGCTCGATGGATGTCTGTTGTGGCGAAGATGATGCAGCAAGTGAAGAAAAAAATTGTGTTTTGCACTTTTACAATGTGACTGATTACAACCTGCTCTGCGACAATTTCATCTGGTTGGCGTGTTGTAGCAGGATTTCAGCCCCGGATGATGCTTCAGAAATTTTCTGTTGCAGGCGTTAGACGGAGTCGCTGTACGTCCGCACCTTCTTTGCTTCTTCGTAGATCATCGAATCTGGAAACTGTACATGTGAGTTCCAAGATCTGTGAGGGCGCACGGTACGGTATGCGGCGGCGATTAGGAGGAGAATTGACCGAGGCTAGTCCGATGGGAATGGATCATTATTCATGCGGAGAGAAACTCAATGGAGAGAGAGAGAGAGATCTTCAAAAAGAAACGAGGACTTTGTGTGGGGTTTTGGCGCCCTCTGTTTACTTTTTCTTGTTGGAGAGGCAGGAGGCGAAACGAACTGCTACGCAAGGCTTTGGAGCTTGAGAAGGCTAGGCTTTGCATTTGACGAGAGTTACAGGCTGTCTTTGAAGGATTGGCCAATTGAGAGCCTGTGAAATGCCTGTAAGAGCTGTGAGAGGGAAGAGGGGCAAAAGCTACCCCTGCCCTGATGGGACTGTACCTCCGTACCTTTGAGCGTATCAGACGAGGTTGGTGGGAATGGTTCGTGGGAGGGGGGATTCCGGTCGGTTATTTCTGAAGCTATTGCTGCAGTGTTGTGCAGATTCGCTGTATTTTCTGGGTCTTCCCTTCCTGGATCGTTGCAACTTCGCCCGTTGTATGGGGACGTTTTCGGTGTTGACGGCACATAAGTCCGTTGGTGTTGTCACTTTCCTGCTGGGCAGACGTGATTGCAGTGAAGGTTTGGTGGGAAGCTTCTGTGCCGGGGACATCCACTCGTCGTTAAAATACGGTCTGTAAACAGGGAAAACCCGGAGGTTTACGAGTCAGTGGCTTTGTGTTTCCTGGGGAGTATTTTGCTGTATTTCAGGCTGTAAGGCATTTTACAGGGCTGGAGAGTTCGGGTTTCCCAGATGGACAGCCTGGTTTTCGATAGTCGTCTTCCCGGCGTGCTGGAAAGTCAAAAAAGTCAAAATGTAAACACTCTGACAGGCGGGGGAATGATTTTTACTGCTGATTTGGGTTTGCGTGGGTGTGACTTGCTTTGGCCCAGAACGAGCATGGAAGGTCAAGCTCCTGGTGGCAGCAGTGGTTGGCTTTGCGTGTGAATGAAGCAGTTACCCCCACTTGATCCCGCGATGCAGGACAGGGTGCCCTGCTGTGCATGTACAAGGGTAGGTGCGTGGTGGGTATGTGTGCATTTTGGGAGGGTGGGCTGGCGTGCCATTTCAGCCATGAGAGATGATGGAGGTGTCAAAGCATCGGCCGATGTCATCCTATTTTGTGGCAAGTCTGAGTGGAGGAACCCTGGAACCCATGTGAGATTTATATTTGCTTTTCATCCCATTTTATGGTGTATAAATTGAGGTGTGGGGTGGTATTGGGGATGTGGACGGGAAATTTTGCAAGTCTCGCTTGTCTCGCTTCGTGGGGGAAATCCCCTGAAGCAAGTTTATGAGGGGTTTAGTGATGAATCGCTGCGAGGGGAAATGGAAACTTAGTATACGGTGACAAAATGGGGTACAGAAAGGAGATTCAAGACTCGGAAAGTGAGCTCAATGCAGATGCAGGATCTGGTGGAGAGAATTGGCATTGTGGTTCATGGACGGCGCGTGGATGCAAGCAGTGACACGTTCATGTACCTGCTACTTTGCTGCTGCGAGTAAGTGGATAGCGAGTGCGTATTGAAGCTCAAGGGCTTGCAGACAAGACGGCACGGTAGATATTCGAAGATTGGCACATTGACAGGAGGAGGCAGCCCATACCACCCGCTAATTCAACAGAGTGTCTGCCATGTGTGAGGCTTGAGGGCCGATGGAAGGCGCTTCTGGCCTGTCCTGCAAGCATGAATTGCAGCTTTGTTCAACCTCGAAGTTGAAGGGTTGCAATGGGGTTGTATTTGAGTATGTAATGATATTCTGAATAGAGCAGGTGAAAGTCCATGTTCTGCAACTCCCCCATCTTCTTGAAAGACCATGAACCACATCCGGTTTGTTCACTACCATGTGGAACAGAGTTATGATGCCCCTCATTCTGCGGAACATAGGTGAAGCTCATCCGCTGGCCTTTTGCCCCATCCTTCACTCGCTATCCATCTGTATCTGATGCTACCATGATGACCCCACAGCCCAGTTCGATCGTCGTCTTCCCGTACGCATTTGAGCGGACGGATGGAGAATCTCTGGGGGATGTTTGGGTACGTCAAATCGAGCAGTTTTCGACTCGTCCTCTGAGGGAGTATCAGATTAGTCTCTATTATTATAATATGCCCCTCCTCGTCCGGAATAGGCATGGGAATACTCGAGGAGCTTGCTTGCAGAGGACAGTCAGTAATGGTAAAGGATCGGGTTTTGACTGGGCTGGGTCCGGCGTGGTCTGGGTTGTGTCTAGCCTTGACCAGCATTGCTTCGACCTCCACTACAGTAAAGCGCCGCTGCACAGGATTCCACACCACCCACGGCAGGCCTGCAGCAGGCTTGTCCGGCCGAGGACTAGGGGCAACAGCCATCGTTGCAGGAGAGACAGGCATTCTTTTCTATCGGTACGACTCGCTGGAATTTCAGTGGCTCGCTGTTTACGGGCTCCACACACACTCACGAAGTCAGTTGCTGCTAGTGATGCCATGCCATGCCAGTCACTTTGCTAGGGAAATGCTACTACCGAAACGAACGACTCGCTCCCTTCACCTGCTGTTCCACTGAAGCAGCGTCTTCCCGGTGGGAAAGACCTAGAGCGGATGACACTCTGCTAGATATTCTAGACACTAGATCTACACTTAGCCTAGACACGCCATACATAGTTACAAAGGGAGGGAAACGGTCCGTAGGCACAGCTGCAGTACAAGCGTGGGCTCCCTGTAGGGGTGTACAGTGATGCTATTCGTTCTTACGAAGTAGTGGACTCTTCTCATCCCAGTCGTATTCGACCTCCACTACTCCTCCACCACGCTGCACTACTGCCGACGACGGACGCCCACCACGGGCCAGTACACTACACTACACTACACTACACTACACTACACTACACAGTTCTCACCAGAAGTACCCGGTACCGCCTCTCTCGGCGGCGGAAATCGCATGTCAAGAACTGGAAGTGAAGCACTACGTCCTCCATACACCGACAGCGAGGGTCGAGACTTCTTCACTTGAGCGCCGACTACTCCTTCCTCCTCCTCCTACACCTCGCATCCCACCTCGCCCGACTCCAAACTCAGGCAAAATCTGCGCATCATCGTCCTTTGCATACTTTTGCGGCTTCAGTTGACAGCGACGAGCAATCCTCATCATACTGCAACACAGGAATCCCCGCCGGGTATCGTCGCCTACACCCTGCATTTGATTCGCGCACTCGACCAACGACCAAGCTGCCCTCTTGTCACCCCGCCTGCAAGCACGGCAAAGCTGTAAATTGTCGCGGGATCGGATCCCCAAGTCATCTCTGGCTCTGGGACGAGCAGCGAGAGCGAGACAAAGACGAGAAAGAGGGAAGACACAACCAGCACAACGTCACGATCATTAAGTAAAATCGAGCGCCACTCTTCTTGCGCCTGATCCCTAGACAAAACTCACAACATCACTCTACACTGGCGTTATCCGGTTGCCCATCTAGGATTGCATAGAGGAGGGTCTGTTCCATTGGAGCATTTCCCATAATGTCTGGCGCGGCACAATATGAAGAGCGTGGGGGACTATTACAGCGTGCCCACCCACCACCTTCTTCCGACACATTCATGGCCACTGCCAGTAGCAATCTCAATGGAGAGGCTCAATCTAATCCTACATCATCCTCAGAAACTTCAATAACAGAGCACGACTTCCGCTTTCCTCGCAGACCCGCAGGCTCATTTTCCGACGAGGCCTTTACCTCGACTTCCCCCTCCACCGCAAATACCTCTGTCACTCCGCAGTCAGGAGCGACATCCTACAACAACACCACAGACTCGAGTTCGAGTGAGGCAGACAAGCTGGATCTCTCAGCGGGAGGCAGTGCGCGCAAGGAATTGCTGCGAGAGAGTTTCTTTCCTACATGGAAAGACGATGCAGTCGATGGCTCGCTCGACAGCCCCGACGAGATGCAAAGGAAGGATCCATTGGCAACACAAATATGGCGCTTGTACAGCAAGACGAAGAAGCAATTACCCAACTCGGAGCGCATGGAGAATTTGACATGGCGCATGATGGCTATGAATTTGCGTAAACAGCGAGCAGAAGAGGCTGCGAGGTATGCTATAATGGATGTACCGTTGTAGATGTACATCATCTAACTCTTCATTTTAGGTTGTCTAAACAACAGGCTCAATCTGCGCCCAGTGGAATTGCTCAGTTAAGGAAATCTTCGGATCAGACAATCACTCCAACCATGGATCACCAGCAGGACCCCATGAACCTCGATGATTACATATTTACGGACAACATCTCCACGCCTGCTGGACTCGGAATGTCGCCCTCGCCAGAGATGACAAAGAAGGAAGTCGGGAAATCCCATATTGAGAAGTCTAACACTGTTGCTTCGGCTATCCCAATCAAGATGCGAAAAGAGTCGGCCCAATTCGCAGTGCCTCAATCGGTTCCCGTCCCACATCACAACCCTCGTCACAACGAAGAGTTCAACTATGTTCAGAGACACGTCCGAAAGACAAGCATTGATGAGAGACGCGTGAGTTATTTCTTCTTTAGGCTAGAAAAACTTGCTTTTTGGCAAGCGTCATTTCATTTATGATCGATGCTGATATAACCTAGCCTCGGAAACGACCCGCGGATTTCTCCCCTCATGTCCCAGCCGTCAATAGCATCATGATACCCAATGAACCGAACCACGAGGATGACCTGAATGAATATTCTCTCGATCAGCCACATCCGCCAGATATGCAGAGCTCAAACCACGGTGGCTTGCCCTTTCATCTTGATACATTTAATATGGAACATGATCCAATAATAACATCCGCCGGACCCTACCAAAGCAACTTCCCATTCTCACCTTCACAATCCCCCCTCGTCCAACACGGTCCATTTTCCGCCATGTACAATAACGGCCCCATGCCCTCTTCGTCCCTCAACTCGAATGATTATTATTCTCCTCCGGCAAGTGCCTATCCATCCGCTGTTTCTACCCCGCAGCCTATCCCAGAGAATGATCAAATGTACTTTCCCCAGCACGGAATGGATATGCGCCATCAAAGACCTCATACTTTTAGTCATGGGCCTTCAAGTCTGTCCAACTCCATGGCTCCGCAGTACATGTATAACGCCAATGGTGGCTCGATGTTTACGCAAGTTACGTCGGCAGGTCCGTCGAACTCATTTACTTCGCCGGCATCTTTTGGAATGGCGCAACATATAGACCCATCGCAGGTCTTCCAACCAGATAATCCGGCGCGTTCACCTGGTGTTCACATGGGGCATGAAAACATGTTCAGTTTTGGTGGTGATTCCGACAACGAGGATGATGAAGGAGCAGCATTTGCTGATAGGACCCTCATGATGCAACACGAATTCGGTCAGTCACCGATGGACGATCCGAATATGGAGATGGGACCTGGAGGATTGCAGTGGGATGCGTCTTTACCAGGGCAATTCAATACACAAGCAGCAAGATATCCAGGTGGTCCACCGAGGAAACAAGTTACAATTGGAGGAACTGCCGATATTTCCTCGCCCCTTGAATGGGATGGATCAGGAGGGTCGCTTGGGAGAACACATGCATCTGCGCAATCAGTCTCTGACAATCGGTCAAGGAATGACAGACGGCAGAAGATTCCAAGGACTGCTTCGACTCCAAACACGACTATGTTGGGACAACGCAATGGAATGTTTGAACAGCATATGGCACAGTCAAATCCCAACTCGCCGCCCGAGGGGAACATGTCTGGCTTCTCTTCAGTAGGACCCAGTAGACCATCATCGCCAGGTGGTTCGAAGCATGGCTCGTCAACGAATCTTGCTGGGGCTGCAGGTCAGGGCGAGAATGGTGTTCCAACGACCTGTACAAATTGCTTTACGCAAACCACTCCGCTTTGGAGGAGGAATCCCGAAGGTCACCCTCTTTGCAATGCTTGTGGACTGTTCTTGAAGTTGCATGGCGTTGTTCGACCACTTTCGCTGAAAACAGATGTCATCAAGAAGCGCAACCGGGGATCAGGAGCGTCTCTTCCGGTTGGCGGATCCGGTGGTGCAGCAACGCGTGCCTCGAAGAAGATGGGCGTTCAATCTACAAGTGGTCCTAATACCCGGAAGAATTCCATCGTTGCAACCACCAATACCGCCCCTGCAACCCAAGCGACTACGCCAACCAGCGCCAGAGCCAGAAGTGTCAATGAAAGTCAGAGTCCGCCATCGATTTCCGGATCAGGAGGAGGGGGAAGTACAGCCAGCACACCGACGTCTTATCACGGATCTGCGGGGTCATCCGTTGGTGCAACCGGGGTAAGCGGTGGAAAAGGAGTTGTTCCAATCGCAGCAGCTCCTCCAAAACCCACCCCGGGTCCCGGAGCAGCAGCGTCTAGCATGCCACGATCAAATGTAGCGGTCGCCCCCAAACGCCAGCGACGACACAGCAAATCGGTCAGTGCTATCGAGAGTATGGATATCGATTCGCCAGAGAACTCGACAGGTTCGAACGAAGCTGCAAAGTCGCTTGGTATGGGCATGATGAATTCAGGCAGCATGACAAACATGGGCCTTGCAAATGGCTTTGGCATGACGACGAGACCGATGGGACCTGGTATGGGTATGCCTGGAATGGGTGGTATGGGTGGACCACCACCTGGAATGGTCATGGGACAGAATGGAGTCGGAGGCGCCGGTGCAGGGCCTCAGGAATGGGAATGGTTGACTATGAGTCTATGATCCTTATCCACGACGACGAATCTCATTCCGACAATTACGATAATCCACTTTTGCTTTCACCTGCACATTATTTATATACGGGGGTCTGGCGGCTTAATTGTGTTTCGTCATAAACGGGATTACAACGGTGCTTTTTGGCTTTGTTTGGGCCTAATTTTTACGACTCGGCTGACTCTTGTTTTCCATCTCACTACTTCGGCTCCGCTATATACATAAAGGGGAAGCGGGACAGGAGGCGAGGACATCTGGTTCTGCGAACGTACGACTGCACGCACGCTTCTCTTCTTTGGGACATCTCGGTATCTGGATTTATTGGTGGGATTGGATGTTTGTGCTATTTTTTGATACCATCGTTTGCTTTTTATCGTTCGGACGTCTGGGGTCTTGGAACCTATCTTCGTTCTGTCTGTCTGTGTGGTGTGGTGCGGTGCCAATGCACCATTATGATCACAGCTTGCAATTTTTATGGCTTGATAGAAGGTTGGTGCTGGCTTGCTCTTTGCGCTGCGAGGGACGACAAGTTGCGGGTTGGTGCTGGTCTGGTTTGATTTGATTGATGATTTGTTCTGGTTTGATCTGATGGTTGGATGTGTTTATGTGTGATGACCCTACTGGCTTTTAAAGGCTAGGTCATAGGATAAGCTTTTTCCTAAGTTCCTTGGTTTGAGTATTGGGGATGAGATGATCGAGGCGAGGCGAGGAGACAGGATTATGAGATCTGAGTCTGATTTTTGAGCATATAGTGGGGAGTTCTTACAGTAATTTACAAATGGTGTTGAGGTGGAGCGGGGTGCAGTGGTGTGGTGTGGAGTTGTTGTTCCGGCTACGGTTACTTGGTTGCTTGCTTGGTTGCTTACTTGCTTGCCTATGATACCTGATAGATTTGAGCAGAGCGTGTCAGTCAGACAGAGAGATGGATGATATACAGATTTAGTAATGGATGTTGTACCAATCTCAATTTATGACTTACTCCTTTCCCGTGCTTGAATATGCATCGTGAGGTGTGCTTATAGGTGCTGGATGGATAGATGGATTAGATTTATGGACGTGGGCAGAAGGATCTGAATAACGACTGAGACTTGCCTTTGTAATTCCCGCTGTACTATGTGGTTGGTGTTTGTATTTGCTGTTCATTCTAGCCATAATGCATTTCCCAAGACCCCGAGTCTAGATTTCTTGAACCTCCCTCCCTCAATCAACTTCCCTTCACACATCGATGAGAACATTAAACTACACCAGTCATGCCCAATGCCCCATCAACAGCCCTCAACACATGCCAAACCCTCACCCACACATAAATTAAAAAACAAATACCGCGCCCTGGTCGGTGGGTGACCCTACCTACCTTCATGGCCATGTGCATGCGCGAAGGCCCCAGCGCCTATTTACTTCGTTAAGCGAAGTCTTCGCCACAACCAGCGAAAAGTAAATAAACTCGCTAAAGGCCTCCTCCTGTGCCTCTTGTGGTTTGAACGACAGGAATTGGGTGAGTGGAATCGGTGGGAGGGGAAGAGGGTTGAGGTGGTGTTTTGGATAGGTATCTTAGATGTTGGGGGTTGGGACTGGGATTGAGGTTCGGGTTCGGGTTAAGGGATAGCATTGAGGGCGAGTTAGTAGAGGGGAGGGGAGGAAGGGGAGGATAATTTGAAGTATGTATGCTGAGGTTGTTGCTTGTAGATTCTACTGTCGATCATTCAACCTGACTTGATCTTGATTTTAATTTGTTATATATGGTTATTCACGCATACTAGTATGGATCTCTATCTACCCATCCATCCATGCTGTACATACACACCGCGCCAAAACTTTCACAGTAGGTAGATATAGATTTTAAATAAGCTCTCCTCTATCTCCTCTCTCCCTTCTCTCTTCTCGCACACTCCACACATCTTCATCCATCTACTTATACACACTCCAGCACATGTCCATCCATCCCTATCATGATCTCTACCTATATCTATCACCTCAATTCCCACTTCCACTTCAATCAGCCAACCAGAATGTCAGACTGTTTAAACGTTCTTTCTATACTTGTAGAGGACTTAAATGTACCTTACCATTCGACAAATTTTGACAATACGATAAATAATTCAGGCCCTCAGATTCTCTCTTTCCCTCTAGGCAAAAGAAAAAGTAAGCCAGAATAGATCCGATATCCGATATATATATAAAAAGGACGCTCTTCCGGCCACATACGACCATAGACTGAGGAGAATTAGCTATTTCTCTAACTTAAGTGATCAAAACTATCAAACGTGGGAACTGTTGCCGAGATCTGAAATCACGACCTAAAGTGATCTGAGACCGATTGAATACTTGACCATCGAGTGACAGTAAACAATAAGCTTACATACTTTAGAGACTCAAGGCTTAGTGGCTACCTCTACTGTTCTAGAACTGCTCTGCATCTTAGGTAAGCAGAGATGAAGGACCAGTCTGGACGGCGTTTCTATACCTCATCCTTAAGATCGCCGAGAATAGTCTCCACATGCTGCACTCTTGTCTCGAACTCGTCCGGTCCTATTGTCAAGTAATCAAATAGAATTGTCTTGCAGAAGGTACCCATCTACAAAGACCTCTCGCAGGTCCGTTGGGTCGCCCCAGGTATGAGAGAGTGCTTCTTATCCCAGATCAAATTTGACTGATAAGGCCATAGATAACCTGGACCCAATCCCTTACTTTATCAACTAAACGAGTTGGGAATATTTCCAATAGACAAATCTCTTCGATGGATCCAGAGTTTCGTATCAATAGTCGCCAACAAGTTTCCTAGGTACTTATACCTACTCCCAGCTATAAAGGCTATAGATTCCCGAACTTACAGTACTATCAATAAACTCTCTAGTTGCAGCTGAGGGATCAACTTTTAGCTTTGCCCTTTCATTACATTAGTGTTCGGGTAGAGACGTGGATTTAGACTTTAGTACAAGTCAGCATCGGCGACGTAACCGCGACAAGGAAGCTATCCTTTTGGTCACGGCTTGAAAATCGTCCTCAGCTCCAGTTACGTGCATCGGAATAGACATTCTTTCGCCTTGTCCAGAGCGAGCTTGCGAGCTTTGAGGTTCCGGCGAGGCGGCATTAGGGGACACTCTGACACCTCAGAGGTGGCAGGCGGGCGGGGTGGCATTTTGAAGGCCTCTGTTAGAAAATCAGAGGGGAGGGAAAAGAGGTAAAAGTGTGATACTAAGGTAGTTACAGAGATTGCAGAGATATACTAGAAATAGGGGCTAGATTACCTAATCTAGGCTAGTCCTATTTCTGACAGCCTCAGGCATTCTTAGACTCCCACAGCCTCCCTGGCTGACACTTCATCTTTGTTACACAGCTTTCAAAATCGGTGTTATCGCGGCTCATTGTAGGTAGCTTTTTAGCTTGCTACTTAAAAACTGCGCGCAGTAGCAGACAGCAGAATGCTTCAGCTACAGCACAGCTATAGCCTCAGCAGAGCGGCAGATACCCTCTTCAAACTCCACACACGAACTCCTTCAAAAGCCAATATTATCTAGCCTCACCTTCTAGAAACCAGATATCTAGTCATGTCTGCCATACTCGGCCCAAGCGCGAATGTGAATGAGTCGCCGCAACGCACGCAGGCTCATTTTTGCCAATGCTGTGAATCCGTCATCCTCTCGGACCCAAAGCGTAACCGCGTCGAACAGAAAGCTTTTGGGCCTGGGTTAAACCCGATCTTGTCAGACATGTGGCATATTGGCTCCGAGCCCAGAAGAGAGCGCATGGCCCAGATCTCCCATCATCTCATTGTCTTGGAAGGCTCAACCTTTCTCGAAGTCAGGGCTGATGAGGTGGCTCTTCACGCTTCCAATGGATGCTTGTTCTATGCTTTTATCTCAGATTATCTGTCTAGTCCACAAGAAAAGACTCATAAGGGCTTTCTGCTCAGTTTGCAGATGAACGAAAACCCGTGGACACCGGGATGTATAAGAATTCTTCGAAGTCTCCAATCAACAGACGAGCTGGAAGGCCATAGACTTAGCAAAGTCCGTGAGAGAGATTGTCGGAATTCGGCTCAAGATGATTATGGTACAAATGAGGCAGAAGAAGTAGAAATCAAAGATGGGATGGACGATCGTGATCAGGAAGACAAGGCGGATGAAGACTGTGAGAACAGCCAAGACAACGAGAGCATTTTGGACGATATGGGAATCAAGGCGACTGTGGAATACAGTGTCGATCAGATGAGAGATATCGACAATCAAATGCGGGTAGTTGAGTACAGCTTTGGGCTTTTTGCCGACACAGGTTAGTCCATTCTTTTCGAGCTTTAATTCAAGATCCACAGACTGTTTCTCTCTTCAAGGCCATCCAATGGATGAGGGATCACCGGATGATAAGGAATATGTTTCACGGAGCTCATAGGAGGTGCACGTGAGTTGTGTTTTCGGAAACCTGATTCTGAATAGTCTGTGTATAAAGACTGCTGGGACATAGAGACATGCTAAAGTGAATCAACAGAGTCTTTTTACCAAGACATAGCGTCCCTTCCCGAGTTAGCAGCAATCGACATATCTAGTGATACATCACTTGGCCAAGCGCGAAATTGGCTAGAAGACTGTGTCAATCAACATTCAAAACCCATTCAAGAATCACCTTCGCCTACTAGTCATCCTGCACGGCTGCTCAACCTCTCCTTACGTGATGGATGCTGGGCCATCCGGCTGGTTCAGAAGGATGAGACTTGCCCAATCATTCAACGCTATGCGGCTTTATCTTACTGCTGGGGCGGTGCCCAAAAGTTGCAAACGACGTGTAAGAACTTAGAGCTGCATAATATCAAGATTGATTTCTCGGACCTACCACCAACTATTCGAGACGCTACTATTGTCACAGAGAAGCTAGGACTGGAATATCTCTGGATCGACGCACTTTGCATAATTCAGGACGATGAAGATGACAAAGCCCAGGAGATATCAAAAATGGCAAGTATCTACGAAGGGGCCGAGGTAACTATCGCAGTGTCAAGGGCGAAAACGGTACACGATGGATTTCTCCATAAACTGCCAACACACGGCTTGGATATTCCGGAAAAAGTCTTTCGAGTACAATATCAAGGTGATCAAGGGAACACAACTCACAAAGTGATGGTTCCGTTAATTTGGCCTCGGCAAGATTACCTTGCAGCACGAGCCTGGACATTTCAAGAACGCTTATGCTCGGAACGAATGCTGACGTTCGGATCTTGCTGTGTAAGATGGAGTTGCCGACATTCAGGAGATTCATCGGATCGAGACCGTGTAACATGCATGTTCTCAGAAGACAAATTGTCCAACTTACAGGCAATACAAGATTTGGAATGGGAAGACGTTATTAGCTCTTACACAGGCAGATCTCTATCATTTGCCAAAGACCGACTCCCGGCCGTAGCTGGCATCGCACAAAGATTACAAATGAAGGACTGGGGCTTGGATTTCTATGCGGCTGGTCTATGGCTGTCCTCCTTTCCATGGGGGCTTCTATGGCGCGTGGAGTCAACGGAAGTTGTGCCACGTTCTTCAGCGTATCTTGCACCGACATGGTCCTGGGCATCGAATCTCGAAGCAGTATCTTTTCTCTGCGATGAAGTCGGCTTGGAGGACTTATATGAGCCACAAGCTGAGTTCCTTAAAATTGAGGTTGCAGTGGAGTCAGATGCGAACCCTTTCGGGGCTGTCGCCAATGGATCCATACGAGTTCGTGGATCTCTATCGAAAGTCTACTGGAGCATAGCGCGAGAAGCCGATCTTAGTAATTGCGTGGAGAATGAGATCAAACTAAGAGGTGATGATTTCTCTGGTGAGCTGTTCACCTCTTGGAGCTTCCGTGACGCAAAAGAGCTAGAATTGCCATCGGAAGAAAACGGTTACATCCCCGCTTACCTGTTGGTACTTGTCTCTGATGAAGAAATTACTAAGATAGCTGGTCTGGCACTACGTAAGCTTGACGACGGTCAGTACTCTCGGTTAGGGATTTTCACAAGTCCATTTTGTAGTGATCACCCCGTCCACTATCTCTTGGGTGGCAACTTGGAGGAGATCACAATAATATGATTGTGCTACTAGGGAATTACTGCCATTATTGATTATGGACTGAAGATCCTACTTGTTAAGAAGTCTTTTGATCCCCTTTGCACGATATCCGCGCAGAGCTATCAACGTGGTATAATCATGAATCATGAAGACATTAGAAGAGACACACTCTGCGGCAGATGATGTTCTTGTTGGGAATAAACAGGAGCGAGGTAAAGAGTCATTTTAGCTTTATATTTCTAGTGCGAAATATATCAAGATGAGCACTCATTTTCATGGCATAATCCCCATTCCGGACCTTCATTTCCCAAAGCAGAGTCTCGCTTAGCCAGACCCACCTGCGCAGGCCCGCTCGCCACAATACAGGCTGGAGCAGCCCCAAAGCGCAAAATTCTGGATTTCAAGAGACGCCGAGGCATATGATATTATTATCCAGCCCTGTCGAGCTTTAGTACCTTTGTACACAGTACTTGTTCTACACGGTGAAAGCTTTCGATTCTTGCTTACCTGCCAGATAGATCCGACCATCTCCAAAGCCAAGATGGATGAACCTTGACTGCCCTCCCACGACGGGAAGCTTGATGGATACCAGCTGACCATCTGCTGAAGGCACTGCATGCCACGCCTTCAGCAAGTCGTTGTCGCTTGGGTATGGGTCCAGGTCGTAGGGAATCAAGTCGTACTCATACTGCAGGAAATTATCAGCATGTACCATTTCAAGATTCAAGATGGGTTCTATGCTAACCTGAGACCAGACGATGGCCGTTCCAGGCTTGCCTATGCGACTGACTGTAAGTGCTTGCGCCTGAAACTCTCCCTAGAATCAAACCAAGTGTCCGGCAACTTACCATCCAAACTAGTCACCGAAGGCGTCGATGCTGTGGCAGTATTGTTGAAAGGAGATACTCCAGCGAGCTCAAACGTTCCACCCTCCCTATACTTGTAGGCAAGCATCTGTCCGCCATTCTTGTTTGCGTAAATGTAACCACCTTCTCCTGGATATGATGCCAAGCCACCGGAGATATCTCCTCCGCTGAATGGAAGTTTAACTTCTTGTAAAACATCGTTGGTCAGGTTGTTACCGTTTGCAAATCCACCAAGGTCGCCAGTATCCATAACATACAACTATCGAGATAGTAACAAAGTCAGTCATTCCAGCTGAAAAGGCATCAAGCGAGATTCATTGTCACTTACGATCCCAAGCTTCCCACATTGCAGTGCCACTCGCTCGCCCATGGGTCCCTTAAATACCCTCTGATCGAGTAAAGCAACACCACCGGATCCCAAATCTTGATCTGGGCGACTCCGTCTGGCAAAGTAATCTGCCGGCTGGAAATAATCTACGATGGACAATTTTCCGTCCGCGGCTCCGAGCTTGATGACAGCGTTGTTCGCGGTTGAAAGACCAGCCTTTCCATTGCCGGGTCCCATCGTAATATTATTTTGCTCAAAACCTGCGAAGGGCGGTCCATTGCCGGTCGCGAAGTAGAGGTGGGTACCGTCGGTTGTGATTGCGAAACCACCTACAGGACAAACGCCATGCAAGTTAGCAAACCTCAATTTAGGAGTGCAGATGAGGAAAGCAGTGTATTTCACCTTGCCAAACACCTCCTTTTCCACTTCTGCCTGAATAAGGGTCCATGACGATCTTTGGGTTTTGGAGTCAGTGATGTTCTCTATCTTGGGTGGACTGAGTTCATACGGGTGGTGCAAACGGTGGAGCTTCGGTTGTGAACATATGGGTGAGTTTTGCCTGCGCTACTTGAGTGTTTGGGTGCCATGTAGGAGCGCCCACAATCCAGCCAGTATAGTTGTATGCGTTGCACTAGTGAAACGGGTCAGCAAGTGTTGTCACTATTTCCAGTACAAAGTCCCCCAACTGAGGGTTCTGTCCCGTGGAGAACTAACATGAGTCCCGAAACCCCCGAAAACGGTTCGATTAAGTAACACCAGTCCCTATGAAGTGTGTCAGCTGACTATCAATAAGGAACCTCCATGGCGTAAATTTGCTCACAGGTCTTTGGAGGACTGTCCCTCCTAGAAAGTAGTTTTCTGGCGAATTGTCGGCGTGATGTCCGTCGATCTAAACAACTCATCAGAATAATGATCTCTGGCCCAGATCAACATTAGGATCTAATATCTGCTCTCTGATACCAAATTTCCAAATGCCAGGATGGAGTAGCACGAACCAGAATTGGATATCCAGGGCGTGTAGTCAAGTCCAAAATATTCAGGGCGTAAAAGCTGAATACTCGAGTTAGAGCTCAGAATCACAGGCCACTCGTCCAACACACCTGTAAATAACATTCAAAAACCCTCCACTTTGATTATTATTCCGATATCCATTCACGAAAAGGTATACAGTATCCGTCTCCGGATCAATTACTGGTGTCCCTGTAATGCCGTAATGGAACGGTATATTAGGGCACTGGATGTCGTCCACTAGCACAGGGAACTCCAATTGTCTCTCATTTATCACCTTTCCCGTCGCAGCATCTTGTGTGCGGACAAAATTCAACGTTGACCCAGTGATCACCAGCTGTTTGCCTGTGCTGAACGGCGTGTAGACCAAGGGCTGCGCGTACCAACGCTCCTGGCTCTCAAATGTTGTATTCCATAGAACTCGAAAGTTGGGATCTTTCAGGAGATCTGGCGATATGTTATGGTTTGGTGCATACCCGGAACCGGTGGGATCACATCCATAACAAGTGCAATCCGTTCTCGCTAGTGCCGATGATTCACCAACGTAGAAGGAAAAGAGGACGATGAACCGGAGGAAAATAAAAAACTTCATGCTGTATTGCTTCTTGTATGTTCAATGAGTATGGAGTAAAAATCGGGGGTGCGGGGGAAAATGGGACTGAACGGATAGTCATATACAAAGTTTGATTGCAATTGATGTTAGGTTTGAACTTAATTCTCAATGTCAACAAGGATATCTTGTACTCACGAGGTTTGTCGAGAGGAGAGTGCCCCCATCAAGCCTTAATTGGCTCCTACCACTGTAGAATCTAAATTTATCAGTGACAAGAGCAATTCCGGATCCCTCGGATGTGATGTTGATTTCTTGTTTTTTATGCCAAAGCCGTTTTGCCTGACAGTGAGGTCACGAATTTCACGTTGTTTTATTTTCTAGGGACTATTAGGTCCTGTTTGGCAACTTAAGACTGATTGATTCCAAGCTTGGGGCTGTGGCATCGAAGGCCATCCCCCAGCTTAAGGTACCTATAGGTTTTGTAGGCGCAGCTTGAGGATCTCCCGTCCTCCACAGCCTTAAAGCGGGGTTCATTAAGTAAAGTTATACTTTATTCGTCAGACTAAAACATCAACTTCTTCCACTGAAATATTTTCTCAAATTGGAAGAAGGCATTCGATACCCTCGCCTACCTAGCCTAGCCATCCCAGCTCCGACGTCCCCGCCTTAGTTTTCTCTCACCTCACTAAGGCAGGTCTAGTGTCTAGTACTAGTAAGCTCATGAGAGCCACAAGAGAATCGATTTAAAGGTCATGAGGCTGTAAGGCATACACATACCTTTTCAAACCCCTGTTAGACCCCTGCTTAAGGCACACACGCTGTTTTATTAAGCGAGAATACCCCTCTAAAACTAGTTTCCTTCTAAAAATATAACAAATCGTAAGATATTAATGATATTTAATTATTAGTAAGAATAATATTACACATCCTTTGTGATTTTTATAGAGTTGAGTTTACAAGGTTACGTTATAGTTTTGTTATTAAATAATTATTTCAAGTCAAGGCTAAATCGATTTTCTTAAGTCCTACTATCGAAGTTGTTGAAGCAGCAGGAGGGAGTTTAAGTGTGACTATGCCCCTTTTGTATGTGTGCCTTATGGCCTCATGACCATTTAAGCGATTCCATAAGGAAACAACAACAAACGAACCTTTTGCTGTTTGCCATTGGGGTTGTTGTTCTTATGGTAGCACTTTCACTCTCCGCACTGTCATCTCCGATCACGATCACAAAGATATTACGGAGCACGATGGCGCCCAACACTTCAAGTACGAGTTCCAATTTCGTTAAATCCGCAAAAGCTAACTGACCTTACCTATGTGTAGTCAAAGGCCTCCCATCACTCCTCACAATCACTATCGAGCAAGCTTCTGAGGGTCTAGCTGCCGGTCGCTTCACTTCTGCGGATCTGGTAAAAGCATACATTGCTCGGATTGAGGAGGCATCACATTTCAAGGCTGTGCTAGAAGTCAACCCAGATGCGTTATCTGCCGCCAAGACTCTGGATGAGGAGCGTTCGCGATCAGGCAGTATGGGGTAAGTGAACCACATATATATATACATATATATATTTGATTGTTTCAATCTCTCCGCAGCAATTTTCTGACCACACGCCAGCGCACTACATGGTATTCCGATTCTGGTCAAGGATAACATTTCAACGAAGGACAAACTACATGCGTCTGCTGGCTCGTTTGCCTTGCTTGGGGCCAAGCCGGCTACCGAGTCTTCGGTTATCAGCAAACTCCGCGAAGCTGGTGTCGTGATCCTAGGCAAGACAAATCTTTCAGAGTGGGCGAATTTCAGAGGTTTGAACATCAGTGCAGGCTGGAGTCCACGCGGAGGTCAGACTCTGGGTGCCTACCATCCGAATACCAGGTCCGATGGAAGCAGTTCTGGCTCAGCGGTGGCTGCAGCTCTGGGCCTATGCGGAGCTGCATTGGGTACAGAAGTAAGTTCTATCGCGTTTCTCATGAGTAATGTCACTAATTTCGCTGCGAGACTATGGGCAGTATCGTCGATCCAGCAGAAATTGCTAACGTAGTTGGCTTCAAGCCAACCCGTGGTCTGATCGCGACGGACGGAGCCATCCCGATCTCCAAACGTCAAGATGTCATTGGGACTCTTACAAAAACAGTCAAGGACGCAGCATACATGCTTACCCAGATGGCTGGACGCAGCGATGCAGACGAAAGAACTTGGAACATTCCATTCGAGTCCATTCCGGATTATGCTTCTTTCTGTAAAAGCACCAACCTTGGCGGTATCACAATTGGTGTCCCTCGGAATTGCTTCGATACCAAGACGGCCCCAGTACCAATCATAAAGTCATTCGAATCTGCCCTGAAGATTCTGTCGTCTGCAGGAGCAACAGTCGTGGACAATGCGAACTTTACAGGTGTCGACGAGTTCAAGAAGTTGAATCAGCAAGTGAAGGGAATCGTCCGATCGTCCGAATTCAATAGGGACATTCTTGCTTACTTGAAAACCTTGGAATCCAATCCGAACAACATTAGATCGGCTGAGGACATCATCGAATTCACGAAGAGTTTTCCGGCTGAAGAGTACCCAGATAAGGACATTGGCAAATTTCTGTGGACACAATCCGAAGGCATCGATGTTGACAGTGATAAGTACAAGGAAATGGTTCAACAGGAACTGTATTTCGGTGGTGAGGGGGGGATTCTTGGAGCCATCAAGCAATATAAGCTGGATGTTCTGGTTGTTCCATCTACGCTGGGTGTAGCAAATGACCTAGCTGCGAAGATGGGATTTCCATTCATATCAGTTCCGTTGGGATTCTGGCCGGAGGATACCCCGATTGAACGCGAGGATCGGAAAGGAGGTCTTGTCCGCAAAGCACCAGGTATCCCGTCAGTATTTCTCTTCTGTCTTCCATCAGTACGTGCTGATCATTGCAATAGTTACTGTATAAGCTTCTTCACCAAGGCCTACTCGGAGGAAATGTTACTCCAGGTTGCATATACTTTCGAGCAACTTGCTGGCGTGCAGGATAATGGTCCACAGCCTTACCAACCCCCGAGGACCGAGCTGAGCGATGTTCAAGAGACAGGCCAAAAGAGGTCTCAGCTCAGCTAGGAAGAAATATGCTTGTTGTTTGCGGTAAAGGGGATTCTATGAGGTCTGTTCAATCAAGAAGCACTAGATTTGAGCGCAAGGAATGGTGAAACTGTTCAATGAATGACACGATCTTGAACACATGATAAGCCCCGTGGAAACCTTCTGAAGAATGACTGAAAATGAGATCGCGAGTGTGTACGAAGGCTCAGATGATCGGTTCTGCACCTCCTATTTCGAATGCGTGGCACTGTTTTGCAAGATATGTGAATGGGTAAGCACGCGTGTCTCGAGTTCCAGTGAATACCCGTCCACTCGGTGAATAAGTTTCTTACGAAGTCACGCCCGACCACAGCCTACAACCCCCGCACACATAGATAGTCCTGTATCGGCGACCGTCACCGTTTCATTCCTCTTCCTCTTTCCACAATCCACTGACCACGAAATGGCGAAGTTGGCTGCTTCCCCAACCACCGACTTTACAAGCACATTCACTGGATCTCTTTCTACTTCTCTACAAACTATTTACTCAGTCGAAGGGCTTTCCACTTGAATCTCGCAGCCACCTACCACCGACAAACTGCCAAAAATGGATAACTTTCAGCTTTAAGTTCTTCAGATATTGAGGAATCAAGGTGGATACCGCGCGAATCATGAACTGACTATGCTAAAGCGAACAATCGCGCTCAGATCACTGGAAGAGCTCGACTCAACTCTGCAAAGACTCATTAGAACCTGACGATCTACGCCAAGTCACAACTTTGAACGATTGGGATTATGTACAGGAGCAGGTGCATATTGATCAGGATGATCTGATTCAACAGGAGCTCGCAATGCTCGCGCCTGGTCTGGTTCAACTGAGAACATTCGCCGAGTATCATTTCTGCCCCCTCGTCTTGAAGAATGACACGTCGATATTCTGGGGTCTACTGGGTCTCATACTCAAGGTGATCCAAGCCACATTTAACACCAAGCGGATCCTGACCAAGACTAGCTTACCCGAGATGAGGACGGTGCCATAGCCCGAGTTCCTCGTATGCTTCGAGACATATTCCACAAGATTGAAGTGCTCAACAAATACTGTGAAGACTCACAGGGCCCAACTCCTGAGACCAAGGAGGCGTGCTTTGACACTGGTATCGTACTATTGACATTCTACTCTGCCACTATAAAGTTTATGCGAAATCAGCTCGTGTATTCTGCTCCTGGTCAGTGATTCCTCACCATTCCAACATTGGTACCTAAAGAAACGCTTAGGAGCCTCCCAGAGTGGCTTGTGGCAGCCATTGACCCAGCAGTTGGGTTCTACTATTCGGGAGATGGATGAAATTCTATCTCGATTAGAGACCTTGTCCAGATTTACAGGACGTCGAAGCTCCAGCCGCGTCTCGGAATTGCCTCGTAGGCCATCGACGCTCTCTACGCAACCTGATTCCCGCGACTCAAAGGATTCATTCGACTCCCGAGAATCTAGAAGACTTCCACAAGTCTCTGAAATACCCAGATTTCCTCTCGTCATTCGCCCATCTACCAGGACGGCTCGTTTCTTTGATCGAACTGATGTCGTAGATCAAATGAATTCTTTTTTCAGCAAGGGTGATTCGGATCGATCATTCCTGTCACTGGCCATCTATGGGCTAGGAGGTGTTGGCAAGAGCTCTGTAGCTATGAGGTTTGCTGAGGGCAAGCTTGACAGGCAAGAGCTGGATTGCATGTTCTGGATTAATAGCGAAAAGCCAGTCTCTATCCGACAAAGCTTTACTGACATTGCTATGAGATTGAAGCTTCCGGATGCACGACCAAAAGATCACGACGAGAACCACTCTCTAGTGATGACCTGGCTTGAGCAAACTCGTGAGTTCCAATCATTGTGGTGATGTCGTCTTTTATCCACTGACAGTCCTCAGAATGTCGGTGGCTCTTGATATACGACAATGCTGAAGACATGGATCTAATCCGCGACTATTGGCCCTCTGCAAGCAGTGGACAAGCACTTATCACGACTCGTAATCGTTCTTTCGGTTTCGAGATAGCGGATGGTGATCTTGAAATCCTGACATGGGATCCCGAAACGGGCTCCAGGTTCTTGCTCCATCTTCTTTCTACAGACATCAGTGAAGAGTTGCAAGAAGAAGATGTCATCGCCGCCCACGAGCTATCTCAGAAATTGAGTGGACATGCTCTCGCAATTTGTCACATGGCTGGCTTGATTCACAGGCAAGCCTGGTCTGTCGCAGAATTCATGAAAATGTATGATCAGCACCCAAGCAAAATGCACGGTGTATCTGGCAACAACTCGATCAATGCACTTTGGAACTTTGCATTCAAGTCTCTTGACAAGGGGAGTAAGGCAGTTTTGGGAGTGCTGTGTTTCGTTGCGCCTGATGATATTCCACAGTCTCTTTTTGAGCTTGAGGATGCTACCGGCTTCCCGGAATCTCTTCGTTTCTGCAGCGACGACCTCTGGTAAGTTCAATAGCCCCCACGAGCTTACTCAGCTGATCAACGCATCCAGTTTCTCCCAGGCTGCCGAAAATTTGCTCACTCTGGCTCTTATCAAGCGAGAGAAGACATCTCGAAAATATTCCATTCACAGACTCGTTCAGTCATCGTTCAAGTATTTTATGACCCCCGAGGAAAGAATCAAAAGCTTTGAAGCTGCCGCGACGCTCGTCTCTCTTGCTTTCCCCCGGAGAGACTCTAATATAGCACAACTCTATCTCATGTGGGAACGATGCGCTTTGTTTCTTCCGCATGTTCTGAGTCTGAAAGACTGTTTCCGTGAGGAAAGGAAGTCTAATCCTTCGTTTCCCGCACCGAGAATATACTGCGAGCTCAACAATACTTGCCAACGGTAAGCACGTCCTTTCGTTTTATGGCGCATCAATTTTTGATATTTGCCAGGTATCTATTGGAGATAAATGCCTATGGCGAGCTAGAAGATCTTATCCAGGTAAACAACACTACTATCAGCATACTTCCTCGTGGAGAATCGACCATCGGGCTTCGCGGCTCATTGATCTCACATACTGGACAATTGATGATTCGCCTTGGTAGGCCATCTGAAGGCGTGGAATAGCTGAAGAAGTCCTACAAGATACGAAGCCACGACTCGCCCTTCAACCCACGAGAGTCCGCTTAGGCAGCAGAAAATTTAGCCAATGGGATTTCCACTTTAAACGAATTTTCCGACGGAATCAAATGGCTGGAGACCTCGCGTGATCACTGGCTGGAATGGTCAGATAAACAACTTATCGCAACTGGAGAGTGGCCTGCTTGCATCAAAACAAGTCTCGGTGTCAGCCTTACTTGGGCTGGCGAACTGAATAAAGCTCGTGACATTTTGAACAAGGCACTCCAACAAATCGAAACCGCAGAGCCCTACAACTGGGCAATGGCAGCGTAGTGAGTCTCTCAAATCGCCCTCGAGTCATGGTACATGCTAATCAGCCGTGGCAGCACTCATTTCAATCTTGGTACTGTTGATCGCCATGAGCACCAGATGGAATCTGCAGAAGCTCATTTCATGGAAGCTCAGAACTTGTGGGGCAAAGGAGACCAACTAAGAACAGACCCCTTCAATGCCGCTTGCATGTACAGATTGGGATGTGTGTCGCTCGACCAGGGTAAACTTGAAGCTGCTGTGTAAGTACTGGAAGACGGAGGGTAGTTGCCTTCGACTGTACGCTGATGACTTACAGAAAGCATTTGAAAGACGCTATGCTGATTACAGAGATGCGCAAGCATAACATGGTAGCTGAACATGCCAGAACTATCTTCAAGCTGTCAGAAGCTTTGGAGCAGGAGCCACGAGAGGTGGCAGAAGCTAGTCGACTACGCCAGGAAGCCGAACGTCTTTTACGCCTCCGTGAGCCAACGGCCAAGGAACCTGGGAAGGAAGGTACTTACGACAGCATGGTGAACATCTTATGGCGCTGATGGAAGGGAATGATCTTGAAAGTGCTTTTGCCTGGTTTTCTGGAGTCTATCTTTACTCACGACACGTTATGAAATGATGATGACAAGTTTAGGTGGGGGTGAAATCTGCTCATCACCGTTTGGCAAATCATTTCTTATATTTGCATTGGTATGAAGTACAAAAAATTGAACAATCTTTGCCCTGATCAGCAGTTCCCTCATCCTTTCACGTCACAGACATCATGTATCGTCCCAGAAAACCACACCCGACCCAAGTAGAAACAACTCTCCGACTAATCTCGCTGCTCAAGGAGCCTTTATCAAATGAATGACAAGTCTCATGCTGATATCCCCTTGCATCTCTACTTCGACTCGTCGACTTTCGTTTCAGCGAGATTGACCTCGCGAGGCTTCTGAGGCAGACTGCCTTGTCTGGCACGGCCCAAAGAGATTGGCTTCTGGGGAGGCTTGATGTCAAGGGACTTCTGAGCCTTGTACCACGCCTTCCATGGCTGACTGAGAGGAGTTGCGGAGGAATGCATGGTGAGGTGTATTCTGTTGCGTTCATCAGTAGTGGCTCTTCTCTTTTCATAGAGCGGCACTATGATTCGATCTATTTCTCTCATTACCTTGGCATTAAACGCTTGCAGCTTTTCTATTGCCACTCTTTCAAGCCCGATCGTATGTATGTCTGGCGCTTGGCAGGTGCCTTGCTGCTCTGCCGCCCTCATACAATTTGATCGAATCGCATGCTAACTCGAACGCTAACGTATGAATATCATCAACTGGGGAAGGCACAGAATGTCTGAAGCTTCCGAGCCAAATGCCTTCTCGATGGCCTTACGTAGATGAACAGTATAATCCGCTCTTAACGATGTAGTCTTGAATAGAGCATCCAATCCAAAAGTCGACGTTCGACGAGCCCTAAGCTCTCTTTTCAGCTCCAGGTTTAAATATCCAAAGGCTACAATCGACTTCTTGCCAGGTTTCCCGACTGCCGTGTGGATTGATAAGGCTATTTGAAAGTATTGCGCGTCGGAGCTCCTTGTCACAAGCGTTAGTGCTGGTAAGCCGCTTTAAATAGAGCATCTGAAATGCGTAGTTTGATTGCCTAGTTCCCTCGAAGTAAAAGCAGCAGACGCCAATGATTCGATCAATGAGTCTTATGTCTCCATTCTTGATGCCATACTTTAAGGTCTTGTGTACGATCATCTGTTGAAGGTATCGAGCATGACTAAGGAACCCTTCGACAACTGTATTATTGGCGTATTTCTCCTTAGATAGTCGCCAGGCTTGCGGTTCGAAAGCTGATCTGCGAACATCTTCTACTAGATCTATGAAGCCTTTCGCATTCAAGTCTTGAATTGCATGGCCAACTTCACCTTGTTCCGAGGTATCGATGCCGCACTGCTTGAGACGGGTATAAAGAAGGCCAACAACGCGAGCATCGAAACTATGAAGAACCAGCTCCCTCCAGAACTTGAAAAGCTGCACGGTCTGCGGGAATATTCTTGCGTCCCCAGAAGTTGATGTTGTGGTAGAGTGTTAAGAGCATCTTGCTGCTCCATATTTCCATAGTGTGATCTTTGCATGGGCCAGAGGAAGTTCATGCGCAGATGAAACGGAGCAGCGACTCCTATCAACCAGTCTTTTCTGTCGTATGCTGCAGATGCGTTTATTTGTTCAGCCTGTATAGATCGGATGAGTGAAGAGGTTTTCTGATCGCCAAATGCCAAGAATAGTAAAACTAGTAAATGCCTCTCTCGGTTAAATACTCTACGTGGCAATAGCTGAACATACAAACCATCTTGTCGCTCCGGCGTGACCACTGGACTGTATTCATTCCCTCTCTGATTATTGAATTTCAAATCCAGAGCCATAACGTTTTAGTACCAAACCATTCTTTACGTGCTCCGAATGTTGAAATAACTTTAGTGGTCGCCATGAAAACTGGGGCTGACGGCAGAAGCAACGATTGCCAGCGGAAACAAAACGATCGACAGCATCGTCAATTACAGTCTTTTGCCGATACTTAAGTGGTGAAACCGAGGAAAATTCAGTGAAGAATAAAAGTGTTAAGCAGCAAATTTATAGACTTTTTGAGAAAATGTCTATGATCTCAAGACTGTAGATTTGTGTCGCAACAGGGTGCGTCTCGGCACACAACAAGGACGGACGTTGAAATATTTTGACATATGTTACGTTCTTTTCTTGCGATTGAGCTTTGGAGAATCATCGTCTTGCAAGCGCAAGTTGCTCTCACCTTGGCAGAGCAGCACCAGCAACGAAGGAATTCGCTTCGCCTCCGAGCTGATGCTCCTCCGCTCCGTCTCAAAAGGCCTGCCAGCGAGCAATGTTTACGTAGGATCTCAGTTCCCGAGTCTCGGTCCAGGAACCAATAATCACTATGACCCGCGATCTAATCCTACTGTTGTACTGTATGTTTTTTCTTGGTTTCAATTTTATTTTTCTTCTTCAAGTTCTTTTTCCCCTTCATTTTTTTTCCGGCAATTTCTGGTGTGTGCGAAAGAAAGTTGTAACTGCTGGCTGAATGGGAGGGGATGGGATATATATACTTACTTATCTGTATTGTTTACTCTGCTTTTCTTTCTATGTAGTTTTGTGTTCCTACTTTGGTCAAGGAGATAGATAGCTGTATGCTAGCTGCGACGTCAATCTTTTGCTACGAGGAGATGGAGACGTAGGTAGGTAGGTAGGTAGGTATGTAACTTATATCAGAGAGGCGAGGCTGAACAGAACCTCTACAGGTAATATCGGTAAGATATGTTATTTCATTTATTGTTTGTCTGTAATTTATTATACTATTTTATTTTATACTGTAATTTTATTATAAATGTATTCATCTCCATCATCAACGTATGCGTATGCATAAACCCATCTCATCTCATTCTCATCATTTAATCACCTTATCCTATTCTTTTCCTGAACCTAACCCTGAGCCACTGACTCCCCGCTATGCTCCATTGCCTCCAAGGCATGCTCTATCGTCAGGGTATCAAAAAGAATACAAACAGCCACTTCCGCGTACACGTATACAATCCAACCGCCTTACCATTTCCTACTACCCTCATTATTTCATATTCTCATCTCCGCGTTCTAGCCCATCGAAACCATCCACAAACCACAACACCTGGCCGTCCCCACCCTACCCCCTCTCACGCAACCCTCAAAATAACCCTCCACCCCAACGCCCCCGCCTCCCTAACCGCACAAGCCAAGCATCCCCTCCCCCTCCTACTAACCAGCGCATCCCACCCACGCTCAGCACAAAGCGCTCTGCCTAACATCTCGAGATCACTTCCATACTCTCTATGTGCTTTCTTCTCTTTTACAGCATCACTTTCCTGGCCATCAATGCCAATGCTAATCACTCCATCTTTTGGCTGATTAGTAGATGAAGACGGTGAAGGCAGGGCTGGCGCAGACGGTGCTTCGGAAGATCGGTGTACGACTGGGAAGAAAGACATTGTGTCGTCTGTGCAGTCTATTATGAGGACTTTGGGGATAGTGGAGGATGTGGTGTGTGTTGTGGAGTGGGATGGTAAGAGCGCTGGGGATATGATCGGTGGTGGGGAGAGGAGTGTGTTGAAGGGTGTTGAGATGGGGGTGGTGAGGAGGGTGGAGAGAGGGATTTTGGTGTAGGTGTAGGCTTTGTGGAGGGGGTGGCCTGCTTTTTTTTTAGTAATTTGGTTCAATCATGGAGGTACAGTGACGGAGCTGTCGATGGTGGGAGAGGACAAGACATACCCGTAAAAGTCTCATGATTACCTGACCTTACACTCGGACTCGGCGTAGTTCCAGGACTCATCGCCGTCTTCAGAATACCTACATGCAGAGATGGAACACATGGATGTGCCGTCACGAAATGGATATCGTGATTCAAGGCGATATTGACTTCTTTCTTATCCTCTCCAGTAGCGACGATAGTGAAGCACACCATTGCGGAATACGTTTTGATCGTCGGAGTGAGGCTGACACCTGAGAGAGGGGTCGAGTTTTCCTCGGTTGGTGTCTCATGGCGCGAATCTGCTGCTGCAAAAAGGTCTAGAGATTCGAATGTTACCGATATGGCTGTTTGGATGGCTTCGTCGGAGGGGAGGATGAAATCTCCTGGGAGGGCGGATGAGATGTCTGCTCCGCCTGTAACATGACCATCATGCTCGATATTCTGTTTTTGCCATAGTCTGGGTTTGTCAGATTTTTGAGACGGATCTGCAATGTCAGCTTGAGCAATTCTATTGTCAGAGGTAAACATACTGATAGGCACCTCAGGCTCAACATCAACATCCACCCAACCCTCCTTCGTACCTCTCGGTACGACATCTGATTGAATCCAACCCATACACTCCGAAGCGCCTTTTCTAGCCGCCAGAACCCGCCCAATAATGCACGCTGAACTCCAGAAACTTTTGCTCCGATATATGAAACCTCCATAGAGATTCGCTTCTTCGCCTAAGCGAGAGACTGCCTCTGAATCGTTTTCTAATAATGTTGACATGAGGAAATGGCTCAACCCTTCGCCGGGCAATATTAACCCGCTTAGGTATGAATTCGAAAGCCATCCAGCTGGATGGATAACGGTGGAGACATGGCTGTGTACCGACATCCCTCGGTTCATACCTGGCCGTCGTGCGAAATACGACGAGGTAAGCTGAGTCGATATGGAAAGTGGTGTGCCCACTGGGGTGTTCTGTACGCTGTCCGAAATATTAATTCCATTAGAAGCTGCCTTTGACGCCAAAGAATCCATGTCAGGCCACTGGATATTCCGAGCGAAGTGAAGAAGTCCCGAAAGCTGTCGAGTCTGATGTCTGCCATGGAATTTCAACTCCTGGAGCAAATCAGTCGCTACAGCTTCCGCATTTCCTGTTCCTGTGAGGGTCGCCAACCACCCAGCTGGCTTCTTCTCCTTCAAAGTCTCTGGATCTGGTGACTCCAGAGATATGTTGTCCAACCATGCTCGTGCAAGAATCAGAGACCATTTTACGCTCGATGTTGCCAATTTCTCGAATCGATGAATCTCCACTGGTGTTGCAGCCTCCACACCATGATCCATATGCATTGAAATGGCGTCCAGCCGCAGCAGAAGCTCACATGAGAGTAGAATCTGCAGCAAAAGCCAGTACCTCTCGGTACCCGGATCTTTAGCTGTCTCATTGTTGACCGATACCTCGCCCTCTGGGTCAGGGTCTGGCGAAACTCCCCACAGTATTTGACCAAGCCTAATCCTCCACTCAACCAGAGTAAAATCGACCCAAACCGTAGGAGCAGCCAGAACTTGTACTAGAGCCTCGATCTGTATTTTCAGACTGTACGGATCATCATGCTCCATCACTCTCGAGGGAGGAAACAGGATGAAAGAAAAAAGCTGTGTATACAATTCCACACTTTGCCTTTCGTTCTTCAGCGGGTCATCGTGGTAGACTTCACTGACTTGCTGGAGTCGTTCAATAAGTATCGAGTCAGTAACTGGTCTCAGCCCATCCTTTCCATTGAGGAACAACCTGCGTTGTTCGGATATGTATTCCGGGCTCGAATCCGAATCCTCATCTGGTATCTCCAAGGCATCCGCAACTCCCATTTCCAGTGCTGCTTGGTATCCCATTGTCCCTCTCTCCAGTCCCTGCATACTGAGCATATTCGGTCTTTCTCGACATCTCGGTAGGAAATTCGCTCTCTGCCTCTCGCGGCTCTCCTCGATGGCCTCAGGTTTCCGGCTAGCTTGCACTGTCACATGCGGCCACGCCGTAACGCATCCCCACGCCTCATCGTGGATCTTCCAATAGTCCGTCAAATCCCTTATATTCAGCTCCTCGTCCCATGGAAACGCAACAGACGGGTGCGGGGCACCTGTATTATGCCCCTCTGCGCGCGCGAAGAATTGAGGTGCGCCGGAGAAGATTTTATGTAGGTCCGGCACATCAATTGGACTGATGATCCGTTCCAGCTTGACTGGCACTTTCTGGACGGGAGGATCTTCCGCTTGGGCGCCGGCAGGAGGGGGAGGAGGCAGTGGTTTATCCATAGGTGAGACCTGGGGATCTGGTCCTTTCGAAGCAGAAGGAGATTCTTGAGTAGTTGGAACCTGTTACACTCGAATGTCAGCCAATTGCTGTATGTCACACTGATCCAATGCTTGACTCACTGTGAACCGCCCAGTTTTCCGTCGATTCGCTTTGGACTCCGAGGAGGGGCTGGAGATCTTGAGCAGGCTACGGAAGTAGGCGCGCTTCGACTGCGTCCTTTGCACCTTCTCCACGCTATCATTGCTGAGCTGCACGCCGCTGTCATGGGGATCAGCCAACTGTCGGGGCCGCGTCTGGTCCCCTTTTGAGCTCTTTAAGAAGGAGAAGCTCGGCATGGTGGGGGGGAGGTCAGATGAGGACTTCGGTGGCATGAGGCGCCGTGCAATTGGACATGCGAGAGCGAGGTCGTAGATACGGCAGATAGCTAGTAGAGCAAAAAGAAAAGTCAAGAAGAAGTGGAAGACGAGTGGAAGACTTGGAAGGGAAAGCAAACAAGGCTAAGCAGGTCAAGCAAAGCAAAGCAAGGCAAGGCAAGGCAAGGCAAGGCAAGGCAAGGCGAGGCAGGCTGGGGTACTTCCGATGCGCTGATGCTGCCGCACTGCTGTCCGCACTGCGGCAGCATGGAGGAGGGATGTCTTTAAATGGGACCAACTTAACTGGATGGAGAGACAGGCCGGCCTGGACTGGATTGGGTACCTGCCTGCAAGTAGAGTAAGGTAGGGAATCAGAGCCGGCCGTGCTGTGTGTAGGTACCTATGTGTTATGTGCAGCTGTGCCTACTGCAGCTGTCATGCCAGCATGCATCCATGCATCCACACGCAGTAGCCATCTCAACAGGAGGTGTACTGTACTGTACTGTACTGTACTGCACAGCAGTAATCTGCCAGGTATTCGGGAACAAAGTCTGGACGGCAATAGTTGGATGTCAAGGCCCATGAACCTTGAATCTGGCGTGCGTGCATTGCAGCGGCAGCGGCAGCAGCAGCAGCAGCAGGAAGCAGGTAATGCCGTATCTGGAGCAGCCGCTGATATGCTCTCATTCCATACCAGTATGGCAAGGTGTGTTGCTGGAAGTGGGATGGGCTCAATAATGGTGAGGAGAGGATGGATGTCAGAACAAGACACGGCGCGACAGGGCACTCGGGCATGGAACTGCCCTGGAACGCCGATGCGATGTGACGTGAGGTCTTGGCACGCCATCCTATCAGCCTATCCTTATCGCCCGGGCACTCCAGACCCTCTTGGATGATCGTTGGAGATTTCCCATCCCCCATCCCCCATCCCTTGCTTCAACCTTAACCCCATCCAGGCGAAGCTTCAATCGTAGCATGTTTGATTGTCTAGACCGCTACAATTTTATATCAAGGATCTAGATGATTAGCCGGATCATTTTTTTAAGCATAATAGATATGGATAGACAGTATTAGACACATTGGCCAAGCAGGAACATGCCAGTTCTCTAGAATTCTCTCCGGGCAAATTTCCTCATCTTCTCTTCTCAACTCCCCTACAAAATATGGCTGTCCCTATCTGACTTTCTCACTCATCTCTTTAGTCTTTCAGCTGGTCCAAAACGGAAATATTGGTGACCCAGATAAGCTCTATGAACCCCAAGAAAGTCATAAAGTAATAGTTCCTATTCCCTGTCCTTAATTTCGTTCCCGAAAAGGTTAGACTCTCCTTACTCCGACATGAAACGAATTTTCTCCCATCAGCACCACTCCTCAGCCTTGCCAGCCGTGTCCTCGGTTTCTAACAGCCTATTGGACACCAACTAGCATCACCATTCTGACCTTACAGTCAGCCTGATCATCGCTATTGGGTAGACAGGCAGACAGGGTGACGGGGAAAATGAGTTCATGAAACGGGCCGGCTGGCTGGCTTTGACAGCACAGAATGCTACAGTACAGGCACGAGAAGTAAAAGTCAATCAGGCAATAGCTCGCTGGGGAAGACAATCTTGAGGGAAGTAACTGTTGGGCGGTAGCTAGTTTCAACCACTCAGTTATAAAAATCCGGTAAGTATCGTGAATGGCTTCCCAATCCTATTGCCAAGAAAAAAGGGGAGTCGGACTAAACTCCAGATGTGGGAGAGCAGATGTTTGAAGGAAGTAATTAGGTGCTTCGACGGGTTTGTTGCATACGTCGCAGGATTTAACTGCATGCTAGCTGTCTCTGCTTGGGAAGTGCCATCCATCACATGCCAGGAGATATTTCGGAGCAAAAGATGTTTTAGAAGCGTTGCTGGACGGACGAACACCTTCCTACCTACTCGTACCGAAGGACGCAAATCCTGGCTTCGGTTGAACCATATGGCATAATAATAGCAACGCGTGTCGGTCGGAAAGATGTCCTTTCACCGCGGCATGACAGGTCATACTGTAGGGGTTGTATAGCAGACTTCTGCAGCACACAACTTCCGCATCTCTCAGCCCTCGTTGTTTCGGAACAGGTCACAACACCGGCTCGCATAGCATGACCTGACAGTGAAGTTGTCTGCGCAGATCGGAAAAATCCCATTTCATTCTCAAGTAATTCTCCGCCAGATATGTTAACACCCGTAAACTCCAGACCATGCATGGGTATACGCTTGCCATCAATCCCATCCCATGTATTCCCTCAACGCCAACTAAATTCGCAATTCGTAGTAGAAGCCAACCCTGACCCTCCTCATGATGACGGGACATCGTGAACAACGACGAATATGAATTTCGCGTCTGGAACAATAACGAGTTCGTGTTTCCGAGTCCTGAGTCGTAATAGCTTGAGGTCATCCTATTATGCCATACCCATTAGCTTCTACCCAATCTGCTTCCACGAATAAACACCCTTATCCACATACCTCAGCATCCATATCATGCACCAACTGCCCCGTAGCATTCACATAACTCCACACCATCTTCGCAAAATCCTTAAACGCCTGCTCCTCCCCTGAATCAGACGTCCCTAGTGCCGAGGCCGTCTCCCTCTCAGTTTTAGGACTGGCAGCTGTACCTGTATTTGTAGGTGCGGGCTGGCCGGGGGCTGTGATTGAAGCAGCTGTATTCGATGCAAACATTGTGCCTAGTGTTCCTGTGAATTGGAGAACGGTGGATGTGGTTCGCTCGATTGCGATGGTTGCTGTGACGCCGGATTTGGAGGAGAGTCGGGCCATGGTCTCCGCGACGGAGGTGGAGGATGGAGGGAGTGTCATCTTGGGGAAGTTGTTAGGACGGAGGTGGTGCAATTGAATCGCTTGCAAGAGGTCAGGTTGTGGTTGATGTTTGGGCGGGGTTGTTGTGAAGCTCGAGAGAGCTTTGAGGAAGCTTTGACGGAGCAGGAGGGAGCTTACTTTTGAAAACCAGAGTCTTAACGAATAGATTGTCCCCAGTTTGTATATACCTCGTTCTAATATTGCATTGATTGCCTCTCTATTACCGAGCGAAAATAAAGCGTACAGCAAAGAAGAAGAAGAAGAAGAAGAAGACTGGCTCAACAGCACAATCAACATCCACAAGTGAAGCCAAACAACAACAATCGAGCTTAGCGGCGGTCCCTGACGGAAGATTAATTCTCCGCCGCCGACCGACCCCAGCTGGTCAAGAATAATTTAGTGCAGGCCCGGCTCAAGCTCACTTACCACAAGCACACTCTCGTATACACCAACCATTTTCTCACAACATCTACTGTCGCAAGAGAATATTCTGTTGTCTCGTGTGATTGTGGGAAAGAGTCAAGATGGGGTCGTCTATGAGAAAGAAGAAGGAGAAGAAAAAGGATTTTCAGGTTTGTGAAATCTCGGCTTTTTCTTCTAGCCTTGGACTTATTTTGATGGAGTGGTGACTGACTGATTCTGGTATAGAAACCAAAATTGAGAGTTGGGAAGACGAAGGCGAAAGCTGATAACTTTACTGATACGAGTTTTAAAGCTAAATGTAAGGGCTTCTCACTTTTAGTTGTTCTTTTACCGTTGTATTGTTTACTGTTCTGAGTTTTGATGCTTGAACTTCTGCTTGTTCGTCATTTTGGTTCTGATGTCATGTGGAATATTTATATATCTTATATGCACTTCAGGTTGAGATGGTGGATATGTCCTGGACCTAGTGGCTGTTCTACTGGTACATACTCATTGGTTTGAGCTTGATATCTTGCTGGGTAAATCCAATGTCCTGTCTTTCACAAGCGACATTGGGTAAAGTGGATTTGAGGTTGCCCAGACTTCAAGATCCAACATTCAACCAGCCTGAGCATCGTTATCTTCAATGTCCTCTATTCTACACACAACATTCAAATGCTGATGGATCCTAGCTATCGTACTCAACCAACAGTCCTTGACTACGGTCGCACCTTCTACCACTACACAACTCACTCACTACCTGTCACTTGCCTCGTCGTCGAAATCCGACACCCAACGTAAAGACGCATTGTCCTACCTGGTCTCGCGACTTTCAAACGCACCCTCGGATGCTCCAACATTACCAGCATCCATCCTCCTCCCAAAGCTCCTTCCCTTAATTCTCGACGGATCTACCTCGGTTCGAACGCAACTTCTTAAATTATTCAAGACCCTACCACCCGACGACGTATCCGACAGAGCCGAATCCGTAATCCTCTACACCCGGGCGGGCATGACCCATCTAGCCACCGAAATTCGCGACGATGCTCTCAATGTCCTAGAATGGTTTCTCGACATTACCGGCGACGCAAGTGTCAAATGCCCAGGGGGCTGGGTCAAGACCTTCAACTCGTTTATCAGCATGATGGGCTGGGCGCGCGACAAAAGCACTACCAGCAAATGGACCTCGGAAAGTAAAGTCACCATCAGCAATAAAGCCAACAAGTCTTTCGCCCGCCAACTTACTCTCCTCGCTAAGTTCCTGAAAACCGGTTTGGACGAGGAAGTCATCCTGGTTAAGAGAAGTCTAAACGATATTAAGTTCGATCCAGCTACTTATGCGCTGCCTACTGTACATGATCCGTTTGGGTATTTGAATCTGTTTGGACCGCCGAGAGATGAGGATGGTACTGCGTATATGGATTCTGATTCTAGGAGGAGAGTGTTCCAGAAAAGGTTTAGAGAGATTGTGGATAAGGGAGCGGAAGATGCAAGGAGAGCTGGGGGTGAGACTGGAAGGGCGGGATCACTGCTTACAAAGGTTGTTAATGAGGGTATGGCGAACTTCGATTCCGCGACTTGATGTGATATTATCCGCAAGGGCACTTGGATGGCGTTAGAGGCTGGGTGGATGGATACGGCGTTCTGGTGCTTTCGCTTTGTATTGAATGCCCTGAATCGATTTTGTGAAATTAGAATCCACCAGGTAGGATCATCAAATGCGGACTCAAAACCGTCACAAACTCTTGCCCATCTACCCAATTTTCAATGTCCTCCAAATCTCTCATAACATCTGTCACATTCCGCACCTGGGTAATCCAAATCCTCGCTTCACCCCTCCACGCCATGCCGAGCATGCCATACCATGCCAAGCCTTTCCATCCCACCCCACTACCACTAAACCCCACTCAACCTAGCGTCCGAAATTCACCCCTCCTGCACCTCTCACTCCATCCACTCGAGCCACTCTACCCATCACGCCCACCTACCTCACTTAATCTCACACCCACTCACTCACGCCTCTCATCCTTACCTTACCTTACCATACCTTACCATACCATACCCTACCATACCATATCAACAATCCCAACAAACACTCCATGACTTCTCCCTGTACCACCACTGCCCGTCCTCGTCCTCGTCATCTCAGCCAGACCAGAACCAGAAGAAGCAGAAGAAGCAGAAGCAGGAGAAGCAAGGAGTCGCGACGGCGTAACTAAGTGGAAAGCGAGGTAAGTGAGTGGATGAGTGAGTGAGTGAGTGGAGTGGAGCGTATTTGTCATGTTTGTGTTGCGTCACGTTCCGTAACGTCGCGCTTGGTTGAATGCGAATTTGATGGCTGGCACATTATCTCGAGTGAGGAGCGAGCGAGCGCGTTGTGTTTTTGAGATGTGGTTTGGAGGGGTATGGAGGGGAGTTGGGGATGTGGTGGGTTGAGTTGGGGCGCAGAGGTTGATGAGATGAGGTTAGATGGGGGTGAGGTAAAGTGGGGCTTGGGAAAGAATGAGGGAGGGAGATGTGATGGTGTGTTTAGAGTGAGGGCTGTTCTGAGAAGTTTGGGGGTTCGTGGGAGAGGTGTTTATGAGATTTGATGGGGAGAGGGAGCGCTGGGTTCTCAGCTGGTGGGAGTTGCGCTGTGGTCATTCTGGACGAAGTCGTTGCAGATGAAGTTGAATGAGTTGAGGTGGATTTGGACCATTTGAGCTGGGGCGGTTTTGGTCTCTGTCTTTTGACTTTTGAGTTGAGCTTCACTTCAGGCTTTAGGAGCCAGGTCACGCATTCTCAGAAATTGGGTCAAGTGACCATTTCAGTGAACTGCCTAGAGACCGGCCAACAGCCTGACATATTCGCAACAGCACTCGTCAACGAGCTCATCTAAACGTTTACAATTCAGCCGCTGACCAGCAACCAGATATATTATAAATATGGCTACCAATTCGGATCCTTCAGAGGTTCCCGATTCAGATGATTTCAAGGCAGACGATCAGCATGAAATCAAAGAAGATCCTGATGAGTTGACTATTACACACACCAATAACCTGAACCGGCGACCTCGTCCGGAGAGAGTTAAACCTGAACCACCAGAATATGTCAAGATTGACTTGACTCTTCCTAACGGGGAGGATGACATATTTGAGGACGTCGATCAAGAGCTGGATGAAAATGGAGATGAGATCGTGGATTTGACGTACGAAGGAATCGCGCACCTTAATGGAGTCCGGCACTTTGTTTGTGAAGGTTGGAGTGCGTTTCCACATTGACGAGATCTTACTGACGTATCGGAGGATTCAAAATTCGTCAGATTCCAGAACCATTTATCGTTAAGCGTTCATTGTTTGATATATTCCGTAAGTTGAGCTGCCGTCACTCTTCAGCATCTTGCTGATTTTTCAGGATGTATTGAGAGCAAGTCTATTGTACTGGATCCCGACTATCAAAGAGAGGTTGTCTGGGACGAAGGTCGAGCCGCTTTATTGATCACTTCCATTTTGAGTACGTTCATGACCCTTTGATCCAACAACAAGCTTTATTGAACTCTCTAGTGGGTTACTTCATTCCTCCAATCATCTTCAATGTAAAGAAGAAGGTTGTCAAAATTGGTGACCGAGAGGAAGAGAGGTTTACCCGTACATGTGTAGACGGCAAACAGCGACTTACGTCGATCTGGAAATTCATGAAGGGTAACATCGGCTTCTTCGATACCAATTCGCCGTCGAAGAAATGGTTCTTCTGCCATCCAGTTGTTGATGGACGTATCCAAATCAGCAATCGCAACATCCTTCCGAATGCAGTCAAGAAGTTCTTCGAGACTCAATTCTTCTGTTGTTACGAATATGAGGATTTGACTGCGGATACTGAAGAGACTATGTTTCAGCTTGTGCAACGTGGAATTGCACTTACGCCAGCGGAGAAGATGCGAGCAATGTCTACTGAATGGGCTACCTTTACAAGACAGTTCGAAGATGACTACGAATTGATCGTCAACCGTATGTAACCACAACACACTGCTTCTACCTCAGCTAATAACGGAGCAAGTATCGAAGCAGAATCGAGCTTCGGGTTTCCGTCTTATTCTAACAATATTCACCATGATCCAAGAGATCCACTCGAGTTCCAAGCGGAAAAGGTATCTCATATCCAACTCCGCTCCACCACTTCAAGCAAGCCCACAGGCCCTCCTTCGCATTCTCGACGACAAAAGGGAAATACCGCCACGCCTAAAACAAAAGTTCACAGCTGTCTTCGACCGCTACGAAACCCTCATCAAGCTGTCCTCCACTCAAGTTACAGCCACCCGCTTTAAAGTAAACCACAACTCCGTCTTCGACCCAGCACCCGGCTTCCTGCGCGCGGCACGCATCGTCCACGTCCGAACATTCTCCCCTCTCGAGCTAGTCGTTACGGCTATATTAGTAGCCGTTCACATGGACCATCGCACTAACGAACAGCTCCTCGAAGACGTCAAGGAGATGCGCTTATTCTTGCGCAAGAAACATAAAGATCTCCGTGTGAACGCACAGTGCTGGAATACAGCTTGGTCATTCATCACGAAGGAGATGGACGTGCGACTCAGCTCGTCGACTAAGCTACACCTTTCTATTGAGGGGCGAAGGCCTGGCGAGGGTCCGAGTTCATCTGCTACTTCCGGTAGGGACTCGAGCGGTGCTGATGGCTCAGAGAGAGGCTCATCTCCGCTATCATCTGCGCCGAGTTGTGAGCCGGAAGATCGCCCTGTCGTGAGACCGAAGAAGAAGTCGAAGCCCAAGCCGAAGACGAAGCTTACACTACCGTCCCAACCTCCTCAAAAGATAAGCTCGAAGAGTAAATCAAGACGGAAACCTCTTCCGAGTGAACCCTCGAGAGGGAAGATCGCGAAGAGTAAAGTGGCGAGTACGTTATCTGGAAAGAAGCCGAGGGCGAAAGACAAGGAGAAGCTGATTTCTAAGAAAAAGGCGAAGAGGGCGGAAGTTGATGTGGTGATAGATGGTTTGTGACCCTACCGACGCGGTTCGGTTTTGTGGTATGCTGTTGGACGAGGTGGAACTTGTGTTACGAGAGTGCATGTGTTTACGACTATTGGATGATGAGCTGGGAGGTACGATATGATATGATGGTGAGATGGCGTTGTTTCGTACGTGCTATGTCAAGCTTTGATTGTACAGCAAGGGGAGGTACGGAATGACCAGGAGTGTGGAGGACAGCGAGCGAGCATTGTTACTTTACCTTTTCTTCTTTTGCATTATCACGGGTTTGTTTTGCATGGGCCGGTTGGGGAAAGGTAGGATATGTGGTTGGAGGAGGCTGGTCGGCCATTGTTACTTGCTATTGGATAGGCTGGGATGGAGTTCAGGGCATGGAATCTGGATTATACCTTTACGTTGGCTAGGGAGGATGGGAGGACGGACTCGGTTGGATGGTAGCATACATGCGTGTTTAGTCATCGTTTGTTGAAGTTGTGTGGTGGGGCAGTACTACATACTTATATGCAGAACTGTTTTTTTTTTCGTTAGATTAGGTATGAAGTGTAGATCTGGTCGTGAAGTCATTGATATGAAAGTTGTCTTAATCGATCGTTGGAAAATATGTGCTACCACCTGTACATACCATGCCAGTATACAATCTCTATCCACATATATTCACATCCAAATCCCACCAACCAACCGACCATTCTACAACTCTCCCCTCCCCAGCATCAACCCCGTCACCCACTTCATCCACCCCTCTCCCTCCACATCCTTCCCATTCTCCCTCTCACCCGGCAACCTCACCCCCTCCCACTCCCCCCTCTTCACTCCCCTCCACTCCTCCACCGGAATCCACCCAATATAATTCCTATCCCCAAACCCGCCAATCCAATACACCTCCTGCACCACCAACCGCACCCACTCACTGGTATGGATCGGGTTACCCGGTAACCAGTATTTCGCGTCTGGGTGCGCGGCTGTGAAGCATTGTGCGAGTTTGAGGGAGGTGATGGCGGATGGGGAGATGGGCTCGAGGTAGCCAAGGAGGGAGAACCGCGGGAGGGAGGCGGGGGAGTAGGGAGATTGGTGGTGCGAGGAGGAGGATGGTGGAGTCCAGGTTAGAGAGAGGGAGATGTTGGAGCCGGCTGCGACGTTTTTGAAGGAGGTGGCGATGGTGATGGCGAGGATGGTGGGGTTGCCGGTGGGTTCGCAGTCTGCGAGGTAATCTGGGTAGATGGTGTTAGTGGAATATATGGAAGATCAAGAGGTAGAAGGGTAGATTTGGTGTAAAGCGATAGGGTATTCGTTCAAGTATTAGACGAGGTGAGACGAGGTGGGACGAGGAGGGACGAGGAGGTAAGTAAACAAAGGCGTCATTCCGTCGTTCCGTCTTCCCAGAAAATATAAAATGGCACAAGCAGACTTGAAGAGAGGTTGAGGAAGACATACCCATCAAACCGATCGGCATTCCACCCAGATTCTGTGGCCGCTGCTCATTCGTCTTCTCTCCATCCTCATCCTTATCATCTGAATGCGACTTCGAAGATGGAAAGACAGTAGCGAGCGTTCCTATGCCCGTAAGATGCAGGATTCTCCGTGCGAGAACGGCAGATTCTCTAGATGTTGGGATCCGGTTCGTTGATTCGGAGGGAGAAGTAGGGTTGGAGAAGAGGTGTTGGGGTGTGAGGGCGTTGGCTGCTGTGAGTGGGAGGACGGCGAGGAGGGGGAGGGGGAGATGCATCTTGACTCTTCTTCAAATGAAGCCGAAAGTTGACAGGAATTATGGATAGAGGAACAGACTTTACGAGGGAGGGAGAAGATAGAGGAGATATGAGGAGACCAGCTCGGTGGGAAGAGAAGACTTGACTTGGAGCTATTGGCTTGGGGAGCAGTGCAAAGGCTCAGAAGAGGAAGCCAAGCTTAGAGTGGAACGATCTGATTAGATTACGGTTTCTTGGTTGATCAGAAGATCAAGCTGTTTCGGCTTGAACCGGCGCCGATACCGCGTATCTGCACGTGGGAACATTTTGGCTGTTGAGTTTCCGGGATTGTGGGAAAAAGAGATATACTTGCTAGCTTGGGTTATTTGACGATGCTTGCGTTACTTCCGGTTTCTTTGCAGAGTGGTTCCTGGATTGATGCTGAGCTGACCCGAACACAGCTTTGGGAGTTCCAAGCTGACTAATCCACGTGACTTTCATCTGGCCGGTGTGAATCACAATGCCCTAGCAATTAGCGCCATCCTTAGCGAGCCGCCGCTCGCAATTCCACACTTTCAGAAAATCCCCAATCGACGACGACTTTGAATCTCTCCATCGACAACCACCACCAACCTGTGAGTCTCCATCCTTCAACACCATCCTGCAGCTGCTTTTTGCACCGAATATCACGATCCGACGTTCTGTGGAATCGAGAGTTGCGTGCGAAAGAGCGGATAGTAGCTAATTACGAGTTCGCCACCCAGTATCGACTTTCAAACCCACGAAACCGATAAACCGCAATCATGGGAAAGGTCCACGGATCCCTCGCTCGTGCCGGAAAGGTCAAGTCTCAAACACCAAAGGTACGATATACAAACCATTTGCGATGTGATTTGGGAGATGGAGGGGCTTGGGATGGATGGACGGAGGAGCTTGAACAGGCCGCGAATGATGTTGACACGAGATTGCGATGGATAATTTGAACGGCTGGGCTAGCCAAATCGGACTCGAAAACGATGAGGATGCATGAATAATGAACGAATGCTGATGGAATTACGCACAGGTTGAGCCACAAGAGAAGAAGAAGACCCCCAAGGGTCGCGCGAAGAAGAGAATCACATACACCCGCCGTTTCGTGAACGTTACCCTCACTGGTGGCAAGCGGAAGGTATGTCAAATTCCATCCACCAGCCTTGATATCACCAACTAACAAAATCCCCAGATGAACCCCAACCCAACCACATAAACAGCCAATTCAACAATGAGTGTGGGATAGGGCGTTGCTTTGGTTTGATTATCTTTTGAATGGAATGGACCGACGACGGAAGGATGGAGATGGGGAGGAGGGTACGGCTATGATCAGGACTCGGACAGATGCATGGCTCTTGAATTTGAAATGAAGGGCTTTCTCTGACTGAGGATGATGGATGGGCTTGCTTTGCTTGCTCGTCTTGGTCTGCTGGTGGAATGGAATGCATCGAGATGGCGTCTCTGTTTGTACATTTGACGAATGCCTCATTTGCCTACTCATCTCTCGCCTGCTTTTTCGGAGGTCAATTATGAATTGAGCTCTGATGTCCTCCCATGTGCATCGCTTTTTTGAAGTGGGTATGAGGTGGTCATGATATGAGTTGATGCTACTTTGAAAACGCTGGATAACGTCGGCTGGCATGTGTACGAGAGCTGTGCCGAGTAAGTGGAACGAAAGGATCAACATTGTTTACTCCGTGAAAGATGGTATCGCTCGCACGAGCTGTACTTCCACCTCATCCGCGTCTACCGCACCAACCTCCCCAAACGCGATACATATTCTTCTCTCCTATTCCTGTCATGAGTCCCCTCCCCAAACACCTACATCTCCTGCTTCACCCAATCATACACAGCCTCCATAGTAGCTTTGAGTGCTCAACCGAGTTCAAGCCATTCCACCCTGGTTCATGATCTCTCCCTTCCCCGTCCTCGACCTTGTCATATCATTCCTTAGGTCATTCTCCCGACGCACGAGTAATGTTTACCTAGCAGCTAGCAAGTGGATATCTCCAATCCTTCGCCAACCACCCGTGGACCTAACCTAACAAAATCCATCTCATTCACTTCCCTCCAATCCAATCCACTCACCGTCACCACGCAGCCAAGCGCAACCGGAAGTTCTTCGGGCGGAAATTTTCTTGGTGAGGGAACATATGAGATCATAATTGTGATTCGCTCGCTTTCGAGACTGGTAAGTATGTTTCGACTTTGTTCTATGAATAGTGGGTAATATGGAGACTTTTGTGGGGCTGTAGGAGGAAAGGATGTATGGTGAAGTCATAATGGACCCTGAGATTGGGAGGGGGATAATATCGAGGGTCTTGGGGATGGCATGTATGGAGGAAAGGATTATTTAGGGCGGGGAGGCCGCTGTTTGGGTGTGTGGTTTACAAGACATAATTTGTTGATCGCTCATTGAACTCACTCACTTGCTCGATACTCGTCTGCACTTCTTACAGACAACAATTTCGCTGGAACAAGCACAAGCTAAATATTTCAATACTTGATACTCAAGAACCATCCATCTTAGAGAACGATCTTTAGTTCCTTTCACACTCGCCTACCCTCACTCACCCACACCAAGTCTCTGAGAAACAGCAATCACTCCAAATTCGACAAAATGTCAACAACCAAATCCCCCACCTCCAAATCCACCACCACCACCGCCTTCTCCAATTCCAATCCCAAATCTCAATCTCCCACTCCCTCTCTCCACGAAGACGAATACACCACCACCACCCACTCTCAATCCCAACCCCAACCACTCCATCAATTTACACACCATCAAATCAAAGTCCGAGACTTTGCACCCGGCTCACTGGTCCCCTCAACAGGGGATGCCGAACTGGTGTTGGTGTTAGAGCGTAAGAAGAGTCTGAGGAAGAAGATCCAGGGGCTGGTGTGGAATCCTAGGGCGAGGTATTCGAGGAGGGGGAGGCTGATGGAGATTTTGGGGTGAGTGAGGGGACGTTGATGGGAAGAAAGAAAAGATTTGGGGAAGTGATCTTCAAGAAGATGTCGAAAGCAGGGTCACGAAAGAACGGCACGGAGGCAAGCTTTTGAAGAAGAGTTCGAATATTAAGCGAATTCTTGGGCAGTCCTTGGATGGGACGGTAGATCAGAGGTGGAAGAAGGGAAGACGGATGACTTTGAAGGAGAGGGAAGGGGGGTGGAGTGCAGTGAAGTGGTGCTAGATTGAGGAGTCGAGTTGAGTGACGACGTTTAGTCTGGTGCAGCTATGGGCGGTTGGATGGGTTAGCGTGGGGAGAGACTGGGAAAGGAATTGAAAAGAATGGGGACTTCGCGTTTGATTCTATGGAGACAGCGAGCATTATGCTACAGTATTTCAGGATCCAAGTTTGCTGAGCGGCCATATAATGTGCTTTTGCGAATACCCAATCATCTTGCTGAATCTAATTATTGTTAATTATAACACCTGTGTTTATGCTATGCTATGCTTTGATTTGGTACAGATATGGTTGATTCATCTCGCTTGCTTTTTGCAACACGATATCGACCTTCGCTAGATGTTGTTGATATCATCAATCTTGCTGCAGGTTTAACTATGGCATCTTGCACGTTTTTCTCTCAGCTTCTAGCCTTCATGTCACATGCATAATGTTTACAAATATCAACGCTTTTATTGTTTACAGTACTTTTAAGAAATTCAGAAACGCCCCTAACGAGGTAGTGTAGTTAAAAACTACCCTCCAAACCCATGAATGAGTAAAGGCAAAGCACGTCCAGCGCACCATCCAAGCTGTGTCTGAGGTTATGTCCTGATTGTAAATGTCAAGGAAATTGAAATAATCATCTCCATCACTCTCAGAATCCTCATTCTCATCATTCGAGACCAGTAATCGCTCTCATCGAGCGGGAGGAGCAACAAACAATGGCCGCGTGCTCTGAGATAAAATGGTTATTGGCATTTGAGGAAGACACTAGCAGGCTACGAACGCAACGAGTTAGCAACCAGAACATTACATGAAACTGTCTTAGCGATTAGTTGCAGCCGGACAGGTTTATTACTACTTTGTCATGTTTGTGAGAGCATGGAAAACTTTCTCTCGCATATTCCATTGAACAGTTGGAGTAGCATGCTGGTATCCATCCAGGTCTTCATGGTGTTTGAGGCAACGTTCGGTCTGCTTTTGCATGGCACGGCGTTTGTTATATTTCCTGTAGAGAGGCATTAGATTGGAAGGCCAGTTGTGACAGGGAAGCTTGAGAGGATTTGGAGGCACATGTATCGATTTTCTTTCAGAGTGTGTGGGAAGAGGAGAAGAAATACTTGGAGCCTTTCACATGATCCTTCTTGCGACCGTTACCGTCGTTTCCGCCATTATTTCCGGATCCACCATCCATGGGTTGGTCCGTGATTGCTTTTATAAGACGATTTACTAAAATATGCATGTGTTAGTTGTATTTTGGCTAGCCAGATTTCCTGGGGAGGAGGGCAAGATAGGAGGGATGATGTGGATGAGGATTATGTATCAAACTTTGAGTGTGCGCAGATGTTCTCTGGTCGAGAGTCTTTGGCCCTGACTAGTGCCTATCTGCAACTATGACCATATCAGGAGCTTCGAGCTTGGAATGTTGGTGTTGTTGTCGAAGTTGCGAAGTTGATATCGAGTTTGTGCTCAAGTCGCGATATTGGTGTTGGGAAAGTTCTGAAGGACAAAGCTGCACATTGGTTTGGAGCGAGGCTAGGTTCTTCACCTTCTTTCCATGCGCAATCCTCAAGACACTGACCAAGTCGAAGAGATATCAGTCTCGAGAGATGTTGTTATCTTTGTGTGTTCTGGAGGGGTGTACTTTCCTTCGAGTGTTGATTGAAATTGGAGGATTGTTTTGAAATAAGCGAGAACCGAGCTGTGGGAGCGCTTGGATGGGGTGATGGGACTTGCCAAAGAAGAAAGCTGTAACAAGGATCTATAAATGTCATGGTAAAGTGCTGAAGACCTTTTTGATTGTAAGGACTTCTGATTCAGGTGATCGACCTAACGATTCTAGGTGTAAAACAGAGGCAGAGTAAATAATCTCACGGACACAGGGAGGAAGAGTCAGCCTCAAAGTTAGCTGGGATTAAGATACAGGATTTAAATTCATAATGTCACATTTGTTTTGTTCCAAAGGACAGAAATGCAAGGTCTTGTTACTGGACATTTCTGTTGCGATCGGGTTTGTTTACTTCCTCAGCAACTGCTGATTCTCAGAACCAGCTATTGCTTGCTAACTCTAGGATATGGTATCCAAAATCTCGTTATTGATTGAAGTAGGTTCACTCAGCGTAGTCTGACTAAGACTGGAGTTGTAGGAGCAGGATACCTCTCGGAAATGAAGAGAGGGTTGGTAAAAAGAAGCGAGCACGTGAGGGATCATGTGACTACCGAACTGCTCGTCTTGGATCTCCATCATCAGAAGCTATCGAGAGAATCTGGTAATTGGCTAGTGCACCAAAATTTCCCCTTTCGATGCTATGAAGCCAACACTGAAAGTATTTGATGCGTGTTCACGAGTGTAGAAAAGAGTGGAGGAAATTGCGCTTGCTGCTTTGAGATTAGTCAGATACAAGGCATCAACCTCAGCCTCACCTGCATCCTCAAAATTCGTCCTTTGCTACCTCACAACATATCTTGTTTGATCACCACAACACTCTGACACACCCAGATCGAAGTATACACTCGTCGTTGTTCACACCTAATTGTTACTCCTCGTGAGGCTAGCTGCGATCTGTGCCCAGGCTTTGGTGAACCTACGAGGCTAAGTTCTGAGCCTCGTGGTTTAGATTCGTATGCGTGGGCGTGTCACTTAGATGTAAACTCTACCAGTCGCTGCGAACAGTCTCTTCTTTCGTTCGACACGATATCCAGTGTTACTCGCTACATCTTCTGCGGGATTCAGGATGGCGCCTCAAGTATATACCTGTGGCCCTGAACGATCTCAGTGGGACGAACGCTCGGTATGCTTTGAGAGCTTCCTTCATTAGAACGCTTCGGCTCTCCAGATTCAAAATCAATAATTCAAGAATCCTGTATACTAATGATTTAGACCTCCCGATGATTTATGGGGGAAAGCACTCCAAGGACTCAAGACGGCAGACCAGATTACTATTCGGGAGACAACTACTTCTACAGATCGACTCGCAGTCCTGCAAGATGTGCTTGCACTGGCACAAGGATCAGAGCGTACTTCCCAGGAAAAGCAATGGATATGGAAGAATCGAAAGGGAGAGGTCATCGTTGTTCGTGACCTTTTTGCGAAGATGATCACTTGGATTGAGAAGTTCAAGGGTATTGGTGACACGATTGTACGGTACGATCCTGGACATGCTACTCTGCCATGGGCCGTAACACGTCTGTTACTTCAAGTGAGTCTCTGTCTGGATATCTTGCAACAAAGTCTCTGACAGCTTCATAGGCAGTTGTCAATGATGTACAAACAAATGGAGCTATGCTTGATGGACTTGAGCTGGTCTTCAATCTCATTGCCAAGTCTGAAGTCATCGAACGGCTTTATCTGCGGAGAACGTCTCCGCTTCAGGTACCACTGAATAAATACATTGTCGCACTTTACACTTCTATTCTCGAATTTCTCCTCGAGTCTCATCGATATTTTGGCCAAAGGACAATCAAGAAAATCGCGAAAAGCATTTTCCAGCTTGAAGAATTTTCTGCCAACTACATATCGAAGATCGAGCGGAACATGGCTGAAGTCGAAGGATATGTTCGACTTCTGTCTGGTGAAATTGTGAGCCACGCAAATGCTACGTTGACAGATATATCACAGCGGATGACAAAGCTGGACATGCAATCTGAAAAGCTCGACAGTGTAGACACACGTCTTGTCAACATCCAAGATTCACTACAAGCCGACATAAGAACTCTAAAGCAGACTTTGAAAGATCTGAACGAGCCAACGAATCGACTCGCGCGCCAAATTCGAACACTGGACGATAACTTGAAGGAAGAGGAGCTTTTGAGAATCTTCGAGTGGCTTTCAACAGTCGAATATCGAAGCCACCATCGTGGCATAGCCAAAAGTCTCCTTCCAGGCTCTGGCAAGTGGCTTTTGGAGAAACGGGAATTCAGTGACTGGATGAGCAGAAGCACTTCGTCCATTTTGTGGCTGCATGGTATACCTGGCTCTGAAAAGAGCATGCTAATTGCGCATGTCATTGAGTATCTGCAGAGTCGAAGTACCGAAGACGGCGGATTAGCATACTTCTACTGTGCTCGTAGCGCAAACGAGCCCGAGAGGGCGGATCCGGTTGAAATGCTGAGATGCCTTGTGGAGCAGATGTCTTGCTTGAGTGAGGACGAACCAGTTCAAATGCCAGTTGTCAAAGCCTACAAAGACAGAAAGAAAGCAGCCCGAGGTCGGAGACCAGAGAAGTTAGGCATGGACGAGTGTGTCGAAGTGATGTTGGAGCTATTACAGCTGAATCCTGTCACTTTCATCATTGATGGCTTAGACGAATGCGATCCAACACAACGACAAGACCTACTTGATGCATTTCAAAAGATCATCACAGATTCTGGCAATATTGTAAAGATTTTTGTCAGTAGCCGGGATGACCATGACATTGTTCACCGACTATCGAAAACACCTAATCTGTACATCAGAGCATCTGATAACAGGCACGACATCGAAAGATTCGTGACATGTCGTGTTGAGGAAGCAATCGACAAGGGCAGAATACTTTGCGGGAAGGTGCCTCAAGATTTAAGAGATATCATTGTGGAAACTCTGATTGAAAAGGCTGAAGGGATGTTTCGTCTAGTCAGCCTACACGTTCAGAGCCTGTGTGATCCGAGTCGAATCAAGACTCGATCGAATGTTCTGGACACACTTGACCGACTTCCTTTGGATTTGAAGAGATCCTATGACGCTATCTTTGGTCAGATCACAACATCCCAATACCCAAATCCTGACATAGCAACCCGGGTGTTCAAATGGCTTCTTTTTTCCCAGGAGAAGCTCTCAGCGGATATTTTTGTTATTGCCATTCGATCCGATCTAGACGACCAAGACGCCCCTGAGCACGTGGATATCCTTAGCATCTGCTGCAATCTGGTCATCCATGACGACGAAACTAATACTTTTCGATTTGCACACTTGTCTGTCCTTGAGTACCTGGAGCATCTTGAGGATTTTTCAAAACCAAGCGCCAATGCCTTGCTCGCCGAGCGATGTCTGAGCTGGATCATAAAAAATGGTGAAATATTGGAGCAGGAACGGATTGAATACTTGCAGATATACAGAGATCCTGAACTGATCTCACCGAAGCTGTATGTCTTCACAGGTGCCAGCGTAAGCGCGACTCGGAGATTTTCTGAGCACGCCGATATCTACTGGCCGCAATATGCGCGATTTGCTGGTCCTTTCAGAAACCAAGGGCGTCTAAGAATACTGCTTGAGACATTGTTACTCTTGTCCACAGGATGTCCCTTCAACAATTCCGGACATTTCTGCCGATGGATCGATCGTCTCGACTACCGACCGCTCTACTTTGAGCAAAACCTCATTGTATCCAACCCTCGCAACCCACTATTTGTGGCCACTGCATTCAGCTTGATTGAAGTCGTGGAAGCTCTTATCTTTAATAACCCAACCGCCCGTCAAGCCCAGAACTTATCGAACTTAAATTGTGCCCAAACTGCCGCCAAATTTGACCAATCGGAATCTGTTCGTATTATTCTTGAAGAGAGTAGAAGACTCCTGTTACCAGTAGATTACATCAAGTCTGCGTTGCAGGTGGCAGCACAATGGGGTTGCGCTACAACCTTACGAACAATCTTATGGATGGTAGGGCCTGGCTTTGTATCTCCCGAAGACTTTCAATGTTTTGCCAGAGGCGCATTCGGCATTGCACAATCAACAAGATACGAAAAGGTTTGCGATTTATTTTTCAAAAACAACAACCAGCTTCGAGTCGACGAGCAACTATGGGCATCGGCATTTGAAAATGAGCAGTTTGGGCCTATAATATGCCATGCATTGCTCAAATTTGCAGGCGAGATCAATCTTACAAATGGCCTTATCAGAGCAGCTAGGAACAACCACTCTCACGGATCTGAACTTCTGCAGATAATTCTATTAGCGAAGAATAAGGTCAATTTGCACTTTGATATCCACAAAACAATTGCGGAATGTCGCGACGAGATTTGGATTCCTCAGCTTCTTAAACGATGGGAGAGAAACGTTCGAGATGAAACCATTCCAGGTGTCCCAACAGATCCACAGGCAGTAAAATTAGCGTGGAACCCTGACAGCATGATCATTCTGGAAAAGGCTATGGCGGCAGATATTGACACAAATGGTCTCCTGCTGGACATTGTTCTCAGCCAAGACAAGAGCAGATTTGAACTGAAATGGGACCACCTAGTTGCGTTGAGGAAGATGGAGAAGGCCGCAAATTGTCTGCTGCTCCTACTAGACAAAAATCCAGATATGGATGATGCCGCTATAAACATGATCTTATCTCAGTGGGATGAAAAGATTGTAGCAGCCTTGCTGGAATTTCGCCAAGTGTATATCATGGACGAGGTTATCAAAACGGTAGCTGGAAACTTGAGATCGGGTGCCAAAATCATGGAGTTGCTCCTGCAAGAAGAGGCGGAAATGCTGGATTTAATGGAATGAGGATCTTTATTTCCGATCATCTTGACATGTCTCTCAATCAACACAAAGAAGCTGTGATAGTTGGATTTTCGACGCCCTCAACGACAAGGACAGGAGCTAAGGGGGCAGATGATGAATGCCACCGATCCCCTTATACCGCTTTAGACGGATCAAGAAGTTTGGCTAGCAGTAGGATTCTAAAATGCATCTAGCGGAGGAGACTTTTCCACAAAGCTAGAGTCAATGGAGCAGAAATTATACGAAATTCCGAGTACGAGGAGACTGAGCCAGAAACGAGTATTACGCATTGAAGTGAGGTATCTTGACGCTGAGGACACGACAAACATGGCTATATATACAATACATACGTATGAAAAGAGAGAAATGAGCTGGCAGCGTCAAATGGAATCCCGAATCCTAACAAAATCTCGATATCGTGTCAAAGTCCAACGTCGACATGCTTTGCCATAAATCATCATTGGAATCGTCAGCATGATGAAAAAGAAATCCAGCACGGAAATCGCAATGAAGCAGTCCCGAACTCCGCTGTTCTCCAACCAGGTGCTTGCGGTGAAGGTAAAGATGCAGCCAATAGTGTTATTGATCACAGCCACCCCAACCATGCCCTCCAAAACCATCTCGGGGTATGCGTCCATCAGGTACGCCATGCTCAAATCACCAGCGCATCCCCAGCCAAATCCTATGAGGCCAAGACCGAAATATGGAACTGGCCATTTCCAGCCATACGCGGTCCCTATACCGAAGAGCAACATGCCAGCAGGCGAGAAAATTGCACAAGGGAACATCATCCAGAGTCGATCTTCTGCTTCTCGAATACCATTTCGGCGCTTTGCCATCCAGAACACAAAACGATCGGACATGTATCCACCCCAGAAACAGCCAATAACGGCTCCGATCACACATGGTACGTTCATGATTCCGACTTGAGCGTCGTTGTAGTTCCAGGGAGGGCCATACCAGTTGTCCTCTTCAAGCGTGAGATAGAATGTCAACCAAGCGTCTTGAGCTCCCCACTGGATCCCAGAGTATATGACAGCTGGGAAACCAAAAATACGAAGGGTGTGGAAGAGACGACTAATGTACTGTTTGAATCCTGTACCTTTCAGATTCGGCGCAAGCGTGATGAGCTGAATTCGTTGGAGATACGTCTTTGGCTTTTCATCTTTACCACGCGGTGCGTTAGATCCGGTGTTTGATGTCGACTTCTTGAGATCTCCCGAGGTGCCAATCTTTTCATTGTCTGATGAGAGCTCCTTGGAGCCGTGACTGGCTTCTTGCACGCCGTCGATCATAGGTCCGCTATGTGCTGCACGGTCGAACATCGTTTCCTCCAAACAGAAATATAGAACCAAAATGGTGACTGACGATATGATAACCGAAAGCCAAGGTATCCATCTCCACCCAAGACGATCTGAGACGAAGCCACCGATCAGAGGCCCGAGATATATTCCAACACTCGTCGCTAAGACGTAAATACCGATCACGCTTCCTCTTTGGTGTTCAAATGAGATCTCAGACAGCGACAATTGGACATTGGCCTCTGCAGCACTTTCTGACGCGCCGACAAAGAGCTGGTTCCAGATCGAATCTCGAGTCCCCTTGACATGCGCAAACCATAATGCTCCAATGAGTCCCCAGGTGATGCCTATCAGGTATGGAATTCTTCTCCCGTACAGAGAAGCAGCTGGCGATATCAAGAATGTCCAGTATCCAATTCCGACGAAAAGTACGCCTGCTCCTGTATTCATTGCGCCATAAGATATCCCATATTCCTCGTTCATCCCATCCTGCGCCGAGCCAGCATCGTTCGCAGTGGCAGCTGTGAAGCCTGTAATGAAGAAGAGTAGGATGGCGTGCAGGTACTTTCGTGGGAGGCCCCAATTGAGAGGGTCATTAGGAGAATCGGTCGGTTGTGGCGAGAGGACAATATTTCCATGTCGCTTGAGATGGGAGCTGGCAGCTTGTGCATCGGTTTCGAAGAGGCGCGATGTTCCTGGCAAGATCTCGATTTGGTCGTCCATCTTGTTCGAATGCGGCGTTTACCACGCTCAACGAAGAGCTGCAACAAGCAGAAATTGCCCTTTCGTTGCTACCAGCCTTGCGACCTCAGAATTGTAACAGACAAGCAAAAAATATCTGCGCAAGAACTTCTCCGAAGAAGATACGACGCGTGGACGGTGCCACCTCCGGTACTACTAACAAGTGGAGCGAAGAGGGAGAAGCTTTTCAACTCAAGCTTTCGCCATGGCGGAGAGGGGGTCTTCTTTTCAATGGCTTCGAATTGCCTCTCTATAAAGCTTAAGCAATGAACACGGGATCGCTACTGATAAGAGATCAGCTTGCAGGCAACGGGACACACGACATAGCTGCATTAGGTACAGCCACTTGGGATGTCTCCTTCCAAGCTGTTTAGTGACGATAAGCTCTGGTTCCACCTTTCATTTTCTCAGTGGGTGTGCTCTGCTCTCTAGGGATGTAACATAGTGCCCAATCACTGTTCGGACAGGGACATACTGCCATGAAGACTTGTCAGCCACAGTGCTATCACAACGAACGATCCACAGGGTGCCACTCCAAATCCAATGTCAGCCCAAAACCGTGTTTCTGTAAATGCCCAAGTACAGGACGAGTTGACGAGTATTCATATGGAGTTGCGGCTGTACCTGCTCTTCTCAAGCAAAACATCTCCATATATTCGTCAGGACGTGGACACCAGGCCTCGACGCTCGAGCAATGCTTGTCTTGATGTGATGTCAGCAAAGGCGACTTGTCTCGCAGCTAGAACACTCACTCACTGGCCCCTGTAGTCAGACATCGGCAAGCCCGAATCTTGGCTACCCCTCCTCCACCTCGGCCCGCGTCCAAGCTGCGGTTGTCTCTCCACCAGTTCTGTTTGTTTAATGGCATGGCATGGCAGGACCACATTAAATATCTCGAGTGACTGTGGAATGTATCTCAGTATTCCTCACTTCATCGTAGTGGTCATCTCAGTCTCTGAACACTGCATCCGAATCATGCTTTACCACGACTTACCCACGCTGCGGAGCACAGGGGCAATGGAACTCCCTATCCGGCCGGCGGCATATGCTATTCCATATCTGGGAATCTTATGTACCACCTACAGCGAACGAATGGTAGCAGGTTGTCTGCACCAGGGCCTTGTTCTGGAAGGATTGGAATGCCTTTGGACTCCCCCGTCCTCCCATCCCACGCAATAATGTGCCACGCATACACCTACCCAAAGGCGACTGGTCACAGATAAGGAGCGATAGAAGACGCACTGGCTGCTGCTGCCGTTCGGTCACGGTTCCCCGCAGAAGACTTCTATTCGTCACTGGGAAGATCCATGTGAGACCCTGCACTGTGTTTTCCATTCAGATCGAGAGGTTCGGAAATTGGCGAGTACGTTGCTTCGTATCAGAGACCAAGTGGAGCGATCAAGTGATCAACTGGCTTGGCCGTTGGATCGAAACTACTTCATCGTGAACCTGGACGTCAGCTTCGCATTCACCTCTTTTCTTTTTCCCCGCCAAATCTATCAAGTCTTGGATTCACCAACTCGCTGAACCCAACAATTGTATCAACTGCTACGATTCATCTGAAATCCTCTCTACTCCTTAAACCTCTACTCCATAAACTTTTGAACTCGAGATCTTTCTCTCGAAACAAAAACTTCAATCCACTTGTCATACCCCGCCATCTAGATTTACCCTTTGAACACATACGCAGATGTTGAGTCAGTATGTCAACTCTATTCATATCAGCTCCTGGCGCTTTAAATCAAAACGAAGTAAACCGTCATCGAAATCAAAACGGAGTAATTGCGGATGCACAGATGTCCAGCACTCACTCCGCAATGATTACTGCGATGAATGCTACCAAACTTGAGAATACCACTGCCATCGTGTCTTCCAAGAAACCACAGCATGTCATCATCGTGGGTGCTGGTATATCTGGCCTCCGAAGTGCATCCGTTTTGCAACGCCATGGAGTTGGTGTGACTATTCTGGAAGGACGTCCGGATCGTATCGGAGGACGCATCTGTACCAGCCGTAAGCACGGGAAGGCAGCGAGAGACATTGGTAAATATACCTAGACTAGGCAATATCTTCAATTGTGGGTGGTTGGGCGTTTCTCAGGAAATTGCTTGACCACACAATGTGGGTTGTTTATCCTTCTCCTTGGCAAGATTATGCTCACACTCATACTCTAGGCGCCGCATGGATGCATGAGACTTCTCAGAACAAGTTGGTCCAATTGATTCCAAAGCTAGGCATCGAATACTACTTAGATGATGGGACCCCGCTCTACTACACTCGCGATGGGAGAGCTGGGTCTCAATTCAAGGCAAAGAAAGTCGCTGACGAGTTTGCCGATTATGTTGAGTGGTACTACACCGCCAATCCGGACGCTCCGGATCGCACTGTAAAGGAGTTCGTTGATGAGTTTGTTGAAAAGCATCCTCTCATCACTGCGTCCGAACGCAAATGGGCTCCTCAAGCCACTCGGGAAGTCGAACTATGGATCGGAACATCCATTGAAGAGGCTTCCTCCAAGCACCTGTCCTATTTTCTCACAGAGCGAAATCTCTACATGAAAGGAGGCTACGACAAGATCGTCAACTGGACCGCTCAACCGCTCCTCAAGGACCCGAACATGATCAAAATGGGCCAGATCGTGACCGACATCAACTGGGGGACAACTGACAGCTCTGTAACCGTTCACACCCAGAAAGGAACAACGTACACCGCCGACGCGGTAATTGTCACGGTACCCCTCGGCTGTCTTCGTCGCAACATGATCAACTTCTCGCCCCCAATGCCGTCCTCAATCAAAGAAGGGATAACATCCTTCTCCTACGGCGCCCTCGGCAAAGTCTTCGTCGAATTCAGCGAAGTCTTCTGGCCAAAAGACAACGACCAATTCATCTACTACCCATCTCCCCCCCCAGCCGACACCCCCATCGACGAAACCTCCATCCTCTCCTACGCCACGGTGACCTCCAACCTGTGGATCATGTCCGGCACAAAGGAACTCTGCATCCAGATCGCGGAGCCGCTCACCCAGCGCATCGAAGCCATCTCCCCAGACGACACCGCCACGCTCTTCGCGTTCTTTGAACCCCTCTTCAAACTCATGCGTACGGAGCCGTATAAAGACCTGCCTGATCTCCTGAATATCGAAACTACGCACTGGACGCAGGACCCGCTTGCGGGCTTTGGCTCGTACAGTGTGGAGAAGAAGGGCGATGATGCGACGGTTTTGGTGCGGGCACTGGATGAGCATAGGGAGTTGAGATTGCAGTTTGCGGGGGAACATTGTATTGAGGTGGGCAATGGGTGTGTGCATGGGGCGTTTGAAACGGGGGAGGTTGCTGCCAGGAACTTGTTGGGCGTTTTTGGACGAGAGTGGGATGGCTTGGATACGACGGCTAGGAGCGTTTCGCCTTAGATTTGTTGCTTCTGTGGGAGAGCGGAGATGGGAGGACGGATGCAATGTGTCTTGAGGTGAGTGAATACTGGATGAAATGCTGCATGATTGGATTCTTTTCTCGGAGGAGGTTAGACCAGAATGGGATTGTGAGTCTTTCGCTTTTTGCAATGTTGATTTCGCTTGCATTCTACTCCAACTCGGGCGTTCTGCCCTTTTTTTTTGGCTGCTATATCAGCTATTTACATAAAATCCAGTCTCTTGTTTCAGTTACAATTTCTCTGAATCTTGATAAACTTGTGCTCCAGCTGTCGTTTTCCACATCTTGAGTGCATTAATCCCAAATTTACACCTACGATGCGCCGTGTTCCTGTGCAAGTGATTCAATTTCCGAGGATTACTGAGTATTATTGCTATTCATTCCACTTCACAACAACCGTGTCCTGCGGCCCAAAATTCAATATACTCAGCTACCTCGCTTCGATTGCGAACTTCGCATTTTCGATCTCTTTCTCTTCATGTAATCATATACTGGATGTTTGATTTCGAGGTCTCCCTGTCATATCCCATCCATTATGGCAGAAACACATATCTGACGGCTTTGACCTGGCTTAAATTTCATACTGGTGCAGATCACTCGTATCATTCGAATAATGGGTTCTTTAGAGTGTTCGTCAAGGTGATTGTAACTTGATAGATAGCAAGTGCATACCGGATTGCCGGAGGGCAAACGAGCTAGATTGTCTGCTCCAAATTGTCAGAATACGCAGGACACAATTCACCATTTAACCCAAAGAATGGGAACACTTGGCGCCGTGTCGTTAAAATTGCGTCTGGAGCTTGTAAAGTCCGATGTTGACAGGAAAGCGAAGCGCAATGTATCATTGATATCAAGATTGTTTCTGAGTTAGTCTATGACGAAGTGATATAATCACTCACAAAATAACAGAGGATTGCCGATTTCCAGGTCCCAGATAAACCATCTCACGTCTTTGGATGCCCAAGTTGTCTGGGCAGAGTTTGTACGTGAGGAGGCAGATGTGCATATTGTCGATCAGGGAGATCACAGGTGATATGCCGAATGCACCATAGAACAGTCACTTACCCAAGGCTTTGGTTTCACAATCTCATGTAGATGATGGGACTTTGATAAAAAAAAAAATAGCTAAGAATGAACAGCTCACTTTACATTTCTAATCTTACATGCATACAATATCTAGAGACACGTGAACCGCGATCCGGAACAGGAGGAATCAAGAAATGATCTGCATCTCCTCCGCTGGCCGGAAATACTCCAACTCCTCATAGTGATTGTGATTACCGCGTCTCTGGTAGGCTTGTTCCTGATGTTCAGCCTATGTCGTGTTAGTTTTCAAGCAGAGCTAGAGCAGGTTCTCTCGTCCGTTGAGGAGTATGGAACTAATAGTACGAGGCGGGGATAGGATTGGAGGGAGATGGACTCACGAAATTCTCTTCGTAGCATTCTCGCGAGCAGTATACTGAGAGGAGATCTTCTTCCAGGCAACACTGGCAGGCGCATAGAGAGGAGGTGAAGTTTCCTGGAGGACCGAGCTTGGGGTAGTATATGCATTTCTCTGCCATGCATCTGTGATCGTGGGCATCGTGCTCCTCCTATACCCGAAGGGTCAGCTTGCGTCCTGAGTGGAAAAAAGTAATGATGAGGAAGCTCACAAAGTCCTCGTTAGCATGCTCCATCGAGCAATATACCGCTCTGCCCCTCTCCCCACCCTTTCGATCCATCCACTCGCAAATCGCACACTCAATAACCTCCTCCATTACCAGATTAATCTCAATCGGACACCCACCCAACGCACATTGCTCAATCCTTGGAGTCGGTTCCCGATCCAGCATCCGTTGATCTTTCTCCGCCTTCTTCTTCTTGTTCTTCAAATACGCACTCTGCGCCATCTTGATATCGCTGAGCTTCCCCTGCAACTCTGAGATCTTCGCCGCCTGAGAGTCCTCGGCGTCTTTGCGCCACGACGCAAGAACTTCATCGTGCGGAACCAAAGCTTCAAACATGCGTGCGTGCTTTGCTTTGATAGCTTTTGCGGCCGGTGGTTCGTTTGGCCCAATTGGTGAGCAGTAGTAGGCGGTGTAGAGCCGGGCTCGGGACTCGGTGTTCCAGGTGTCTTGCAATCGGGAGCTGGCGATTGCTGCGTCAGGGTTGGGAGCGATGGTTGATACGTGGTCTAGGTAGGCGTCTAGGATTTCGTTGGTGGCGCGGTGGCCTTCATTGAAGAATTCAGAGGTCTTGTACTTGAAATCTGTAGTCTTCGAGTCGTCTGTTGGCAGGACAGTGCACAGATCTTGCTTCAGGTGTTCTCGTAGCACGCTTTGGAAGAACGAGTGGATATCATCGAGGGAGTAGACGTCTGGGCTCTCGAAACGACGTTGCATCTCTTGCGTGTAATAAGCGTTACCAGCGTACCAAGCCCTTGAGTCTTTGGAGAGATAGTAGTCGTAGAATGCTTGGGCGATGTCATGCTTTTTCTTGCTGCATCGGTGACAATTGGGTGGACCTTCATGAGGGCCTGCTTCTGGTGAGGCATAGAAGCGATCGATTGTTGCGAGTTTCGATTCCAGTTGCTCTTTGGATTCCCTAAAGTGGTCTCCTACTTGGAGTCGGCGGTCGTGAGATTGAGGATATGATGTGACAGTGGTGTTTGGGATGTGTTGCTGCCCCCGGAGCTGGAGTTCAACGCCACTATCGACAATCAGTACAGATTAAAGCATGAAAGTGAAAGTCTGAAGGAGAATAGCAGTAAGAACAAGCTTAATCGGCTTGTCCAGGCCATAATATTTGCAAATTTGATATCACGTGTGGGAATCACGTGGACGTAATCATAACTTACTCCATCATTGCTTGGTGTAGAAGGGTACTAATTTGAAGAAGACTTAGCAAGACTCGTCAGCTCAATATAACGAGCAGAATGGTAGGTTTTCGCTGAATTGACAATCGTTCGCTGGAACGGAAAACCAGCTGGAACAGTGAGCTTGAGTTGACGTTGAGAGAACCTCAAATCGCCAAGCTTTTCAGACCTCAAAGCTAGCCTGAGCTTGCGGAATTAAGTTATTCCTGTCCCGACAGTGGGACAACTTTGACATCCATTTCTAGCCTTTTCTCTTCAGCCTCACGCATTCAATCAACAACATATCAAGATGGTACCTTGCACATGAACCTTTATGCGATTATCACCTCTAACTTAATTCTTTATAGGCCGACAAACTCCGCGCGCAGCAACAGCTCGAGGCGCTGCAAGCCCGCTACGTCGGAACAGGGCATGCCGATACGACTAAGTTCGAGTGGACTTCCAACATCCAGCGTGACAGCTATGCGAGTTATGTTGGACATCCACCGCTGCTGAGCTATATGGCTATTGGTATGGGAGAGTGTAGGGAGAAGGTTCGCGCGCAAATGATTGAGGTGAGTGGTTTTGGTTTACATGAATAGGCTTCATGGGCCGTGGAGCAGGCGTTGTTTGGGGCAGTGAACGGGAGCTGACGATTGCGGTATAGAAAATGATACAGCCTGTTGGAAAACCACCCGAGCTGCAGGATTGAGCTGGTTGAGAAGGGCTGGGAGAAGGATGCTTCAGTTGGAATGGAAAGTGATGCAAATGGGAGGGGAATAGAAGGGCCCGCGACGATTGCATTGAAGCCCTTGAAACCATATGGCGCAAGATGTCTGATGTGGCGAAGCCATAGACTCTCCTTGTTTGTCAAGGATTGCAACAACGGTCATGGAATGGAAATTGGCGCTGGGAGTTCTAGACATGCGTAACAATAATCGAACTCTGCCTCATTCACCTACAGCTGTGAAGCAGGCCAAATTTGACGGATCGTGCAATGTCCAAAAGCATATGAAGTGCTCATCTGGTATTCGAATTTTACATTAACAACTCATCTCCTACTTTGCCTCCTACTCGACGTCCTGCTTGGACCAGGATCGCCATTCATGGTCACTTCTTCCTCAGCTTCCTCTTCTTCGTCCTCTCCACCATCATCCCCATTCTCACCGGCCCTCCTTACCTCCATTCCCAAGCTTCGCTGTAACCTCTTCTCAAGATCTTCAGGAGCAGTTTCACCATACACTTCGTTTACCAGTCCTTGAATACCCTTATTTCCAATCTCAACTTTACCTCGAGGACCAACTCGCCAGTCAATAGTCTCATCATCGGCCGTCTTCTCAACAGTCTTGTAGATGTACTGATCCTTGATCATCCTCGCGAGTAGAGCTTCGGTAGTGCCTAGTCCTGTGTGCCTGTCTAAGCTCAATCTTTCAAGGTATTGATGCAGCTTGTGGTCTGGTATTGCATCGTTCGGACTTAATGCGATTATCGAGACGATAGTTGTGCACAAACCCATGTATGCCGCTTCGCTATGCTCGCTCCCAATAGTAGACGCAGGCATTATCTCTGGACTTCTGTATTCGGGAGGTAGGATTGTCGTCAGGATGTAGTTGGCGGTTGGTTTCGAGTTACCCTTCGTCTTTAGTGCAGCTGTGTCATATTAGGTCAGGCCAGTAACTGGTCCGCGGGTTTCTGACCTCTCTTCTCTTTCATGGTGTTCTTCGTCTTGACTGGAAGTTCAACCATCTCCATGCCAAACTTCGTCCTCAACTGGTTCTGCGCAGATTCGAATACTCTCTTAAATGCGCCTCGATGTTGTTTCCCAATCACTAGAGTATATCAACATCTCTCCATTCAAAAAGACAGAGGCCGCCAACCTTTCTCGGATATCTCCTGCCTCTTGATACTTTTCCGCTGGAATTCGCACGCCAGAGCATATCGAACCATCTTCTTCACCACTTGATCCTGGCTCTCGTCCAGATCTCCATCCACATCCATCGAGTCCTCTCCTGGCCCCGAATCTTCCTCCGACTCGTCTTCTGATTCCACTGCTTGCTTTCTGCCTCTTTGCGTTTGTCTGGGTGCCTCTTCTTCTTCGGAGCTCTCTTCCTCCTGGACCTGTTTTGTGTAAGTAAAGACCACTATCGCAGTATTCCGAACCTACGGGACGACGTCTGCGCGCGACTGAAGGCATTGTGGATAGTCGAGAACGAGCGTAAGATAGAAGATGGTAGTATCTGAAGCTTAATTCGCGTGATTTATTGGACTATTCCTATAGACTTTTGTTTACAATGGAGGGGTCGTAAGTAGTTGAGAAGAGATGTCTGGGAAGACGCGACAAAGTGCGTGCACGCGACGACCCTGGTCAGCGCGGGCAGCGGCAGAAAATGGCCGAGCTCCGATGCCTTTAAAAAATATATTGACATTGGACAAGCTTCACGCCAGTAACAGAGATCAATGCCCCCTTTATCGCATACATGATACGACCAGCCAGCGGCAGACGGTCGCATATTTGCTTGAGATGCCAACGAGGTTTAGCGAGAAGTCGAAATGCAGCTGCATTTCAGAGAGCCTCCCAGTCCACCTCCTCGAAGCCTCAACAACGTCAAGAACCTCAAGAACGACCAGTGAGGAGGGCTGTAGACGCAGACGTGGATTACAACGTAAACAACAACTTCACTCAAGGTATTGGGAATGCGCTGGACTACAAGGCTTTTAGGAATGCACCTGGTGCAGCTGCAGGTGGGGGAAAGCTGTATGGCCATCGTGGTTTACAGGTGCAGGAGAATCGAGAACGCTTGAATACGACCACTCTTGGAGACCCTGCTGATGTTCTGGTGCTCCGCGATTCGATATTGACTCTCTATGCTGCGAAAGGCTCACGAAGCATGGAGTCCATGAAGCCGGAACACATCGATATATTGAGCAAGTTGGAAGAAGAAAGGGGCCTTGTCGGGTGGAAAGAGGTGGAAAGCAACATCGATGCCTTCAGGCCGGCGAACGAACGCCAGGACTGGGATGATATCAACGAGCTTGTGAAAGAATTGCAGGATGGTTTCACCATGACGCAACTGCAGAAATACATTCGCAATTTCGAAGGACGGCGGGATCCTGAACCGCCAACAGAGTCCTGGGTTACTTCTCAGGAGGATGCCAAAATTCGCAGCGTCACAGCGTGGCTACCAGGAATCTCGGAAATACAAGAATATTTTGACAATGATCCTTTGCGAGGCTATTTCCTGCCGTCACATACCGCCAAACAGAGGGTAGTTCTTCAGTTGTTGCGAGAGTGTTGGATGTTGGAATTGCCAGAATTGGTCGACGGTATTGGACAGTTCGAGATTGAAGTTGGCAAAGAAGATATGGAGATTCTCTTGAGTAAGGTTGCTGTGTTAAATCCATCCAAAATTGGTCTGACATTATTAGTGGGCAACACATCGGTTCTTGACCATATCTATTCCGATCATCTACGCCATGAGGACGAAAAGCTTGAAGCTTTCCGAAAACGAAGCGTTATCCGAGTCACTGCTCCACATATTAAGAAACCTTTCATCGTACAAGAAATTGAGTCTGCTTTGAAACGTGCCCGGAGCATCACCATTTCTTTAGCAGACTTGGTGCCACAGGGCCCTGACAAAATCCAGAATAGACGGGTAGCTAGATGGGCTACCAGAAATGTGAACTCTTCTACACTTCAAGCACTGGGTGCTTTAACTAACTGCACCATCGCTGAGCAACAGAAACAGACGGTGAGTAGTCCGAGAGCTTAGACAACTTTGTTTCTAACACAACTAGTTGACCATATCTTGCATCGACCTCAAACAAAATCCACTGGTCTCTCCAGTCGATGTAGCTCGCCGCCTGCTTTTGACTTCAGTTCAAACATCAGACAGAATTGAACACCAATTGGCAAGTGACGCAGCAACACTAAAGAATGGTGCATTCATTAGACATGAAGTCGGCAATACCCTTCCTTGGAGTGACCGACTGCGGGAATGGGCTCGTTGGACTGCTCCAACATTTAAAGACAAAACAGAAGTCAGCAACCGTGTCGGGGCAGAGACTGTCCTAGTTTCCAAGCCCATGTCCCATCAACGAAAACGGCAGACGCAAGTCAGGACCGGGACCGCACCAACTTACTGGAGCCCCAATTATGTTACGAGAACTTCAGCCATAATGGGAAAAGTTCTACACGCAACGCTCGCCTCCCCCGACTCGCTTCCTCCTCCACTCACACTTGGAGGTAACAATCAAATAAACGCATTCTCTCCACAAGTCCCGAATTTGTCGCGTGTTCTCAGTAAGGCACAGCTTATTAGATACGGAGAGCGAATAGACCATCTTGTACTTCGTTTCTTACCGAATCCCTTTGCACAAACCACTGGATTATGGCAAGATCACAAGGTCGATAAATCCCCGGGGAAACCCCGCGCAATTGGCAGCCAAGCCTTGTCAGCATTTCCAGCCATCGAGATGCGATTTACCATCGACCGCAAGACCAAAGAAACGGCATTAGAAGAAGTTCGAGCCCTTGTCCAAGAAAGCAGAACGGATGTCATGTTACCCCATAACAATGTCGATGTACGCTTCCAGCGACGAACCACCAGTCGTCTTAGCAACGAATCCATTGAGCCCATTCGTGCTTACATCCAGAACAGCAATCTCAAGCTGTCAGGGTCCAAATTGCTGCAAACCCCACCATCTATCCGCATACCCATCGAAAGCCATCTCTGCCGCGAACAAGGCCTCGCACTTCTCGGCGAGGTCGACTCAAAGGGCAACAAGATCCCCACCGCAGCAGTCGGAGAAGTCGAATACCTCTTCGCAGGCCTTGAGATCCACAGTGCCCTCTCATTTGACTATCGCTCGTTGCGCCTCCGCTACACCAGTATCGAGTCCGGTAAAGCAGGTGGCCAGCGCGCAGAGCTCAGCTTACAGCTTCCCCGCGATCACAAGCGCACAGACGAGAAGGCATTCATCAAAATGGCTTACGAGCTTGCCTCCGAGTTCGGTGACCAGGGAACCGGAAGTATTGTTTCTGAGACGTTGACGACGAGGGTGAAGACTGACTCCGATCCGAAAATTGCGAGGATGGTGCCTGGCGATGGACCTTTTGTCGATCGTCCACAGCTCAAGTTCTTTGCCAAACATCTCAATTTGAATTCTGATGTGTCAGACGAGAATGGCGGACAGGAGGCTTCAAATAATGACGTTGCACCAGTGGGAGAAGAATCGAATGTAGATGGAGCAGTTTCGACTGAAGCCACCGGTGAAGGTGAAACAGCGGTGGACGCCCAAGATGTAGCGCAAGCAACTGAGGAGGTAGCGGAAAAAGAGCAAGCTGCTAACGAGACAGCCGAAGAAGATCAGGCTGCTAAAGAGTTGGAGGAGGACCTCAAAAGAATCGAAGATGATCGGATATAATAGTTGAAGTGTTGTGCTGTACGAATATGTTGGTTGTATGTTATGAGACGGGCAGCTTGGATGGATAGCATGCATGGATTGGAGTGTAGCATTTGCATGGAATGGATAAGCGAATGGGAAGCATTGCTTGTATATATGTATTAGTTTGAAACGTAGTCTACTGTGCAATAGGAAAAGAATCCCAATATTCAACTACGGCCTTTTCATGTTTTAAATCTTAATTCTAGACATGATTACAGGTGACATAGCACATCCGACGAGTGTATGTACATGGGAATACCTTCTACTCGCCACAAAATATAATATCAAAGCCTTCCTCATCTATATGCTGCTATAGCGCCCAAACGGAAACTTCTCTTTATAAAGTAATATCAACAATGATGGTGACAGTTTTGTTCTCTTCGAGGCAGACAGGACTTTCTACGGTACTATTGAGTTGGTTCTCACGAATAGTTTTAAAAGGCGTTATTTTGTGTCTTGGGCTGTGGATCGAGTTTCATTGCATACAATTGATAGAATAAAAGTCAGGATTCAAGATTCAGTCATAGCAAAGACCACATACCGGAAAAACCTAGATCTCCTTTTGTTTACCTAGGTCAGGGAGTGCTCGCTTGTATTGATCACGTGCGTTAATCTACATTTTTTCCCCCCATATGCTTGGGGCCCGTTCTTGATAAATGATGAACTGAGACTTGTTACATCCTATTCAATTATTGCGGCTTACATATACTCAGAGTTGCTGCCTTCTACACTGGAAATGTAACGTCCCTCCCAAGACTCTTCGCAACCCAATACCCAACCGCCTCTCTCACAATGTTATTACTACTCCACCTGCGATCCGGATGCACTCTATTCGAAAAATGCAACCAGAAGCTATTTGAGCCTCTATCAATAACCAAACTCGTCCCCGTGAATCCAGTATGACTAGCAGTAAGTAGGCTCGCCATCGGGCCCGCAGTGTAGTACTGGTTCAACTCAAACCCCAATCCATGTTCGTTGCCTGGAAACTTGGTGTTGAAGTTTGTGAAAATCAGGTCGACTACCTCAGGTGACAAGATTCGATGACGACCGTATGTTCCATTATTGAGAATCATCTGACAGAACTTAGCTGTGTCGCCTACGGTTGAGAAGAGACCTGCGTGGCCGGAGACGCCGTTGAGTGCCCATGCATTCTCGTCATGGACGGTTCCGCGAACAGGTTGAGGTCTTTGAGGTTCTCCGGGACCGAGGACATCGATTTGGAATTCTTGGGGTGCTATGTCTTGATAAAAAGGGAATCTGCGGCCTTCGATATTGCCGCGGTTGAAGAATGTCTTTGTCATGCCGAGTGGGATGGTGTACTCGTAGATCTGTGCGTCGATCGGGAGTTTCGTGATCTTCTTGAGGACGATGGCCATGGTCATAAAGTTGAGATCTGAGTATAGAAATGTGCTGCCAGGTGGGTTGATGATCTTCTGAGTGATGATGGCATTGATTCTCTCAGCATATGTGGTGTAGTCAGACGAAAAGAGGGAGGGAGATGGATCTGCATCGAAACCACTCGTGTGAGTAAGCAGCTGCAAAATTGTGATTTCCGCTTTCCCGTTAACTGCAAATGTTGGGATGTACGAAGCTACCGTGGCATTCAAGCTCAGCTTCCCGGTGTCCAGTTGTCTTAAAGCCGCAACTGTTGTGAACAATTTCGTCAGACTGGCCATGTCATATATCGTATCGACAGTGGCATCTTCCTGTTCGTCATTAGGCAGAAAGGTTCCATTGACATCCGCATAGAGGTTCCTCTTCGCGACTGCGAACTCAGACACAATTACCGAGTCGTGGCCCACCAGAGTCGCCGACCCAGGCTCAACTGGATGGATCTGGTTATGCGTCGGAGCCCCATAGTTCGCTGGATGTGTGTATGCTGTTAAGTTGGCAACCATCTGTTTGAGAGGTGTTGATTGCATCTCAACAGACTCGGGAGATCCATATCTGAGAGTGTTCCCATGACGATCAGACGTGCCAGTTGGTGAGCCAAGAGCTCCTGTCAATGCAAAAAATAGGAAAATAACCTGCATGTTTCTGAGAAGCTCGGTACCGTTCCTGACCCAGAAAAGCTTCTTGGTACGACTATAAAGCACTTTAATGTACGTCCCATATTTCTGTGTAACGTAAACTTCTCCTATATCATGTATTATCTCCAATCGTAGCTCTAGAGGTCCGACAAAAACACCCTCCAATTCGAGAATCTTGATTTATGACGGATCCAAACAACCGGGGTTACGTTTCACTGCAGCTTGCCGATCATCAACGGCCACCGTCATTCAGGGGAAGGCTGATTACTTAGTGCAGCCCAAGAATGGGGTGCATGGAACTCTTGTAGGCGACCCACGCTTTCGGGTTGGCAGTGCTTACTTGCCATTACTCGGCCCAATAGAGGCAAAGTGACAATGAACGATATTTTTGATTACTCGGCACAGTCATCTTTGAAGACGAACGAGGTGCTCCCGTTTCAAATCTATCAAATTCGAACGCTATCAGGCTCTCCAAAGACCTCCCACTCAGCCGTCTTGCTTTCAACGCCGTAGTGGTTACGATATTTTACTGATTTCGTCCATCATGCCAGAGACCGTCATACCCTATTCCTTAAAGTCTTTCTCAGTACCTTCTTCAACCGCAGCTCCTGGGGCAGCAGTCGTCTTCGTCACAGTCCAAACGGTAGGCAAAACAATTGCCAGTGATCCCATTGATAGGCCCCAATTCATACCCAGCTGTGTCATAGGTGCGGTATGTAGAGCATTGATTCTCCATGCCATAGCTCCACCAGTAGCTTGGAACGTCTTATACGCGCCAACAAGAACAGCTGCTCTGGCAGTAGAATTGGACTCAGTGCCAATCAGCCAATAGCAGAAGCCTTGCCACAGCGCATCATAAGCTCCGTAGAAGATGTAAAGGAAGATCGGGCCAGTGGACAGAGATCCGTCTGTGTAATCTAAATCTTGCTTGTGGCCGTTGGCGACACGACGATCTTGCCATTTCTGAAAGGCGTAGCCACCTCCCCAGATAGCCATGCCTGTTGAGAAGAGGACGACCCAGCCAAACTTTGCTCTTGCCGGTCTTGTGAGGAATGGGAGATCAAGCAAAACACCGATGAGAAGACCACCCAGCATCTGTGCGATCCAGTACAAAGCACCATTCAAGGACCGAGTTCGAATATTGAACGTAAGCCCGTTGACATCATTTTGTTGGTATGAATAGAATACATTGGCACTGTTCAGAGAGTTAGCGACTGTACTTTGACATCAACCGCGGGGTTAGGGCTATCTTACCAGAAAAAGAGAGGTAGCATGCAAGCAACTCGCCAAGTAAACAGAGTCTGAAATGTTGTCTTGATACCATCCTTGAAGGAATACTTTTCGTGCTCAACAGCGGCGTGCAGTTGAGCAAGCTTTATTCTCGAAGGGAGCAGATGAAGATTCCGAGGACCCATCCAACGAGCATGATCACCATCAAGGCAATGTAAGTTGAGTCAGAGATAGTGCCTTTCTTGGAGTGGAAGTTCAAGCCAAAGGACGCGAGTGAACCTACTCCCCCTCCAAGATTGAATATGATCCAGAAGACAGCGATAGCGAGACCCTTCTGTGATTCTTTGACGTAAGTAGTCATAATGGCTCCTTGCACAACCCAAAGCATGGATGCACCAATACCCAGAATAGCCCCCGAGACAATAACGAAAGCCCCATTTGCATGATCTATTCAGTGTAAGTATCCCGAGAAACAGTCGCGAGTAGAGTTCTACTTACGGTTGAAGTTCAACAGACTCCCACTGTAGAGAGCATATGTCCATCCACCGAGGAGAAAACACAAGCGAGGTCCGACAAGAGAGAAGAACGGTCCTGCAACGATCAAAGCAGTTGCAGCCGTGGCAGAAAGGAGAGCAACTGTCGCGTTGGCGGCAACTGTAGGATCAACTTGTCCACTACCTCCAAGTCCACCCAAAGCATTGTACATCTAGGTTCATGTCAGTCTTGATCGCGGGGTTGGAGTTCTTGCACTTACGCCAGGGCAGCAGAAGCATATTACGCTTATCAATAAGATCTGAGTCCAAGGATTCGCATAGAAGTCCTTCAGACGGTTTCCTTGCTCGGTACCGGCTTCGACATCTGTCCCGTGGGCTGCTGATTCTTCCTGAGTCGACATGGTTGGCAAATGATATCTCCGTATATGAACCGTTTTGATTGATGTTGTTCTGAGGAAATACTTTTCGAGAAGCCCGTGATCTTCAGATCAGGCCCTTTGGTAGCATAAGCCCATGCCACTCTTATAATCAATCAGTTCGGACTTTTGCTTGAGAATCCCGCAATGTGCGCAAGGCTGTAACGTAGGGTGGTTCTGGCTCGTTGTTGATAAGAGTGGCAAGGGCTGTAAAGTGGGAGTGTAACACAACACTGCCCGGCTGGCGCCTGCCAGACACCTGGAGATAGGTGACAGTGCGGGGAACGGACATGTCAGGTCTGACAGTGAGAAAATAATGCAGCGCTTCGAATCCCACCTTTGTGGAAGATATGTGGAGGCAAAGTAACGTCGCAGAGACAACCGAGGCTTCCGAGCCGCGTTGGAACAGAGAATGGTGTTGGTGTGAGACTAGTTAGTCAACGGGATGTTGCCAAGGAAGGAGAAGATCTACATGTCACGATAGCGGCACATATCAACTCCCCTTAAGCCGCGTTGCAACGTGAAGAGGAAACAAAGAAAAATTGTTGAACAATCGTCAAACTAAATTTGGGTAGACACTGCCTTCTGACCTTCCAACCAACCTGGAATTTTGAAGCAGAATGATTGTTAGTAAACAATCATGACCCCCACTATCGTCCTCGATGGACTACAAACGGAATCGAGAAATAATGGCAGCAGCAATATCGATAAAGTCAGCACGTATGAGCTATGTCAAATCATCAACAGAGAAGACGCAACAGTTGCAGCAGCAGTAAACAATTGTCTTCCAGTCATTGCCGAAGCGATTGACGCATTAGCGAGCCGAGTTCGCCAAGGAGGAAGGGTGATATATGTTGGTGCCGGAACAAGTGGGAGGTAAATTTCATCAACTATTGGAAGTGTTATGATACTGAGACCGGCAACAGACTTGGGGTCCTAGATGCCTCAGAGATACCTCCCACATATTCTGCGCCAAGCGAACAATTCGTCGCTCTGATAGCTGGTGGTGATGCTGCTCTTCGGTTTGCTCAGGAAGGAGCAGAGGACGATGTTATGGCTGCAGAAAGAGACTTGAAAGCTCTGAACATAAACGGCAAAATGGACTCGCTGATCGGAATTGCAGCTTCTGGAAGGACACCGTATGTTCTGAGATGTCTCGCTTTTGCAAAGTCGGTAGGTTGTGTTACTGTTGGCTTGGCGTGTTGTGAACCTTCGGCTATGGGCAAAGAAAGAAACGTAGACCATATGATCAGTGTAATCACTGGACCAGAGGTAGTGACTGGAAGTGCGTACGCCCGAACTCAAGTCAAGCCCGCATTTGTAACGGTGCTTCAGTTAAAGGCTACAACTGCTAATCGAGAACTTAACAGGCACGAGAATGAAGGCCGGTACGGGGACTAAAATGGCCTTGAATATGCTAAGCACTGGTCTAATGATAAAAGTTGGCAAGACATATGGGGATATGGTATGTGAATGTCTCACTTGGCATGGCGGAAGAAGTTGCTGACGCTGCCAGATGATCGACGTCAAGTCGTCGAACTTCAAGTTACAGCAACGGTCAAAGAACATTATACGTACGATATGTGGGGAACGATCTCCTTCATCAGATCAAGAACTGGAAGCTTTACTTGCTGCTTGTAGCGGAAGCGTAAAGTTAGCGGTGGCCACTATTCTGCTTGAGACATCAATTCCTGAATCAAGGAGAAAACTTGACGATGCCGGCGGTGTTCTTGTAGATGTTCTTCAGATGTCGAAATATCAACCCTCCAAGCGAATCGCTCCTGAAGACTACGTTCTTTGTGTTGATGGCGGTGGCAGCAAATGTGGCGCTGTTATTCTGGGCAAGAATGGAGAGCTCGGGCAAGGGGAAGCTGGAGAGTGCAACGTTTCGAATGTCGGGGTTGATACAGCAGTATCTTCGATCTCGCTAGCTATCCAACGAGCTGTCGACTCTTGCCCAGCGATACACGGGATATTATTCAAGTCCATTCCCTTTCGCTACATCTGGATTGAATTGGCAGGGTATGACCGCCCCTGTATCGCCAATCGCGTCAATCCGCTTCTTCTCGATATTTTCCACCCCAGTGTGAGAAACAAACTCAGAATATTCACTGAAATTGATCTTCTCGCCAATACAGTGAGCGAAAACAATGGTGTCAACTCGGTGATTGTCTTAGTTGCGGGGACTGGATCAATTGCCATGAGCTTCGAACGCAAAGATAGACGACTTGAGCGAACGGGACGCGCTGGCGGCTGGGGTCATCTGCTTGGTGATGATGGCTCAGGGTATGGAATTGGTCGTCAAGCATTGAGGCTTGCTTTGGAATCGGCCGATGAGATCAACTTAAAGAAGCAACACACATCTTGGGATGATCCCCTCATACCGAGGATTTTCGAGCATTTTGGACTGGGAGAATCTCCAGGACCTTGGACCAATTTGCTGAATCAGATAGTTTCATCAGATGAGAGCAGTCGGGAAGCACTGAAGCCTACCAAGAGAATCGCCGAAGTCGCAAAGGTGGTTGTGGATGCGACTCCGTCGAGTAGAAAGGCCACAGAGCTGCTACAAGAAGGCAGCAAATCTCTCGTCCGCATAATCTCGTCTTTGGTATCGAACCAGAAACCTGACAACTCGAAGACTTCGCTCTTACTAGCTGGTGGGCTGCTACAGAGTGAGGTGTATCAGCGAATGTTCTTTGAGAACCTCGCTACGGCGGGTTTGGCGTTTCGAGATACAAAGGCGATTCAACAGCCGGCCATGTTGGCGGCAAGACATTTGCTCGCAAGTTTGAAAGAGGGAGAATAGACATGAAAGGCAAAGCATAGATTAGATCAGTAGAAAAGCACCTTGAACTACTGTCAAAATTCCGATCAAAAACTTGTAAACAAATCCTCGCTTAATAACAGCACAGACCCATAATCAGATTGCGACAGGAAACACCAAGGTTGCAGGACCCAGGCTTCTGATGAGTTCAACATGATCTAGCTAATTGTTGAAAGATGTCGAACAGACAAGTTCATCTCGATTCATCCTTTTTGCGTGCGGTCAATTTGACATTCAATGGTGGTTTACTCCACAATACATAGACTTTCTGCCGGTCCCACTCTAGCGAATCGGGCTGCAGTTCCATGTCAAAATTCCAGATGAGCCGACACATAATTGACCGCATCTCTGCGAAAGCCAGATTCTATATATGTCAGATTGTTGTCTTGTGGAGAGATATTGGGCAGACAGTGTGCAGAATTTGGAACGTACCTTGCCAAGGCAGCCACGAGAACCAAGCGCGAAAGGCTGAGATGCTGCAAAGTCATCATTGGCGTACAAACTGGTAGTAACGTCCTTTGGAGGGCATTTTGAGTCGGTATTCAAGCTCATTGTTGAGTTCTGAACAGCATTTTGTGTATTCTCCAGCCAACGCTCAGGAACGAATCTTAAGGGGTCTTTGAAATTGCGACTGTATCTGCCGGTACTGAGTTGATGCACACTGACGCTAGCCTGGTAATACAAGCAATTAGAATTTGACTCTGTCCGGAAGAAAGCAATCCCAATCCTAGTGGGGAAGTCAACTCACATTGCCAGGCACAAATCTTCCATCGATAATCATTCCACCCACTGGCACCTGGCGAGGGAGTCCACATGGTATAGGAGGATATAGACGCAGTGCCTCTTGGATACATGCCTGGAGGTAAGGCAGTTTTGACACTGACTCGAAGTTCATGGCGTCCGGAGAAGTAAACACTTGGCGAATCTCTTGTTGGAGTAGTGCCAGTGCGTGAGGTGTTGAGTGTAGGTAGAAGATGAGGCCACTGAGAAGGGTGGCAGTGCTCTCGCTTCCTGCAATTATAAGACATCCAGCATTTGTCGCGAGTTCGCTTTGTGATAAGCCCTTTTTATCATTGTGACGCAAAATAGCTCTTGATTGTCAAGTCAGTCTCAAGAAGTAACGAGATGAAGCGCGCGAGGCTTACCCCATGAGATCTTGACGATCTTCCACCATCGACAACCGACTCAAAGTTTTATCTCGAATGAAACTTCGAAACCTAGCCTGAGCTTTCACTACAGCCGGAAGCTTGGCCAGCGCGGAATAACTCCAAGTTCCAAATGGTGCTGTCATATATTCTTTCGCAGTCCTCACTAGAACGCCCATCTTAAAACCATTGAAGATAGTGGACATCCACCAATGCTCTTCTCCCTTTTCTAGGGCGTCAAAACTCTCTCCGAATGTGAGATCACCGATGATATCAAATGACGTGAAATTCAGCCAAGACGCCATGTCCACCGTTTGCTTCGCTTCCATCTGGGAATAAAGTCTCTGGACCAGTTTATCACAGTACGCTGTGACGAGCGACTCTTGGGCCTGTAAAGCAGAGTCGGAGAAGGCATGTATCATGACTCTGCGCAAACGGGCATGGTTCTCTTCGTTTGATCCTATCATCCTCGTCAGTCTGACTCAGAGGGAAGAAGTTGAAGATGTGGGTGCTTACCAATAATATTTTGTGCTCTACTCGGATCTGTGTAGAAAAACCGGGGATCGCGTTCGAGATGTTGACCTCCTTTTCGATATCCATAAATATCTATTGTCCCATCACTTCATTAGTTCGGAAACGCTTCAATACAAATGCCAAACATACCTTTCCATGCTTGAGAGGTGCAGAATGAAAGGTCATTAGGCGTCATTCGGATAACAGGTCCGTACTTTTCGTGCAGCTCCAGCGTTCTGGATGCTGAATTTCCACAGCACAAGTCGTAGTATGAAGGTAAAATTGAAGCTCCATAATGGACTGGCCCGGGAAAACCTGCTAGGGGGTGAAGCGTGATATTGTATAAAGCAGTTCCAGCATAGAATAGAATAACCTACCAAAAATCAGCGGGGATTATTCTCCACGAACTCTACCTACAACAACAACTAATGTGAACGCGACATTTGGCGCCAGCTCGAAGCTATTCATCTTTGCGGACCAGACCAATCTAATTCAATATTCAGCTCACACTTCTTCCAAATCCATCTTTCTAAGGGTCTGGATGCTCATCCTGTGGGCATTACGCGCCGTGGAGACATTTTGGATGCGGCGACTTCACATGTTCCTCAAAGTCTCGCCTCCGCCGGACCGGCGGGGACGGCGACTTCTGGCCTGAGGTGACATAGCAGCAAGTATTCGTTCAATCGCAATTTATCAGAATCAAAAATATAATCATAAGTGGGGAATTTGTGGAATTTCTAGATTTCAGCGACCGATCTGGCCCCAGAACCATAGCAGAATTACCCCGCAGCGGGGTAAATAAACATCGCTTGAGAAGCTGAGCTTCTTTCGGTTGCAGATCCGCCGTGCCGCGTGCACTTATGCTTGGATAAATGTAGAAAATGTGAGCTTTAACCACAGGACTTGGAGCTAGATATCAACGTGCCCTTTCCAAGCTCTGTATCTTAGCCATTTCAAAATACAACCCTCTCTTCAGTAAGAGCTCTGAGTGGCTCCCCATCTCAGCAACACGACCCTGATCCAAGACGATAATCACATCTGCCCTCTGAATAGTCGAAAGCCGATGGGCCACAGCTATGGTAGTCCGACCGCGCATTGCATTTTCAAGTGCGGCTTGGACTGATTTCTCGCTTTCACTGTCTAAAGCGCTCGTAGCCTCATCTAGCAGCAGCACCGTAGGGCTCCGTATTAGAGCTCGCGCGATTGCTAGTCTTTGCTTCTGACCACCGCTTAAGAGGGTACCCTTTGTACCCACAGCTGTGTTGAAGCCGTCACTGGAAGGTTTGTGTCAGCTTGCCTGATAGCTAAAAAGTAGGAAAAGGAGAACAGAGGACTTACGGTAGTGACATGACAAAATCATAGATGTCAGCGTCTTTGCATGCTTGAAATAGAGCTTGATCGTTAGGGTCCTCTTGGTCGGTACCGAGAAGTATGTTGTCTCGAATTGACCCTTGATACAAAGTTGGCTCCTGGCTGACCAAAGCAAAGAGTCGTCGGTACCGCGTGAGATTGAGTGTGGATATCCTCGCGTCGTCAATAAATATGTCTCCATGTACTATGACGAAATTAGCATCAGATCATAGCCAGTCTCAGTGGTGCTGAGGACCAGGTCTCCAGGCTGCTCCCAGCAGTGATGATCAGACACTTACCAGGGTCATAGAATCTTTCCAGCAGTGCCAGTACAGTACTTTTGCCACATCCACTCGCACCTACCAATGCCACATACTGCCCGGGACTGACAGTGAAGTTGAGGCCTTTAAGTACCTTCGCCCCATTCCTGTTTGGATAATGGAAGTGAACATCACGAAACTCAAGCTTCCCTGTAACTTGACCCGGATCTTCACCCAGTGAGCTGCTGGAATCGATGACAGGGTTGTTCTCAAATATAGACATCAATTCCAATGCAGCATTCTGTGCTTTTCCAAGTTCGGGAGCAAATGCAAGAACTCTTCCAGCAGACTGGATGGTGAATATGAGAGAGTTGTAGCAGACATAAAACTCGAACATGCCAATCTCTCCTCTGGAGATCAAGTGACCTCCATACCAAAAGCCCAAAGCCATGACTAGATATGGAAAGCCTTGAGATACTGCATAAAGGTTCGAAGACTTAAATGTAGGTACCATTGCTTTTCGGCGTTCATCGGTCAGAGACTCACGGTATACACGAAGCACCTCCTTTTCCCGTGTCAGAGATGCAATGGTTCGTATCGCCGAGGTTGCTTCGGCTGCGTAACTGGCGGAAGCTGCATATGCTTTCTTAGATCGTTTTGCAAGTTGGGCCATGATCCAGTAGCGGTAGAAGCCACTAGACAGCATGAGAGGTATTGTCGCGCCACAAACTAGACCGAGCTTCCAGCTAAGTGCGATGCTGAGCGCAAGGGCGGATACAATGGTTGAGATCACTGACACGATTGCGCCCAGGGTGAACCCTCCAAAGCCAGACAGGTTTGTTGGCTCAGTCGACAGGGTGCTTGTCAATGATCCTACTGTGTTCTCCTCTCGATCGAAGAATGAAACGTCTTGCCGGATAATGTCTCGAAATGCTCTGCTACCCACTCGCGACGTCAACTTCGCTGAGCAATATCCCAATGCTAGCCCTTGGAGGAGGAAAGACAGAAATGCAGCACCAGCAAGCATGAAATACATCCAAGACCAAAAGTTCACTTCGTCCCGAAGCTGGCTGAATCGTGATGGTGGTAATGCCAAGGAGGAAATTGACTTCGCAAAGAACAAAGACTGCGTTGGGTATGTGCCTCCAGCAAGTATAGAAAAGATGACGCCGGTGAGCATGATCGGCAGTTCCTTGCGATTGAATGCTAAGACTGTTTTCGCTAAAGTCCAAGACGAGTTCTTTTGAGTTGTCACTTGAAGAACAGGAACATGCTGCTCAAGTCCAATCTCGCATTTCTCGTTGAGGTTCGGGTCAACGTCGGAAAGTCTGGAATCAACAAAGTCCTGTTCACTGCCTGATGACGTCCCAGGTAGCATTTCCTGGGCTTGAACGAGCTCATAGTAGAACGCCTTCAGATTGAGTAGGTCATCGTGCGTTCCTTGCTCAACAATACGTCCCCCTGCCATTACTACGATGTTATCTGCATCTTTGATAGTTGACAGTCGATGCGCAATAACAACCGTCGTCCTGCCTTTCGACACAGCGCTCAACGCAGCCTGAACAGCTCCTTCTGATCGTGTATCGAGTGCGGAAGTTGCTTCGTCCAGAAGCAGAATTTTCGGATCAGAGATTATCGCACGACTAATTGCGATGCGCTGCTTTTGGCCTCCAGAGAGTAGAATGCCTCGTTCTCCAACCTGAGTCTGATATCCTGCTTGAAGACTCATGATGAAATCGTGAACGTTGCTTTGTCTGGCTGCTTCAATAATCAGTTTATCCTGCACCTCAGGACTTGCGTTTTCGTGCGGAGTTCCAATAATGCCATATCGAATATTCTCGTAAATTGTAGTGCCAAATAGGACAGGCTAGGCCACTTGTTAGTATCACGGAATTCATTAGGGAGAAGAGGTCGACCCGGAGAAAAAGATGGAGGGACAGGGACCAGGGAGCTTGATGATAAACTGCATAGGACTACGATAACCAGAGCAGTGCGAAGCATTCCTCACCTCTTGGCTGACAAGAGCTATCTGCTGTCTCATCCATGTCAAGTTCAGCTCCGAAGTATCATGGCCGTCAATGAGAACCCTGCCTGCTACAGGCTCGTAGAATCTCTCAATCAAGCCAATTATTGTGCTTTTGCCAGAGCCCGAAGCACCAACGATAGCAGTTGTTTTGCCAGCAGGAATACTCAAGTTCAGGTTGTCGATGACGCAAACGTCGAGGCGAGAAGGATATACATGTTTGACATTTTGCAACTGGATGGTCCCTTCGACGACGCCAAGTTTAAGTCCATCTTCAGAAGATGAGTCAAGAGGAGAATGTCGGTCGATGGCACTGAATATCTTTTTAGCCGCAGTCAAAGCTATGGCGAAAGCCTTGGAGAAGTCAACATTAATCGCAGTGTATTGATACAGTGCCCATGCTCACTTGGAAATTCGCAGCTATGTTTACAAGTGCAAAAGAGCCGAGAACAATTGCGAGGACAGTGGTGAGGAGCTTTGCTATATTGATTTCACCGTTTACCAGAAGGCGGGAGCCTTCCCAAAATGCAAGTGCCTAGCGCATTTCATGTCAGGAGGCCTGGCTTGACAACTCTTTGCATAGAAGATTACTCACATATGTGAGCTCAACAATAGCCATGCAAGCTGCAAGCAGAACGGATATTGTAACCCCGAGCTTAAATTCGAACTTAGAAGCATTGTCCAAGAGCTTGTCGTATTGTGTTGCCAATCTTGCCTGAGTATTGTACGCAATGGTGTTTCTGATAGAGCTGAAAACTTCGTCCGAAAGAGCTGCTGCAGTGGCATTTACAGCAATCTTTTGAGCACTGTATTTCTTCGAGACCAGTGAAGTGAGGAACAGCCCAAGGAGGAGCGAGAACAAGGTTCCCGAAAGTATCAGAGACAATTCTGGCCAGATTAGTGTATAGACTACAGGTAAAGAATAGACAATGTACTCCAATACATGATGAACCCAACCACGAAAGCAGAAATGAATGTAGCTAGACCGGTGATGGTGAACCCCACCTTCTCCGAGATCCCATCTTGGACGAGGTTTAAATCGGCTGTTATACAATTGATCACTTCCCCTGTTCCAAGAGAATCGAAGAATGCAACGTTTTGGCGCAGGATCGCAGCTCTAATCGATGGGTACTTTAGCACAGAATATTTTTAAACGCAGGAGATGTGCCTTGAAAGGTTGACCAGAAGTCAACGAAATTCTGCGGAACACTTACAAGTATCGTTCTCTCAAGCTTTGTGTTATGCGTGCTCCAGTATACAGAAATCCGAAAGTTGATATAGAGATGCAGACGTATTCGCCGATAGCCAGGTAGACGAGATACAGCGTCTTCGTGACGAGGTTTCTGTTGAATGTGTCCCTCTCAACCTTGGACAAGACACTGAAATCTTGGAAACTTTGGGCCAAAGCACCAAACACCACCTATGCTCCTCAGCACTGATCACGTTGCATGGATTATTTCAAGCTCACACTCATCAGAGGAACAATACCGCCACCAATGGCAGCACAAACACCACTGACGGACATTATGATGCGATCATTTCTTGTTGCATGACGGATCAGTGTTCTTGGGCCAACCCTCACATCTGGGATATAAATTTGACGCTTCAGGATTGATAGCTCTCGGTTCATCAAATGAAGGCCCTGATCCTCATCGCTGCTGTTTCTGATGTCGACTTGCATGTTTCCCTGACCCTCACCACCCGGAACTGCACCTTGAGAGGCTTGCTGTGGTGGAGGATCAGCCATTCTTTCAAGGCATGTGCCAGCAGACACAAGAGTCAAAACAAAGCTGTTCGGGTTCGATCCATGGACTGAACAGGGGAGTGGACGCGGGCCAAAATGGATGACTCTTGCCTCCAGGAATTGAGGCTTGAGCAAGTTTATTTTGCAGTCCGAATCTGTATGCAGGGTCCTGGCACAGCTGAATGATTATTGGAAGTGGTACGTATGCACTTCTGTCTAAAGGTCAGTCTGACATCCTGTCCCCACTTTGAATAGTGCTAGGTGTGAGTGGGATGAATCGGGGAACAAATGTCGCCGTGTCGATGGTTGACATGAAGTCAAACGTGAAATCACCGCTCCAACGGCGGCTTGGAGTACCGGATATATCCAAAGAGCGTGCCTATGCGGCGTAAGCGCCTGTCACCTGCATAAGTGTGGTGTGGCGGCTCAAAGCGCGGTTGGGTATCTCGGTTGTTGTGATGCAGGAAGATAACCAACACATGTCAGCTTATCAGCCAGGGTCCAGGAAAGGAGAGGAAGGATGCGACGATTCTGACGCTTTAGGCGCCATGTATCTCTACCCTGGCGAAGCGAAGTTTGAGTATGACTTGGAGGCCAGCAGCAATTCGTATGTAGTGTGACCTCGGGTGTAATTGCTAGGTTGAGACGGTCATGGTCGCAAGCTCAAGCCACTGGAGAGAGATATGTAGTATTGAACAGCGACCTCGGAAGTTCTGGTTCAGAATTTGCACTTTGTAATCGATTGAAAAAATTTGACGACTCATGAACATATGAGTCCTTATTCAGGCATGGGGTTCGAAGATTTGCCTAGCAGCAACCCTACTTCTTTACAGAGAACCTGAAAGTGCTATAAGCAATGAAACACCTGTCAGGTCCCCAAATTATCTTTTCATCCCTCTGCCATTCCGGGTGATTAATTGCATCAGTCCAGTCCTGCGCCTGGAGACTGATTCCGGCAAACATGGGATACGTTCCATTTCCTTGCTTTTTCTTCAGTGGTGTTGAATCTTTACAGAATTATTTAGCGTTTGCGATTGAAAAGGAACACAAGCAAATGACTTGCCTTCAGGATCATTCCATGTCACGACCTGCAAAGCTTCTTGATCCGCATAGAAATCAAGTTTGACTCCTGATTCTTCTGACTCCAGTGTGGCAACTGGCTTGTGATCTTTTGCCCAAGGCTGTGACCGACTAGTGAGGAATGTGTTGTCAAGACCAGGATATTTGTCTCCAGACCGGTTCAATGCTACAGCAAGCGGGCGAGGACCAGACCAGAAATCATAACCAGAGTTCTTCTTGTTTCCCAGGATATCTCCGGTCGGCATCTTGTCCACGTCAATCCCAAGACGCAAGCCGGAGTAAGGTAAGGAGAGTTTGTGCTTCTCAATGGTTCGGGTCGAATTCTCTACAAAGCCATCAAGGTTCCAGAAAACCTGGTGGCTGAGATCTAAGGGACCAGCTTCTTTCATAGGTGTTGATCCGTATGACATGTGCCATGCAAAAGGCGTGACAGTATGAGTTAGACTTGCGCCTGATACTCCTGGAAATCCGTTCGCGCCACGATCGTATATGAAGAAAGTGAGAGTATCCTTCGTATGGACTGCCACGTCCAGTCTGATATTGCCCCAACCTCTTTTCCCGCCATTGATGGTGACTGGCTTCTGCGCATTTTTTCCGTTCTGTGAGGTTTTCCATTGCTTCCCATTGAGCTCGAAGCTTGCACCGCTGATGAGGCCTGCATATCGTCCTTCATGATGCGTCAATACGCAGAACATTCTGACGGTTTGTGGACGAACCTAAAGCCCCGCCAAGTGCTCCGTTATATTGGGCGTATTGTGTCGCATTGTCCAAGCCCATCACAATATCAATCTCCTGGCCGTGAGTATTGTTAATCCACAGGTTTGCAAGTGCTCCTCCTTGGTTCTGGTGAACAAGCTATCAGTAGACGTTCATTGACGACAGCTCGCGAGTTTGAGAGCATCACCGGAGGAAGATGAGGGTAGAGATGCCAATGGGTCTGGACTTACGGTAAATGCAAGTCGGACACCTTCTGCTTGAATGACATATTTGCCTTCTTCATTGGGAGTGTGAATTGCTGTGAGGATGGCGAAAGGATTTCCGCCTACCCAAATGAACTTCCAAAAAGCTTTGAGAACAACAAGAGCCCTCATGTTCGCACTAGCAGTCACAGGAGACTAATTTGGTAATGTTGAGGCAGAAAAGAGTGGCAGTACGCTGCACTGTGACTTCTCTGAGACCTGGTAAATTTCATGGCCCCATTAATGTGATGGTTTGGACCCTCGGCGAGTTCATCAATGAGATCGCTGCATCCCTCATAGCGAGCATGGCTAACAACGTGGATGTGCGATTGCCTCATGGCACCGGAGACTTCCGGAAGACGTGCCTAGAAAACAAACTGCAGCGGCGACTTCAATGTCTCCGGCACATGCAGTGTTCGGCTTTGGTGAGTTGGAGAGACGCTGAATCTATACATGACAAAGAAGTTGAGGTTCTTCAGGTAGAACAAGTAGGTAACTATGGAAATGGCAAATCCGTGATATTCTCCATCTTTCGCTGTGTATTCAGCCACATTTAGCGCCACGTGAATAAAAAACTTGCAAGACGATGTGTGCTGAGCAGCCCTTTATCCCTTGAAGCGAATTTCGCGTAAAAAATGTCACGGCTATGAAGTATATCCACCTGGTTTGAAATCAAAAGGTAGATGGAAACTTAAATAGGAATGTAAAGCAGGCCAAACTCCACTGGAAAAAAGTCCATCATGCTCCTTGTAGGCTAAATACTCTGTGGCCATCAAACTCCCCGTTGTCCGCTCCTCTCCTCCAGGAGTAGGGGATGCATTGCGCCACTACTTCCTATCGCTGCATAGCGAGAACTTGAAGCAGCCGCCTTTCTCTCTCTGAGATGTCCGTCAGAACAGACTGAGAAGAAGCTAAAATGAAGCTGTCAGTCCCAAGTCCATCGTGGACCCCGCCTACCTGACCACTTGGTCGAATATGTTCATCCAGATTAACAACAGCCCCTGACATAGTATTGTTAGGCAGGGAAAATGTTCTCTGAAATGTGCTATGAAGCTGCTGGACCATCTCCCTCACAAGATGAACCACAGTGCTCATGAACATGCTGGATCTTGCTGTCATACTGAATGTGCCGAAAGTCAAAGACGGCGATAATGATGGCGGCTGCATAGCCGTGGCACCACCCTGGTCGTCAGGCGATGATAGTAAAGAGGCAATAAGACCTTCGTATGCTATAAGTAGGCTGAGATAACAGGAGAGGCTGAGAAGCGTCGTAACGGCATCTGGTGGATGACTGGGCACAGTGGCTGAGGGATTTTGGCTGTCGCTGGTCGAGCTGGGATGAACTTGTGATGCCCCAGTGAAGTTCTGAGGCATGTGAGGCACTGGAGAAGGCGATGTGGGCGGTGTTTGAAGGATGTCAATCAGTGTTTGTGTATTCCCGAGAATCGTGTCTAAACTTGACATGCTTGATTTGCTCTCGGAGACTGACTTTTCGTGGATAGTTTGACCCTCCGGCAAGGAACCTAGACAGACATTCGACGGTATCTCTGGAGATATGATTTTGTATAAATGAGATTGAAGTCTTAGAAGCTGATGTAAACGATCCTCGTAAATGTCAGAGGAACTCTCTGATGAGCTTTGGCCACTCATATCAGCCAGATCCTGACTTGTGTCGATGGGTTTCGAGAACACTCCTTCCTCATCAGTTCCCGAGTGGCCTGTCTGTTGGACTGGCAAAGTGGCCGACGTAGTGTTTTTAAGGTGGTCGAAGCTTTCACCTAGATGGGTCCCTGTATGATCAAGCTGTGGTGCGTAGTCCGACTCCAACATACAGCTCAAGTCAAAATTGCTAGTAGACCAACTGTCTGGCAACCAGGAATCGCAACTCAACTGCTGTGAATCTGAATTGCTTCCTCGTCAGGAACGATCATTACATAGCAGAAATCCAGTCTCTCACCTTCGATTTGTATTATAGTCAAGTTGGCCTGTGATGCAATTGAGTTTGACGCGGGAGGGGATTTACGTTCGTTATCATCGAAAGGAGGATAATCGGAAGTCTTGTGCACAGCTCGTCTTTGTCTCTTTCGCTGTATTGGAGCATTCTGGGAATACGAATGCGCATGCTCCCTTAGTGGTGAACCAGAGGGCTGGGTTAATGCTTTATCCTTTGGTCGACCCATTGGTAACGGGGCGGAATAGGAGCAGACATTGCCGAGTCGGCTGCATCTCTCGCATTCAAACGATCCAGGGGCTCTCGCGCAGCGACTCTTTGTCTCGTGACATCTGTCACAGGCCGCCCGTACTGTCGATCTTGTAGGCGCCATTCGGTGTTGTTTGTGATTAGTCGCCATAGATCATGTAGATTTGAAAACAAACAGGAGCAGCTTCGCACGAGTATCTTTCAAGACACTCCTTGGTCGGGCTTGAGCAACGATATTGTGATAGCATGAATCGTTGGTCCGAGTGGCGCGAGCGATGTATGATATGTAGTTGAAGGTGCTTCTGACAGGCTGCTTACACGCCACTGGATACTGAGTCCTCTGCCAGATTCGTCTCTATTGCACTTGTGCAGAGTTGTGCCATGCTTTAACACGATCGGCCTTTGGCGTGGTACAATGCGTAAGCAAGAAGGCAAGTGAAACATTCTTGGAGCCTACTCTCTGCTGGAGAAAGTGATACCATTGACCTAATTCCACGGATATGTTCTGGGTCAGATTTTCAGATGGTTCTAATCAGCTATCACCCGCATATGCTAGACTGTGCCACTGTGGGGTTGTCCTTTGTCGCAATTATTTGCAGTGGGGGCTGACGCGCGGTGCAGCAGATGAGAGCTGGTTGGATGATGCCGTGGACTGCAGCTCCAAATGCATGGTTGAAAGATAACGGCACGGGTCGTCATGCAGAACGGGCTCAGCGGAACGGGCGGATTGAAGCGCTGCAGATGTGAAGCGCTCGAATCAGAGGAGGAGAGTCGTGTGATAGCATACTAATGATCGTTCTGGGAAAACAAATCGGTACCAATTGTCATGTGGCTGAAGGTGTGAGAAACCCACGCCGCAAAGTAATGTGACCGTCGGTGACTTCTTCAAGCTCTTCCGTGCCTCCAGCACGAAAGAACCACTGAGCCGGAGAGATGCAGCAGAATCTGAGCTGACCACACCTCGTAAAATAGAATCAGCTACTGGACGATGCCACAGGTTTTTACTTCAAAGGCCGCCAGGTAGGAAATTGAACGGGCGGATAACAAATTGGTCATATGCGGAGCTCTTGTCTCAAAGTCCAGGACCATAGCCGCAAGATGGAATCTCTTCCTGAACTCCAAACTGCAATCATTGGTCTCGAGGATGGGACCTTGGTCATATCAAAAAATGTGCGGCTTCCTAGGCTGGAAGACGATATGATTATGGTAAAGGCAAAATTCGTCGGACTGAACCCAGTGGATACCAAAATGGTCGGTCGACTTGTTGTCCCGGGAGCCATAGTTGGGACAGACTTTGCAGGGCATGTTGTGGCAATCGGGAGTAACGCTCGTATGTGGTTCACGCAGCAGCCCTTCCAGCCGATTCTCCTAGGAAACAACTTGACTCGAATATTTACTGACCAGCCTCATTGCAGAATGTCCAGGGGTGAAAGTTGGCGATCGTGTAGCTGGAGTCGTGCAGTCATCCAATCCACTTCAACCTGATGTTGGGGGTTTTACGGAGTATATAGGAGCAACCGGTTTTGTGACTATGAAAATTCCAGACGCAATGTCGTTCGAAGAAGGTGCGGCAATTGGGAGTGGAATTGGAACCATGGGGATGGCCTTATTCCACTCTCTCAATGTCCCTGGATATCCAACAGAGCCTGCACTTAAGCCCAAGTATGTTCTTGTGTATGGTGGTAGTTCGGCAACTGGAACCATGGCTATTCAGCTACTCAAACTGTAAAAATGCAGACCACCGTCACTGGAGCAAGCAGCTAACTTACGCATAGATGCGGACTGTTTCCCATCGCAACAGCCTCCGAGAAGAACTTTGACCTCGTGTTGTCCTATGGCGCCGAGAAAGTGTTCGACTACCACCTGCCATCTTGCCCTGACGACATCAAGTCATACACCAAGAACTCGCTCAAATTTGTACTAGACTGTATTTCTGAACCAGAAACCATGGAGTTCTGCTATAAGTGTATCGGCAGAGCAGGCGGCAAATATACTGCCTTGGAGCCCTTCCCTACATGGCTGGATAATAAGAAGACTATCCAAGCACAATGGGTTTTTGGTCCAATGATGTTGGGCAAGAAGATCGGATGGCCAGCACCATTTGAACGAGAGGCAGACGAAGAGCTGCGAAAGTTCTCCGTCAGGTGGTTCGCAACGGCTCGAAAGCTTTTGCAGGAAGGCAAGATAAGAGCTCATCCACTGAAGAGCATGCCTGGAGGCTTTCAGGGCGTTCTCGATGGGATGGATGTGCTGCGGAAGAAAGAACTATCTGGAGTGAAGTTGGTGTATCAAGTGTGCTAAATGAGCGAATCAAAGCAAAATCAAGGGCGAGAGGTATTGAATTGAATCGCAGAAATCATGATCAAGACGTTCCATTGTAGATTTCCTGAGAAGTCGTAGAGACGTGAAGGTGCGGGCCGGCGCGTCGCGCTCGGTTCAAGTTTGATGCCAAGATATATCACGTGGCTGTCTAGAAACTACCCGATGTCACTCGTACATCCCATTCTCAGCTGTTGAGAAGCACAACCATATCTATTGCAAGTGACTCTAACTAGGGCAGTCTCCCGAGAGGGCTTTCAGAGACCAAAGTCTATAATTACAATGGCAAATGAATACCATCTCCAGCTTCAATGCTTCTACATTATTCAAAATGCAGACCCACGTCCTCAGTCACCTTTACCTCTCCGCGCGTGGTTGTGTAGAGACTCCCCTCCATGACCGGAGCTGGCTCGCTTGGATGGATGACACTCTATGGCAGCCACCCGACGGCGACTTCAAAATGCTCCATACTGTGCCTCAAAATGCCTCCTGGCACCGGAAGTCACAGCTTTCGGCTCTTTCACAAATGTCTTTGCCCCAGGACATGGGCCAGTAGCACCATGAAATATACATTGCCATTTGACCCGCTTCAATTACATTGATTGACAAATATATCAGGAAAACTTCCATTCGGGCCGTTGTTCTTCATCGAGACTTTGCATAGTAGTGCAAGCGGGAACCCTGATCGTTGCCATTATTTTCACACGATCACAATCAAGATGGCCAAACTTCAACCTGTCCGAGAACCGATTGCCATCATTGGAAGCGGGTGCCGTTTCCCTGGAGACGCAAACTCACTTTCGAAGCTTTGGAAGCTCCTTGAGAAGCCCCGAGACGTCTCCGAGCCAATTGCAGCTGAACGGTTCAATGTCGATCGATTCTATCATCCTACGGGGCATCATCATGGTACCACTAATGTCAAAGACGCCTATTTCATTCCTGGCAATGCCCGAAAATTTGATGCACCTTTCTTCAATGTTCTGCCGTCTGGTATGTCCCACCAACTACGAGTTCCTTGCCACATGGCTTTGCAGCTTGGTTATGAAACTTCATTCTGTTAAACGCGTGCCAGAAACGTGCCTGATAATGTAAAACAGAAGCAGATTCTATGGACCCACAACACCGCATGCTCATGGAAGTTTGTTACGAAGCAGCGGAGTCTGCAGGCGTCACGTTGTCCGACCTCTCAGGATCCGATACGGCTGTTTTCATTGGACTGATGTCCTACGACTACGCTGGAATTGCCAGTCGTGATCCCAATTTCATTCCCACCTATCTATCTTCAGGTACCGCAAATAGTAATGCAGCAGCTCGCATATCCTAGTAAGTTCAGACTCGGCCCTTGCTCATAATCTGACTTCGGGCAACGTCTGATTGTGGATGCACACTTGTTATGAGTACTTTGATGTGCGTAACTAACAGCTTGACCCTAGTCATTTCGATTGCCATGGACCGTCGTATGTCCACTTCTCTTGAGAACTCTACCTCTGCTGACTTTGTAGAATGACTATTGATACGGCATGTTCATCGAGTCTTGTGGCGATACATCAAGCTGTCCAGGTCCTCAGGGATGGGGCTTCCAGGATTGCCATAGTGGGGGGCACTAATTTGATCTTAGACTCAGGGAATTTCATCGCGGGCAGTAAAATGAACATGTACATTCTCCTTTTCTTCACTTGTGACTGTCACAGGCAGACTGCATTCCTGTCATTTCTATCGACCTGTATTTCTGACGCATTGCTAGGCTCTCCCCAACTGGACACTCCCGAATGTGGGATGCTGATGCTGACGGCTACGCGCGTGGAGAAGGAGTTGGCGCGGTCATCCTCAAAAGATTGAGCGCCGCACTAGAAGATGGTGACGATATTGAGTGTATCGTGCGTGAAACTGGAATCAATCAGGACGGCAAGACGACTGGTATCACAATGCCAAGCGCTTCTGCTCAAGCAGACTTGATTCGATCGACTTATGCGAAGGCCGGACTTGACCTGACAGAGAAGAGCAGCCGATGCCAATACTTCGAGGCACATGGGACAGGGACGCCAGTAAGTTGTAGTGAGTAAGTCAGCAGACTTGATTCGATACTGATACGCAAATTCTAGGCCGGTGATCCACAAGAGGCAGAAGCTTTGCGTGAGGCCTTTTTCGGATACGGCACTACAGATCCAGATGAAGTTCTCTATGTGGGCTCAGTCAAGACTATAATCGGCCACACAGAAGGAACTGCAGGAATTGCAGGTGTTCTCAAGGCTTCCGTTGCTCTTAAGAATGCTGTGATCCCGCCAAATTTGCTTTTAAATCGCCTGAATCCCAATGTGGCCCCTTTTTACACCAACATGCAGATCCTACAAGAACCTCAAGCTTGGCCACAAATTCCTGTCAATACACATCGACGAGCAAGCGTCAACAGTTTTGGTAGTTACTGTTCTATAAATGTCGTTGTGTATCAAAATGCTAACCGACTGTCAGGCTTTGGAGGTACAAATGCACATGCCATTCTTGAAAGCTACGATCCGACTCCTCCATCGGTGGTAGATGTCCCACCGTGTATACCTTTTGTTTTTTCTGCGGCATCCAACAAGTCTCTCGAAAGCATACTTAATGCGTATCTTTCGCACATTAAAGAGTCGCCATCCATCGACCTTCGTCGCTTAGCGTATACCCTGGTTTGTGATGCCTTGATTTCTTTCTCCTTCCGACCGTACCTACAATCTTGTCAGTGAGTCACCATGCTAACAATGGTTCTACGAATAGAGTTGTCGTAGATCCGCTCTTGCCGTCAAAGCAACTTTCTCGGCCTCGACTGCATCGGAGCTATGTAGTTCGCTTGAAGCCCGCCTCGAGCCAAACTCAAGTGGATCCAAACTGGCCGGGATACGATCGACCCAGAACGCTGGAATTCTTGGGGTATTCACTGGTCAAGGGGCACAGTGGGCTCTTATGGGGTTTTCATTGATCAAAGCATACTCCCTAGCTCAGAAAACGATTGAAGGCTTGGAGCAATCGCTGGCTTCTCTCCCTGCTGCACATCGTCCAGGCTGGAGAATTCTTGAAGAGCTTTCAGTGGACGAAGAGAAAACGCAGTTGGGAGAAGCTGTATTCTCCCAGACCCTCTGTACTGCTGTGCAGATTGTTTTGGTAGACCTTCTCCGCAGCGCCGGGGTTACCTTCAAGGCTGTGGTTGGCCATTCCGTAAGTCCTCACACAATTAGCGAGCAGTAATTGTCTACTAACTGGAGCAGAGCGGTGAGATCGCTGCTGCGTACGCGTCCGAGTTCATAAGTGCTCATGATGCTATACGCATTGCATACTATCGTGGATATTATGCCAAGCTAGCCTCAGGACCCGAAGGTCTCGCAGGTTCTATGATAGCAGTTGGCACGACTTTCGAGGACGGAAAAGCAATGTGTGAACTCGAAGATTTTGAGGGCCGAATCACTGTGGCGGCCAACAACTCACCAGACAGCATTACCATTTCAGGCGACAGCGATGCGATTGCTGAGGTTATTGTCGTCTTCGAGGAAGAAGGTAAATCTGTCAGACAGCTCAAAGTGAACACAGCTTATCACTCTCACCATATGATTCTGTGCTCGGATGCCTACGTGGAGGCAACCCAAAAGTGCGACATTCAGATTCTTGTTCCCAGGGATGACGCACCAATTTGGTATTCCAGCGTGGATGAAGGAGTAAGAGTTGAAGGAAATGAGTCTCTGAAGGCAACCTACTGGGCAGAAAATATGGTCAAGCCAGTTCTGTTTGCTCAGGCTATTGAATGTGCCATGGAAGAATGCGGGAGATTCGATACGGCCGTCGAAGTTGGGCCACATCCTGCCTTGAAGCGACCAGTCGCGCAAATAAATCAACAGCTGAGGGTGGACATGGTACCTTACTCCGGAATATTACATCGTGGGAAAGACGACTTAAAGTCTTTCCTGGACTGTATTGGCTTCATATGGTCCCATTGCGGTGGGGCTGCAGTTGATCTCGGCTCATTCCAGAGAACTCACTACAGCGACCAGAGTTATTCAGTTGTCTTGAAAGACCTTCCAACATACGCGTGGAGTCACGACAGAGATTATTGGACGGAGTGTCGTGGCGGCCAAGTATACCGCACGCACGAGACTGCCATTCATGAGTTTCTTGGAAGACGAACCCCAGATGGTATGCAAAATCAGTGGCGTTGGGAAAATGTTCTTAGTGTAAGAGAACTGCCTTGGCTTACCGGGCATGCGCTACAAGGGGTGAGATAACACATCGTTCTATGCCATGTCGTATGCTAATCTGAACTCTTCCAGCAAACGGTGCTGCCAGCTACTGGCTACATAGCCTTGGCAATGGAAGCTGCAAATCAGCTGGCGAGCGGACGACCAGTTCGACTCATCGAATTGACCAATCTGATTATCAGCAAGGCCATTGCGATCGACGATGACATAGGAACTGAGGTCGCGGTGACGATGTCAGACATCACAGATTTGAAAGATTCCTCCATCACGGCGAATTACACTTGCTACTCTTCAGTGAGTAGAAGTTCGGGTACCATGGCAGTGAGCGCCACTGCAGCAGTTGAGGTATTCTTAGGCGACATCACCACGGATGGCCTTCCGGAACCAAACAAGCCGGACCTGACCATGGCTGAGATTGATGTTGACACTTTCCATGAGGCCTTGAACGAGTTAGGGTATGGATACTCGGGCGACTTCAGAGCCATGTCGGACTTGAAGCGGCGACTTGGGATGGCCACTGGCGTGATTTTACCTCCTGCTGAAGACCATGCAGTGTCCAAGTTGCCATTTTACCCATCCATGCTTGATACTGCTCTGCAAGGCATGTTCGCGGCATTCAGCGCTCCAAATGATGGCAGACTTTGGACTTTGCACGCACCAACAGGGATGCAGAGGGTTTCGTTGATTCCAGCACTTTGTTCTGAGAATATGCCCAAACCTGTCTCGTTCATCTGCACTGTATCGGCCTCAACTCCGAACAACATTACAGGGGATATCAGTGTTTATGCGACAGATGGAAACCAAACCTTCATTGAAATCGAAGGTCTTGTCTGTCGCCCTTTTTCACAAGCAACAGAAGCTGATGATCGCCATCTGTTTTCCGATACTGTCTGGAATGTTGCTTCCCCTAACGGCGATATTCTGCTTGGGAATAATCGTGCGTCTGCGGGCCAGCTGAAAAAGGCATATGATTGCGAACGTGTAGCACTCTACTACATGCGATTCTTGAACGAATCAATCTCGGTATGTACATTTCGTTCTTATGTTTGTATCATCGGGAAAGCGATCATCCCGATTAATGTTTTTGGCATGGGTTTTGTCGGTCCACAAAGGCATTTGCTAACTTCGCATCTGCTAGGAGGCCGAGCGTGCTTCAATTGGCCTTCCACAACACCACGAGGCGCTTTTCGAAAGTATCACTCGAGTCATAGAGCTCGTCTCCACTGGAAAGCACGCTTATGCCTCGAAGGAATGGTTGTCTGATAGCCATGAGCAAATACTCTCCATCATGGAGCCGTAAGTTCGAGATGGTCGAAACTACTATTTCATACTAACAGATGTATAGCTATGGCTCAGACGCTGATTTCAATATCATGCGCGCCGTTGGTGAAAACCTCCCAGCTGTGGTTCGTGGCGAAACGACCATTCTGGAGCACATGACCAAAGACAATAGACTTGATGAATATTATATCGATGCTCTTGGATTCGATCACGCTTACGATGTTGCTACAGGAATGGTTGCACAGTTCGTCCACCGATACCCCCATATGGACATCATTGAAATTGGAGGAGGGACTGGTGGAGCAACCGCACCTATTCTGTCTGAAATTGGCACTGCTTTCTCATCATATACCTTCACTGACATTGGAGTTGGATTTCTCATGAAGGCCCAGGACATGTTCAAGGACAAGGATTATGCAAGCAAGATGATCTTCAAGCCCTTGGACATCGAGAAAGATGTAACCTCGCAAGGGTTCGTTGCTCATTCATACGATATTGTTCTGGCAGCAAATGTACTGCATGCGACACATAAGCTGGATGAGACATTAAAGAACGCCAGAAAGCTTCTGAAGCCAGGTGGATATCTTGTTATGCTCGAGATTGTGGACAACCGGCCATTGCGCGTTGGCCTGGTCTTTGGAGGTCTTCCTGGCTGGTGGGTCGGGAGAGACGACGGGAGGCGATATGCACCCACAATTGAGTAAGAACCCCTCCCTGAGTTCCAATTAATACAGGGTTTCGAGCATGGCTACCGACCCCTCTCAAAGTTGGATATTGGAGAAAGTTTTCGAATTTTCAGTTCACTAAAGATATAATCCCCCATGAATGATCGGTGCTAACACTTCCGGGTTTAGGCTGACACAATGGAACAAAATCCTCAAAAGAAACGGCTTTTCAGGTATCGACACATTCACACCGCTCGATGATCCGCTTGTGTACTTGGCATCTGTTTTTGTTTCGCAAGCTGTGGATGAGACTGTGCTGGCTATCCGGCGTCCGCTTTCGTCTCGCCTAGATCGGATTCCTGTTGCAAACCTTCTAATCATAGGAGGCGATTCTATGGAGAGCTCAAGATTGATCGAAGATGCAGATCCGCTTCTACGTGCAAGATCTGGCAATGTGATTACAGCAACCACTCTCGAAGACCTTCAAGGAATTGAAATACCTTCCATGTGCACAGTGTTGAGCTTGATCGAGATCGATGGTCCGATGTTCAAGACTATGACGGAGCAACACTGGCAGATTCTCAAAAATATCTTCACGGCCGCAAGAAACGTCTTGTGGTTGACTCGTGGCTATCGATGCCAGGATCCATACGCTGCCATGACGGTAGGCTTCATGAGATGCATCACCTACGAGCTTCCTCAGTTGCGAACGCAACTCTTTGATATTGACCAATCGAAACTCGTAAATGGGCCGCTTTTAGCTGAGATGCTTCTGCGTTTACACATCGCGGAAGAGCTGGAGTCAGCCGACCAGAAGGAAAGCCTCGTCTGGACGGCGGAGACTGAAGTTGTGGTCGAGAACGAATTGCTGATCATTCCCCGCATGAAGCCCCAAGCTGAACAGAACAAACGGTACAATTCAGCGAGGCGACCCATCACAAAGTCGTCAGACCTGGGCTCTTGTCCCATTAGCCTGGACTGGTTTCAGGATAGCTACGCTCTTCGAGAAAGTCCAAACACCTTGCGACGCCACGATAATGCACACACTCTGGTCGAAGTCCAGTCGTCACTCCTTTGCGCAATCCGAACTCCAGCAGGACGGCTGTTCTTCAGCATTGGGTTGGAGAAGGAGAGCGGTGCCAATGTTCTGTCGGCTTCTTCAACAAACGCATCGGTCATTTCTGTTCCGAAGGATTGGTCAATCGCAGTCAACATATTGCCTGGTTCGGAAGCACAATTCTTGACTTTGGCTCTGGATCACATTTTCGACGATCTCATCTGTGCAGCGATGCCGCCAGGTGGCATTCTCCTCGTACATGAGCCAACAGAGGCACTTGCCCGCATCCTATCAACGGGAAAGACATATCGTGCTGTTTTCACTACCTGCACAAAACGTGAGCAGCCGGATTGGTACTACATTCATCCGCAGAGCTCATCACGCGCGATCAAATCCCTTCTTCCGGATAGCATCTCGCTCTTCGTTGACCTGTCTTCGAATGCTTCGGACAAAGGTATTGCAGCAAAGATCTCGGCAACTTTGCCACAGCTCTGCCAGCGAGCTGATAGCTCAATCGTCTTGTCGAGGGAATCTTTCACCCCCCTTTCAAGCTCAGTTGATGTTTCAGACATAATACGCAAGGCGTCTTCGAATGCCCTGTCATTTCTGGCCAAAGTCGACGCATCAAGCGCTGTATCTCTCCCTGAAATTTCTGCTACCGAAGCTTCTCAGCCAGGTAATATTGACTCATTTTCAGTCATCAATTGGCGTTTGGATAAAACGGTCACTACTTTGATGGAGCCTGTTGATGCCAGGAAGCAACTCTTCAAGAGCGACAAGACATACTGGCTGGTTGGTCTGGCTGGCGATCTCGGTCAGTCTCTGTGCGACTGGATGGCGGACCACGGAGCTCGCTATATCGTTCTGATGAGTCGAACTCGGCGAGTGGAGGAGCCCTGGATCAAAAAGCACGAGGCCAATGGTGTAACTGTCACTTTCATGGCTGGGTGAGATTTCCTGTTTCTACAACAGTCATCATTCTGAACTAACCTTCTCTAGGGATGTCACAAGCCGGGATGATGTACGAGGCGTGTACAGCCAGATATCGTCAAGATTTCCACCTGTTGCCGGCGTGGCGAACGGTGCCCTAGTGCTTCAGGACCAAGCGTTCGAGGGAATGGATCTAAAAACATTCCAAATGGTGGTCAAGCCAAAGATTGATGGAACAGTCTTCTTAAGCGAGCTTTTCGAGGAGAACACACTTGACTTTTTCGTCGCATTCTCGTCTGTTGTTGCTACACTGGGAAATAGTGGCCAAAGCGCATACTCGGCAGCGAACAGCTTCTGTAAAGCCTTGATCAATCAAAGGAGAGAACGTGGCCTTGCTGGGTCGGTCATAGATCGTGAGTGCTTAACGTTCTCGGCTAGTAATATGGATCGTACTGACAAGTTTCTCAGTCTCTCGAATCGCTGGCGTTGGCTACGTGGATCGCGAAGTGAAGTCTTTGAAGATGTCCGAGAAGCAGCTGAAGAGATTGATGAATGTGAGCATGCCAATGTCGGAACCAGATCTCCACCAAGTTTTCGCCGAAGCTATCGTTTCTGGGAGGCCTGACTCTGGGCTCAAATCGGAGCTCATTTCGGGCATCCGAACCCTCACAATTGAAGAGGACAGCAGAGTTTACTGGGCTGCTCAGGTCAAATTCTCTCACTTTGTTCGTATCCAGGAACAGGCGGGCGACGAGAAGGGCAGCAAAATCGCTAGAATTCCTGTCAGAAAGCTCCTGCAGGCCGCAAAGTCTCCTGAGCACGTTGTGACAATACTTCGAAGTAAGTGGTGCCAACACCAGACTTCTTCTTGATACTGCTAACAGATTTGTACAGACGCTTTCATTGCGAAGTTGAATGCAAGTCTGAACCTCTCGAGTGACGAGTCAATTGATGGTAATACGCCACTCATTGACCTTGGCTTGGACTCCCTAGTCGCTGTCGATGTCCGTACATGGTTTCTGCAGGAACTGAAGGTCGACCTGCCTGTCCTGAAGATTCTGGGAGGAGCCTCAGCTGTGGATTTGATTGGGTTCGCAGCCGAAAAGCTGCCCAAAGAATTCCTGCCTCAACTTGGCGAGGGGGTGAAATTCGATACCAAGTCTAGTCTAGAGGAGGCCCCAGTGCCAATCAAGGCTATCACCCAAGCTGTTCACGACGAGCCACTAACTACCCAGTGGACTGTGCAAGCTCCAAGCGAGGTGGAAGCAGCGTCAGCGAAGCCTTCTCCTTCATCGACGACCTCGACATCCGATTACAAATCCTCACCCCGTCTTTCTTCAGCTTCAACGGCGGACAACGATGCGCCAACTGAACCGTCTGAATCTGATGTCGGACTTCATGATATCAAGCAAGTAGAAATTCAGGTGGAGGTTGATGAAGTTGAGGCTGAGGTACAGTAAGTCGTCAATATCATCAATGGAATTGGACTTGCTACAATGTACCTTAGAATAGCTCATTCTGTAAATATTGATGCTAATGTATCTCTCAGCGTCGAAGATTCTGACATTTTACGTGACGAGCCCATGTCATATGAGCAATCTAGCTTCTGGTTTCTGGGTAAGTACCTTGAGGATCGCACAGCATTCAACATCACTTTCTGGGTCGAAGTGAAAGGCAGCATCGATGCTTCGCGCCTTGAAAGAGCGGTGGACCTTGTCGCTCAAGGCCACGAAGCGCTCCGAACAGTATTCACTACCAATGGAACTGGTCCATGTCAAAGGATCATGAAGACGTCGAATTTTCGATTGACTCAACAGCCTGTTCAGAGCAAAGAGGAGTTCTTAGAGGTGTTCACTTCGCTAAAGAGCCATGTCTATGACATCGAGAGCGGAGACACTATCAAGCTTGTTCTATGTGAACAATCTGACAAAATGTTCTATTTCGCTCTCGGATTCCACCATATCCTCATGGACGGCACTAGTACCAACGTCCTCTTTGCGAACCTTCAGCAAGCATATAATGATGGTGCATTTCCTACTCCTCCACTCCAGTATCCAGCCTGGGCAGCAAAACAGCGAGCTTATGTCGAGAGCTCGGATTCCGCAGCAGATCGAGCTTACTGGAATCGAGAACTTGCAACGATTCCTCCAGATCTTCCTCTGTTTCCCATGTCCTCGCAGAGCTCACGAAAAACACTTAGGCAATACCACATGCTTAGAGCTAGTGCAAACCTTGGTGCTGGTATGACTGCTCGTGTCAAGGAGAGGTGTCGAAATTTGAAGATCTCGCCTGCATACTTCCACTTGGCTGTTTGGAAGACGTTACTTTTCAGATTTTTGAACACGGATCATATCTGCCTCGGCATCAACGACATGAACCGAACAGATACTAAAGATGCCGGTAAGTAAATCTTCTTACTGCCATTCCCATCGGCAGTTTTACACACTCCTTCGCTCTCTTGGTTCCAAGTGCAGTTGCTAATATACGATTGATAGGAGTCATTGGCAACCTCATGAACATTCTACCAGTTCAATTCAAATATGACCCCGCCCAAAACTTTCTTCACGCTGTCAAAGAAGCCCGTACAAAAGTTACAACAGCTCTCGCGCATGCAAAGGTTCCATTCGATGTCATCCTCGGCGAACTAAACATCCCTCGAGATCCAACCCGCAGCCCAGTTTTCCAATCCAGTTTCGACTACCGCGAAACCTTCAAGAAGTCATTTCTTGATCACGAAACGTACTCTCCTCCAGAAGGCCTCAACAGAAACAGTAATGGATACGATATCAGTCTCGGGGCTCTTGAGTCCTTGGAGGGAGAGTCAACGATTTACATTGGTGCTCAGAGTTCTTTGTATTCCATGGAAGATGCAGAGATTATGCTCAAGACATATGTCCATCTCTTGGAGACATTCACTGAACGACCCGCGACTCGTGTTGATCGACCTTCACTGTTTGCCAAGGCTGATATTGAGCGAGGGCTGGCACTTGGAATAAGTGAGTGGCTTCGATACTCTGCCCAGGTCACTTGAATACTAACATACTCTTAGGTCCTCCCATAATTTCGACCTGGCCAGAGACTCTCGTTCATAGGGTCGAAGAAATGATATCAACTCGTGGTACAGCCATTGCTCTCAAGGATGGCTACGGTAAGACTCTCACATATGCTCAGATGGGACATCGGATCCAGACTATTACTGCTTCTCTGCTTTCCATTGAAACTCTGGAAGACTCCCCACGCATCGGTATATTCCAACAGCCTTCTGTCGACTGGATATGTTCCATGCTTGCTATCCTACGTGTCGGCGCCGTTTGTCTTCCCCTCGAAAGCCGGAACGGCCTTCCTCGACTAGCAACAATTGTTAAGGTCAGTGATCCTGTTGCGGTACTGATTGACTCCACGACAAATGAGGATACGAAACATCTCGGGCTCGAAAATTCTGTCATCATCAACGTCTCTCACCTTGAGGAACCAACAACAACCGATATACCCATCTCTGCGAAACCTGAGAAGCCAGCCTTAATCCTCTTCACGAGCGGGACTACAGGCATCCCAAAAGGCATCGTGCTCAAGCACTCCGGCGCTGTAAATGTGATTGAGTCCCTAGTCCAGAAGTACGAACTTGACCAAGAAGTCGTGATTCAGCACACAGCATATAGTTTCGACATGTCCATCGACGAGATATTCATCGGTCTCGGTAGCGGCGGCTCTCTATACATCGTTGACACTGACCGTCGTGGAGATTCGCAAGCACTTATGGAAATCATCGCTACTGAAGGAATCACGTATACACGCACCACGCCTTCTGGTTACCTTTCTTGGATCCGCCACGGTGCTGATTTGCTAGTGGGAAATCGAAGTTGGAAACATGCATTTGCTGGTGGTGACAAGATGTCGGACTCCCTTCGACAGGCATTCCGATCTCTAGAGTTGCCGAACTTGAAGCTCTACCAAGTACGCATACCCAGCCTCGCCCCTCACAACATTTGAACATGACAAAATGCTAACGATATTCAGTCCTACGGCCCCTCCGAAGTAAGCGTAACAGCAATCAAAGGCCTCGTCCCCTACCACCTCCCCACCTCCACAGACGAGAACATCCCCCTCGGGCAACCCCTCCACGGCTACTCTATCATGATTCTCTCTCCAGACCTCACACCCGTTCCCCCCGGCGTCCCCGGCGAGATCTTCATCGGCGGCGCCGGCGTCTCCCTAGGCTACCTAAACGACTCCCCTCTCACCACCCAGAAATTCCTCCCCAACCCTTACGCACCACCCGAATACGCCGCCCGCGGATGGACACGCATGTATCGCAGCGGCGACAGAGCGACCATGACCCCCAGCGGGGATCTCCTCTTCCACGGCCGCATGGAGGGAGATCTACAGGTGAAGCTGAGCGGAGTACGTGTCGAGCTGCAGGAGATAGAGAGCTGTATACTACAGACATCGCAAGGTGTGTTGGTCGATGTAGTATGCACTGTTCGAGGTGAAGATCCAGATTTCAAATTCGTCGTTGCGCATGCGGTATTTTCGCCTACTTTTTCAAAAGATACGGAGGGTCGGAAATCATTCATCGATTCCCTACTGAGGAAACTTCCTCTGCCGTCATACATGGTTCCTGCGACTATAATCCCAATCGACAATATGCCTTTGAACGTGCACATGAAACGCGATAGGGTTGCTATTGCTGCTATGCCCATCTCACAGCCCTCAAGCATCGACAGGGAGGAAGCAAAGGGCCACGGCCTCTCACCTTTCGAATCTCAAGTCCGAGACCTCTGGACAGCCGTCCTGCCCGAAGAGATGGCCGCCAGTGTTTCGACCCGTGACGCGGACTTTTTCCGCTGTGGAGGTAGCTCGCTGGCAATGATTGAGTTGCAGAGTGCGATTCGCAGGAACTTTGGTGTGGGGCTGAGCTTGCAGGATTTGTTTGAGGCGAGTACGTTGGGAGATATGGCGGGGAGGGTCCTACCACTCGTGGATAATTGAGTTCTCGTCAGATGTTAGACCGAAATACACGTATGATTATTAGCCTTGGCTTATTTCAAATATTAATCGGCTGCATTCGTTGGTTGATCTCGGGTGAGGAAATTCGATCAGAATTAGACGATACTATTCCACCACGTGAAGTCTGCAACTGTTGCTTCTGAGTGGCACTTGCGTCAATCCTTTGATAATGTGGGTTTCTATGGTTCTGGTACCGTCTAATGGTCGAAAACACGCATGACCCAATGTCAGTCTATACGTCCAAATCAAGCCAATACAACCGATTTTGAATCGCCAATGCTTGGGCAAAGGTGTTATTAGCTTTGCTGTCAGGCAGGTGATGGTTACTATCTTTAAACAGTTTGAGGCTTGATACAGGAAACGTTCTTCCGCCGATTTGGCCTTGTCGCATGTTTACCATTCGCTAAGCGAAGCAAGAATCAACAGGCTGCATACATATCCTCAACCTCATTACAATACTTTGATCCTCTTCTCAGAGTGGATACATGAGCTGTATGTGTCTGCGGATCATCATCGCCTCAGTATACTTCCTTAAACAAATGTGATCGCTTCCCTACGACAACCGGTGATTGGTACAATGGAAATCAAATCCCGTTGAAGTCGAGGGCGTAACAAATAAAGTACATCCTTTCCTCGTTAGTCTTTCTCTGCTACTGTCCGGCCATCTAATCAAGGGAACTTCTTCATCCCAATCTAAAAGAGCGCCTTTCCATGTCGACCAAATGTCTCGACAAATTTATTCTAGGACCCGTGTTCAACGACGAATGAGCTAGATCCAAATATCCAACACGCTCAAAATGACTACCTATATCTTCGACAATCATGAAAAACGGACCAAAAGGCGGAGATTGCTCATAATACAGGGAGCCCCCTGCGATGGGATCCTGTGTATTGCCGATGATGAGGATAGTCCATATGTCAAGCTTGCGCCTTCCCCATTCCCGATTCGAGTATTGCTTGTGCATAACAACATTATGAAGCTTTTCACTACTGCCCCAGATTCTTAGCGACCAGTGAGACCGTAATGACGCTTTCGTGTCAAGAGCTTTATCGAAACCAGCAAAGTGTCGCGGTGCAAAAAGTGAGCATCTGAGTGACCAGCATTCAATGTGAAGGAATTGTGACGGGACTGAACTATTTTTGGAAAGAGATATTTGACGTTTTCCCTGGAAGGTCGCCCAGTCTAACACTTGCCCATCTTCGGTTTCAACGGCAATCTTGATTTCGTACGGCATCTTGAAGCCATAGCGATAGAAATTACTTTTTGGCGATATGGGCATTCTCCAACCGGCCCACGACCAGCTCGGGAATCCCGGGCGCCGCTCCAGAAATTGGGTTGTCGGGAAAAACCCTACCCAGCATAGCCCCGTTGCGAAGCCTTCCATAGAAGACCATTCTGGAGAGGACCAGAGAACTGGCACGCCCCAGATGTGTGACACCGTGCATCCAGGGGCAGCGACTTGCCTGAGAACACCGAGAAAGGCGCTCAGAGTGTCGGACTCGTATGTCAAAGATCGGGTGGTGTACTCCGCAATGCGGTGCTGAATCAACCAAGGAGACTCCTCTATCTGGCCTAGAAAATCAGATGGGAAGAGCCGATGTCGTACATGCACACGGACGCCGATGTGATCGTACAATGCTTTGGGCTCGAGAGATTCATCTGGAAACGTAGACATGCTATCTTCGGGCTCAGTGAGCGTCTCCATAAACGTGCTTTTCTCACATTCAAAGTACACTTGCTTCTCGGTGAATATCAGTCTTCTCTTGGAAAGCAGTGCCTCCTGGTACGTCCAGCCTCGGCCCATCCACGTTGAGTTCCTCACATCCACAACCGGACTTGAAAGGCCAGATATTAGATGATAGTCACCAACGGTAACATTGGGCTGAGTAACTCTGCATCGGCTAATACCTGGAAGACCAGAGCTGGAGTCCTGTCCGCATGCTGCAATTATGGTCAATGTGGCGCGGTTGTATATCAGATCCATACTGGCTATCTGCAGGTGCTTGGCTTGCTCGTCCAGCTGTGGTATGCAATATCGATCGACCCAAAGGTACTGAAACCCGATCTCCGCTGTGACGGTTAAAGCGTCTTGTATTGTCTGTGGAAAGACGCACTTATTTTGGACGACATCTTGGTTTCTCTGATCGTCAACGTTTGCTCCCCAAACATAGCTCAGCGCTACGAATCTCGCTCCAGGAGTGTATGGCTCAAGTTTTCCGGTCTTGCAATTGAGTAGTTGCAAGCCGTGAAGGTTTGAAGCAGTAGGAGTGCAACAGGAGCTTCCGTGATGAGTAGCACAAATCCGGAGCCAAGCTTTGATAATTGAAAAGTCTACCCGGTGAGCATCAATGACCCGCGCAGATATATTACTGCCTGTGGTCTGACAACCCTTGATGAAGATTGGCCCGACGACATCAAGGTTATCTAGAGTAGTGCTGTCTACATCGAAGCTGCGTTCAGGTTGGGGATGCGAAAGAAGAAGAATAGGCCGGTGATATTGTCCACCACGGATTTGATCAGATCCTGCATATTTGGACAAATGTAGGCTAGAGAGTAAGACAAGGCATGAAGATGCACCTCGCAAATACGATTTGTGCAACTCCCAGATGTCAGCAAAGAATCGACACAAGCGGCACGTCCGCTGAAACCATGTTCTGTTGATGGTACCGAGAGTCTGCAGGGAGAAAGCTCTTGCGTCCTTGCCCGCTCTGCCATCACCTCGGGCAATCGCTTCGAGATTCAGCTGAGAGCAAGACTCGCACAAATCTGCGCTCGGTGACACACTTTCATTTTGCATGAGATACACCTGCTCGGGCGGAATCCAGATCTCTCCTTGTTGGTGCGCGAGAGTTCTCGGGACGTAACTAGTGTCGCCGCTATTCCAAGATTTTGAGCCAACATATGTCAAGGTTGAATCGTCTGAATCTTCGGAAGATTCTTGTCCATCGCAATCAGTGACGAGCTCTCGTTTACCGGAATCATGTGGAGACTTCTGTAGCGTCGTTTCAGTGCGAAGGGGCGGAGGATGGTATTCGTTCCCACTTATATACTCGACATGATCAGAGGTCACTGAACGAGACGGTAGCTCTTTATGAAACCGAAGTTTTTGTAATGATTTTTTGATGGATGCTTTAGTTGGCCGGCGGGACAGCGGCATCGTTTTGAAGGTTGGCCGCAACTTGACATTCCTTCCACTTGTAGCACTTGACGTAGCAGAAGGAAAAGAAATGTAAGATAAATTTCAGCGAGGTAGTGGATAGATAAGGAGCGAGCAATCATAGGCATTAAGTGGTCACACAAGGCAACGTGAACGAATGCAGCAGTCGGGGCGCAGCATGTGGCTTGCAGATACCTCACCGACACGCAGTGACCTCATTCGTTGCCCACTGAAGTGCTAATTTTCATTGCCCAATTGGAATATCCCTTTCCATTTCTTCGAAATGCCATATATTTTATTGTTCTACCCACCATGAGTCTGTTCCATGATTGATGTTTATCTCTTTACTGTTGGCCTGAGATAGTTCCTTTCTGCCTCACCATTGATTCTATTGCGATTCGCTTATAAGCATGATTTTGCACACAAATGCCGTGATATAGGACACAAATTCCTTCGTAATGCTGTTAATTTCAAAGCATTGATTGAAATGCGGCGCCGCCGGGCCAGGAGTTGAAACATGTTTTGACTGCTACTTTTTTGGGCCTCGAACTAGTCATTGCTCGCTTCTAACTGCAAATGGTAGGAACCTGCTATCTCTATGTACACACCAGTCTGTGCTGAGATATTACCCAGCCAGGCAGCAGTGTATGATAGGAGGGCATTTTGAATTACTATCATCCCCATGTTTGTACGCCGTCTCGCATGGTGTGTAAATCCTCGCTTATGCGAATAATCCCCACAGAAATCAAAACAAATCCCCCTCCGCCACCTCCAGCACATCCCATCCCCATCTCGTTTCAATGGTATCAATCGAATCAATCAAATCACTTTTAAGCCGGCATATCCCCCACACCCCCCTTCCCAGCAACAACCTTCGCCCTCAACGCGCCCCTAATCTCCTCCCTGGTCCTCCCCCTCCACTCCCCCAACCCCCTATCACTCAACGGCCAAAGCGGCCTATTCAACTCCCTCGTATCCTCTAGGTGCTCCTCAAACCTCGGCGCAGGCGTACTCATCAACGTATCCAACTCTCTGCCCAGCTCAGCACAATACGCATCCAGGGGTAAATCATTGACGTCGTTGCCGAAAGGGTTTTCCAGCTCGTCGCCGATGGTCGCGATTCCTAGGATGATGTACGCGGCGGCGATGGTGCCCGGAATGGTGATCCAGCCGAGGGCGCCGTAGAGTTGGAAGGGGAGGAGGTAGACGTAGAGGAGGACGACTTGGGAGATGAGGATGTTGTAGCCGATTGGGAGGGGGGTGGTGAGGACTCGTTCGGCGTTGCCGGCTGTGTCTGTCATGCCTGCTAGGGCGTTCACTGGGGATGGGTTGTCAGCAGGAGTCAATCTCAAATAGACTTTGATAAAACATTTGGGTACAGGAGAATAGACTTGAAAATATGGAAAACGAAGTGACTTACTAACTTGTCCCCCCAAAACAGTTGACTTCATCTGCCCATTATTCTGCACCGTCTCCACATACGCACTCAAATACGCCATAATCTCCATCGGCAGATTCCCCAACGGCCTATCCGACCTCTTCATCTCCTTCCTCGGGTTCGACAGCGCAAACGGCAATCCCAAATGTTCACCCACCGACTTCCACGCAGATTTATGCTTATGTGCTAGATGCTCCTCTTTGTGTGCTGCCTGGGCGTAGGTGTCGAGGTGGGAGACTAGACCGGCAATGTCGGGGTAGTGGGCGTAGGGTTCGAAGCGGAGTCGGTGCTTGAGGGATACGGCGTAGGCGAGGATGAGGTTCATGGCTGTTACTTTTTGCAGGAGGTCCGAGGTGCCTTGGTTGCCTTCGCGTTCGGCGACGTGGACCCAGATGTAGCGGGCGAGGTTGCGGCATTGGATCATGAGTGTGCACCAGGTTTTTCTGCCTTCAGAGTATCTGTAGTAGAATAAGCAAGGGTACTTTGGACTGGGAGAAGAGGGGAGACGTACCGTTCATAAGCTGTGGAGCTTCTGAAAGAGAGGGAAAGACCAACGACGAAACCGAGGACTGTGAGCAGGATATTCGCAACGCGAACTAAAGCCATTAGATGATTCCAGACAAATCGGGTAGGGATAACGTACGATCATGGACAAACTTTGAGATGCAGGTAATACACGTAGCCCAAGCTCCAGCACCTAGAACAGGGAGTATCATTCGGGGTAGCACACTACCATGCATACGCATAAAATATGGGAGCTTGCTATGCTTATCCAAGTCACGAGGGCCGACCTATCAATCTTTTATCAGTTTTGCTCAAAACTCAATTCAAGGTGAGTACGTACAAAGTAATCATCCAGATCCAAACTATCTTCAGAGATTCGACGTGGTGCACCAGCTAGATCGCTGATATTCGCATCGAAAGTGGACTTGGTGATCTTGGGCTTGCTCTCCGACTTCTCGTGGGTTCCGTTTGTTTGGTCATTGGTGTGAGTTGCTCCTCCTGCTTGGCCACCACCTCCTCCTCCTCCTGCTGCTGCTACTACGGCGGGAGCTCCACCTGCTGGAGCGGGGGCGTCGTCTGACATTTTGAGGGAGGCGGAAAGGTTGTATTCAGAATGACTGAGGGGTGAGAGATCGAATTAGATGTGTGTGATTGTCGTGGAAATAAACACAGAAGCCAAGCGAAGAAAACAGAAAGTAAAAACGAAGGTGAGGAAGAAAGATCTCGAGAGATCAAAAGTAAGAAAGAGAGAAAAGAAAGGTGAAAAGCTCACACACAAATACCTAATTATCCCATTTGCACCACGAGCAAGGGGGTTCTCTTAGCAATTACCAAGGGCCCCCCCAAGCGACGCGACTCAACCCCAGACTCTTCCCCTCCGTCCCTTCCCTTTCAGCTGCCAAGCGGGAGCGCTAAGGCTAAGAGAACAAAACGCAGGAATAAGGTTCATCCCGAAGTGGAAAGAAGGCACTTGGCGGCATCCAGTCCAGTCATTGCACACGACTCCCTGGCTGTGGCGCCAATTCATTGGGCTTGAAACAACGGGAAATTGCCAGATCAGATTATTCAGGGGGGGAAAGCGAAACGGCCAAGCTGGTGGTACAGAAGATTGTCGATGAGGGCGGGCCAGTCGTGGAGTGACACGGGGGAGGGAAGGTGCAGTAGGTGAGGTGAGATATGTGAAGGTGGGATTCGCTTGGATGCAAGTATGTCAGTGAGTGCCGATTGCTTGTATCAAGATTGGATGTGGTGCATGTTTTGTGTTGTGGTGGTACGCTCAGATGTGAGAGTTTTCGACCCCGAACGCCACAGGAGATGTGGTCGCGTGCCTGCGACTTGTAACCTGTTTCTCGGGAATTGGCAGGAGGCATGGCACGGACTTGGCCAATTATCGGGTGGGTTTTTGGTATGTGTTCGGCAAGGAAAGTACAGCAGAGTTCGATAGTTTAAGGATATTTGTTGAGCTTTTAATCGATTCCATGAAGTCGAGTTTATTTATTGCTGGAGCTTTCCCTAGCACAGCTACAATTTATACGGGAGACATTGTCTGGCGAAGAAAAGGACATGTGGAATAATTTAGTGGGACTCCAGCACAAGTGATTGATTGTTAACCTTTGTGGTACCCCCCATCCAAGGGGACAAGAATGAAAGATGGGACGAACAAGCTTCAGGTGCCTTTTTCCAAGCTGTCTTGAATTAATTGGCGAACTATTCCACACTCCACCAGTAACACCCACAGAAGCTATGACTATTGTGTCATTTCCTTGCAACAGCAATGCTCAACCGACATGCCTCAATTATCGCTGAATCGAAGTTCAATTGATAAACCTAGTAAGACTATACTTGATCCGGACATCGATTGCAGCGTCGTGATCCATAAACAAATCAATCGCAGACTTAAGAGCAGGTCCTGAGACCCTTGACATCAGGTGCGGAGTATACCGTATGCGAGGACAATTCATACAAAAAGCTTTTCAGAAGAGTAGCACATTTCAATAAGTGAATATGAATGTCGTTGAGAAAATAACCACTCATTTGGAAAGAAACTACAAATCATACTGCGTTCTTCTTCTCACAACAAGTGGGCACAGGGTGAACGATCTAACCTAGCCTAGGAGGTAGAATTGAAAACATCGCCAGCCCTCATTCCTAACACCCAAAACTCAAACATCGTATCTTGCATGAGATAATTGTATTTCAAGAAGAACAATAAGTATTCCCACAAGAATACCAACACGAAGAAACCCCCCTCCCCTCCCCTCCCCCCAGACAACAACCGTAATACAACGTCCTCCCCTCGTCCAGTCACGTGATCCATCTTCCCTACCAATCCAGCCTCGCCTCGCCTGGCCTCTCCCATCATCCCTGTCAATCAACCTCGCAAGCTTAGCAAGCTCCACCACCAATTTTCAGCCCCATCTACGAGTACCTATTCGGTACAGCCCACCTCATCCACCCCGCGTTTACAACAATCCAACCCACGCGAAAACAGCAACAGTAGTAAGATCTCCTAGGCTGCATACCTATCCGCACAGAAGAGTAGAGCAGAGCAGAGCAGCCAATGTGAGATGTCGGAACGGGGTCATCAACGCGGTGGACGTGGTGGTGGTGGTAGAGGTATGCTTCTTCTTCTCCCTCCCTTGCTCTCCCCCAAGACTACCCTCTCCCCCTCGTCCCTCTTTCCACTCGTCCCTCTTTCCCCTCCCATTCTTTACCCTCCCCCATCCATTCCTTTCCTCCCTCTCCTCCTCTCCCCCTTCCCCCCTTCCCCACAACACAGCACAAACCACACCCCAAAACCACAAACCAAACAAGCTTGCTAACCTCCTTCCCTCCTCCACAGGCGACCACAGAGGCGGACGCGGCGGCGGCGGTGGTGGAGGAGGAAGAGGCGCACATGCAGCAGGAGGAGGAGGAGGAGAGCGTGAGAGGCCGAAGAAGGAGAATATTCTGGATTTGGGGAAGTATATGGATAAGAAGATTACGGTGAAGTTTACGGGGGGGAGAGAAGGTTTGTGGATTTTTTTTCTTCCTTTTGCTTTGGGTGGTTTGATCTTTGGGGGATTGGGGGATTGGGGGATTGGGGGATTGGGGGATTGGAGGTATGGGGTGGGGGAAGGACTGAGGGGAGGGGTTGGGGGAGAGAGCAAAGAGAGAGGAGTGGTTCGAGTTTCAGAGTCTCAGGGTTTAGAGGTGCAAAGGGTCTGGAGAGGGTATGGAGAGGTTCAGCTGAAGACATGCTGCTGGAGAAGATACGCGGGAGATGCACAAGCAGAATCATGCACCAAGACACTTCACAAAACCCAGCTAACCCACCCACCCAACAGTCACAGGAACACTCAAAGGCTACGACGCCCTAATGAACCTAGTCCTCGACGACGTCGACGAAGTCCTACACGACGACGAAGGAAACACAAGTACGCGATCCCTGGGTCTGGTCGTAGCAAGGGGAACACTGCTTGTGCTTGTCAGTCCTGTGGATGGTAGTGAGGAGATTCCGAATCCGTTTGTGCAGGCTGAGGAATGATTGTCGCGGGTGGAAAGAATATCATGCGTGGGATCTGGGAGGAGATATCGCAAGGGAAATTGCATGGAGGCTGAGGAGTGGAATGCGGAGGGGTGGATATACCCTAGGTATTGATGGCTGGAGACCGTGGGATTTGAATCATGATTCCCAGATATCGCAAGCTTGCCGTGGAGATGAAAGACTTGCGAAGCAGACAGACACAATTGTGGCAGATACACAGCGGGTGAACAACAAAAATCCAATAAAAACATCTCGTCTCGCAGACTGTTGCGAGCCATATATCCACTCACTTCTTATCCTTTTTCTTCACTCTTACAATTGTCTTATCCTTGCATTCATCCTCCAAGCTCGCTTTGACGAGACTACAACTAACATCCAGTCATTCAGCCCGCTCTGTAGCGGTACAAGCTATACTTAGAAGATTTGGAGTTACCCAAGCTTGTTTCTTGTTACCGAGCCCGCCATCCATTCCTTACCTCGGGACTGAATTTTTTTTCTATGACCAAATCAACGCAACGGGCTTTGATCGCCTATGCAAACCAAGGAAACAGGATGTAGGCATTTGTAACTTGTCTCAAAATGGATGCAAGCCACGTGCTTCGCTGTGCTTGGATAAGATATATTTCAGATTTACTTCGAGAGCACGGGAGTAGAGTGTAACGATAAAGCCACTAGCGATTCCATGTAAGAGTACCTCAAATAAAGAAAGGTAAAGCCAGGCTATATCAAACCAATTCATCTCATGCTGAAAGAATACAGTTACACGATACTACATTCAGCTGCTTACATTCCCTGTTTTGGTTTAGTGATGAGGCCGGGGGCAAGGAGACTGACACAGAGCAGTTCAATCCTTGGATAGCCACAACGAGTGATCAGAACAAAGAACAAATACCAAGATAGAATAGAGGTAAGGCTGTAAGACTCCAAGATTATCTGCACATGATTGGAGATATATCTAGAGACAGTTAGCCAAAGCAAGGAGAGAAGTAATCAAAGTATCTTAGGCATGTCCTTGATCGAAGCATTTTGCAAGTAGCCGCCACAGTTCTGGACATGCAAATGCAAGAGGGAAACTCTAGTTTGGAGAACCTCGTTATTTACATCCTTAACGGCTTCAAAACAGCTCCCAAAAAAAAACAAAAAAAACAGACATCACATTCCCAGACTCAGAAGCCATCTGCCTAGACGTACAAATTTGAATTTTTCAAGCCACCAAACGACTCCGATATCTTGAAAATAGACAAAACCGTCGAAAATGTGTACAGACGTTGACAGACATTCCACAGTGTGCCAACATGCCATAAATGAAGTCACATTCCGTGACTCCAAGCAGACAGCCTTCAGATCAGATATTCAAACTGCTCTACATGAGGACAGGGAAACCCTCCGACCTGTGGGAGAGAGGAATCTCGTTTTCATGAGGTATGGCGGCGCACGAAACATGAGGAATCTCCTCCAGGCGTGAAGGTTCTTGTGCAAATAGGGTTTTGGAGGACGGCCTGGAGGTGAAGGAGGGGACGGGTGTTTATTGTAAAGTTGAAGGTGGGTACCCCCCGGAGATAGCAGAGGATAGACGACCGCTGGAGAGAGGCTTTAGGAGGGATAAAAAGCGCAAGAGGGACGGTGAGAGGGGACCAAAGGTGAGGTTTGAGAATATTCGTTGAAAGGTTATCATCGATTGGTATTTGAGGTTCAGCGTGTGATTTTGGATGTTACAATGAATTATGTTTGGCTTAAACAATAGCCACGCGTACCCATAATCTATTGTGTTGATAGTAAAGTTTCAGATCGTAATTCCACTTCCATGCCAGAGCAAAGATCCGACAGACAAGTGTCTGGATTACTTACTATTCCAACTGTTGCGAAAATACAACGTGCTTGTGAACGTCAACAGCACGTATTAAATATTACACTAGAGGGCTATTTTTGATTGTATTTTAATTTCGTAAAACTCGCAGCATCGACGAAACTAACTAACTAACTGACTACTTCCTCACCACTCGGGGACTTCCATCGTCCCCTTCAGACTTCCACTTCGACTTCAACACCCACCAACACCAACAGACCAGACCTATCAATTCGCATTTTGATTTCAATATCAAGCATTCAAATCCAACATGCATCGCCTCTCGCCCCGTCCCTTCATCATCCCATTCCTTTCAACTGTACTAAAGCACACATACGAAGATCCAAACCCCGCCCCCTCTTTACCCTCTCATCCCATGCATCATCTACCTTAACCATCCTAATACCTCTTCCCACTCGGCTTCAACAACTCCCCAAACGCAAGATCCACTTGCTTCTTCAGCTCCTTATAGCTAACAATCATGCAATCCTGATCATCACGACTAACAAGTTTAATCTGCTGGCTCGACCCAGCATCAAGTTTATTCATGCACTCAAGAATATGCGCGAGGTCCACGACCGGTTTACCATCAGCATTGACCTGATGAAAGACATAATCTCTGAATAGTTTCAGGATATAGCGCTCCCCGACCTCGCTCCATTTGACGTCGCCCTCGTACTCGGGGCGTTCGTTGATAGTGCCGAGCTTGGCAATGAGGCGGAAGAGCCGGCCGTTCTCGAGTTCCTGGCTGAGCGTGCCGATCGCAGTGTCGTTTGCGTGGAGGGAGTTGTCGTAGGAGGTCATGATCTGGCCGGAGATGCCGCGGATGAATTCGTTGAGGTCTTTGGTTTCGGGGGCGATGGCGGGAGTGAGGAGCCACTCGACTGTATCGCGGAACTCTACACTGTAGTTCCGCTTCAGGCTTTCTAGTGAGCCTTTCAATGGCGTGTTACTGGACGCCAGGTTGAGGTTATTTGTGGCTATTGCTAATATGAGCTTGCCAAATAGTATGAAGTCTTCTTGTTGAAGCTCCACTATAGGGCGGTCCGCTTCGAACTGGACGACATCGAGGATGGAGCATGCATTTAGCCGGATCCGATTCTTGTCGGTGACTAGAACCTTGCTGAGATCCATACATCGAGCGGCGAGATTTGCCGCGTGAATGGCCTTGATGGCATTCGCAATCTGTACGATATAGCCCCAGAGAATTTGTTCTGATACAACAGCTGTCGCGATGCGGTTGCCATATCGGTTGGTGTTAGTGAAATGTGTTTCCACTAGCGTCTTTGACAGGGGGTAGTAGTTGTAAACAAAGATAAGCGAGCTGTCGCCAAAGGCTCGAGTGGTAAATGCATCAATGACAGACACCACCCCAGCATTATCGACTCTCTTCCAGTTCTTCGCAGATTGAACTGCGTTTGCGTTGCTTAGACGAAAGCCTATTCTGTCAGTTTTGATTCAAATATCCGGGCATGGACTGACCTTCAATTCGTCGCAACACATAGGTGAGGCCATTCTTGCTCGAAACAGCTTTGTAGACCCAACTTGGGAAGCCAAATACGGTGGCACTCCTGTGGTGGCTAATATCTAAGGGGACCAGGGTATGATAATGTTCAACAACGGGTAGTTGGGAGTCTGTACCTGTCAGGATAAATATGTCTGGAGCACAGGTGGAAACTTACTTGGCATAACCTGGCGTGCTGCCTCGGACTTCTTTTGCAGATCTTCTCGGAGGTCATTGGGCATAAAAAAGTCATGGGTGTGCCGCTGATAAGCCAGAAGGTCTTGTCTGTGCGCACCAACTGGAGCGTAAAGGTGGTATTGAAGCTAGAAATGTCAGCCTGTGCATCCTCACAGGCTTCGAACAACTCACAGGCTGCGCGGGGGATGAGAAAGCCGCCTGGGTCTGGAAGTATCCAGCGGCATTTGTTGGAATATTGTTTTCCTCCAGATATGGATTATATGGAGCTGATGGCATGGCCTGATTCATAGTCTGCATTGAGAATGGATCATATGATGTTTGTGCGTCAGGCGCAGCTCCGTTCGCCAGAAGCTGTCGCGACAGTCAGCAACATGCTTTTGTTGTAACAGGAGGTGTACCTTACACCATGAGAGAGGTCATAATTCTGAGGCGTAAATTCTTTGATTGTTGCTGGGTTGAAGACCGCTGGTTCAGCGTCGGCGGGAGGATTTGGTGTTGTGGTACCTATAATATCAGAAGATGTACTAGGACTGAATGGTTCATGCTTACCTCCGAATCTTGGAGTAAATGGCGCAGCACTTGCAGCCTGTGAAGAGATTGTAGATGTCTTCCCGGTAACTGCGAGGGTTGAAGGGGTGAAGGCGGGAGAATCAACGTTCAAAGATTTCTTTCTGTGCGTTTATTGTTAGCAATCAATGCGTCATGTCTGGCGCCGAAGTAATTCCCATCTGGACGGTTTGCGAGGTAAGTACAGGTGCATTGCTGGTGATTTTGCTTCCGAAGTGCAAGGAAAGCGTTGTATAGAACGGGGTCAAGATCGTCTAGTAAATGGAGCCTGGCTCTTTTTCCAAAGATACGATACGTATCCGAAAGAATGCAGGAAGATTCCAATGTACGGCATGGTCTTGGACAGGATATGTGCTAGCCCAGAAATGAGCGTCGCAGGTAGTCATCGTGCCAGGATGACACTGATGCAACAAGTTCAAGATGGTTTTCTGGAGGGTGGTAATTGACCGAAGGCTCGAAAATAGTGAATAGCGAAGGAATGGGCTCCAGAGCAGGGACTGATATTTTTGGGGAATTATCGACAAACAGCTTGACAACGTCGGCAACCATCCAGTCGAGATGTATATATGAATCAGGTTTGAAGGTTACACCTGGGCCTGGCATAATCTGGAACCACGTACTCAAAGCGTGAAGAGCATGAACAAGATACGAACGAGTCTCTAGCGAGACGCCTGACTTTTCCGTAGCTTGTTATTGCTCTGTCTGCCGTGCTTGGGAAAGACGCGATTGAACGATACAAGATACTCAGAATGGATGGTCGATCTTGCAGAAGAAGAGTGGCAGTATCATCAGCTCGTGTTTCCCGCTTTTAGTAAGCAGCCAACACAAAATTTGGCAGACGACATTTAGTTGTCCCATGAACAAGAGGTTCATCCAGATTACGTGGACTTTCACAATGTCGGTGGTAAACCTCGATCGCAAGAACCAACTGTTGGAAATGCCAGGGTAAATGGCGCAGAATGATAGCTTTGGCGGTACGTCTCCAAGATGATCATCTTTGTGGCCGTCCCAAAGCATCCGTCGGACCAAAAGTCCACCCATACCGATTCAACCCGTCCTAGGACTTTCGTACAGACATCCAATAGCACCCTATATTTTCCTGACTGCCAAAGTTCAGGCCATTTCCTATTGTCTCGTCCCAAAGCTTCAGAATACCGCTTAAGTTCAATCCAGGTCGCGAATTGGTGTTGTCCACAATGATGAAGATGGTATTCGTCGGCCATATGACTCCCCGGCGGCTCCAATTGTTCTCCTAGCTTCCGGTCTTCGTAACAAATATGCCCACCCGATCCAGCCCATGAAGTCCAATCCAGCGGCTCCGCATTTCGAGAGGTTTTAAGTGGCCGGTTCCAGCGATCAAGAAGAGAATGTACTTACGAATCTACCTGCGCATTAAGTGTCTTATTCGGATCATGGCTGAAGACACATCCCGAATCTTCCCAGCGACAATGGCCATATATCGTCACATTCCTGCAAAGGGTATCCTTCGAGTTTTCTATGTCGCATACAATCAGCCCCGAGTTCTTGTATTGTCCGTGCTCCATCTGCAAATGCCATCACATACCGCGTCCCTTCGGTCTCGGCGATCCTGCTGGTTTGCGCAGCTCTGGCGGATTGAACCGGGCTGAAGACATGTTGGGTCTGGGTTGATTCGAACGTCCAGCTTCTATCTGCCGCCGCCGGTTGACACAATGCGAAATCTGTCGTTATGGTTAGCAGAGTAAATTACGACTGTTGCAATAAATAGCAATGTATTCCTCCTAGCAAGGACTGTTGTGCCATATCACAGACAACAAAGCCCTTGCAGAAGACAAGGCTTTAGGACAATAACTCACTTCAATCTGACAAACATTGCTTTGCTACAGTTGCTGATACGATTGATGTGCCCGCCAAGGGGTGGTTGAAGATTTCCCAAGTGCCGCCAAAACAAATGCAGCTATTCACAGATCCATTGTCGTTGCAAGATGTGGTGAGTTGCGGTAGATAGCGATATTGAGCTGGATGGACAGGACAGGACAGGACTGGACTGAATGTTACGCGGGGAGTTGTAAAGGTGGAGCGCCCGCATCAGCCGCAGACGCGCTCTCTTAGCGTCGCACGGTGTGGCTGGAGCTGGAGGCTGATTAGTGTCAACGGCGCGGCCGCATCGTCATGACCGTCCCACCAGAGAGAGGTCAAGTGGCATTGATCAATCGTTCCTATCCAACACCTTTCCTCCTCCTCACACCATACCGCCTCTGTCGTTCTTCTCCTGTGACTTTTGTGCGACGATTTCCATCGGTACAATGTCTACCTAGGAAAGAAATCCCTCCAGAAAAACGAATAGAATGGCATCTCCAGGAACAGATATCAGCGAGCTCTCCGAATTGCAACAGCTGGCCTTACAGCAGTACATTGCAGTCACGGCCCAAGATGCCGCAGCGGCGATACCTCTTTTGCAGCGATCGGAGTGGAATGTACAGGTATGTCTCCCACTATCCGCCTGTTGAAACTTCGAGTACTAATGTCTGCAAGATAGCAATTGCCAAGTTCTTCGATGGCGAAGGCCCAGATCCAGTCGCAGAAGCTCGAGCAGCGCAGAATGCCCCTCCACCAAGAGCAGCAAGGCAGGAAAATCTACAACATAGTCTTCTCCAAGGCTCATCTCGAGCTTTGCGATCAGAGCCTCAACCAGATGCTGCGCCGCGAATAGTGCCTCAGCCAGAAGACGATGCAATCCAAAGACCGAACCTTATCCTTTCCCTCCTCTTCACGCCCTTCAGCCTACTCTACAAATTGTTATTCTCGCCATCATTCGGAATTTTTTCATTTCTCTTCCCTTTCCTGCCCCGAGCATTACGGCCGAATCCTACAACTGGAGCTGCGAGACGAGCAAACACGGGTGGCAGACGGTCATTGAAGCCGCGAGATTCAGTGGCAAGACTAAAGCGGGAGTTTGAGGAAGAATATGGGAGCAACACATTGCCTTTCTATGAGGGAGGCTATGCGCAAGCTCTGGATCTGGCAAAGAAAGATCTCAAGTTCTTAATCATCATCTTGATTTCGACTGAGCACGACGATACATCCTCCTTCATCCGGGAGACCCTTCTTACTCCCGAAGTCCAGACTTTCTTAAACGACCCCACAAATAACATAATACTCTGGACCGGGGACGTGAGAGATTCAGAGGCATACCAGGTTTCCACGGCCTTGACTTGCAACAAGTTCCCTTTTACTGCCCTCGTGGCACATACTCCAAAAGTAAGCAGCACAGCAATGTCAGTCATTGCTCGTGTTGTAGGTCCCATGGACGCCTCTACATATATCGCCAAACTTCGAAGTGCCATTTCCTCACACGAAGAACAACTAGCCACCGTCAGAGCCACTCGCTCAGCGCAGAACTTCGAAAGAAGTCTCCGCCAGGAACAAGACTCCGCCTACGAACGAAGTTTGGCACAAGATAGAGAGCGAGCTCGACTGAAGAAAGAAGCCGAAGCAGCTGCTATCGAGGAAGAGCGCAGGAAGAAGGAAGCTGACGAAGCGGCTGAGAAGTTGGCGATGAATAAGTCGCAGTGGCGCCAATGGCGAGCATCTCAGATCTATCCAGAGCCAAGTGCAGATTCCAAGGATGTCGTGCGGATTGCACTGAAGATGCCCGAAGCGGCTCGAGTTATGCGCCGCTTCAGAGCCGATGACAGTATTGAAGAGCTCTACGCCTTTGTAGACTGTTATGACTGTCTGCAAAATGGCTCGGCTTCAGAGAAGGCAGAGAACCCGGTGGGATATAAACATGAATTTGACTTCAGGCTGGTACAAACGCTGCCTAGAGTGGTGTATGGGGTTGAAGATGGCGGGACGATTGGTGAGCGGGTTGGAAGGAGTGGAAATCTTATCGTGGAACCTATTAAAGACGAGGAAGACGAAGACGATGAATAGATTGTGCTGATAGCGGCAGTGTAATAACAAGTCTTCCAACTTATCGGCTATCTATTCATTGCATCTGCTGAGCCTAGTTGCAAAGTTGAACAATATACTTTTCTCCCACCTCGCTTGTTCATTGTTATTTAGAGGAAAGTCAATTTCAACATCAAATCCCACGGAATTTCGCTCAAAGACAGTGAATATCCTGCGACCAAATGTTTTGTTGCACATCGCAAATCTCATCTCCCATGATTCATGCTCATAATCTCATCTCAGAAAATATGAATGCTCGCCTCCAACCTGAGATACATATCCTCCCATGTAGCCTCTCATGGCTCTTCTTTACCCATCAACTTCTTCGCAAGTACAAGATAATTGTCGTGCACCTGACGCACCTGAGGCACTCCCTAAGGCGCTCCAGCTAACTAGAGGCTGCTTATGTAACTAGAACTCCTAGAGCTTCCTCTTATAGGGGAGCTTTAGAATACCTTAATAAATCAAGATTTTCATACTATATGAAGCTCCTCCCTATAGTACATAATAGTTAAGAGCTATATTCGCTTGTTTAAGCTACTATACGAGTATACTATATAGTACAAGTAGAGTTGTAGGTAGTGTTAAGAGATACTTATACTACTACTTAAAGAACTTCTTCAAATACCTCCCTGAACTTCCTGAAATACTCTCGACGCTATTAGTTCTATAGAAAGCCTCTCTAATATATCGATATACTTTTAAGACGAGTTAATTAAACACGAGAGCGATACTCTCGATTAGAGAAAGCAGTGGCCCTAGTAGTAGATAACCTTCTAGTACTATATCGAACTTAAAGGAATCTAGAGATTTATTAACCCTGACGCTAATAACGTTAGAAATATTGTTAAGTAATAACCGAATCTCCTGAGTATTAACAATTTTATATAAGAGGAGATAAATAGTTACCTTAGTAAGTAGATAGCGTCGTTAATATAAGCTGACTTAGATTTACTAGTGAAATAGAACGCTGCTATTACTGAGGAAAGAGAGAGTATAATAGAACTGCCGGCGTTTATAAGTAAGCTCTTAGAAGCTAAGTTTAAAGATATTAAGGTACTCTGGGAAGCTCGAATAAGGGAGTACTTGAATAAGCTAGCTGAATAGATAGCGCTTAATAACTGTATTTAGAACCTCTTTAACTAGGTAAATAGTACTATTAGCTAGTCTATTCTAACTGACGTAATTAATAATAACACAGCCGAGGGCGCCGTAGGACTATAAGTACTAGTCAGGTCTATTAAGCGTGATATAGTACCTTCAGACGCGGTAGTACTAACCTCTATTATTTCGGACTATACTAATATACTTAGCTTACTAATATATTAAGATAAGAAGTCGTGAATTAAATCTCACACGTGGTATAAGCTATAGTAAAAGAACTTCTATCTTACAAGAGTGTATAATATTCCTGATATATAAGGAGTACGTGGTATACGAGCTTTCCTAAACGTAGTATTAGTTTAGTTAGAGACTTAGGCTACTTAAGTACTCGCTGATATTATAAGAGATAACACTCTAGGACGTCGGTATAGTATAACACTAGAGAAGTATAATCTGGCGTTTACAGCGAATATAGAGAAGTACTACCGGAACAGAGGCAAGGGAGCTAATAGTTTCTATGCTACGCTAATACTAGGTAGTTATTCTAATACAGGAGGCTTATAAGATTATTCCGGAAGCTCTCGAAATCGCTCCCGTTTAAATTAAGGAGATAGGAAGACTAACTACCCCTGTGGAATCAGATACCGGTACCCTCTAATTAAGTGCTAGAAGCTCCGTTTCACTTATAACAGCTTTTAAGCTAACGGTATAAGATTCCGTCTAAATAATAAGTAAATCAAGAGGATTCGTGAGATTATCTAGGTACCTGAGTACGTAGAACTACGCTAAGAGATCTCCAAGGAAAGCTAGATAACTGTCTCTGTAGCTTAGATTACTGGGAAGAAGCTTAGTAAGGACTGAGAACTGTTGTCTTAGTAAGCTAAAGGGAAGTACCCCGGAAATATTAATATAGCTACTATTGATTTAAAGCTCTTAGACCTTAAAGAGACACTCGGAATCTATACTACGGACTTTATTAACGTTCCTTACGTACTCTTAGAGAGTACCTTAGTTAATAACTGCGGCGCTTAGTACTTAGTTAATCACGAGAATAAGCTAGTTCCAGGTTCCTTTAAGAGATTAACTAATAATAACTACGTGGAAGCTAGAATATAATAAATTCCAGTAGTTAGTAGAAGGAAATAAGTGTTTAAGAACTCCTTAGCTAAGCTAAATAGTCTAAATACTTAAGACTTATCACTTAATAATATCGCTATAGTCCGTGATTTCCATGTTAATATTATCTTAGAGGTGTTACTAAAAGATACCGGGCTATAATACTTAGGGAAAGATACTACTTTATAGTATAGGGAGGTTTAGATAAGTGTAGTTATTAGATAGCTAGTTCGAAAGTTCAACCTGACTTTCTTTGAATATAAGCCTTTTAGATACTCTCATCGCTCTTATAACCTAGTGACCTTAATACGTACGCCTATTATAATATACCTAACTTTAAGTCGTAGCTTAAATAAGCAAGGTTTCCAATTGTTAAGTTAATTACTTAAGGAGCGTTCCGTAACTCCGCAACTATAGCACCTACGCACTAGCTATTTAGGAGAGAGTGCTCTACAGGCGTTACTTAAAGTAGGGAAAGGCGTATAATTCAACAGAGTATTAAGAATCTAGTGTAAAGACTATACTATTACATACGCCGGAAATATCACGTTAAGATAGGAGTTAGAGAATAAAGTAGCTAAGCTATTCTACTAAATCCTCTGGGACTTATTCGACTTTAATATAAGTTATAATAGTACTCGCTAGCTACTTATTATCAAGGATAAGTATAGTAGGAAGCTCTTTAGCTACACGTTACTAAGTAAGTCAGCTAGCTATATTATACTAGTCTTAGAGAACTTTAAGCGTTAGACTAAGTGTTAATATAGACTATTAGTCTATATTATTTAGCATGATAATAATACCTTAGTTATAGCTATTCGAGGCACGTTAAGGTACAAGGAATAGACTACAAGAGAAGAGATAGAGGTAGAGAATCCCCTGCTATATACTAAAGAACCTGTGAGTAGTGTGAAGCGTGTAAGATAGGAGATTATTACTAAATCTATTAAGATACGTGTTCAGGTGAACTTACCAGAGAAGCTTTACCTAGAGGTATATTATATAGTAATCTACTTTTATAATATAAGTCCTCTCGCACGCCGAGGGATAAGAAGTCTAAATTAAGTACTCTAGGAATAGTTTCGGAACTATTTTCAGTAGTACGATCTACTAATAGTAAAGAAGCTCTTAACTAACTTAAGACCTGATTAGAGTAGAGTATACATATATAGGGCGCGTGTATATCTAGTTATAACTAATAAAGAGGCTAGAAGGAATCACAGAGGCTTTAAAGTCAGCCCTAGGGCGTATATTAGATACTTAGTTAGTTATGTTACTTCTAACTTATATAGGATCTAGGTGCCTTAGCTACGCTATATAGTAATCACGCGTAACGTCTAGTTTAATAAGACAACGTTCTATTCCCCTGAGAAAGAGAGGAAGGTTAGCTAACTTACCTCTACTCTAAGGGAGCTTATTAAGGACCTAGAAGAGAATATTATCGCTCTAGACGTAGAGTATAGTATTAGTAATATTACTAACGCAGTTACAGCGGAATATATAGCTAAACTAAATAAAGCTGTATTTAAGGCTAACGTTAGTATTAAGACTACTATATTAGTCGCTAAGGAGGTACTAGAACTAATAGATATTACTCCGATAGAGCTTCCACGAAGCTTAGGAGTAGTACTAAAGGTATAAGAGCTGATAGAGGTCGACTCGCTAGAGCTCCTTCAGACTTCTGAATTACCCCTTTATAAGAGTCAAACCTCGGGGGTAGAGAGTAATAATATAGTCCTTTATAATAATAACTTCGCTAATAGTAGTAGAGATCTGACTCCTTACGAGAGGTTAAGTCAAGGCGCCCTAAGAGATACTAAAGCTACGGAGACTAATTATCTCTTACCTTAGCACTGGAGGGATACTATAAGTAGTAATAATACCGGTTTAAGTATTAAGGAGGCGCGCTAACGAATATACTCTTAAGTCGTATTACTTAGCTAATAGCTATAAGACCTTAAGTAACAGGTTACTAAGCTTTTAAAAGCTCCTCTTAAAGCGATAGAGACTGAGTTTCTATAGGCAGCTAGAAATAGCTACTAATAGCAGCGAGTAATAGAGCGTAATCGAATCTAAGTAACTTAGGAAGCCTAGAGAGAATATAAAAAGCTTACTGCACGTAGCTATTACTTTATAGTAGTAGCTCTAAGATAAGATAGCTACTCGCGCTTTTAAGAGTTTATTACAACCTTCTATAGTAAGACTCCGACGCGAGCTAATAGCTATAATATTATTACACTTTATGTAGTAGTTTTAAGCGCTATATCAGATATCCGAGTAGAGGTAAGAGCTTCTAACTTATAAAACTAATATTAAGGGAAGCTCCTGAAGCTACCTAAGAACTGGAGGGAGCTAGAGAGTCACTTATATAGTAAGTAGTTTAAGGTTAACGCGGAAAGGGAGATATTAAACTTGGAAGCTTAAGACTATTAGAGACTGATTCCCAGGGAAGACGTAGCTACCTTACCGATTCCCTTGAAGTGGGTGTTTACTTATAAGGTAGATTCTATAGGATAGCTTAAGTGTTATAAGTCTCGGATTATAGTGCGAGGTGATATATAAGATAACTCCATGATATTCTTAACTTACGCGGCTATACTTATAGCGAGGTTATTCTAAGTCGTAATAGTACTAGCGGCTTAATTCGACTTAGAAGTGAAGTAGTTTGATATAATTAACGCCTTTATTAATGTAAAGAGAGACGAGAGGAGCGCCTTAGTCTCGTGTTTCCCTCCGGAAAGCTAGAAAAGACTAGGAATAGTAGTAGAAATTAATTAAGCGCTTTATAGCTTAAGAGACTCACCTGCACTCTAGTATAGCGACTTTATAAAGACACTTAGCAAGCTAGACCTGTCTCTACTCGCGGAGGAGCCATATATCTTTATAAACTAGCATAGGATTATCTTTATAGTGTTCTACGTCGACGATATTCAGGTCTTATATTATATTAGATATACCGAAGAGGACTAGATAATTATAGACGGATTACACGAGGCGTACGAGCTAATAGTCCTAGGAGATATAGAATAGTTCTTAGGAGTGCGAGTAATACGGAATAGGGAAAAGAAGATAGTGTCTCTCTTACACGATATCTATATCAAGAAGATAGCTTAGAAGTTTAATATAGTAGATAGGAAGTGCCCTAGCACGCTTCTCCTGTACTATAAGCTAGTCAAGAACCTTAGTACAGTAACTTTTAAGTAAATCAAGGAATATTAAGAGAAGGTTAGGTTAGTACTATATATAGCT